AAAGACGTCCGGCGATGCGCTCAGGATAGAGAGCAACGACCTTGGCGGGGTTGAGATCAAGCTCAATGAAAGAATTTATTGCATCGTCAAACTTTCCTAGTCGAAACTGGGACACGGCGTGAAGGGCGCGAATGTGGGTTCGTCGTTGGTCCTTCAAAATATATATGGCGTTATGTCTGTTACTCAATGTATAATTGAAAACGTACCTTGTCTGGTAAAAGAGCTTTGTCTAAAGTATCAAGCAATGATAGTGCGTCGGAATAGAGGCAACGCTGGACAAGTTCATCGATCTGGTCTCCCCATGACCTCATCCGAATTTGCCATATCGAGCTGCCCTCAGAAGTAGCTACTGTGCGGTCGCTCGGAGTAGCCACAAGGAAGAGAGGTGCCTTGGCGGCAGGAGAAGACGTCAAGAGTCTAATTGTGCAATTGGCGGCAGAGGACGCTGATGATGTGGGTGGGAAGGGAAGTGTTTGGACGGATTGCGTTGTCAGTGACGATATGACTTGCACGACTGGTGAAGGGATGAGGGATGACTGAGGGGCAACTGGGGTACTCCCAGATGGAAGGGAACTACCGTTCTCTGGTACCGGGACGGTACCAGGAGGAAGTATTGAGAAGATGTATGGGTTGACAAAAGCTAGACAAGACCATCAGAAAACTTGAAAGGAATTGGCAGATTGAGATGCTGACCAACTTCATCGGGTGGACTTGGCCAATCAATCGTTGTTGGCTTGGTCTGCCTCCCATCAGTGCCGATGATAAACCCCTGATCTGCCGGAAGCTTCAGCTGTCCATTGTATCGAATATAAAACTCGTATCATACTGTCTTTGACAATGAGTGCCTCGGTATCGCTCAGCCGCACCAACCCAGGTTTGGCTCTGGCTCCCAGACCAAGGGTCATGTACCCAGTAAGCCCAGAAAACGTGCCCATGGAAATATTCGCGGGTATAGGTGTGACAACGTCAAGTGTCGTGAGCTTGCTGATAGAGAACAGAGCATACTCGGTAGGTGAGTACGCAAAACAAACATTATCGCTATCAAGAAACACTGCAACACGCGGCGAGTGAGGAAGAATAGTTTCCTGCGTGGTGACTTAGATGGGTCTTACAAGTGCAAAAACGTCGTACCTTGATTTCCTGTGCTTCACCGTCTTTCCACGTGTATATCACTACTTTCCTTCGGCACCCGACTAAAAGCTGCGTCACCATCGTAGGAATCGGGCCTGTCCTGCCGACAGTATGAGCTCCACCTTGGGCATCACTTTGATCAAGGTTGTGCACGGAAGAGTGAACAGCAAATGTCAATGCACCCTTGGCTCTTGTAAGAGGTTTTGGAGGAGCAAAGCTTGGGAGAGGATACAGAGTTGGTATAGTTTCTGAGGAGGGACATACTAAATTCACGATATTTGACAGAGATGGCTATGTCATTGATCGTACCGGAGAGGGAAACCAGAGAATTGATATCCTTGATATAGCCCAGCTGGTCAATAGGTCTACGAGACAGACCCTTCTTAGTGTCCACCAAAGTTGATCCATTCTCTTGGTATTGAGATAAGTATATCGGCGTTAACGGCATCCAACAGTAGCATACCAGAAAATTCGTTATACTCGTAGATGAAGAGACTGCCTGTTGCTGTTCCAATATACAACTTGTCACCTGAATATACGGCAATTAGCATGCTACGCCTGCAAACATGACCGAGAGAACTTGCCCTGGACGAGTAAAGCCTCTGGTCTTTCTTTGAATCCACCGAGGACTGTATTCGGCGGGTTGAACGGCGCCATGAGTCGGAATGATCACTGTACTGGCACTGCGGTCGTGAATGGAGGGGAGGGATATTATTGAATCACACTGATTTCCTTAAACGTTGTTTTCGCTAAGTGTGAGTTTATGTAAAGTGGCGTATTAATGAAGTAACAACACTTGTTCAAAGCAAACTTCAAATATTCAAAGAGCTCGTTTGCAATCCGCTTTCACAACGGTGTTGTCGTTTACTTAGACACATCTTGCTGCTAGTAGCCTGGAGCTACTAGTGGGCTGTTTACCATGGCTTCGCGTCACGGTTGCCTTGCACTCAACATCAATATCATGATCATCGGGTGCGCCAGGAGCAGCCTGTCACCTGTTTGTTTTCTACATAACGAAATCAACTTGTGATTTGCTCTCTGGTTTAAGGGTTACATATAGTATCAGCATGATCCAAAACTCACGAGATTGGAACGGACTGCAAGGGAAACCCAAGGTCAGATCTCTATCTATCAGGACCGACCACTACAACACAGCGCAGGACTACCGACTACGAGCCTGAACTCCTACCACTGCGCCAGGACCCTTGGCGTTCCCGAGGACCGGCGCCAGACCATCCTACTACAACCTTCCACCAGCGAAGTATGATGCCGTTCAGACCGCCCGCTTTAATCTCTCCAGAACCATGTCTGAAGGAAAATAATCTTCCAACCTGCGAATCATTTTCTCCACGGTGTTCAAGTATTCATCCAAATATGAAATTAGTTCTTCTTGAGAACATGGCGGAGGAAATTTCTCTCGAAAAGCCTGCTCAAATGCGGCGTCGGCCTGTTCTGCAGTCAAGCTAAAGACTGTTAGCCTCTGTCACGGAGACCATGGAAAGACTTACGTCACAAGAAACTGTTTCTGTTCTTCTTCACGTTCCTCTTCCCATTGGGTGACGTCCAGTATCCACTCCTTGCATCCTTGATATGCCTCTTCCATAATCTGTTTCTCACTGTCAGAAAGTCCGTGTTGAAACAATAGCCTAGACGGTATATCATGGCCTGGAAAGCATCCTGGAAAATAGTCGTTCAGGCGTTCTGCGAGCATGCACGACTCTGGTGCCGTCATAAGATAGTAAACATGCTATCTGGAATGAAGCTAAAACGAGGTCGACCTTGAATCCTGAGAAACGCACCAATAGACATAGATTCTTAGTGACCAAGATATAATGCAGCCTGTCATGTTCGTCGTTCGTAACATGATCTTGGAGTTTCTTTAGCTCTCTTTTCGTGAGTAGTGTCATGTCTGAGTCAGAACTAGGTTCCTTCACATAGTACTCCTGCCACGATAACGCAACAGAAGACGCGTCGACCGCATATTTTCGGAAAGTGTCGACCATGGCTAGGCAGTCAAGTAAATCTGGGATCTGCCCCAGGATAAAATAAGGGCGCAGCATGTTCCGTGTCGCGTAGAAGGTAAGTGTAGGTGGTGACTGTGCGTCTGTAGATGCGGGTTCTTTCCTGAGAATCGACGAGACATGGTCTGTATCAGCAAGTGAAGTTTGAACTTTTGCGCACTAGAAGTAATGAACACGAAGCACACCATATATCGCTCGGTGGCCTTCGGCATTATATTCACTGCAAATTCCCATCGCGGTGACCATTTGATAAAAATCTTGCATGAGTCGACAGTATATGGACTATTGACAGGGGCCAGTGATGGAAACTTTAGGTTTAGCTGCACTAAACGTGCCGTGCAGTGAGACAGGAATGATTTTAAAGTACTAGAGTATAAACTCGGAAGACGCGTCAAATCAGGTGACTCGTGATTATACCTGTTCGGTCATTGCCGGTGGTTTAGGCTAGTGCAAAATCTTCCGTCGAAAACTATTCATTTTCCTCGTCTGAGTCCCCAAACAAACAAGGCCCCCCATACAGATCATCGTCATCTATTCCACTGCATTGTACATCCTGGGGTGAGACTCGACGTGCGAGTGCGGTAGGGACGCAAGGTGGCTCCATTTGCATCTCCGACTCTGCCACTGTCAACGTACAACGTGGCTCGTTTGCGAATTTCATGTCTGTGGCAAGGTTGGAGTGATCAGGCGAAGGTTTTTCTTCCGATTTGGAACCTTCAGAATGTTGAGAATGATAGCGACAATGGTCGGTGGTTTCCCTCGAGTGCTCTTCTTCCTCATCGTTTACCCTAGCCTTGGGTTGATCTTCGCATTCTAACTTGACCGATCGCAGGCTTATCGTCGAATTACGTGGTGTGTTCCATATATATGCTGATCTATCCAAGCGATGCCTAACATAACCGACACCCTCCCGACCGCGAGTAAAAGTGATGTCATCATTGTCGTGGTGCTCCACGGTCTCAAGATTTAGAATCTTTCCGATAGTCGTCCATGGGTCCGGATCGTTTAGGATGTCCAAAGGCAATCCAGGGTCATGTATATCCGAGTCGCCAAAAGAAGAAAATCCCTGCGACGAATTGAAAGAGTGTGATTCCACATGTTTTGTTCGAGTGGCAGGATATGAGGTCTGAACAGGTCGACGATGTTCCGTGTTGAATATCTCAGTGAAGGGTTTCGCAATCGCTTCCGAAGTTTGGGTAGCGTGGAACATCTTCCGAGCCTTCTGAGGAGTTGTAGGAGCGTATTGTGTTTCGAAGGATGATGCTGAAAATTGCTTAACATCATTTGTGTGGCAAAGAGACTGTGATATAGGACTGCTGCACTTGATGGAGCTATCCCATCCGAACGACGCAGGAGAATCGTGCGTAACGATGGGAGCAGGGAAACCAATCGGAGAAGTGGAGGATGGCGATCGTTGCAAGAAATGTTCGTGGTTGGAACTCCATCCACCATGCAACTGTGAAAGGGAATTCTGCGATGAGGGTGGTGACGTGTCCATGTCGAGAATGTATTCCTCTGTTCCTTGAGAATTAGAAGGAGAAGAAAACGGAAAGCTGTTTGACGGAGGTAAGGGAAATCGTTGCTGGTCTTGGAGATCGTGAGTAGGCACGGATCCACGAAGCTTTCCCGTGTCAGCAATATCCGTGCCAGCATAACCTGAGTCGTTGACCCAGCTTCCGTGGAGACTATCGGTCTCGACACTCCGTAGTGGACTCTCATAACTAGTGACCATACGATGGTCCGGTGAAGGAGGCCGCGACATTCGTCCGCTCAAATGATCGTCGTAAATTCCTCCATCATTATCGTTATCTATTGGGAACAAATGGCTAGCGCTTCCTGAAGACCGACCAGTGCGAGAGAAGATGTCACTGGACATTCCTTGAAACTAGGATATGGTCAGTGTACTACTTGGATGCTCACCGTTCTCTCTGATGTTACCTGAACGTCCGACTCGCTGTCAGCATCGATAGGCAGGAGAAGATGTTCTTCGGGATCAATGCCAGGGCCTCCATCTTCCGAGTCGGAGTGGGATGACATTCCTTGCAGGGGCAGTCCAATCAGTTCTGACAGAGGGATTGATAATATGCGGTCAATTGCATCACGATAGGCTACCGCTGACACGATCAGTGCATGATATAAGACAGATCAACACATATCAGGGAATATATCACATACGATCAGAAAAATCAAGCATTCGAAGTATCTTCGAGGGTTGTTTGCGGCGCTTTGGGGTGCCAAATGAGATTCCGTGGGCGAATGATGTGTCGCACGTGCTTATACTATGCGCCGTGAAGGGGTAATTGCCTTTGATTTTTGCGTCTCGTTGTGCATGAGCAAGATTGATTTGATGTAAAACAGACTTCAGAGACATCTTTTCAGGCTTTTCCCTTCCTTCCTTCGTGTTGCATAATGCAGCTGCCAACCTCTGTTGACCAAAATGTCGCTTCTGAACCCGACCTGTACTGTCTTTGGTGCGTGCTCGAGCAGCATTCCTACATATACGAAATATAAGTAACCATGATACAATTTAGTGTTTACTAACCTTTTCCCTCCCATGTAGTTAGCGCCTGTCATCTTCAACGTTTGAATATGTGGTAAGTCAAGTACAAGAGTTTGGAACAGATTAATCCCATCGCGTAATGGGCACGTGATTTTTAGTGGGACCTGGCAAGTATGTACCTGAGCTTGACCTGAGCGTCGAAATAATTCATTCACAATGGCAACTGCAACTTGAGTCCGCCTAGGCCTAGTAAAGGCTGCCAGTGGCACGTATGATTTCTTCCTCGTTCACAATCTTCAGCTTGATCTTCAGAAGCTTCAACCTCCACGCCTTCTCGAATACAAGAGACTAATCGGTGAGTCGGTCACTGTCACGGTAGCGATCGCTGCAGGTAGGTCAACTTATTTTCACCGCTCCACGTTTCGAGTCTTGAACTTCACAGTGATTGATCAAGGTGATATAAAATAAACTGCAGGATGTATTGCATTTATCATCGATGTTCGTATCTCAAAGGAGTACCGGAACCCTGCGACCAGAGTCCAATGGGCCACTTCGTGGAGTGGCACTTCCAATGAGCACTGACTACTTGGGAGTTGACTCAGTTGAGCTGAATCGTCAAGTCGTTACGATGCTGGATCACTTGTGTGCACGTCGATACATCTCTTCTCTGGCGGCTTCCTTCCATAGTCACCTGGTGACACGCGAAACTATGCCATTCAACTATCCTATACTCGAACGCGGTGCGCGAACATGTGGAGATATTTATGTTGTGAACTTTCTTCTGGCTTCGCAGCTACATTCATATATGCGCGCTTCTCCCATCATCAGAGGAACCAGACAATCATCGGCCTCTTCGTACCACAGGGCGTTCACCAGTTAGGTGCTTGCTGGATGCCAACAGACCCTTAGACCATAGTGTGATACTGTGCTGACTATCCGAATGAAACACCCCGAAAGAACACGGGTAAGTAGATACAATGAGACAACGCTAGTCCTGACAAAACGCTAAAAGTTTAAAGCTACAATTTCATGCGAAAAACATCCTGGCCAGCATGGACGAGTGGGTTTGTGCGTAGCCCGATCGCCATTGGCTGAGGTTAAATGACTGTTTCTCACAAGTACCCGAACTCGCTACAGTTGCACCATCGCTGTCGATGTACCGTAAACTCGCATCAAAGTGATACTCGGCGCGAGCGCAGACCTTCTGTAAAATGTGAGAGATGGAATCAGTTACAGCTTCAAAGCATCAACAATAATAGTCGTACATCCGCATCTTTAAGAGAATTGTCAACAATTTACTTGGTAAAAGGTGGAGAATCACGTACAATACACAGGGGCAGGTATGGAGACGGATCGAGTTGCGCTCACATACGCGTGGCAAAGAGTATATGCCACCTCTTGTATGCTAAGAATGCACGAAATTTAGTCGGTACTCGTGCATTCTTTGACCGAAACTTACGGTCTGATATCAAAATTGAAAATCTCGTCCTTCAATACTATGTAGTGGGCAGGTCGGCTTGCTAGAAATGACCAAACATAATCAGTTAGTCTGAATCGCTCCACATACTGTGCACCAACTTCCAAGTATCCCACCGTGGGACAAAAGGTAAAAGTCCTTGGCAATTGGATTGGCAATACCTTCACTGGCGACAAACCCAGCTTGCACATTGCCGCTCTTTCGATCTCCATCTTGACTATGAGGACTATTCAATAAGGAACAAAAGCAAAGGAAGAGGTACGCACGGATTTGTGGGAAAGAAGCGAACGTGATGTCTGCGAGGAAAGTCAGTGGTCATTGCTTGCCCGCCTGAAGTGGAAGATTACCTCTTGCCCACGATAAGGTAGGTGATCAGAGGTGGAGGATCATTTAATTTGACTTCAGCCCAAACCCTTCTCACAGCCTCTAGATGAATAAATTTTATTAGCATTCTGCAAAATCTTTGTCTCCGACGAACCTTTAATGTCTTGGAACTCTAGTTCACCAACACCTGCGTATTCACCTTCAGAGAGACCGTCTCTAAAGAACATGAGTCTTCTTGGGGCTTTCCCGTTGACCTTGCCATATCGTGTAATGGCATCCTATAAATGATAAATTGATTGTCCCGACAACCAGAAGGTAATGCGTACATAAACCATAGGACCAAGCTCGCCTATTCTCTCCTGTCGCGGCTGCTGTACCCTCGATGTTGCACTGTACTTGACGCCGTGCCGGTCATATGAAAAAACGACGCTGGCAACTGAGGGCTTGTTCTGGACACCAGCTCCAGGATGGCCAACATCGGCCCCTGGAAATGAACGTCGGTGTCAGTGCAAATGTCGCATTATTGATGGCATCACAGACCAAAAAACATGAAATCTTCTTTGGTCAACCAATCATATGCAGGCGATGATGGGATGGAGTTCACTCCCGTTAACCGAGCGTTGATTCTAAAGGTAAACCAATCTACATTAGCTTCATAAAAATTATGTTTTGAAATATTACGCACTTGATTGCGATGTTATTACAGTATTGGTCAAGTTGTCTCCCTGAAAACTTTGCAATGTTGTCTTCCCGCTGTGAAATATACGTTGGAAAATAACTGACGGTCAGAATATCAAGTTGAACCCACCACACACTGAGTAGACACCTAGTCGTGAGGTCAAGTCAGCCCAGAGAGTTGTGATCAATGACGATACTTACGCCAAGGGTGACATCCCCCGCTCTCTTAACATCTTGGCGGATATCAGCGGCAGATTGAGGCAGGATAACTAGCACGATCTCAGGTGGCTTGTTATAACCACGAGGGGCGCCGGCTGAAACTAATGCCAGTGCACATGCCTCCTTGATATCCTTCGAAATTGTACCCTTTAGTACAAACAAAAACTTCAAAAAAGTGCGCGTACCCGGTCTACCGAGCCGACACCATTACCTCGTTTGTATGACGGCTTAGCTTTCACACCTACAATAGATTATGAACGACACTCTCACAAACCTGAATGAAATCATACTCATTCCTGGAATACCATGATAAATACCAGATTTTCAACAGCGCGATCAACATACCCCGTGCAGTGCAACACTGTTCAAGTGTATCCATAAACGCTTTAATAACGTTTTGATCTAGCCTTAGACTGTAATCCACAACTGCCCACGCCCTGATGATCTCGGGGGAATGTAGATGTTGCCTCGTTATGTTCCATGCTCCGTTGTTTACATCCTATGGCGAAATGTCGCTAAATTGAGCAACATGCGAGAAAAGCTACTTGCCGCAAACTGTTTTTTGCCATAGAAAATGGTAGGTGCCTTGAGAAGTTGACCTTGTATCATAATCGGTTTCTCCGAGATTTCCATTCCCGCGTCTTGGATATAAGGTGATGTGGCATACTCAAGTGTCTGGACGAAAATGACCAACAAATCCCAAATTTGGCTAAGGACTCACGGGAGGTCGGACTCGGTCGCCTTTCTGGCCAACAATCATTTCCAACCGTTTCTCTGGCCTAAATTTAGAAAAATCAACCATCATGCTCGTCATGTTCTGCGGTAGTTTACGGTTATACCGCTGGCCTGCAGCCACAGTGCAGAGTTCGGCCGGGATGACGGTGTTTTTTCCAGACCCACGGCTCAATTCAATGCCGATAATGTCAGGAAATGCTAGGCGTATGTTGTATGTTTTGTGGTAGTATTCCTGCCTAAACGTCAATCATCTGCAGGATGAAACGATGAAAGCAATTGATGCAGAGCGTACTTCCACAGTTGTGGGAAGGGATGAGCCGTCTTCTTGCTCTTGAGTAAACGGAAAACGTCCAGCGGCTTCAACGAGACCAACAATTTTCTTCGTCACAGTTTTTTTTGGTAACTTTATTTCCACAAGAACATTCCGGAAAAATTGGCTGAGAATATTCCATTCTTTGCTATGCTTTTTGAAGCTGAGAGCGCGTGCATTCCCTCGAATGTTCAATACTTCTAAAGCAACGTCCACAAACGGTCCCGGTTTATACCTAATGTGGAACGCGATGAGAAGTAATAGAAGCGAATTGCATGACGTACATTGCGGCTGCACTGATATCGACATTCACGAGAACTCTACCGATTGCTGGTCTGACACTCCTACGCACCAATGTGAGGAACGATCAAGAGGTTCTGTGACACGACATACTGAAAGAATCCACGAAACAGCTGAAGACCTCCGCGAAGATCTTTTGAGCCGCCGCTGGTAAAATACGCTCTTCCATTATTCGGGTACTTTCTGTAGGACGTTCAGTGATACTATTGATTGCGTAATGTATGGCTTACAGATTCGGGGCTTGGCGAATAATGAATTGAAGGAGATTGAGTGCAACGGAGACCTTTGGTGTCTGATCGCTGATTTTTCCGGTGAGAAACCTTTTGAGGTCACTACAGTATACGTGTGGTGAGATATGCTTGAACTAGAACTGGAAATGCGTACTCGAATGTCACTGTCTCGCCTGCGACGCGAGCTACCTTAACCGTAACCCGACCTTTGCCGGGAACAACAAGCGTGTACTGTAACCGATATCAGGCTGAGAATACCGGATCGCAACCGAGATCATACGTTTCCCGAAGTGCCATCAGGAAGATCCAGCGGCGCCGCAGAGTATAAGATGCTCTTTCCGTCAAACAAACACAGGCGAAAGACCCTGGGTGCTTCGTGGTTTTGGAGTCTTTCGACTATTCGATGTCTCCATCGAACACTTTCCACATCAGGCGTCATCACTGGAGAAGATTTAGTCGAACAGAATAGTTGCTACTGGCACGAAGGCGCACGCACCGACTGCATGAATTTATTCAGAACAATGATGACCCCCGATCAAGCAGATATGTGCTCACCATCATATTGCTCGTACGCTTTGACTGGGATTTGTGTTACGTCGAAAGCATTTGCGTAGACAGCCATAGGTCTACGTTGACCCAACGGCACAGCAGGCGCCGAAGCCATTTGGAAAGATATGTCTATCATATGGTTGCTAAAGTTAAAGGGTGTAGTCCAAGAAACGAAGATGACAGGGTTTATAAAGATACGACCGTACTGTTTGAAACAGAATTATCGACAGATGGCGCGAGTGGGCGATGGCGAGATGACAATCATGCACTATGATTCTCCTGGCTACCAGAATCGTACAATATCCGACCGACTCGGATTAAGTCCTCGTGAACAATAGAATTGGAATTTCTCCCAAGCTCGTGTTCAAGAAGACGAAGGTCACGGTTCGGCGGCCACGAGGCGGTTGGAAGAGAAACAATGAGCAGATATCAAAGCAAAAGGAGGTATTTTCCCAAAATCCTACTTTGAACTCGAACCACGTGTAAATCGTCGTGTTTGGACTCGACACGTTGCTGTTAGCTACAACGATCTCGACATCGACGCGTGCGTCGTCCAGCATCTTTGACGCTTTGGACCATGATGGAGGCAACAACAGAGATGGATGAGCAAGATATTGGTTTGCTTTATCCTTCTCGATCAGGGTCCTGCACAGGATCAACTGAAACCATCGCCTCAAGGCTACCATCTCGACAGCCTTCTCCAACCGAATCACACGTTCCGATCCATGGTATCGGATCGTTTCAAGATCATTCGAGTCCACTCAAGTCGCCCTCACTGTCCAACGTTCAGGATACGCATTTTGGACTTCGCCTGGTTGGGCAAAAGACCGTCACACGCTCTAGGACTCTTCCTCATCTGGCAAAATCTGATACAGCGTTACATCGAAGTTCAGAGGTCGCTGGCTTTGAGTTCGAGCGAGATAGGGCCTTGCGAATGTCCCAATGGGTCTTGGCTTTCGCCATAGGTCAGTGCCACGTAACATACTTGAACCGTATCTTACACGTCATACCATGCACCACAGTCAATTTTGATTTGGATGTCGGTCCTGTTGTTTGCGGAGTACATCCACCGTTGTATTTGGCCCCCACAGAGAAAGAGAACATGTAATAATTTATCGTCTCCATCTGTCTGATCGGGCGTTGAAATCCATTTTCAAGTGCTTTCTCATCCTTCCCGGATTCCCTACAATTCGAACAAGGTTCAGAAGTACATTCTTTTCGCATACAAGATCTCGGCACATCCCAAAAACGCGTCGTTTCAGATCACGGTAACAGCAGACCAGATAGCATCGATGGATACCTTTATGGATATTCGCATTTTTCCCAGAGAAGAGACAACACCTCGAAGCGAGGGTACCAACAGGTAAATCAATATTCACGCATCGAACCACTTTGCTAACATTGTCCAGACTTCTCTCGTTCTTCTCTCACACCTACAGTACCCTGCTCTCTTTACCACCCTAATTATGAAACTTGGGCCCTTGGTCCTAACCCATGGTGTACCTATGCTGGAAACGGCATGTCATAACATTGCCCACTGGTACGTGTGCCGCTCGGGCTTATTTCCCATTTCAATCAATCAAATCTTATCTGCCGAAGAAAGGTGCAGCCCATCGCCGGGTTTGACTATTGAGCTAGGATTTCTAGGCTCGGTTCTCCATGTCGAGTTGCCCATGAATGCAGACATTCAGCAATTGACAGAGACTGCATCTTTTCATGAGAAATTTAACCCTACTTTGCATGTAACTAAGCTCTCACTTGCCCTAGATCTCCGGTGGCTCACTAGACCGTATCAGCTATTGTCTTCTATAGCTCCACTTGACCCGCCTCCAATATCCATATTCGAGGCCTCCTTGCCACATTTATGGTCAATATGGGAGTGCCTGATACTTTGCGAGCCCATCTTGGTATTCGGATCTTCTCCCGCAGCCACGAGTCAAGCAGTTTGGTGGCTCAGAGATCTGTTACGTCCTGTGCGCCGTTTATTTCCATCTGTTAAATCGATGGCTAACCTATTCCATTCTTAGATACCTCTTGCCAACGACTTTCGTCCTTACTTTACCATCCATGACAAGGATCACGCCCTTCTGGTCAATAAACTCCCACCTAAATCTGGCCTTATCTTGGGTGTGACCAATCCATTCTTCCAGAAGTCGTGTGCCCATTGGCCTCACGTCTTAAGCGTAGGGCTGAAAGCAAGGTGTGTGAAGTTACTTGGGTTATCAAATATCATTGCTCAAATTTCCTGCAGTCCGCGCCGCCAGGGGAATACGACTATCATGGCAGGGCCGCCACCTGGATGGTGTACAAGAACTCATCGCCGATACATTTCCAAAGACCGCCAAGTATTGAAAGCTATCGAGAAAGCTTGTCATGCAAGCGTCCAAGACAGTCCGTGTCTCAAATCATGATTAGTACTGTAACTTACCCATCATTTGCAGGGATACAAGCATCTCTGGACCTAAGAAGACACTTAAGTTCGCGCACCAACACCATGCTAGTTCCTCTGAACAGATACCTCAATACTCTGATACCTTCTCCGACGGAACGTACCACTGTTTCGGGCTGTCGACGTCTAAAACCCTTCAGCACTGTTGACTTTTTCTCTTCGCTTAAGGCAAATGGCTCCCCTCTGCCGTTTAAGTCCGCGACTAAGCGGAGGGAATTTTACGAAAGGTGGTTGAAAACGCCGGCATTCGGGTTGTGGTTGGCGCAACAAGAGGAAGTAGTGCATAGGACGCTGCAGGATAAATGGGCTGGCTGATGTAGCTATTGTAGTTCCTACCGAGCCAGCATGAGTAAGATCATAGACTAGCTACCTTAAATCCACCAGTTCCGCGAAATAATTTTTGAGTCAGCGGTAACAAGAAGGTTAAGCGCCAACTGCGCCACGAATTACAAACAGAACCAAATAAATGTTACCGCTATAGAACATGACGGATTTGGTGAAGTTCTCCAAACATTCTCTTGCTTTTGCTCTTCCACGTCGCTGTCGCGCAACTCTCCTTGCGTTCTCCTTACGTTCCACTGGTTTTTTCTCTGTTCTTATTGTGCTTTGCTCTACATCCTGTATTTCGCTTAGCTGTTGGGCGCGTAATCCTTGTCACTGTATCCATACCTATCATGTAAGAGCTCCTTCACTTGTTTGTATAGCTGACGTGGGTAGCGCGCGCAGGCGGCTTCATGATGTACCTTGTGGAAGTTTTGCCTCGTTATCATCTGTGTTACTCTCATGTCCGTTGGTACTCAAATCCTGTCATTTTACTTTTTCTAGTGCAAAAGACTTTCTATTCTTCTGCTTGAGTCAGCGAAAAAATGCCTGAGGAAGATTATGATATCTACGGCGAATACGAAGCTTATGCTGTCGGCAGAGCCAACCAGGTGGGCATATGATATGCATCTACTTGGTTGAGCAGCTAGTTGGACTGACTGTATGGGCGCTTAAAGGGTATTGACGGTCAGGATTTCGACGCAAAGGAAGAACCGGTGGAGGCTGTAATAACCGTAGTCGAACCCTCAACAGGTGAGAAACGGCCTCGAAGCGACGAGGAAGGGGAAGAGGAAGTGAAACCGTCACCCACCCAACACTCGCCTCCAGCTCCTTACGCTCAGCCAATCCAGCAAGGGCAGGTTAGGACCGAAGGTGTCTCGCATGGCATGAACGGTAACTACAACGCCGTTGTGCAAAACGGTAGTCATATGGGAGGCGGGACAGATCCTTCGATGATGGGCTATGATGCACTGTATATTGGTGATTTGCAATGGGTCCGTTTGTCCTGTCGTTTAGAATCCTGTGTATTTCTAAGCCTGTCTTCATGTTTCTCTCTCCTACAGTGGACAACAGATGAGGACCTGCGTCAAGTCGCTCTAAATCTTGGCGTGTCAATCGATCATCGTGACATTACCTTTTCTGAGCACAAGGTAAACGGCAAGAGTAAAGGGTAAGCAACTTCCTGGTCAAATTGAGGTGTTACTCAGTCACATCAGTATCGCCTACGTGGAGTTCAGTAGTTTCGAAGACGCCAACGCGCTCAAAGCATGGTTCGATAATAAGTATGTGAGGCTTGAGGCTTCGATGCGAATGCAAGGCTGACCTTACATTCAGTGACTTTCAAAATAGACGTGCTACAGCAACTCTGACAAGTTCGTCACAAGGCAATCCATTCCGCACACTACCAAAAGGTTTGTTCATCACCTAGTGCTTTGACTGCAGCTTTGACTAATCTATCCGGCTTTAGAACCACCGCCCCGAGACACCCGAAACACTCACCAAGGAACCCCCATATCCACATTAGGGACAAGCATGGGCCGCGGCTCGACAGGGAATTTCCGCGGTAATGCTTCCAACCAGATGGGGGGAGGTATGATGGGTGCACAAAGTCGCGGGGGTGGTGGTATGGCGAACAACATGATGCGCGGCGGCATACCCACAATGATGGGTAACATAGGCATGGGCATGGGTGGCATGAACATGATGGGAATGGGGAACATGGGCATGGGCATGGGCGGCTTTGGCGGACGCGGCAGCATGGTTCCCCAGGGACCCAGAGGAGGTGTTATGATGGTGGGCGGGCGTGGTGGCATGGGAGGAATGGGTATGGGCTTCTAACGGTCTCATGCATATGGATTGTTGTTCTTACTTGCACTTGATGTACGCTATAGGTATGGGAATGATGGGAGGACGCGGCGGCTTCGGCATGCAAGGTCACTTCAACCCAGCATTCATACAAGGCCAGCAAGGCGGTCAGTTTGGTGGCGGCTCAGACAGGAAGCGATTCCGGGCGGAGGACAATTGATAGTGCATTAAGACACCTGCAATTCAAAACACCCGTGGATTGACGTATCTAATTATTTGTTTATTTCTATTCTCCAGTCCTTCGCATCATGCGCTCAGCGCCTTAACTTGTTGATATTTACTTTTCCGTTGTCACTGTTGACATTGCTGATGAACAATAACCTACCCATGTAATCTTGATACATACATCGTCCATTGTCTCCGTCACGCATTGCTTGGTGGTGAGCAAGGGAATATTGCATTGCACGAAAAAGCATGAGCATGACTCAGAGTGACTGCGAATACATGGTGTAACATATAAACAAAATTGCGCTGGCTGATAGAACATGAATGGTGGCGATGTGTATGGTATGAATGTATGCCATCTAAAGCATCAAGAAAAACAAGGGATAGGTCCCACTATCCATGAGGGTATGAAATGTCCATGAAATATAGCATGCCGATGTCAAAAAAAACTCCTTGCCTTATCCCCGCCTCTCTTTCATTTCCCTTTCTCTCTTCTTGCGGCGCTTTTCTTCCTCGTGGCGCTTCTCCTGCTCAAGAGCTGCTTCGTCTTCTTTTCTGGCAAGACGCGCACTAAAGGTATCTTTATCAATGGTGTGCTCCTGATGAATGCGTAATCACTGACCTTCTGAGCTCTTCCCTCTCAAGAACGCCGGCATCAACTTCCATGTCCTCTTCGTCGCTATACACATCCTGTTCAACATATTTAGACCGGTCCTTGCCAAATAGTTTCCAAATTTCGTTGCTGTAAGATTCTACTTCAGTTGAGACAGGGCGCCTCTTTGAAGGAGGGGGGGATAGTGAGGATGGGGACCGGGGCCGTTTTTTGGTGGGACCGGCGGAGCGTGGTGCAGACGAAGGCTTAGAAGCCTGCGACTTCATCGAAGGAGTGAAAATTGAAGTCGATTTAGATTTCACTTCAGTCTTTAATGACTGTGAGCTATCTGCGCCTTTGGACTGCGAGGTCTTTGAAAATGACAAGACAGCAGATTTCGAGGCTGTTGATGTCTTTGACGTGCCAGAGTTGACTGATCCTACAAGATGGAAGATGAAATAATGATGAGAAGGGATTCTGTCATCAAAACACTCACTAGGCGCTGAGGGGACTGGGGAGCTGGAGCCGGAAGACGTTCTGGATGGTGCAGCTGTAGATATCTGGGCACTGCTCTTTCCTATATCCTTCTTCCCCTTTCCAAACCAGTCGTTAAACTCTTTGGCATCGTCACCGTCCAATGTGGCGGTTTTCGCCTTGGCTCTGTCCTGCAATATCTCGTCTATGGTCCGTGTGTCTCGCTTGTGAACATTGAGCTTGGTCAAAGTATTGGGGAGCGCAGAAAGGCGAGCTTTGACAGATTGTGAGCCGTTACAGCTATCCGAGGTTGGTGCTGACGTGGCGTCAATAGCCCCTCCTGGAAGTCGCCTGCCAGCTTTATGATAGCCGGAGGATAAGGCGGACCGCCTGGTTGGATAACCCTTGCGCATTTCGGTTTCGAGCCTGCGCCGCCGTTTCTCCTCCCGAGTGAGAGCCATTGCTGGAGATCCGGAACGGGAGCCATCCTCCTCGTCTGACGGTAATCTGCGCCTGGGGATGGACTCCTTCGAGATTCCGCTAGACGATGGCCATTTAGAGCCCGACTTAGCCCTCTTGGGACCGTAGAGCAACGCATTACGTTGCTCCTCCTCTCGCCTTGCCTGCTCCTCCTCCATGCGTTTCGTTTCTGATTCTCTCTTGAGCTGCAACTCTCGTTGCTTCTTCTCGTCCTCAAATCTCTTCTGTCGAAGCTTCGCCGCTTCTTCTCGCTCCTTTCTGTCGAATTCCTCCCGCTTTTTCCGTTGGAGCTCCTCATTGCGCTGGCGCTGTAGTAGTGCAGTTTGTACGGCGCTTTGGGACTCCTTAGTTTGCGAGGCGCTAAGCGCCATCAAGGCAGCGAACGACATGATGACAGTCAGGCCCCGTCCTAAGGATAACGCAAGTAGAAACCAGGATGAGGGGAAGATGTACGCTTAGCAACTTGAAATGATGGGGGTCCGAATGGTGTGCCGTTGGCTTAAGTATGTGCCACTGTGTGGCGCGTGGCAGTGTGCCTTGGTGGACAGGATGTCACGCCTTCCACAGGAATCCGTGACACATTGTAACAAATCATCACAGACCGCCAAATTGACAATGACCGGTTGATAGACACGACTGAAATAACAAAAGCATGTAGAAAATTACAACTTTGTTTCAAATAGCTGATAGGTCAAGACTAGTGAAACATGACAATGTGTATGGAAACGTCTGATTCATGCAGATACGATTTCCCCCTAACCCCTAGCAGCGACCTCCGAGAAACCATACGTAGCGGGCCGTGAGATTGGTTAATGGGTATTCTTCCACAACTGTCGAGGAAGTAAGAGCGACGTACAGATGCCGATACAAACAAGGGCAATCATATAATAGTAGACTATCCAGGCGTGGTGGGGGTTTTGAATAGAGAGCGAGAACGTGGACGTGGCCGATGCGGGGCCGATCGTTCTCACGATCGAAACACCCAACTGAGCAATCCCATTGGTTGCACCAAGCGATGCCTGGTTTGGAGAGGCCGCGGCAATATAAATAAATACGCAAGCTGAAGGGACCATGGTCAACACAAAGAATCGTGATATGATGCGGAAACTCACAATACGCTAAATTTAATATCATCGACAGGGCAAGTTGCAGCCCAACAATCGCCCACACTGTGAGGCTTAAACCCTGCACTCTGGCTACAGCATTGATGATGGGAAGAGTGATGACCATCGGAATTGCAACAGCCATTGAGACAGAATAGATTATCTTCGAGCCGAAACGGTCATGGAGGTCGGCGAAGAAGAATATTTGGAACAAGCCGTTGATCACACCATAGATAGCTAGAATATTGCCGATGCGCGGGGGATCTAAACCCAGCCCACCAAGCTCCACCGGTGTGGCGAAAAACACAGGCTGCACGGCACGAAATGCGATGTCAAGGAACGACAAAGCGGCATAATTTCCAGCAGCTATGATCACTCTGGGTATCAAGAGCGAACGAAGGGGTAGTGGCTTGGAGTCACCAGCCTTCGCACGCTGACAAGTATCTTCTGTACTGAGGGAATCAGTTAATCCTGTGGAAGTCACGGGGCCCTTAAGAGAGGTGGTATGTTCGCGACTTTTCCCCTTTAGTAACTGCCAGAGGGTCACCCTAGTAGGTACAGTCTGACAATCGCTTCATCAACCTTTTCCACTTGTCGCATGCTAGCTCAAAATAACACACCTCCTGCAAGAAAAGAAACGTAACAACCCAGGCCAGTACCGAAAAGGTAGCAGGTACAGCGCAAGCGAGGAAATAGGGATAGGTCTTCATCAATTGCGAATGTCCGAAGATGTTCGGAAATCGATCCGCTGGTCTTGATAACGAACCACCTATTAGAGGTCTGGAAAAGGCATCTAAACTCCAAAGCGATGTGAAAAGATTACACAGGTACGTACCCAATGGCCCCACCGCTTGACCAAGCGATCGGCATATACGCATATGCTTGAGCCAAATTAGTAGAGTCGGTGAGCTCCACCATCATACTTTTAATCACGCCGATATTGCCGTTCAAAGCACCATTCAGGGCACGGCTGAGTAATAGGTGTTAGAAATCAGAACTAACAAGAAAATAGAACGATCAAACCTTAGTACGAGCCCAAAAAAGGTTCTAGATAGGCCGAAACAGTACATTGAGATGGATAATCCAAACAGGCCTGTCAAAATGACGGGTTTCCGTCCGATGTGGTCCGATATACGACTCCAATGGAGAACGGTCAAGGCTTGTGTGGCAAAAAATAGAGAGACCTGCGTGTGTTCGAAGATGAGGATATACCCATTGATTGATAAAGTAAGACTCACCATTAATCCAACATAGTATCCTACGCGAGTTTCATCGCCATCCGTGATGCCAATGTCTCTTATCAGCTGCAAGAGTGGCGACGAGCCCATCAGAAGCTGTCAAATGATTCGGCTGCATGAAAAACCATACCTGAGGTGCAAAGGGGGCGATGACTTGTGAAGTGAGCGGTTCTGCGAGCTGAAGAAAGAGTATGATAGAGAATTGACGCCAAGGCAATGGTGTCCTAGCCGCCTTCTGCTTCACGGGCTGTAACAACGGCGTCTCCTCGTCCACCTGCTGTTGGGACATGATGGTTCGCAAGAAAGAGTTGAAGATAGACCGGCTGAAGAACTAGTACCCATAGGTTCTGTGTGATACATAAGCAAAACAATAACTGATATTTTCTCTTTGTCATGACTCACACATTTTACTTCCGAGTCTGAGCGGGTGTCCATGTCAGCCCTCCGATAGCAAAGACCATACAGAGATTGCTGAGCCAAGCTTGAAGCTGCAGCACTTGCTGTCTGCTGTCGCATGCATGAGTGCCAAGCGTGTACATTGACTCTTGAGGTGAATATTGTCCAATATTCGCAGATATATTCGCAAAATTTTGCTCATCAAATTTGGTGACAAGCGGAGTTGTGATTGCCTCCGGCTCCCGCGGCCCAAGGTCCGAGTCAGGTGTCGTCATCGCTGCTTTTCCTGCACGTGACAGTGGCGCGCTCGTTGACTGCGAGCGCGCGACTCGACTCGATCATACGAAGGTGAATTTCAAAAATAGATGTTGGCAAAAGCTTACAGATTCTGCATCCATAGCATGGATAGCCACAACACGCTCCACAGTCCAGTTTGCCACTGGCAGGCTCAGACCTTGGTCAAAGTGAGCTTGCCATCTCGGACACTGTACACATGCCGCTCCATCCACAAAGTTCTTCTTTGTCTCCTGTATTCCGTCTACAACGCCACAAAGGGCACCTTCTGGCCTAGTGTCCACACCGCAGCTTCAAATGTTTTGTGGAATCGCCTTGGTATTTATATAATCTCAGTTTTGCTCTCGATAATTCAGATCTTCACCACCTATGTTTGCTGTCATGTCTCTCAACGCAAACAAGGAACTTCCTTCGTTGTCCAAAGAACTAAGCACACCTACTGGCGCAAAGTCAACGCCCTTGACCCCTTCGTCCACTGGTGGCCGGGTTAATATGGAACCCCCTCACCCAACACTCGTGCTCGAAAAATTTCCATCATTCGCAGAGCTTGCACTTATTAGTTCCTGGCATGATGCCACCACAGCGGTATGTAATACATGTACTATCGTATGGACGATGTTGGCTTACTCTTCTCTTCCAGCGGCAAGTTCGCTTCCAGCGCAAGCCAGCACCTGATGATTGCCGCCGTTCTTTCCCCTCGCCAATGTCTGAAGCAGAAAATCTTGCCCCATGCACTTCACATGCAAATGATAACGTTACCCCCCAGACACAGGGTCTATCTATCAAGTATGTACAACCTCAACCATATATCTAAAACTCAATCGATTCACGCTGTGCACAGGAAACAGCTAGTAGATGCTCAGAATCTGCAAGAGAAAGAACCGAAAACATTGAAGCCCACCCGCTCCCAGAATTTTTTCGACATAGGCAAAGCAGCAAGAACAACGCCCAACCTAAACGCGACGGCCAATGTTGGTACACGAAAGATCTCTCGCTCCGTGCGATTCGCTCCATGCGAAACCACTGCTTCTCCTTCCACGCCCACAAATTCCACCGATGCTCCTGTTGATGCGCTCGATGGGGCTTTACACGCACTAGGGATTGACGTGAATGATGGAAACATTTATTTCACTTTCGATCCCAACTGTATATCCTCCCGCGGAGAGGCTGTCCTCACTTTCTTGTCGCCAATTCCTGACGAGCCATCAAACTCACCTGAGTCGCCCTCCCAGCACCGCTCCCTGAGCGAGGTCCAATTTGGGCACAGGTAGCGATACCTCGGGACACAACCACCAGGGCCAGGATGCAACCTGTCAATGAGCTGCACTCTTTCCTCGGCGTTGAAAATTAAGCTGTTGTAGCCAGTCTGCATGGCTCAGTTTTGCTGCCTCTCCTTCATTCTATATCACTGTTCACTTTGCTCGACCCAACATAAGGTTCTCTTATGGCCATTCTACGCTAGATTCACGACATAACCATGACCCCTTCATTTTATCTTCTTAGCATTACGTTCAACTCATCTAACGAATATAATTAGTTTTTCGTTTCCATTGATCATTCTGTGTACCAATTCACTTGTATCGTTAATAATATTGTATCATGCTTGTTCTCATGCTAAACAGTTATTCTTGATACCTTATCATTCACCGATCCAGGTGGTCACTTGATGATGGGTATTCGAAGCGATGTATTGCCGCAGGTCCGCTTATCGCTTCCTGCAGATAAGCACCCAGGTCATCAATGTCGAGTCAGGAACGTCCAAGCTGAGGTCATTTACTGAGTATTCTACCCCAACTTTCGCAAGCAAGGCGATGATAGCACTTATTTCAGCTGACCAAGTGACTCTGTGGACGTCACAGAGTCAGTGACGAATGATGTATATGCCATGAGCGTGCACAATGCTATATTTATCTAGCACGAGCTCCACCATTTGACATATCCATCAAGTTCGCCATGTCTGTGAACTACTGATGGTGTAAAACAAATGGTTGGCGCTTGTTAGATATTTTGCGAGAGCACTCAAATTGTTTGATCGTGATACTGACTTGGTGTCACGCACCCAAGGCCCTCGGTGCTTCACGCTAGACGCAGGTTGCAGATTCATTAATATTCATTTTTCACTGCTCGGCTTTCAATGTCCATTGGCGACGAACTCACCGCCCATCCGAAGTCTCTTGCACGCATCCGAACAGTGACAATTTGGTGATACGGCTGTCACCGAATTGATAATCGTGGTACTATGCGGGGCCCGATCAACCTAGATAAGTGAACGCGGGATACCAGTGCAGGTCGATGCTGGTTCTTCTGCCAAGAAAAGTGTGGCTGAATGACATCATCGAGGCTGTACAGTTGGAATTGTTACGACCTTGGATAATGAGCGAAGCCCGGCACACACATGTGATGATGCATATACATATACATTAGGCCATCGGTGCGATCACAGCAAATCGACATAAAGATAGACGTAGCTGTTGCAAGGTCATCTCCGTGTGGTTATCAATAGACTGTGTAGATGGAGATTTTAGATTACCAACCAGGAAGCTAATCCCAGACTCATCAACACCACTTCATCGTTCGCCGAACCACGATAACGTCCGAGCACGTTAAGATTAGGAAATATGCAACTTCCTGTCATTAGTTAATGAGTACCACGGCCCTCGACGTACAGATAACAAACAGGTATGATTCGAGATAGCCCGTGGACCCTGTCAAGACAAACTGCATAATCGCTTCGATTGTGCCCATATCAATATCAGCCATGATATCAACAGTGCATGACCAATTCCGTGAATTCATGACGATTCTCGCAAGCCGAAGGACCTGGTATGATGATGTTCTGCCAGTAGTCGGTCCGCAATGCTAACGTTTGGGCGTCTCGATGTGAAGACGAGCCATGGAAAGTAATGATGTGGTTGTTGAGGAATGTCACCAAGAGACCAGATGTATGAATTGATCAGATTGTTTTGTAACATAGTGAAGAAAACCTACATCCTACGGAAGATACCATCTTTGCCAGTTCCTTTCCTGATTGGCCTCCTCTTGAGTTCATTTGCAGGAGGGCCTTTGAATTTGCTCTACCACAGTTCGTAGAGCGCACGCAGTTCAGGGCATTTCCAAAGGTCGGTCCCGATACAACGTAAAAGATGTTGATTGTCACGGTCGTCGGTATTCGCGAAGCCTTGACGTATAAGAGCGATTCTTTCCTTATGATAAGGAATATGGAAGGGAAGAACTAGACCTGGGTTCGTCACGGTGAACTGTCGCATTATTCTGGTAAGAATTCTTTGGCTCCACTAGAGTAATGACTGATCAATCATAATCCGGGAATGAAGAGGTTGAACGTTGAACATCGTTGACAAGTAATCCGGTGAAGACCACTGCTTGGCAACTGTTGTTTATGCAGTTACCGAATCCCGATGGCGATCACTTATATGGTCGCATTATGTCCGCAGCCAATGGCAATAGTCCAGTTTTCTTCGCAACTTCGAGACTTCAAACTTCAGCTTCGCATTCAAGCACTGCCAGAATCATAGTGGACCAGATCCAGATCCTCATGAAAAACTTCCACAATGATCTTAGACTTGAAGACAATGCCGCAAAAGAAGAATCGTGAGTGGTCTTGTGGTCACATGTGGATGTTCAATTGTAAGCGGTGTCAGGCTCCGAGCTTTTATAAGTACTTCCGCTGGACTGACAACGTCACAGTATTGGCACCTCCAATCGATACGACCTATCGTCCCAGCTGATCAGCCTTTTCTCTGCGACCAATTCTATAATAAATGACCTCTTCACCGCATTCTCCTCCACCTCAAAAAGTTCGCAATGAGCCAGAAAATGATAAACCATCTTCGCCACCCCCGTCACCTAGTAAACGATCTTTTGCTTTCACCGACGAGGCAGATCATGCACTAAGCCCTCTTGGTTATTTTAAACGTCGCCACGTCCAAAATAATGGCGAAGCTGCAAAACGAGCACCACTTGGTAAGTTTAGCGCCTGCCTCAGCCCTGATGCTATTGTGCTCACGCTGTGAACGCGGAACCCTTTTCATCTTCAGAGAATGGTAACAGGCTTCCCAAAAATGGAAGATGGTCAGAAACATCATTACACACCCTAGCCACTTCCCCTCAACCGCAATCGTGTGATGCGAACCATAGCATCTCAAAAGACGGAACCGAGGATGAAGCCATATATTCGCGGCCGATTGCTATTCAGAGTGGTGATGTTGATAGTACAGCTGGAAGTAGTCGCAGAGAGCGCCCGCCACTCACCCGTGGCGCAAGGTATGGCTCTGATGTACGGGAATCAGTTCGTGCCTCAGCAGCTGGATCCGCGGCAGGGTGGCCCTCACCATCAAGGAGCCTGTCTGACCTCACCTCATCAGAGCGCAGGACATCGTCTCGTGAGTGGAATGTGGACAAGGTGACGCAACCCATAACATCGCGTACCCCCTCCATGCCATATGTTCGGCGTCCTCCTGGGGATCTTTGGAAGGCCGAATCCTCGTCTGACGAACCTGTGCGGACAGTTTATGGCCTCGTGGACAACCGTGATCCAATGTTTGATACTTCTGCGCCACCTGGACTTACAAGACGCAGGGGATCGGTGCCTGATATAAATGGAAGTCGCTCTTGGTCACCGATGTCAGGCAGTCTGCCACTGCGTACTGACGAACCCTCCGAATACGAGCGACCAATAAGTGCCGAGAAAAGTAGGGTGGTGTCGATGACACGGCGAAGATCCAGGTCGTTGCCTTCTGCAAATTTACAGCCATCTTCATCAAGCGATGCAGGTAATAGTACACGAAGACATTTCCGTCTAGATTCCATTGGTACATGGCATGGCACCTACCTACCGGGAGATCCACTTACTTGTGAAGTATTGGATGCATGCCCGTCTGATCTACCGATCACTAGTAATGAATTCTATCGACTTTTACGACAAGCCCATTACAATAAACACACTTCAAATATTTTTTCTCCTCTCAACCCCCTCCGAAACCCACGACCCAGCTCCTCCCTGACTACCAATGCAACCTATCGGTACTTCTTTCCATCCATTCAAGATATACCCAACAATCTATCGAAATTTAAAAGAGGACCAGAGCAGCGACTCAGAACGTGAGGGCACTTTCGCATACGCATGTACTACACAGTTCTCATGTACACTTGTTTTCTTTGTCACACAGCATCTGCGAACTCTGTCAGTCACTCACAGCAGCATCGGAGTGCACGCACTGCCAGGAGTGTCGACGCGACACGTTATGTAAACGACTGTTGGCCAACGGTTATCGACGCATGCGCTATGCTGCTAGCATGTCGAGGACCCCCATCGTGCACAACCCGTTAGGTTCGCCCCACTACAAAATTGATGAAAACGAGAAAAATCTTTGGGAAGAGGTGACAGCTGCCACTTCTGGCGAGCCCTTCCCGGGCAGTCCTCACTGGCGGGACTTGGATGACTTTGGTGATGACGACGACGATGACTACCCGGAGATACCGGATGAGAATTTGCTTTCGGACGAGGAGGATGCGAAGCTTTGACCAGAAGAACTTCTCTGCTGAGGCTGGGATAGCATGCATTGTATCAACAAGATTTCATGAATACTACTAACCTGAAGCTACTTATACGGGTGCTTGTATCATTACTCCTTGTACACGAATTTTCTATTTGTATATCAATATATTATGGGCGGGAGAAATCACACAAAGGCTGAAGCGCTAATCCTGTCATGTACCGAGAACTCGAATTCCTGAATACCGTCTGGCGCAAAATCGAGCGCCTCAGTCGCTAATAGCATTTGGACAAGCCCCTATCGACTCCTCACACTCGCTGAACCCCACCGCTTTCTAGGCCAGGCTATCCGATGTTCGCGTCCAAGCTTTCAGTCGTGTTCGGTCCTCTCATCATTTGTGAGAAGCGCTATGTAAGGTATAATACGTACGTATACACAATGACCAAAACCATTTCAACTGTTTTGGTTATTCGAAGCTTGGTTCACTTTCCTCTTGACTTGCTTCCACCCTTCTTTGTCTTCTGCTCGTCGTTGTGTAACTTCCGCGACTTTATACCCTATATCGCCAGTCACTCATTTGTCCATACGCTCCTTAGCTATATCCTAAAAACAACAATTCTAGCCACCTGAAACCTCACCTGACTTTCGGAGTCAGTCTACTATAATTCCCAATGCTAGTGTCCTCAGCCATCCTCCTCGCTTCTGCGATTCTTCCTTTCACCCTTGGCGGCACCCATGGCCATAACCAACGCGGACGCCATCAAGAATTAGCCCAGCGGGCGCGAGGCGACGTGGGCAACCACAAACGCTCTTTCGACAACGCACGCTTCACCTTTTATGACGTTGGCTTGTGAGTGGACTTGAACCGAAGAATCACTCGTTGAACTATCCAGCTGATCTAGATCCAAGGGGTGCTTGTGGGCAGTACAGCTCTCCTAACGATTTCGTACGTCTCAGCCATGGCGATTACTTGGTATAGGGTTTCCGAAGCTCATTATATGACAAGATCGTTGCCCTCAATGTCGCCCAATATGGTGAAGGTTACCCGGGTCCGCAGTGCTTCAAGTCCATTATCATTTCGTATGGGGACAAATCTGCCCAGGCCACCATCATGGACAAAGTGAGCCCGAGGACGTGCTATTCTCTCTCTTATTGACACATTCTTGTCCAGTGTATGGGGTGCCCGTACGGTGGGCTTGACTTCTCTGAGAGTCTTTTCAGTTACTTCGCTTCTGAAAGTGGTGGCGTTCTGTACGGGTCGTGGCGTTTCAATGATGGCGTCAGCAAACGTGCAGTATCCACGAGCTCCAAATGGATGCCTACGCCGGTTCCTCGTGCTGATTTGCCCATGCCTATTTACACACAGTCAGGCCTGCACCACTATGCCGCTGACACAAACGCCACCACCTCCACCATATCTGCATCCGAAACCAGCACTACATCTACAAGCGAAACCCCTACTACTTCTCTGACCGACACCAGTACCACATCTACGAGCGAAACCCCCACTACCTCTCTGACCGACACTAGTACCACATCTACAAGCGAAACCCCCACCACTTCCCTGACCGACACTAGCACCACATCTACGAACTCTTTCCCAACGACGTCACGGTTGACTGCTCATATGACGGCACGGGTTTAGCGGTCATTCTCCGAGTATACGGAAGCTCCTATGGAAATTCCTACTTTAAGCTCTCACGAGGTGTAATTTATTTCATTTTTACATCATGATGTCATTGATGTCTTCTTACATCCTAACTCTTTGCGGAACTCCTTTCCTCAAGACAGTGGCTGATGAGGAGAATCCTTGCATCAAAGTTCTTGTTGTTAATGCTGGATTCGAGAGGCCACGACTCATCTGAAGGTACTTTAGAACTGAATGATGGCTCAGATGATTAGTGCACCGTGACGTCCGACGCACGGAGAGTCGGAGAGTCGGAGTCGTGTCGTGGTCTCCGACTTTTTGCCGACTCCGATTGCAAAATTGTGTGCATGTTGTAACTCAAACCCCCAGACTCTTTTCACTCCATACTCATCGTCATTCGACTTATGCACCGGGCTCTGCATATCTGTGAAATTCTTTTGGAGATATTTGCGTATGTGAATACAGTCCGCAACCGGACGTTCTATCACCGGCCTGCATTTGTGCGGAAATCCCTTGCAGCACTTGCAGTGACATGCAAAACATTTTACGAGCCTGCAATGAATGAACTTTGGGCTGTCATGTTTGGGTTGACGCCACTGCTAGGCTGTGTAACGAGGCTACATCCAATCATATATTGTAGCGACCGAGAGGTCAGTGCGCTCTATTCATTTCCTTTCGTTCGTCAGCTCACCGAACATCTAAACACAGTTCTCCTTGTTTACTCATCCAAGCTTTCAAGACATCAAACCATTATCGGAGAATGAAGGTCGTCAGTTTCTGCGTCACGCAGCCCGTGTGCGCTCCATACATGTATTGGCAAGAGACGACTGCTATCACCTTCTTTCCGTCCTCAAGTGCAGGGTGCCATGCATGTTTCCGAGACTGCTGTCGTTAAGGAATCCATGTCCGGAAACCCGCTCTGATATCTTCCTTTCCCCCACGCTGCGTCATTGTGACCTGTGGGTCGCTTATGGGGATTTGAAAGTTATCGCGACCCATTGTGCTGCTTTGGAGCACATATCCCTCGCGAACACTGAATGGAATATAGAAAATGAGCCGTCCCTGCTGTCCGACTGCGTTCGTTTGTGCAAGCGGCTTGTAACTCTATCTTGTTCACCACTCGACTTGGCTGCGTGGAAACATCTTTCCAATCTCCCTACCCTTATCGAAGTCGAGATTGATAGAAGGAAGATAGACCCTTCCTCATTGGACCTCGAAAATAATTTCGATTTTGGTCCTTTCCTCAACCTCACAGCTCTTTCTTTCAACGTAAATACGGCTGCATACATCACAGGACTCATGCAATACTCAGACTTTCCTTCCCTGAAACAGTTCAAGATCAGGGTCAATAGGTTGTCTTGGGCAGAGGCTGAACGGCTCGTTCATGTGCTGTCCAAGTGCAAAGCACGTCACACCCTTGAACAAATTGAGATGGAGGGCCGCGCTTCAGACGTCCAGGATCCCCCTCGCAGCTCTATCATACACTTCTGTTGTTTTACACAGCTCCGAATCCTCTCGCTCAATTTTCCCCGTTGCTGCATCCACCTTGACAACGACCTTCTTTTGGAATGCATGTCCAGTTGGCCACATCTCCGAGTTCTGAATTTACAAGATTCTAATCAGGATCAAAGTACCATTACATTCCGCGGATTATTTGCAGCGCTCCATCAATGCCCCCACTTGCACACGCTTGATTTATTGATAGACGCTGTGAATATCGATATCAATCCTACAGGGGAGTCGTTTCGACATCTGTCCCTACAACGATGGGACGTGCTATCTGGTCAGGTAATGGATCCAAAAGCTGTCGCTCATATCATATTCTCTATGCTCCCTTGCGTCGAGATCTTTTACAAGACTCACAGCTTCATGTCAATGAGCAGTAGCCCTCCGTATGCGTGGCCCGATGTCCAACGTCGTCTGTGGTCCCTACATGAAGCTGCGGGGACCTGAGCTCAAGATACACACGTTTGCGTGATATCTGGAATATGGGAAGTGGGGATAGGTTAAGGGAGATCTTACCCGCTTGTTATTGTTGTATAAAGTGTATAGAGTCTTTACTACTATAGCCGCTCGATACCAGCGCTCGAACGTGTGTTCGTACGTAACATGTGTCTCGCATTAATGGTGTATTCCACGGAATGTGACAAGCATACACCAACAGAAGTTGATGAAGTCATCACGAATCAATTGCTTCTGACGCAGATACCACGGTCTTGGTCGTCCGGACAAGCCCCTATCAATATTATTTCCCGTCCGCACCGTTTTCTAGTGCGCCAGGTCATCATCATGATGGATGGCAGCCCTATGTTCGCGTCCAAGTAAGATGGGTTCAGTGTGTATATTCAGTCCTCTCATGGTTCGTAGAAGGCGCGATGTAAAGTAATACGTACGCGATGACCAAAGTCACATCAACTTTTTTGGTTATTCGCTTGGTTGACTTTCCTTTTAACTTGCTTCGACCCTTCTCTGTGTTTTGCTCGTCGTTGTATCACTTCCACGACTTTATATCCTGTAGCGACAGTCACTCCTTTGTCCAAACGCTCCTTCGCTATACCTATACCCTCAAAAACAACCATCCCAAACCTCACCTGACTTTCGGTCTATAGTTCTCAACGCTAATGTTTTCTATCTTCCTCCTCGTTGCTGCGGTCCTTCCTTTCACGGTTGGTGGTGCGCTTGGACATATCCAGCGTGTACGCCATCATGAATTAGCCCAGCGGGCGCGAGGTGACGTGGGCATACACAAACGCTTCGACAACGCACGCTTCACCTTTTATGACGTTGGCTTGTGAGTGGACTTGAACCAAAGAATCACTCGTTGAGCCACGTAGCTGATTTAAATTCAAGGGGTGCTTGTGGGCAGTACAGCTCTCCTAGTGATTTCGTACGTCTCAGCCAAATGATTACTTGGTGTAGCGTTTCCGATACTCATTTTTCGACAAGATTGTCGCCGTCAACGTCATACAGTATGGTCCTGGTTTCCCAGGTCCGCTGTGTTTCAAGCCCATTACTATCTCCTGTGGGGGCAAAACTGCCCAGGCCACTATCATGGATAAAGTGAGCCCAACGACGCGTTATTTTCTCTCTTATTGACGCGTTTGTCTCTAGTGTATGGGGTGCCCGGACGGCGGGCTTGACTTCTCTAAGGGTCTCTTCGATTTCTTCGCTTCTGAAGATGCAGGCGTTTTGTACGGAATGTGGTGGTTCAATGATGACGTCAGCGAACTTCCTACACCATCCATGAGCCCCGAATGGACGCCCACGCCGATCCCCGCTTTGTCCACGCCTACGCCTACACCTACGCCTACGCCTACGTTCACATATGTGTCATACCAACACCATCAAGCCGCTGACACCACATCCACAGTCGAAACCAGTACTACTTCTGTGACCCCCGCCAGTACTCCTTCTCCAACCGAAAGTAGCACTACTTCTGAGACTCCCACCAGCACTCCTTCTACAACCGAAACTAGCACTACTTCTCCAACACCCACTAGCACCCCTTCTGAAACACCCACCAGCACCCCTTCTGCGACTGAAACCAGCACCACTGCTACTGCTACAAACTCTTCAATCTCGATGACCTACGGCACAGATATACCAATTCCTACTGGCGCTGTAGCCATACCCGTACCCGTACCTGCACCCAACTCTGCAAATCCACAAAACATCGAGATTCTCGGTGAAGCCCTCGTCGGCATTGGCATGTTGGTTGTAGGGAGTAAGCAGGGCAATTAGGCTACTTTTGGCAAAGGCTGCTCTTTCTCGTCAGTGTTGTCTATTGGTCGGGAGTTCTACTGATCTTAGTATCGGGTATATAGCATCTATTCTTAATACGTAACCAAGACTGCCGTGATGGTTCTGAATTAGTGGGCGATGATGTGATGTACATTCATGCGGAACTTCGCTCAGTCCATTTTTCCATAAACTCAATTTGCATTCGTACAATAACACATAATATACACGATCTTCATTTTCCTTATTTTGTTTTCCGCCGTCAGAAAAAGTTGTACTCCTTCCCAAGTGGTAAACTGCTCGCAGGCTCAATATCAGCCAACACGCCATCCGCCCTCACCTCATAGCTTTCTGGATCAACAGACATCTTCGGCATCGCATCATTCCACTTCATATCTCTCTTGGTCACATTCCTACAGTTGATAACAGCCTCTGCTTGCTTAGAGAGTCCGTATGAAGCGATAGTACCAGTCGCGATGGAGATTCGGGAGACGAACGCGACCGAGTTGAGCGCCGCTGCAGAGGGGAAGGAACCCCACATTGGTCTGCCATAAGTTGGCTGTACGGTCGGAATTGAAGCGTTTGCCTCGCCCATCTAACAAAGGACATCAGTACTGTTATCGAAAAGAAAGGCTGCTCTGTAAATTTTACCTCAGCCCAAACAATCACTCCTGATTTCAACACCATTTCAGGTTTGGCGCCAAAGTTTTCGGGCTTCCAAAGGACAAGGTCGGCGAGCTTTCCCACCTCTACTGAGCCGACGACGTGACCGATACCGTGCGTGATCGCGCTAAGGAATCGTCAGTGCGCGACCACTCGAGATGACAACAAAACTGACGGGTTAATTGTATACTTTGCTATATATCTCTTGACACGTCCATTATCTTTTTCGCTTGTATCATTTAGCTCGATCAGTGGACCTTTGAAGTCCCTGAGCTTGCTCGCAGTACGCCATGTCCTGGAGGCAACTTCTCCGACACGCCCCATAGCCTGAGAATCAGAGCTGATCATGGATATCGCACCGATATCGTGCAGAACGTCTTCTGCTGCTACCGTCTCTGCTCGGATGCGAGACTCTGCGAATGCTACGTCCTCGGGAATTGATTTGTCAAGGTGGTGACAAACCATCAGCATCTATTATATGTTTAGAAAGGCAGAAATCATCAACGTGCATGGATGACTCACGTCAAGGTGTTCGTCTAGGGTGTTCCTAGCATAAGGTCGCGTAGGGTTGGTGGACGAGGGAAGGACATTTTCCAAACCGCAAACAACGATGATATCTGGAGCGTGACCGCCACCTACATAGTTTTACGATGAGACCACATAATAGGGAACTAAAAGAAACGGAGTCATACCGGCGCCTTCCGTGTGATACGTATGTATAGTGCGACCGCCAAATGCCTTGATCGTACCTGCGTTCCATCAGCATCCAAAAGACCGATGAATGGCACACTTCCTACTCTCCACAAATCCGCTCTCATTGAGAGTATCCGTATGGATGTTGACCTGAACATCAAACTCATCACCAACATCCAAGGCGTTCGCGATCACAGCTGGAGTAGAACCCCAGTCCTCGTGTATTTTCAGGCCCCCTGCACCTGCGCGAACGATATCCTCCAATGCATGCCTTCCCGTGTCATTCCCCTTCCCGGTAAACAAGAAGTTCATCGGGAGCCCATCTGTGGCCGCAAGCATCGTCTTTAAGTAGAATGGACTCGGTGTGCATGTCGTAGCATTTGTCCCTGCGCTCGGACCTGTCCCACCCCCAATCATCGTCGTCGTACCCGATGCGAGCGCTTCGGTGACTTGTTGCGGACAAATATAATGTACATGTGCATCGATAGTGCCCGCAGTCACGATGAGCTTCTCGCCGGCAATGACCTCCGTTGAGGAGCCGATGCGCATGTTGTCGGTGACACTGGTCATGACGTCGGGGTTTCCGGCTTTACCTATGCCCACGATCTTGCCCGCCTTTACTCCGATGTCTGCCTGCAAGGGTGTGCAGCAGGTGGAAATCGGTGGAGATAATCAATTACCTTGTATATCCCGGTCCAGTCAATTATAACTGCATTGGTAATGACGAGGTCTAGGTTACCCTCGAGGTACCCGCGACTGGTTATCTGGCCCATGCCCTCTCGTGTACACTTGCCTGCACCTAGTGATGAACATTAGGGGAGGCACCAGGAATCATCACTGACCTCCGCCGAATTTGACTTCATCACCATAATAGGCCTGTGCTAGACATGAGCCAGCACAAAACATGATCATATTGATATAACAAACCGCATCGCTCTCAATTTCGACCCATAAACTAGTATCACCAAGCCTAATACGGTCACCGACCGTGGGGCCATACATAGAAATGTACTCCTCGCGGCCGATAGTGGTGTCCTCGTGTACCTCGAGCGCACCGGGGTCTGGACAGTGTCTGAAACTCCCTAGTAGTAAACACTTATCAATATGGCTATCCTTCTTTAGAGTATCCTTCAGGCGAGTGAAAATTAAGTTGCCACCGGTTACGGCTTTTTTGCCCGCAATAGCACATAGTAAGACGGTCTTGGAATCGCCAGGCTCGAAGCGAACAGCAGTCCCAGCGGGGATATCAAGAAACATTCCGTTAGCTTTGACACGATCGAATTCCAACGCGCCATTAGTTTCGGTGAAATGGTAATGGGATCCGACCTTTCGAGGATATGAGAGTTCGCATATCAAACTAGTAGGGACGCCCACGAACCTGAATAGGGCGATCGCCGTGGTTGGTCACCTTCAACTTGATGCGTTCGCGTCCTTGATTGATAACAATCCTCTCTTTTTTGGCGATGATAGCTCCTGGAAGGTTTTCACGGGAGATAATTGTAGTCTCCGTGGCTGGGAATTTGTCCTGTGAAGGTACAGGGAGGAACGATCCATAGAGCGCTGCATCTAGGTTGCCATGATCCGTGCAGATGGGATCATGCACAGTTACTAGGAATACACTTCAACCGGGTTGTCAGTTGAGATGGTCTCGCACGGGTGTACAACTGACCCATCTGGGAACGTTCCTTCTACCTGTATCTCGTGTAGGCGGGGTGGAACGCTAGGTAAGACATGGGTCCTCCCCAATAAGGTTTTCCCGTGCTGCATCAACTCAGCCACAGAATGCTGTCCATCACGTATACGTTCCTGCAGTTGAGAGGCAATCAAGGCGATGGCTTCGTTGATATTGAGCTGTAAGCCTCTAGCTAGACGCTTTTGGGCTAGAAAGCCGGCCTGAGAAGAGAAACAAGGGAAGACTCATGTCATTCCATTGCATGAATTAAGACTAGGGGGTACCTGGTGCAAGAGCAGCTTCTCATATTCTCTCGGCAAGATATGCATCCTGAACTCTACCCCACAGGTTAAGCTTAGAGATATGGTTTTGCTGTACGAAAGCTGTACGGAATGTTTGTTCGATGAGGTGCGCGCGCTTACGGCAATGGGAGTCTCCGCCGGCTGTCGCTTCTGAGAATTAATTCATTGCATCTCGAATTCTGCAATTTCTCGTTTTTGTTTCTCGCGTATACGTCACTTCAAAGTTCAAACTTGACTCAGTGGCAGTCAAGCGAAATCAAGCTTTCGGTTCTCTTGAGGGACAGCCCCGAATATACCTCTTCGGCTCATCGACGCTCTGATAATCCTGCTCTAGTCCTCTCGACCGACCGGACGATTGAAGTTTAGTTTGGTTGGCATCGAGGACAATGTTCGTCTTGACGAGGGCGACAGTCTGCATGCAACTATCACCATCTTAGGACTTACAAGACCTTTGTTCTAGATCTTGGCATAACGAAATAAAAGGGTTGACTATCGGTGTTTCTAGATTTCGAGCGTCCTAACATTGCGTGCGCAATGAATATGGGAGAATGGTGACTTTGTAGGAGGACCTAGTAGGTTATTGTTTCAGTTAATTAATGGAGCCACAAATCTGAAATGGAGAAGAAGACTGGCAAGTGGACTGTCAGTGGTTAATTTTCGGGTAAGTTCAAATTTGGAAATGGCACGTTGGTCTAAATTTGGTTCCGTCATCATTTAGATCATATCTGAACCTAGTCATCACTGTATTCTTACACCAAGCTCGGCACTGCTTTTGTTTAGGCCACAATCCACAACTGATATGAATCCCTTTGTCCTGTGCCACAGGGTCTCACTTCTTCCTTCCCCTACTTATGCCTGCTCTCAAAGTCATCGCGCCTTCCTCCACAGCTAACCAGCGCACTCCGTCCTTCTCTCAGCCTTATCCATTCCAGTCTTCACGCATGTCTCTTCGTCGCAGTGCTTCTTTTCTCTCCTTGTCAGACTATGAAGGTGACGAGGATACCTCGTTACAGTCTGGCCCCTCTTCATTTTACGCAAAGGCCCAACCTCCACTCGTTCCCTACAATCGTACTCTGTACCACTACAAGGAGCAGCGCGAACGTCGTAAAGCCGCCCTCAGCCGCAGTCGTCCTGAATTTACCATCGCTCCACCCTCTACCAAGCAACCCGGTAAAACAGCCCCTCACCCGCCACACAAACAAATCACAGGGCTGCGGACCTCTTCCCCTTTATCGCCCACTCAGAAACTCCTTCCACCCCGCGCTTCTTTTCCTCGTTCGAAGCCGGAGCCGGACTTGTACCGTATCGCAATTAAAGCCCGTATGCGGTGCTCCCCTGAAGGCGCGAAGATTCTTCGCATGGGTCCTCGCATGGCTGTGTCTATATTAGCCGCTACTCGGGACCTTGAGATGCTTGTGTCAACACATGAGGGTGAGTAGTCTGGGCGCCTGATGCCACCTCGTCTGACATCTCCTTAGTGAACTTTAATGACGACTGGGAAATGGTTGACTGCAGTGCATGATGCAACACTGATGCTATCATGCGACATCCGCATCATGCTCTCACAAATGATCTGACGATCCGGGATGACCTGAAACGATTCAGATCTGTACGGGAGCAATCACATGAATTTATCGGATTTTCAGAAGGGAATGTCTTCATTCATTTAGTACATCTTCCTTCTTCCTCCACTTCGTCTGTCTATTATGCCGGAAGATTATTGGCCATTTAGGATTATTTGTTGTACCAATACTTAGTTATTTTCACGTGCTCCTTCGATCAACATACCCCACACGACCATGCATTTGTACCGTATCACTCATCAATTATTTACTTCTCATGATCATACGCACTCCTTAGCACGAACTTTCGTTTCCAGAAACAGAGATTAGTACATCACTTTTTAAAGCTGTGTTTGATTTCCCCGTTTCACGATCGCGACCCGACATGTTTTGACTCGATCATACATCAGTGATCACCATGACTCGTCACTTCGACACCTGACAACTACATAAAGAGTAGATAAGCTGGGGCCCTGCAGCCAGACACGCCTCATCTGGATAGGTACATGATCCGTCTATTTGTCTACTAAGGTTCTGGGATGATACACGATACAAAAGGTATGCACCTCCTGAGAGAGTAAACGACTGACTGATCCTGATTCCCCAAGAACAAACGTGCGTCGTCATGGCCGCGAGGTGAACTTTGTAAACAGGACCATGATGGCCAGGGCCCAATGCTCGAACTGTTCCTTGGATACAAACAACAACGCCTGAGAAAGTACGGCTTTGATTATCTGCGCGGACATCCCCTGTTCAGTTTGGTTAGCGTGAAACAGCAAGTATCAGATTGGTAATATCGACCTGATACCACCCGACAAATCCTTCTTTCCTCAGGACTCTCAGGAGGAGGCCGAGAGCACCGGCTTGGTTTGCTTTGGATTTGGTATTTCCATTTCGACCATCAGGCAGACCCTCGTTCTCTAACGTATCCGTATCAGAAGAACGGGCCTGAATTCTGACCTTGGCCATAATATATGGATATGTTACCTAGGGAGCGATGTCAGGAGATGTCACTCAGCCACCCGACCACGTATCAAGCTCACAATAGTGGCAAGCGTCTTGCTAAACGCCCCAAGCAAAAACGACGTCCCTGGCGTCAATTTACCATTCGCAGCACTTGCGAGCAACAAGAGGCTCTTGAGGCGCTCATAAACGCCGTACGTTATGGCAGGGTTCACAGTCAAGACCATGCCGGGCTTAATGCCTAGCCACAGCCCTGTGACACCATCCTCGCGAACTATCTCACGAGCGACAGCTAATAAAGATTCGTCTACCGGTCCCTCATCTTGGGAGGACTGCGACGAGTTTCGGACAGAGCGCCCAACTTGTTGTCGAGTTGCGATCACGGATACGGGAATCGTGAAAATCTGGGATAGCGCTCCAGCAGCTGCCCCGAGGGAGAGTTCAGCAGCTGTGGATAGTGCAGGAGGTTTTGAACCAGGAGGCAGCTTCAAAGTCATGCGCTTGATGTATGATGAGCGTATGAATGAGTAGAAGAAGAAGTAGGCATATTCTTGGGGTATTCAGCTCGATGAGGGAACGTAAATGAGGTAATTGGAGACACACGCATCGAGAAGGTGTTGAGCATTGTTGCAGCAAAGCCTCTGTACCACCCATTGATTCCCTCTTGTTTGAATATCTGGAGTAGCATCGACAGCATGCTCAGGTCGTCTTTGCGCTTTCCTCGCGCAGCTGATGAGGTCACTTGTATCCTGGTCTTAGCACTACGATGACATTAGAAACATATCTCATGAGATGCGATCGCCGACGCACACATCGAGAGGATACACTACACTGTTGATGTGTCAGCCTGAGGACAGTTGGTGCGTGGGTACTCGAGTACTCACGCGTTACTAAAACAAGCTCCAAGGGCACCAGCCAACGCAGATGCAAAAGGCGTTAGTTGCTGCGCCTGCTTTACCGGTTTGGACAGTGTGGACATAATGGAAATAAGCAACTGGGATATGTCAACCTCGTGTTGAAACTAGTACACGGAATTGCCGGCCCCAAGACCGGTTAAGTCGATTGCACATGAATTCCCATATAGGTACGACTCTTTCTGAAGCTTCCGAAGCTAACACAGACAAATAATGATATAGATCGCAAGATCTCAGCTTGCCATTTGGCGCAAATACTATATATCATGGTGGGCAGTATTCATAATGGTACAGTGTTACATTGATTGACGCTATAGTTCTCTTTCTCTTACTATCAGTACGACGAAATTGCCGAACACATTCTCGGATTCTCTCAGCTCTGCAGAGTAATCTTATTCATCTGGAGCGTTTCCACCGCTACACACTGCCGCCAGCTGACAAATGTACACGCTGTTGGAGAGCAATTGTAGTTATGTTTGTTCCTGCATCGGAATCGGCCACCAGTTTGGCGTGATATTCTCGAACGCCAAGAACTAGGCGTGGACCCAACACAAACATCTGCAAAATGGTAGCAATTTCCACAAGACAATAATAAAACAGGGCGCCCTCGGAAGCTGAGGACTATTGAAAGGATGATGAACGTTCACACGTAGATATCAGATCACGATACTTACTGAGATCTTCGGAGATAAAGAGCCAAGGACCAAGCAAGAAACAGCAGCATAGCTAGCAAATCACAAACATCAGAAGAGAAGACAACCATATTTAAATTACGAGCTCACATTACATGAGGTTGCACCAACACCGCAAGCCAGCCTCCGATGATCCAGACTGTGAGAAACAGTGCAAAGATTTGCCATGCAGTGTACAGTGCCAGTACCATGGTATATGGAATCTGAGTATTTTCCCCAGTGATTGTATAACCGCAGTTATAGGTGCCGGAAAGTATTAGCTCCTCTGACGTTTGTCTAATGAGCCTGTTGCGTTGTTTTTCGTTCATAAAAGCTTACCCCCAGAAGTTTGGCTAGTCCCTCTCTCGGCAAACACTCCGCAGGTGATGGAGATAGCCAGCAAGATTATAATGAGAAATACAAGAATCTTTCTCGATCGCTGATACATGGCATATAACCGAACGATCATGATAACTTGTATGATGTTTCAGCCACTGAGTCAATATCACTCAAGGTATTCCAGCTTAGTGACTCACCACCCGCCATGGAATTTACGACTACAAATATCCAGTTTATTGCCAAGTACGCAATGATGCCTGAACAACACAGTTAGTGATGAGCCTCGGAGGATCAACGTATCCAACAAACTCACAGCTGTTGCAGTCATGATATTGCATCAACAAGCTCAAGCAGTTCACTCACCCCTTCATAGTAGTACAGTTAATTAGATGAGAATGACAGGCATTAGTGCAATATACGGACTTCATCTGTCATCGAGACTGACGAAATAACTATATGTCGCCGGTTAGCAGAAACAAACGCACTGAATGTGTGACCTACGCAGTATCCCGAAGCTGAACGTGGAAGATTGCTTATTAGCACAGCGCCAATGTGGTTATCCTTACAAACATACACAATATATGGCATTGCGGCATATCGCACCTATGATACTTCGGAGTCAGAAAAATTTAACAACAGAACTTTCAGACGCAAGCTACGTACACCGAGATAGATAAGAGTCATGAGGGACCAGCGTTTCCTCTGCCCCAAATTAATTTTATGATTATATTCTTATGGGACACTGCTCACCCAGACCAGTTCGACCTATGAGACCGTTCTTAGCCTTGAGTGCGTTACGCATCAACATACCTCTTGTCCAAACATCAGCACTGCAGATATCATAAGAATATCAATAGCGGTTGATTACTATCCGCTCACCCCAATCATATAAAACCGCAACAAGGGCAGCAACTGCGAAACCGTAGTAAGGTTAACTCGAGGCATCACTGACATTATGCAGGTGGCTCTCCACGAACCTTGAACATAGCTGTAAGTACGAGACGAAGCAATGAAAGGCCACCAAATGGGATCATTCGAGACGAAGGTCATTTGAGGGATGGGTGCACGCGAGTGAGTACTACCAACTTGGTGGACGTATGATAACAATGGCGTTCGTGATACATCACTCGCCCAGCTTTTATCGTCGACATAGGCACTGTGGAATGAATATTATATTCGTTCCTGCCTTGACCAAAGTAAGTTTACCTATATTCAGATCTTCAGAAACCAAGTAAAGCGCTGTCACACACGGGGATGAATCAAATCTTTGAACACAGCAAAAGTTCGAAACCTTGATCAAACGTTATAAATTGTAATTTTAGAACTTCAACCTCCCAATGTGACACGAGAAATGACGAGATATTTGGACGATCGACAATACCGAAGACTTACCCACATGAAGGGATACAAGGCCATGACCAATGTCTACCATGATGTTCAACCGCTAAGTAGAGATATGCAGGCAAGATCAACGAACAGCATTTTCTCCCCGGCAGGCTCGCGCTGCCCCTCGGTCATCGGGTTATATAAAAAGAACTTTGATGTCGGAAACAGATTTCATCGATCATCGACATTGATCATGCACATGGTGCCGCATCGAAGTTGCATCAGATTGAACAGCTGGGTGATACGCCTTGATTAGTAATATGCAATAGCCTTCTTCTGGGCCTAGTCCATATATGCTACAGCAACATAAATCAACTTGCACTGCTGATTTGTGATGAAGAATCAGATTCCTCTGTTCGTCACTACACAGTAGTTTGATGGTTCCACGGAACTTCCACCCGCCATAGCGCGTACACTATTTATGGCATTACCCTTCTAAAATGGAAATTCAGAAACAAGCTCATATGTGTGCTAAAACCAAGCAGCAACTTACAAATTTTGTCAGCTCATCCCAAGTTCGTCTACACACTCCACGAGCAGCTGGTTTAAAATTGGGGCGATGATGCAAAGTCCTTGCAGATGAAGCTGATATACGTTTCCTTCTGCTTGATAATACACCATCCCGACGAGCTCCCTAAAAACGTCCGAAACAGTTTATTTGAGGGGTAACCCGCACTCTTCCTTCAAGCACTCACCCATCTAACGAGAATCCTGCACCCAAAAGGTAGTCACGGAACCCACTCCCGCGTCCATCTCCACTTGTTGTCCTCGCCGTTGTCCGAAGGTGCCATACTGAGCTCTAGCCTGTATCCACAGCTGGTAGCCTCGCTTCTTCATTTCCTTCAACTCTGCTTCTTCCGAATATGTCAAGAGCCGCGGTCCTTGGAGTCAAAGGTAACCTGGCCTCACGGCCCGTATTGAGAAGATTCAGGAAGACGAAAAGTTGCAACTAGAGACCACGTTCAACAAACAGACATTGGAGTATATCACAAACCTTCTTGAGCTCGATATTGAGGCACAGGATAGCCTGACTCGCACATTCTACAACGGAGAGCACGCCAGGTTGGTGCACGTAGACTGCAAACAGCTGTGGCGGGAATCAAGCACGTAAACTGAGCTTAGAAGACCAACGAGACATTCGAAACCACGGTCGGGTAGGCGTAAGTACTTTGGCAGGAGCTTCCGGATGCTTGCGCCGACCCGCATCCTCTATGAAACAAGTACCTCGAACCTGAAAGGACTAGTGAGTTGGTCCAGAATCAGAAGGCTGAATGGCAAGCTTCCGAAGCTAACACGAACAAATAAGGATGCTGTTCCACACCTGCGATTATGACCGGGATGCACAACCATGTCAATTTTCCAGAGAAACTCGCGATCCGTCCTTTACTTCCACATAATACTCACTCCACATGCAATTTTTGGGATAAACAGCAACTTGCCTTTAAGTTTGATGCTGAGGCACAACGGGAAGGGATCGAGACTTACGGGATCGCAGGTCGCGTTTGGTGACTAGATGTTGCTTTGATGTTTCCATTACCTCGCTCTGAGCGTGATGCCATGTAGGGAAGCAGCATATCTAGTGAACAGCTACATCGAACATCCTTCTACTTGGGAGTTTGATCCGCCCTTGATCGATCAGCATCTATCTGGGCACAAACGAGTTTTTCTCGAACTTGGTTCTGGCACTGGCATTGTTGCAGCAAAAATAGCTCAAGCGGCTGCATTGTCCGGACGAGATCTAGTCATCGCAACTGATCTGCCCGAAGTCTGTCCGCTTCTGGAGAAAAATCTTTTCGTCATGCCAAAGGGCGATTCAGCAAATACACAGGTTACTTTAGTACGACCTCTTTCGTGGGGTAATTATGATCATGCCATCAACATCGTACGAGAACTTAAGCTCGTCGACGATCCAAGTGGACATGAGCACGGCTGTATCACGCACATAATCTGCAGTGACCTTGTAAATACTATAGTGCTATCCATGCTCTAAGACTAATCACTGACAGAAATGCAGGTATATTTTCCGGAGCTTCTAGCGCCCCTTCTACGCACCCTTCTCCATCTAACCTCTCCACCCTCTATCTCCATCTTCGAATCACAGCCACGAGTTATCATATCATACAAAATACGGAGCCTTTCTAAAGAGACTCCATTCTGGTCGGCATTCGGCCTGTGGTTCTCGTTTGAACCTGTCATTGCACGAAAGACTGATGCGAACAACTTGCTCTCCGAGTGGCAACGATTCGGATCTGATATAGAGGATGATGGCGATCTGGCATTCATCTTCGTGGCATATAGACGTCCAGAATCATTAAACTGGACGATTCCGTCGGAGGATATTGATCTACTTGGAGGCGTTGGCGCAGGGGGGACGTGTGACAAGAAGAGCGACGAGACATTTGAGACCTTGCTCCTCATGGGCCTTGGAGTGTGATATGCATTCGCTTTACATTTTATGTACATACAATACCCATTCAAATACCAGGAGATACATAGTACATACATACCCAACACAGGATTCAACAACAACTCCCACTTCCTCATGACGTCTCAGGACACTCCGAGTCCTCCGTGATGATAGAAGCGCTGATTTCCATTCTCTAGTAAACCTACGGAGTTGTCGAAATTCTTAATTTCCTCTGCATACTCGGGTGGTGCAAAAGAGCGCATTACAATGCCAGTTGCGTGAAAAGATGTCACATTAACTGGTTGCGTCAGCAGTGGGCCAGAGACATGCGGTGCATGTACGAAGCCAACTGCTTCGAAAGGCTGAACTTCTAGATGGTACTGTGACCCAATAATAAATTGCAAACAGCAGACTGGTGAACGGGTTTCTCCAGAAAGACAAGAAAGAAAGTCACTCACCCTCACAGAAAATCGGGGAAATATGACACTCTGTTTGAATGTCTTTTTTAAGTTCACTTCACCTCGGAGAACCCGCTTGCCCGGGGTACTAGCATCTATTGCTGGCCAGAAAATAGCACGTGCCATTTTGCTAACGAAGAAGTTATCTGTGTGCTTTCCAGCATGATCACTTGTTGCGTCCGAGCCTGTAGCCAACGATCGCTTCAGGAAGATATGGATGGCTTGGTGATTGGCGAGTAAATCGAGAGCTTGTTCGTCTGTGCCCGTGAAAGTTAGCCACAGTGGTATCGCAGAACCGCGAGCATAATTGAGCTACAGGTACAGTGAGAGGCCTGATGTTCGAAGTCAGGAATAGACCTACTGGTTTGGCTAGTGCTAGCTACAGATGTTTTATCGTTTTAGGGCCTTGCGAATCGCGAAAAGGGACATCGACGTACATTGAAATCGACATCCCCTCTCTTGGCACCAAAGAGAGTGCCTGTAACAGTGACTGGTGGAAGGATGTGCCAGCCCTCCGGATCACCTGCCATTATTGAACACGAGCATCGAAGACTACATTGCTCGACAACCCACCTTCAGGACCCACGAATGGAATGTTTTCTTTACATGCCTTCTGTAACATAAGAGATGGCAGTTCCGGTTTCGTAATTGGGAAATATCCAAAATCCGTGGTTAAACTGCGGACTATTGAGTGGTCCCGAAAAGCGTCCAAGAAAGCGGAGAACACACGTTTGATTCACTCTAAGTGCACCCCGCTTAATGATGGCAGTAATCTTGTAGTTGATGTAAGCTGGACTGGCTCGCTCTGTGAATGAAGGCGGAAGGGGAAATCTCTTCTTCTCTTTACGGTCTAGAACCTCCGTCTCGTTTGGAAGTGCTATCTCGAAAGGCCATGTATAATGGCCTTTGTCGAGTTTGGATACTATGGATCCATCAGGAAGGGCCATCGCTGGAGTCCACAACACTTTCTCGATGACAAGAAAATCTTGTCCTTCCTGTCCAATGAGGGTTGTCATCGCTTTTACCTGTATCGCCCATAAGCATCGTAAAGTTGCGCAAACAAATGGTGACTTGCTGTTACTAGGATAGCCTTGGGTGACTCCGACTTCAAAATGTCCAGAGTCACGCTGCCTGAAATGAGATCACCAGCATAGACTGCTGGGCAAAACTCCGACGTAGGAGCACGACCTTTTGGCACTGAAAGGAGAAACCATTTGTGTCCCTTGCTGTCTTCAAGTGATACAGTGTGCTCAGAGCCAGGGGTTAAGGCATTCGGTGGAGCCACGCTGCTGCCAGCTCGTGCTGTGTACCCGGGAAGTTCATTATCACCCTCTATGTGATTCATTGCGACACAAACAATCGATTGTCGGTTTGCGAGCTGCGAGGTTGTCTGTGGTAAGATAACTAAGATAAGAAACAAACATATTCCACGACTAGCGTGTTGTGCTAGTGCGCCTGGTAACCAAAGGTTGATGAGAATACCCAAAAATAAGTTGAGTCCATGCGGCTACCTAGTCCTACTAAGACTAGTTTTGGGCCTGGCCGGGCAAGCATCAACTCATCTCAGATGCATCCCGAGTTTACAAAGTGTGCTGCTGAGTCGAGACCTGGAAAGTTAAGAATACTAATCATTCAGAATGCTGAGACCTTCCCGGTTTCTTCAAAACATGTGATAATAAGCCTAGACCGCCAAAATAGCAAATCTTTTAGTGAAGAATGATGCATATGAATATGATAGCTATAGATTGTGTCGAGAGAAGTCAGAGCATCAAGTTCAAATTTCATTGTTGGAATCTGAGATCTCCCGGGTAGCGGGCTTTCAATATTCACTGAATGCGGCTAACTGGTTCACTACTATCACAATTCCCTTCAGCTTCAAGATCAGGAAACCCACTGCCAAGCGAAGTGACTTGTAACTCACTAAACCATAGGGATAGTAGACTATGGCAAGTGCGGGTGGCCAGCCAGTCCTGTTGGTGGTACAACATGATATTGGCTAAGCTTATTCTATATCTACTACGAAACTACCACGAGCGACGAAACAAACTTTTCTTGCTCCCTGAAGAGTGCCCGACATTGCTTAGTGTGTTGATGACTAGTCGACTCAGTCTCGAGGTCTTCCTGTTACACCGTGACAGCACTACTAGCATATGCGTGCTGATAAAAAACAAGCGAAGTCATGTAGGTTCCTGCATCAGAATCGGCTACAAGCTTAGCGTCATATTCTCGAACGCTAAGGATGAGGCGTGGTCCTAGCATGAACAGCTGCGTGACTGACACAACATCAAGAATACTATGATAAGTCATAGTCCCCATAGAATTTGAGTCCTATAGAAATGCATCAATAACGGTAATACTAAGATGTCAGTGACAGATCGATCGGCATACCACAAGCGTTGGGGACAAAAAGCCGAGGGCGAAGCAAGAAGCAACAGTGAAGCTAGCAGATGCGGTTCAGCAAAGTACGATATCTACATTTAAACAGCTCACCTTCCAAAGTAAACCACGTGGGTTTTTATTACCACCATCAAACAGTCATCGATGGTCCTTGCCCTGGATGGTCGTGGCAGTTCACGAAAGTTTTTTACAGCAATCCAGACCGCAAGACATAGTAAGAGGACCTCCCATAGAGTGCAAAGTAGCCAAGTCATGGAATTGAGAAGTCGGGCGTCTCCCTCATAGTTATAATTGCATTGGTAGGCACCGGAAAGAATGAACTCCTCTGTTATTCATTGAATAAGCCTAATACACTGATATCTTTAAACCATAATTCAAGCTTACCCCCTATGGTATGCCTCGTCCCCGTTGCAGTAATCCCCACGCACGGGATCGTGATACCCAGGAAGGTTGCAACAAGAAAAATAAGCATCTTTCTGGATCGCCGATACATGGCATGTAACCGAACGATCATGATGACTGGTGACCAGTCAGCCAATGCAGAATTACTGAGGTTTCTGAATAGCTCACTTCCTAACAAGGCGGTGACGACTACATTAAGCCAATTTAGTGCTAGGAACAGATTATTGCCTAAAACACAAGTTAGTAATGAGTCTCAGGCAAAAACGCTCCAAACGAACTCACAGCTGTTGCAGTCATTATGCTGAACAAATTAATCAAAAATATCACTTACCCCTACGTAGAGTGCAGTTGATCAGACAGGAATGACAGGCATCGGTATAGAACACTCACTGCATCTGCTACCGAGATTGTCGGAAGAGTTACTATGCGCTGCTGGTCAGAAAAGAAAATGCAGTGTATGTCAAGAAACACACTAAGCATGAAGATCCTGATTGTCAGAGAAAGCCTATTAGCACAGCGCCAACTTGCTAGTCGTGCAGACCTACACAACGTATGGCAGTGCAGTATAGCGCACCTATAATATTTCAAGTTAGTACAACACGCCAATTTATAACACAAAACACGTACACTGAGATATAGAAAGGTCATGAGAGACCAGCGTCGCTTCTGCCCAAAATGACATTATTATCGCGTTGTTTTGCTGATATGGTACTTCGCTCACCCAGATCAATTCAACCTATTATATCATGCTTGGTGAGATGGCTATTCCGCTAGTTGCATCAGCTTACCTCTTGTCCAAAAGCGAGCGCTTGAAATATCGTTAGGATATTAATAATCCTCGACTACTATCTTGCTCACCCCAATCATAAATAATCGCAGCGGAGGCTGCAACTATGAAACCACAACCAAGGTTAGCTCAAGACATCAACGACGTCAACTCTCCACGAACCTATAAAATAGCTGTGAAAATTATACGAATTGACCAGCGGCCACTGACTGGGATCATCTGAAATTACGGTCATAATGAAGGGATAGGTGTGTGAGTGGCAATTTTAGTGGATGTACTAATGATCTAGGCCACCAAAAGCCAGCATTCGTGCGGAATATCTACCACCATCGAGCACTTTTATATCGGCCTTTACCACAGCCCAGCGCTCAGCGCTCATGTCGTAAAAACCTTGTCTCGGTTTGATCCGGCGGAAACCTGACGTGATATGATCAAGAGAAGATTTATACACCGCTATAAACCAAGGAAACTGGTAAGACGCGGTGCCCTAAGGGCTGAACTGGGGAATGTTGTGACGAGAATAAAGTATAGCATGAGAGATAGCCGAGGGGACTGCGTTTCGAATGGGGATGGGATCAAGAGCTCACTATGACATCTTCGGTCCACTGTAAGATTGACGTCACTATCGACTCGGCCACGATAACGAAAGCCACAGTGGTTTGATGGTTCTGTCCTCGACGTAGGAAAAATATAGTCCAAGATACTCCACCGTGCATATCGTCAGTTGATATTTGCAGAAACTTTATCTAGAATGGGGTCGGTGAATCAGAAATTAAGCATGCGCCAGACTTTCAGTGACACATCTAGTACGAAATGTCATCCACAGAGTAACCTACCACAAAATTGTCTTCATGACGAGCTCACGGGAGCCGAAGGAGACCTTGTAGACAGGCCCCATCGTTGACGCGCGTATTAATCTCCCCTGATCAGACCTTGAGGGAAGGAAGACAGTTGTTTTTCTGCGCGTATATACTTGCGTGCTTGTCACTAGTTACGCCCTCCTGATTAGGTGCTTCTTCAAAACAGCTCCAAAATGTTAATTCAACCGATTGAATTTCTTGGAGTTGATTACGTCCTTATTCGCCAGCAGCGCCGATGCCATTTGCAGACAGCGATGATGTTGCGTTGAACCTGTGACAAGTCGGGAATCGTGATGGTCGGCGAGTCGCTGCGACCCTTGGGGCGCTAATCTTGACGCATCACGGGTTTCCGAAGTGCAGTACTTGCTAAGCGACCGTCGCATTAGTGACCTTGGGATTACTTGGGCAATGGGCGCTACCAGGGCATGCGTTTATGGTTATTGGTGTATCGGACGGAAGCACAACGGCAGCACGGGAATTTCCGGACCAATTTCTGCCTTGCAATTCGCCAGCCAGGTCTTTGATTTGAGCTCATCGAGCACCACAACGGCGGCAATGCATCGCGCCATAGCTGTCCCTAGACATGTTTCGGCGACGCTCGGACGAGGCCTCATACGGACTTCTCGCAGGGTGAGCAAACAAACTATAGTATTTCTGTCTGGGACGTTGGCTTATGAAGGAGTTAACTGTACTGGCAGCGACTAGCCTCCACCACCTCTACCTCCAATGCCCTATCTAATTCCAAACCGGCAAAAGTCGTTCGCAGGATCTTATTCTATACTGTGGCAGCGACGGGCACGTTCTACATCGGCAGTGTATTCGTTTCCTTCGAAAATCAGCAGTACCGTGAATTGTTCACCGCAAACGTTCCTTTAGGGAAGGAACTAGTCGACTATGGCGAGGTGCACAAGTGGGATGAGATCACCATCGAACAAACTGTGGTAGCTACCGTAGACGCCTACAAAACCGTCTACAATTTCGTACAACGGCAGCTGGGTAACGTGCCGACAGAAGAAACGATCGAAAAGGCGGCCAAGTCAGCATTCAAGGAGTCCAAAGAGCGCGTAAAGTCTGCCGCTGCATCCCTCAAGACTGCCGTGAAGAAAGTGGAGGAAGAAACGGTCCCGGAAGCAACCGCGAAAGCAATTTTCATTGCACGACAACATGGTGCACAGTTTGCTGATGAATTGGACGACCTGATCCGCAAAGCAGAGGCAGCCCTTACTGGGAAGTCCGTTGACTCTCTTCATGAGGCGACAACTACACCGGCTCAGCCCGAGTCTTCTCCAGATACTATCCCGCCACGCGATGACACTGACCTTATAATTGTATCGGACAAGAATCCTGGTAATGCCGTTATTTATGCCGCACCGCTTCCCATCGGCTTTGAGCCCCCACCCGGATATGAGCGCCCCGCACCTCCAAAGCCTGCCCCGAAGGCCGCTGCGGAACCCACTCCCGTGCCCCTGCCCCTTGTCGCTCCAGCCGTGTCTGAAGTCGCCGTGTCTGAGCCTGTGATCACCCAGCTCGCATCCACGATTGACAACCTCGCTTCTTTCCTTGCCTCCAACCCTGCTGCCTCCGAAAAAGCCAAAGATGTTCTTGAGGTGGCCAAAGCTGACCTCACTGGCCTCGCGGCACGTATTGAGAAAATCAAGGAGGATGAGAAGCTGCAGCTAGAGATGAAGCTTGACGAACAAGCGCGGGAGTATACCACAAAGCTTCTCGAACTCGAGCTTGATGCACAGGATAAACTAGATTCGCAACAAGATGGCTTCAGGAAATTCTACGATGAGGAGCGTGGCAGGTTCGCTCAGGTTTACCGTGAGAAGCTGGAACAGGAATTACGCACCCAGACAGAAATTATCAATGAGCGGTAGGTGACCATCACTGGCTCGGGCACGGTACCCGTCACCTTACTCACTATCTACAGGTTGAAGGAGGAAGTGATCGCGCAGGGTATAGAGATGCAGAGGCGGTGGATCCGCGAGGTCAAGGTCCGCGTCGAGCAAGAACGCGGGGGTCGTCTCGCCAAGCTTGATGAGCTCGCCACAGGTCTCAAGCGCCTTGAACGTCTCGCACTCGACAATTCTTCATATCTTGATGAGAATATTCGCGTGCACAGCATGTGGACCGCCATACGTGCTATGCAGAGCGCTGTCGACGCGTCGATACGCAAGCCATTCCGTGAAGAGCTCCGTGTGCTCCGACACATCGCAGTCGCCAAGGAAGACGCAATCATCGCTGCAGCATTGGACTCCCTTGAACAAAGCGACATGCCCGACATTGGCGTTGAGCCGTTTGCAGACCTTGCATCATGGTTTAGCACCTCTGTTAGGCCACGCGTCTCGAGCGTTGCTTTGGTCCCCGACCAGGATGCAGGTGTACTCACGCACCTGGCTTCGCACTTTCTTTCTTTGTTTAGGTTCCAGCGACATGGACTCATTCCTGGATCGGATGTGCTGAGTATACTGTCCAGGGCGGAGTATTACATGAATGAGAAGGATCTTGATAGTGCTGCAAGAGAGTTAAATCAAGTGAAAGGAACTGCAAGGGAGCTGCTCCGAGATTGGCTAGAAGCTGCACGGAAACGGCTGGAGGTTTTGCAAGCTCTTGAGGTATTGATGTCTAAAGTCATTGCATGTGTCACACTAACGCCATCATAGGTGATACAATCACAAGCAACAATCGCATCGCTGCTTGTCGTATAGATTTGAATGCTAGCAATATATAGATATATCCCACCCGCGTAGTATCATCCATTCCATCTTATCCAAGTCATAAATCCAGGGGATTCACTACCCCTGCATTGGCACATTCCCCGATAATGCGAGTGCACATTCGCAGATTACCTGCGCGCGCCGCACGACCGTATGTACCGTCTCCTGATTCTGCTCGGTAGCTGCCACATTGCCCTTTGTGACCTTCACAAGCCCAGGGAAGATTGTCGCACCTACACGATCCTGTTCGCCTCGCTCGCTCTTGAGACAGCGGCGTACGAGCTCTATCTGACGCGGGTAGAGGATGCTTCCGAGCTCGGGAACGAAGCTGCGGTAAAACGCGTCGGTGGATGATGATGGGGCACTGTGCAGCATGCGCGAGAACGTGTATGCGCTGGCCAGAATCGGAGCTGTGTTGTTTGCTGATCCCCCAAGCACTTTGGTGAGCCCTGGGAGAGTCTCTGCAAGAATAGCGGCTGTCATTTCTGGGTCGCAAGTTTCCACTGCCGCCGAGAATGTTTGTCGGCGCCAAACGCATGCTACGACAGGGTTGCCTAGTGCATGACACGATCGTCAGCATGGGATTGAGAGAACATAAGAACTGACACGTACGGGCGAACAAGTGCTCGTGGATCCTTGTGAGTTGAACATTTGCCTCAGGGGAGTTTGTCACAACGAGATTGTTGATGATCTCACTGCTGATGACTTCTGACATCGCATGGCGAAGGATGTTCTGTACCTGCATTGCTGAGACATTATAGGGCACAGGATCATAAGAGCCGGTGATGTCGCCCAAGGCAGCTCCATAGATATCAGACAGTGCGGAGGGTGGTGCGCGTACAATATCTGCTGCCCAGCGATTGATCGAGCGCTCCAACAAGGACGCAGTATTCTATATGCATAGCAGACTAGAGGGTGGTCCCAGCACTCAGTGAAATACTGAACATACTTTGATGGAGAAGTCATCGACTGAACTACCCCCAAGATGTCTGCTCTCCTGTTGCTCGTCATTCGCACTCCCTTCTAGTAAGGCGATTCGCGCGCGGAGTAATGCGACCTGTTTCTCTTGTTCTTCGAGTTGCCGACGTTGTTCTTCGACTTTCTCGTGCGCAATTCGCTAAAGATGAGATAGATGAGACTAGGTCAATGATATCGAGATCACTGATGATGATAGTTACGCACGAAGTTAGTCAATGCATAACGGTACTGATCGCCGCTGACCGCATCGATCTGCTGGGGTATGTAGGCCATTGAGGAAATGGGTATCTGAATAGACACAGGATGTGCAGGCTGAGTAGACCTCCAATGGTGGTCAGGACATTGTTGAATCAAGGCGGTCACGTCTCGGAGGCAGTGTAACGCCTCAGGCCTCGGCCTCAGCTCGTGTGCCAAGCTTTGTGTCACAGGATAAGCACTACGGGGATATTCATAGTTCACAGAGGTAATTAATCGGATATGCGACGTTTATGCAAGAATATATTTTCCGCAGTTGGTATCACGCCAATCAAGGGATGTGCAGAACTACCTCACTTGACCTGTAACGACTCCATCCCAAACTCTCCTCCACTGCCGCGGTCAAGTTCATTAAAAGGGTCACGCATGCTTCCCGTTTTCGCGCGCCACAGTTGTGTGTACAACGCCTTTACCTTTTGAACTTCGGCGTCAACAGCCGCAGTCCTAGCCGCAAGCGAAACGAATATGGCATGTTGCGTCTGGAGGGTGGATGAAATTGCTAGGGGAATGTAAGCTGAGGATGAGGGTAGAGCGAAGGAAAGTCTAACCTTGGGGTGTATTTTGAGATTGGGATGCCGATGCGGATAGTTTCCGCTCAATTTGCTATTCAATGTATTAGAACACTTCAGAGTGTTACCAAAAATACGGCACCATACTTCGATAGTGTTTTTGAACCACTGCAGACGCTCCTGCATCTCTTGCGTGACACGGGTGAAGAATCTGGCCAGCAACATGTCAACACTTCAAGATACTTCACATCGGTGATCTACACGTACTCCAGAGGGAACGAAGCATGATTCTTGAGATATGCTGCGCTCTGATGCGGGTTTTTAAAGCCCTCGATGATGTTGGTTGCGACAATCGTGTCTTGAACTGCTTGTTCAGTCTTCACTTTCAGGTCCTTGGCGAAGAGAGAGTCCAACTGAATAACAGAGGATACACCAAGCAGCTCCTGAATCGATAAAGTCGGTAACCGAACATACTGGACATATGCAATAAAATGAGGTGCACCTTGTGCAATTCGCGAATTAACTCCTGGCCCTTGATCGCCTCTTCCCCCATTTTTCGCTGTTTAAGCTCGTTGCTTATTTGTATACGTCCCTGAATGTGCGAGCTATGCGAAGTAAGTCCTGGGACATGTTAGCGCTTATGATTAGCGTACTCGATAGTTTCAAACGTCCTCTTGATATCATCCGGAAGATCATTAAACTTCGTGGATTTTGAAAAAGGTGCAGGTCCGCTTATGGGTGTGGTACTACTCAAATGTCATTGAAGCCACCCTGAATATAAGCACCTTTGACTAACCTCATCATCCTGCGATATGTCAACACCAATTTGAATTAGAACGATGCGAAAGGAACTCACGATGATTGTCTTTGTTGCCCAAAGATCGATGTCCCCGCTGTGCTCACCCCCAGCCCGCCAGCAGGAGCTGGCTGCTGAGTATTCGTGCTCCCGAACAGTCCACCCGGCTGCTGTTGGGTGTTTCCGAACAAATTACTTGTCTGTTGCTGTGGTTGCACGGTTCCAAAGAGACTAGTCGACTGTTGCGGCTGCGTAGCTCCAAATAGACTGGTTGATTGTTGTGGTTGCGTGCTCCCAAAGAAACTAGTAGATTGTTGTGGCTGAGTGCTCCCAAAAAGACTAGTAGACTGTTGCGGCTGAGTGCTTCCAAATGCGCCGCCAGTCTGCTGCCCAGTCGCATTTGTTGTTGAAGGGTTTGCAAACAAAGATGTACCCGATGGCTGCTGTTGAGGCTGCCCAAATAGAGACGTCGTAGGTTGTTGTTGCTGCTGCTGCTGTTGCTGTTGTGCGGGCTGCCCAAATATCGAAGTCGATCCGGACGGCTGTTGCTGCTGTGTCTGTCCGAAAGCGCCTCCTCCAAACACAGAACTTCCTTGAGCAGGTTGCTGTGTCTGGGTTTGAGGTTGCGCCCCGAAGCCACCGAAGCCCGTCGTTGTGGTTCCCGCTCCGGAGGAGGGCTGCGTATTTCCAAAGAGCGAAGTGGTGGGCTTTGGCGCGTTAGATTGCCCGAAGATGGACGTGCCGGTATTACTAGTGCCAAAGACATTGGAACTAGATGACTTGAGCCGTAGGTTTGAAAACATGAATTAGAGCCTACCCTCCCCCGAACGACATGTTTGAAGATTAATTTGAATAGTCCGCTGAGGCTGAATCTCAAGACCTAGTGCGTTGACACCACTCGCTGTTCTGAACAGTGAGCAAGACTTCCAGGTTGGGCCTGTCCTGGGGTCCTAGTTTGCGGTGCCTTGTACGGTAAGTTCCGAGGAGAAGCACTCCGGGCTCACCTTGACTCACTACTCGACGAGTCACATTATTTGTTCACTGGACACGATAAAACGCTCACCACTGTCTTGACCATCGTCTTCCATAGACTTGAGCTGTGCCCCGAACGAACTGAGGGAGGGCCCACTAGTTTGTGATACCTCGTAACCCCCTGATGGGAAACACAGTTCACCCAATGCATAGTTCCTTCGTGAATGCCGACCTTGTAGAGTGTTTTCTGAGGTTTCTGCCTGACTTTCAATGCCTTGCCTCAACAATCTTGACCTCAAAGGCCATCTACAACGTCTTTCAACAACATCCTCGCTCGGTTGTTCGCTCTGTAGCTTACAACTTGGTTGGACCAGCCTTGCCACAAGCACTACGTTTCATCCGATGCAAGAATGCGCAACTATATTACAAGCCCGTTGGTGAACTCTTGGGCGAGGACGATATTCAGAAAAACCCAGTGCTTTCCAGCGAGGACATTACAAGCCTTGTGGACATTTCCACCTCCATTCAAGAGCTCGAAAGCCTGTTTAGTTGGAGGTATTTTCTGTCATCTTTTACAATCCTATTTGTCCCAAATGTTTTGTTAGAATGAAAGACCGACGATTCAAGACAAGCCAGCTCTCCTTGGCGGAGTCGACAAAATTCCAGAAAGCCATGTACAGAATGTCCTTGTTCTCGGCTGTCTATGGCCGCAATGCTCAGGAGTCAGCTATTGGATCTGACTCAGATCAAGAAGAAATCGATTCGGCACTCGAAGAAGCCAAGACACTACGAAAAGGCTTCTTCAGAAGTTTTTCCACTCCTGAGCTGAGGGATATTCAATGGGTTGAAACGTTTTTGCGAGGAGTAATCACTCGCGGTGAGGGTGTTTACTTTGCTACGATGCCACCTATAACCTGTGAGCGCAAGCATCGCCCTTCAGGCCTCAGGCTCCACCCACTCATGAAGCTCGTATAGACAGCCCTGAGTCATCATTTGTGCTATACTGTGCTCCCCACCACGTGATCGATGTATATAAGGGGGGGTTGGACTGCATCACCGAATGGGATTCCGACATCACCGAAGAAATCCTTTTCTATGACGACTTCATCATTGAGCCTTTAACCTCTAGTCCTAGTCGACAGGACAGAACAGCCTCACCTTCCTGTTACACAAAAACAGCCTATAATTGACGAAATCGTTGGAGAGCATGATCGGTGTTCGTGTCCTCCATTATTTTCGGTTGATGATTGCTCATTTGGTGACAGGCTCGCAGTGTCGATCCGATACTATCAAGTGTCTGGATCTATGGGGACCAAGTAGTAAGTCAAAAATAATAGTCTACAGCATAAACTCAATCCGTGATCACTGAAGACTGGAGCTACCTCTGGAGCACACCACCTCTCCACTCAATCGCGCGATTACTGAAAGGTCATGTCGGCGCAAATCTTGCAGATAGAGCGCATTTTTTGGCTCTGATGTGCGAGACACCAGCTGAGGAGCTTGTCGGAGGGTTGTTCGACTACAAGACGCCGGCTTATAGCACATGGAACAAAGCAGACTGGTTATGTCCACAATGCTTGGAGAATTTCATACGTGACCATCTCCATATCTGGTACTTGGGCCAGAAGGTTAAACGTAAGCCTTTTGCCCTTGATCACTTTCACGGATGTCCACTCACTTGATCCACTTGATCTCCTCAGGAGGAGACGTGATTCCAGATAACTGCTGGTACGGATATAACTGTCGTACACAAACACACAGACTAGCACATGCGCAGAAATTGAATGTGAGTTCTTGCAAACTGCCCTAGTGTCGAGGATTGAATTTATTTTGGTTATAGCACTGGTGTGAACCCACCAGGGGAGATGCCCCTCCGACCAACGTCTGAGGGTTACAGATTCTTTTATGGACCATGGTGTGTATTTTTAGGCTCGGCGCTTTCTATCCTATATGCGTAGGCCGCATATCAAAATTTAGCCGCGATTACCCACATTATCAGCCAGTATGTCTTGTCTAGCATAGTGGCTGGGACTAGCTTTGTTTGTATTCAAGGTTACCACTCAGAATGACATGCGCTAGAGTGATTTGACAAAAGCGTTTGGCGAGGCCCATTACAAAGGCTCCTGAACATAATGGACCAGTGATATTGAGCACCTGTCCGTCACAGGACGTTTTTGGAATCTAAAAACTTGAACGCTGAATACTCCATTTCGTTTTTGACTTTCATTTTATTTTCATTCCATTGAAGTTGCATTCATGGAGCCAGGTGCGTTCTTCGAATTTGCCCAAATTATATTCTCCATGGATTATACATTCTGAGACTACTTGCAAAGTGGGCTCATAGATTACAGGAAAGGGGTAGAAGATACGAATTCTCTATCTAAAAATGATTGGTCTAGACTATAATTATGGTAATTAGCCAACTGACGTGGAAAGCGAAGCCCTCGTCAGTAGCGTCTAGCAGAGCGCCATCGAGTCTGACCATCTCCTTAGTACCTGCCGCAGGCATCCGTCTCCTAGGATAAGGATCTGTTGACCGGACTAGAGGGAGGCTAGTAGAGCGGGGGCAAATGTAGCGGTTTCGAGCCTGCGAAAGCTCGGGGCTGTCGCTACCCCTACCACTCGTACTTCTCGTTCCGTTTAGGACTACTATTACTAAGCCTGTGCGAACAGTGGGAGTAAATGGCCTGCGCGATACTGCAACTGCAACCTCTTTAGGGCCAGCCAAACGCGTCAGTGTTCATGACCCACCATTGGGGGGGTAGTGCACAGTTGGGGAGCAGAGGGTTGTGGGTGGAACGAAGCTTCGTTACAAGGTTGGCCTTTATCCAACCACGAGGCCCACACACCATGGGAACCCTAATGCAACCTTTCGGAAACACCAGGAATGTTCGGGTCCGTGCGAGTAGGCGATGCTGGAAGAGAAGAAGGGCCCCTGCCATTAGGTTGCATCTCCGACGCAGCTGGTTCAAAAACAAGAGGAAGGGACATATTCTCCGTGGAAGTCTCTTCAGCGTGGTGGGCTGTGTTGTACAGCTCGTGGTACATGTGCGTTGCTGGTATTCCGTGTACCACGAACAGTAAACTACGACACAGTCAGCCAATATGTTCAGTCCAAGAAACAGCCCCTTACTCTAATGTCGTGCCTCCATACGATGCCTGCGATCACATCTTGGGTTGGATATTGAACTCAATGTGATGAACACGCACAGGAAGAGCAACCACGAGGACCACCACTGTGGTGGAAAAATGTTTTACTCACAAAGCCCACATGCCAAGTTATGTCGTGTCTGACCAGCTGGACTTGGAACGCAATGCTGTGTCCACATAGCGCCTTATCAGGGCGGAGTCTGGCGGCCCCGGGCATGTTAGTAATCTGTCAAACGCCAGACCATTATTAGCACGCCACATCCTCCACGCAGAGAGGTCCGGGATGGATCAAGTTATCGAAATCTTCATTGGTTGCCTGCGAATGTTCTGTCAGCCCATCAACTGGAACCCTGACAACGAACTAGTAGTGCCCACTGATGGACTCATCCCGAAATATTACACGGCTTCTGTGTGCCAATACCTATTACTTCCACGAAACAGGGAAGCCCAGACCATTTACTATGGAATCGGCGCAATATTTCACACCTCATACGAGATTTATGGTAATTGCAAGGGGAGGTTGTGAATAACAATTGCCTCAAGCATGGCAAATTGCCAATAAGGCACAAGTCTTTAAAGTGAAAAGGTCAGGTACACAAGAAGTGCTCTGAGGACGGTAATATGATATCTTACCTCATAAGCTAGGACATAGCAGGGGCGCTACAGGTCCAGGCACCTTCCTATGTATTGCGATGCACGATGGTTTCTTCCGTTTCTAGTGAGAATAGTGAAGTTGCTTGGGATGGACGTTCTCAAGAGTCGCGGAGGTACCATGGAGGGGGTTGCCTTGACACCAAAATACGCGATTCCATTGCTTGAGTCTTGAGATCAGTGTGCCAAAACCCTCGACTACAAGTATCCTACATGTTGGAACCGGTGATACGGAGCTTGCCCACGTTGAAAATCTGGGAAAGACGGACTTCAGCCAAACGGTTCCCTCATCCGTGGGTGTTATTAGTGTAATAACAAACAATTCGAGTCTCGGGAGGGAGGATGAATTGAACACTAAAAGGTCGCCCCTGATGACATACGACGTCGGTTCATGAATGGACCTACGTCACAAAGGTGCGGAAGCATCAGGAAACATTGATAGAAGCCTGAAGGAGAAAGGGCGAACTTAGGAAGACAGATCTATCTAGGATCCGGCTCACCGTTCAGCCGGGATGAAGGTGAGAGAAAAGGTAAGTCAAGTCCCTGACTTCTCGCATGCCGAGTATAAAGGAGAACTGTGGAAAGCGGACCGCACTGATGGCCTGTTGAGATCGTTAGGTTCGAGGTGCGGCAGACCGTGGAGAAAGAAGAGAGCCTGATAGTGACTTGGACAATTGCTTAGTCGCAGACTGTTATCAGCTCCGAACAAGGATTGCTCTGTGGTTGTTCTCATCAGCGTCTAGACATAATTTCCACGATTATTTTCCGCAACACGTGGTGTAATTAATTCCAGGCAATAAATTCGGTTAAACCCCCTCAGACCATAACTCTGTCTTTCGCTTCGAGCTTAGCCTGTGCCCCACAAGTAGCATAGCAGGTTTGCTGTTGTTCACTTCTTCTCTGCTCGGTTCGTTCCTTTCTTTCTAATCATCACCATGGCTCCCACTCTCAATCACCCAACCGGCGTTACCTTCGTCGATGATGGCCATAACCCAGTCCACGTAGATGCTGCTACATACTATGGCGGCGGCGAAGCATTCACTCGTTCGAGAACCTACAGTCATGTAAGGCGTCCTTTTCGGCGAGCATATTCTCAGTTTCTCATGCCACGTCTATAGTCACACATTCATGGGTATATCCCTAAGCGTACTCCGCTCTTCGAAGAGGATACGCACATGAGGGCTCGGCGCATGTCGCATGACGAGAAGAGCGTCACCGGCCCTCGTCGCTTCCTCATCGATGTCGAGGAGACCATTCGTGTTGTCCTTGAGCAGGAAGACACAGATGGTGATTTTCAAATCAGTATCACTGATGCGGGCCCGAAGATGATGGCCCTCGGTACGGCTACAAGCAATGGCTTCAAGACTTTTGATGTCCGAGTCAGTGTCTATGTTCATGATATCGTACCACTCTCAGTATAACTATGATTCCAGGGAACCTACATGCTATCCAACCTGTTGCAGGAGCTTGCCCTAGCCCGGGATCATGGACGCAAACGTATCGTCCTCGATGAGGCTCGTCTCTCGGAGAATCCAGTCGATCGTCTCTCTCGCATGATCAAAAACTCATTCTGGCACTCGCTGACTCGCCGCATTGATGGCGATGGCCTCGAGATCATCACTGCCGACCCTAAGAACCGTACGGGCCGCGTCCAACCTCGGATCTATGTCCCTTACGGCGAACCCGCAATGGCTGAATACTACAGAAAAGTGGCGCGTGAGAAACCACACATGAACCTTGATGTACAGGTCCTACCTCCAAAGCCTGATGATGCTGTGTTTGTCAAAAGCTTGAACTCCAAGCCGGGTCTTTTAGCGCTCGCTATGAATGAGGTTGATGACGGCAAGGGTGGCCGGACCCTGAAAGGTATTCCTTTCATCGTCCCTGGCGCTCGCTTTAATGAGGTGCCTTGCTCAGTTCACTGGATTGTTCTTACTGATTAACATCATTCGATGGCAGCTCTACAACTGGGATTCCTACTTTATCTCCCTAGGCCTCCTTGTGGATGGCCAAGTGACCATGGCGAAGGGCATGGTTGATCACTTCATATTTGAAATCAAGCATTACGGCAAGATTTTGAATGGAAGCCGGAGTTACTATTTGTGTAGGACGCAGCCTCCATTCTTGACAGACATGGCGCTGCAAATCTACAATCAGCTAGATCGCTCAGATGTGGAGTCTAATCGACAATGGCTGAAACGCGCAATTCAAGCCGCCATCAAAGAGTACCATACCATCTGGGTCGCGGAGCCCCGCATTGACCCTAAGACGGGGTTGTCTAGGTACCGCCCCGACGGTCTTGGAATTCCTCCTGAAACTGAGGCGACCCACTTCACGCATATCCTTGAGCCTTATGCTGAGAAGCACGGCATCTCGGTACTCGAGTTTAGCGAGAAGTACAACAACGGAGTTCTGAAGGAGCCTGCGCTGGACGAGTACTTCTTGCATGATAGAGCTGTGCGCGAATCGGGTCATGATACGACGTACAGGTTTGAGAAGCGGTGTGCGAACCTTGGGACGATCGACCTACAGGCACTACTGTACAAATATGAAGTCGACATCGGCACGGCCATCCGGGAGGTGTTTGATGATGAACTCGAGCTCGAGGAGGAATTCGACTTGGCACCCTTCCCGCCTTCTGTTGAAGCATATCGCAACCCCTACCGCGAGTGCTCAACCAGTCGGTTACAAAATAGCGAAGAGTGGTTTGAGAGAGCCGATCACAGGCGGGAGATGATCGACAAGTACCTATGGAACGAGAACAAGAAGCTGTACTTCGACTACGATACAGTTTTAGAGAAGCAGAGCCTGTATGAAAGTGTTACTGCGTTCTGGGCGCTCTGGGCTGGTTGCGCGAGTGAGGAGCAGTGCTGGAAACTTGTGTAAGTCCAGTTGGCTTCCTTCGTAAACATATCTAACTTGACGTAGTTCGCAGTCGTTGAAGAGGTTTGAAGTACTCGGGGGTCTTGTTTCTGGGACCGAAGAGTCTAGGGGTAAAATTTCCTTGGACAGGCCAAACCGGCAGTGGGATTACCCGTGCGTTGATGTCTCCTTGATTGTGCATACAGTAAATCTAATAATTTCCAGCTATGCATGGCCTCCTCACCAAATCATGACTTGGGTCGGGCTAGAACGCTACGGCTACCTAGAAGATGCTCAGCGATTATCGTACAGGTTCCTTTACATGTGCGTGACCTTATTTCGTCTGATTCGTACTGAGTTGACTTGATTACTGTAGGATGACCACAGCGTTCGTTGACTTTAATGGTGTTGTACCTGAGAAGGTATGTGATACCAGCAGTGACTTCTGTATGCTACTAATGAGAATGTTCGTCAGTTTGATGCAGTGAAACTTTCACACTTGGTGGATGCTGAGTACGGCAATCAAGGTTTAGATTTTAAGATGGTTCCTCGTGAAGGCTTTGGTTGGATGAACTGTGCGTTTTGGTTCATCCCCATGTTTGCCAGCTAATCGATGATCACAGCCGCTTACCAGGTGGGACTGTCTTTCTTAACGACGCACATGCGTCGCGCAGTCGCAACGTGCACCAGCCCAGAAATCGTCTTTGGTTCATCAGCAAACCTTGAAAATGCCGTCGCTCAAGCGGCACACGCTGCCACTGATCCTCTTGGCCTTGCGATGGAGTCGTTGGACATTGACAGTCTACCTGCTTAAGCGTTCAGCACGATGTCTGTTTGGTTTTGCCTTGATATTATAATGTGATGTCTAATGTAATGTGCCCTGTGGTCTGCGACAGTACTCATCTAATACATCTCGGATCAGATTTAGATTTCCCATTTCTTTTTTTTTTGCATTTTTCACTTGTATCTTCTTACTCATAGTCACATATCATGAATAAAGCTTCAATAAAAGGCCCCGGGAATCTCTTGATGAGTCAGCAATGCATGCTTTTCTGCAACGTTTATGACTCGCTGTGATGTCCGATGCTCCCAACAACTTTGACGGCCCTCCTCGTCCTCCTCCTTGATCTTTTCCTTGACCGTGGCCAGCGGCTGCAAAATTCTCATTTTGAAAAATCCCTGCAATTTGAGTTGCGGCACGAACATACTGTCTCACCCGATGCACGTGTGGTGTTCTCCGACGTGCCATCGACTGTGAGCCTTGCCTACGGCAATGAATCATCCTATTCGATAGACACACAGTATATGACCTCATATCGTCCATCAAGTTTCAGCGCCCACAGCGATGCGAGGATCCGTTCTATGCGGCACGCACAAAGTGCGATTTTGCCCTGGTACGAAACCGAAATACTGGGACCGAATGTCGAGAAGCGGGAAACACTACTAGAACTCGCAAAAATGACAAATAATGCCTATGTAACCCCCGACGATAGCCAGTGGTACGAACTTGGCGAGAACTGGTCCAATGTTCGTAGCTTTCCTTAAATTCTGCATGCACATTATCGTTAAAGAACTTTTCAAAGCCTTATCCATTTGGATGGGAACCAGATGCTGATGGGTTCCGAGGTCATGTGTTTGCGACGCCCGACAACACTACCATCATTCTATCCATCAAAGGCACTTCTGCAGCCGTGTGGGGAAGCGCAGGTCCGACTGCCAAGAAGGATAAATTGAACGATAACCTACTGTTTAGTTGTTGTTGTGCTAGAATTGACTGGACTTGGACGACCGTATGCGGGTGCTATCGTGGAGGGTGGAAATGCAACCAGAATTGCCTAGAGCAGGCTCTAGTGGAAGATAGTCTATTTTACCCCCTTGGAACGGTAGGCCTATCATTGACGTGTGAATCCATTACTCATTTAAATCAGAACTTGTATAATAATCTAACATATATGTACCCGACGTCGGATATCTGGATCATAGGGCACTCGCTAGGTGAGTATCTTTTGTTGTAGTTGGCGATGTGTTTACTCACCTGGGAGAGAAGGTGGTGCGGTGGCTTCCCTTCTTGGAGTTACGTTTGGTGTCCCTGCTATTGCCTTTGAGTCACCAGGGGAGCGACTAGCTGCTAGGCGGCTGCATTTGCCATCGCCGGTGTGTAATTCTAATGTGCCTATCATGCTAGTGGTAACTGATTAATCTTAGCCATCAACTCATCATGTCACGCACGTATATCACACTGCAGATCCCATTGCGATGGGAACCTGCAATGGAGTTTTATCTTCTTGCGCCTTAGGCGGGTTCGCAATGGAAACTAAGTACGTTTTCTGACATTTGTGTTACCCGCGTATCTGACATGGCCTAGGTGTCATCAAGGCAAATCCGTTGTCTACGACACTGTGTCAAACCTTTCTTGGTCTGTAGACATACGCAAACATGGGATCGTCAGTGTTATAGAAGAAATACTGGGGACGACCTGGCAACCCAGCGAAAATGTCGGTCGGGAGGTTCCACTCGCTGTAGCTGAAGAAGATTGTGTGGTCAGTAGTCATAATTGTATTCCCTATGGCACTCGGCTGACATTGTGAAACTTGCAGGAATGTTATAGCTGGGAGTTTGGCGATTTCCCCCTGTAGATACCGTGGCTGTCGTGAGCCAGAACATACCCATACCCTAATTTATCACGCATACCGGCACTTATCACAAAGCTTGACAAACTTTGGTCGAGTACTGTAATCTGTAAGCAGAAAGCACTTTGGAGGAAAGCGGCGCACTTGGAATATGTTTAGTGCTTTGAGGTGAACTGTTCCAGGAATAGGTGATTCACCCGTTTGCTGCATATCAACCTTTTCCATTCCTTCTGACTTTTCTAATCTCGTGCTGGCTGATTGTCACCTCGTGAAATTCTCACTGGGAATCATGCATGCAACTTGTATCCCCGGAAGGGGGTGTCAGATCTGCGGCATGTCCTCTTTGTGCTGATTTAAAACACACTTTTTCATTTGACCAATTGTGCACAAGTAGGTCCGACTTTCCAGCTCAGACAATAGAAGGCCCGAAGACGGTTGTTTTTTCTAGCTCTTCCCCATGCAGATGTAATCCTCCTTTCAGCGTAAACTTTTGTTCGCTGTTCAAATCAATACCCACTGCGCAACCCTGCTCCGTACGTCATTCTCACGCTTGCACGGCGCGCACCTTCGTTTGTACACACGCGGCTCATTGTCCTTCATGGAGTTACCCTCAGCCAACCTGATCTCACTTCCCATGCCAATTTGTGACTAACTCCTCTTGGTTCAATATTGAAGTTACAGATCCCACTCGTATACTGACTCCAACTCGCACCCCGTCATCTCCAGAGAACAGAACTTTAGGCCAATGCAGCAGAGTTCAGTGTGATCATTATCTCATTATTCGGCAGAATTTGTAACGCTAGGTCCTTAATCTCAGGGACTAATCAACGAAGGAGCGCAGGTCATCAGTAGGGGAATCCTTCAATCCACGAAGAAGACGCAAGGTCTGCATAGTACTGCATGATTTTGCCACACTCGCTTTCGAACACTCTCATCTTCATACTAAATAGCCACAGCCATCTGCACACGAGTTCGATGTATGACTGCAATTTATGTGACAAAGTACTAGCTGTTTCCTACTACATACGTGAAGCTGAAGTGATGCGTAATCCTATGCTGGTCTACACGGTACTACTAGTTGACACGTATGTACGTTCCTGGAAGGCAGGCGAAGTCATGTACATGCTTGTGTCGGACTCGTTCACGAGCTTAACGCTATATTCTCGGACGCTAAGAATGAGGCGTGGTCCCATCACAAACATCTGCACGTTCAAGAAAAATTGAAGAATGCCTTCATATATCTGAGTTTCTATGGTAGTAGAGGCCTGCAGAAATGATGAGCAGGGTCACATGCAATGTCAGTGACAGATTGGCGAACCGAGATTTGTGAAGAGTTACGGCCAAGCTCGAGGCAAGCAACAGCAAGAAAGCTAGCACGTGCTCAGCAGCAGAAGATAGGCGCTTTGAGCTTACGAGCTCACCCTGCAAAGTAAATCAAGTGAGATTTGATCAGACAGTCTCCGATGGTTGATCCTATCGATGTTCCAAGTCGTCGCAAGTCACGGAGTTGTTTGGCAGTAATCCAGAGTGCAAGACACAGTGCAAGGACCTCCCATGCAGCTGTGATGATCCAAGTTATTACTGAGAGAAGTTTGTAATTTCCCTCGAAGTTATAACTGCATGTATAGGTGCCAGAAAGTATCGCCTCCTCTGGTATTTGTCCAATGAGCCCCATCTTCCAGTTCAATAAATAAATCTTACCCCCGACAACATGCTTCAATATCATCGCCGCTATCACTCCGCAGGAAATATTTACAGCCAGGAAGATTACGACGAGAAAGGTAAGCATCTTTCTAGATCCATGATACATGGCATATAAACGAGCAATCATGATGGCTATCATAGTGTTTCAATAGTCAATATCACTGAGGATTGCAGTCGCGGACTCACCGTCCAGCATGACAGCTACGATCACAGTTATCCAGCTTCTTGCGGACAACATGATATTGCCTAAAACACTCATTACTAATCCCCTCATATGATCAAACATCGCAAAAAAAAATCACATCTATTGTGGTCATTATGTTGAACCAAGGTCAACCAACATGCTCATAGAGGATCTCACTCACGCCTACACAAAATTGCAGTTAATTAGACGGGAATACGAGGCATGGATACAGAATACTCACCGCATCTGACACTGAGACTGACGGTGTGCCTGCATGCGCCGACGGTCAGAACTTAAAGAAACCAACAGTGTATATGAGATATACTCAGGATAAGTATCCTGATTGCGAAAAATGGGTTATTAAGTGCACAGCATCACTTTGTCAACCTTGCACACGTACACAGCATTCAGTAGTCCAACATAACGTATCTAGGGTATTTTTCGAGTCAGCACAACTTTTCAACTGCGCTCATAACATGAGCTACGTACACTAAGGTATAAGATAGACATCAAGGACCAGCGTTGCCTCTGTTCTGAATTATCTGCTGTTCTTTGGATATGGGACTCTGCTCACCCAAATCAATTCGATCTATAACATCACTCTTAGCAAGATGTTTGCTCCAGTAATGATATCCACTCACCTCTTTCCAAGCGTCAGGACTGGAAACATATTAAGGATTTCAGCGATTTCTCGAATCCTCACCATATCGCTCACCATAATCGTATACCACCGCAGTAAAGGCAGAAACTGCGAAACATAGTTTAATTTAGATCATGACACCACCGACAACAAGATAAGCGCGAACTTAGAAAATAACTGAAAATACGAATGAAATAGATTGTCGGCCACAAGCTAGGATCATTGGAAACTATGGTCATATTTGAGGAATGTGGAACAGTGAGCTGGGAACTTCGCGGTCATATAACTATGGCGTTCACGTTAGATATACTATCTCCACTGTCCAGCGCTTGTATCGCCAAAGTCAGTATGACAGGACTGGGGATCGTTCCTGGCTGATGGAATCAAAGATTTGGGGTTGTGGATACTATGCACAGCCTGAGTGTCACGGGCCACACCTGGTGTTATTCATTCTCGAGATAATCTTGCCGCGCTTGTATGGATATAGATTTTTACGAGTGAAATCTTGTAACCAGCGGCATTTATCTGACACAGGTCTGGACCAAGTCTGGACATAATATGAAGACCATCAATCATGATTCTCGATAAGAACCTAGTACAGGATAATGATCAATGGGCACTGCTGTTCAATTATATAAAAACAACACATTAAAGAACTCACTGGCAGGTGGCGTGAAGCGCAGCGTGCATGCTGTGCAGCTTATCTCTCGATCGACGCGAGAGTCATTGGTAGTACTATCGCGCACTTGGTGTTGTATCACAATTTATTGAAGTTCGCTTTGGAGCGTCATAATGAACATGATGGTCATTAAAATATTGGCCTATGAGTTTCTGCAATAGTGGGCCACTGTTATCAGCTGTAGTGACATGATACTATAGCCTGTCAAGTATCATATTAGTATGTGATATTTTCGAGGCGCAATACCCGGAGTGAGTCCGAGTGACCATGATACGCCGGCGCGTGGTCACAATTCCCGAGTATGATGACACGAAAGAATCATCGGTCTATCTTCCTTCTAATCTCGATAGAGTGAATTCGTGTCGCCGTCGAGTCTGCCCAGCGAATCACTGGAATCGAGCTGGAAATGTTTGCGTGTACCCAAGAAAGAACTCGTGAGAACCGTTCATGACAGCTACCGACGGTCCGTGGCGAAAATATCCACCACACAGTTTCTGGGGTCCTGGACGCATTGACCGGTGCATTTGGGCATTGTCAGTTGTTCGACTGCATACTCGCATTGTATATCAACCATGCCAGTGATTGATGTATCTGTTTCGCTGTCCAACGTCTTTAATCCGAAACTTCCGTCATGCGTCGCCAAGCTCGGTCACGACGAACTTATTCTCATAGAACTACAAGGCACGCTCGATATCGAGTGCGATGAAGACACCACTAGAGACGGGCAGTTCGTTGGCAAATTGAACCTCAACGACACTGTGAGTGAAGTCATTTACAGTCACTGATCTGGCAGTATCTAACAGACCTAAGAACAAACCCACGCTGACAATCGGACATCATCTACTTGAGGGCAAGATCGTAACCTTACCTAAGCCATTGGGCGTCATGCATCGCAAGGAAAGCTCCAAGAGACAGGGCGGCTATCCTACCGACGGAGATAGCTCTAGATCGGTGGAAGACACTTGGAACCCTGGCGTTAGCTGGGGCATTGTTGCCGTGGTGAAAAAAAAGATTGTATTCTCCAAACGACCCATGCCGATCCTGAACTCGGACGGTAGAAGCAGGGTTTGAATTGGATGAAGATGTACAATTCTTGATACGACTGTCGTCGTGCGACCGCGATGGAGCGTGGTTGGCATGCTCCAATCGATGTACAGGAATCATCATTCAGCGAAGCTACCAGGGCCAGAGCAGCTTCCACGATCACCAGTCTATCACCAACAGAGCGAACAAACCTGCGACTGAGGTCACGACCTATTTTCTATACACGATGTTTGACCTGACCCTCGGGGGGAATAGCATTATATACGGTGGCAACGTCAGGGTGACATATACGATGGGATAATGAATCAAGGATATGTCTTACTATCAAACATTGTGCCGTCACAGGCTCAGCTTCAGGAAACATCCTAGTGCATCCTCTTTGAATGACGTTCACACTCTTAGATACTTATCGGTCAGGCACAGCCAATATGCAATTCAGGTCTCTTAAGGAGCAGCCGCTGTTTCGATGGATACCTCCAACGTCTCGTGACGGGGTGAGAGACATACCAGTTCATTGCTCGAAAAGGATGAAGAGAAAGGGGTGAAAGACAGAATTTCACACCTGAGTTAATGCTTCAGGTGAAAATGTATGTAAGGATTCTAATGAAGCACGCTGCTGGTCTACTTTCCAGAGTTCACGAGACATCCTCGTCACAAGAAAGGCATGAATAGTAACTTGCCAGATGCGTACAAACTTCACGATCATGAAACCATAATATTCCTGTGAAGTTTTACTTGTCAATACACATGGCTCTATTCATCTTTCGCACCACTGACCTTGAAAAGTGCTGTCGTTAATATGACTACGAGTGAGGAGACTTTATATCATGATTCAGAAAATTTGCACATGTACTTGAAAATCTGTCAATGTGAAGGCAACTCACTCAGTCCGCAGGTCATGTAAATCGTATTGTGGAGAACCAGTTGTCCCAGCAGGCGATTGTGGGTTCCCTCTCGCCAGTAGCTTGCTATGGCCTTGTATAGCATGAATATCCATATTTCTGGGGGACCCTCAATTACTATAGGAAATGAGTGAGGTTGTGAAGCTGTACTCACGTATCTCCATCGCAGCCAGTATCACGTAGATGATTATGATGGTGCTGCCATCACCAGTCTCAAAGCAGCTCGTGACAGGGATGGGAGACTTCGTAACTGCAAGAACGTTTCAGCGCAAGTCACTTTTGAAATTCCAAAAAACACACTCTCAGGTGCAGCAGATCGGCTGATTGAGAGCACCACATGGGTAGCAAGAAGGTATATCTGACAGTTGCAATTCAACCGACATGGAGTGAACCCAGTAAAGCTTGCGACTGACTAATCCGAGGCTGATCACGAGCATAACTGTTACGCGCCTCCCAAGTTCCCAAATTGCACAAGCGCGAGTCAAGAAGATACCTTGCAGGTCTTTGTCAACGAATCTGCAGATATGAGGATATGAAAGAACAAACCCTCGGCACACGCCATAATCGCACATCCTGTATCTATGAAAAATCCCTATCAGAGACGGCTTTGCTTGAACAATATATAGTAAGATCGCACATGTGTTTACATTGTACAACCTGTGACACGTCTGTCATGACACTTGAGTTGAGGTATGAGTTGAGGATCTTTAAACTACTCACATCAATCGACAACGTGGGTTGCACTGCCACTGCAAGTATCATAAGCAAAAATAATCAATGCCATCGAGGGCTGTGCTTGCTAAGCATCACCGATGACAAGTAACCGCAGGTAAGGTATCGGCAGCTAATGTAAAGCAGCTTCGCCCATTTCCATCGTGACTGAGTCAAAAATGCAACCTGTAATCGATTATGTCTCTCAGTATTGATTCGGACAGGTAGAACAAAAGTACCTCGTCGGCTAAGGTGAGGAAGTAGTCATATACCTGCAGTGACAAAGATCACTAATATCTGTAAGTGGGAGTGATTCATGTGAGTTTACCCAGAACGAAGTTACAGCCACTAGATTAAGGATGTCGTAGACGAGATTATATCAGTCGCAGGCCACACAACTTGAACTAGGGTGCAGACCATTGGCATACTTGAGACATTATAAGCAGCTGGAACTGAACAATGAATTACTTACATTGAGGCTCCAAAGCACTCGTCCGAGCTGAAGCACGTCTGAGTCGCCAGGGGAGTTCATTGCCGTGCACGGCTGTTTACAGTGCAGAAGTGGGGATTCCGAGTCTTCTCATGACTCTGGCACTTATGTATGAACCTCGGGTACCGCCACGGTGTTTAAGGTTAAAGAAAATTAGAGTGCACAGGCGGCCAGTACCCTGTTACCATTCTGAAGTAGACCGCCTTGGGAAACACAAATCCCTGAACACATCGATGAATTACATCAGTGGCAAAGACCTCAACCACCGTTCGGTAAGGTCCGTAAGGATATATATGTCATTTTTAAGTTTAAGTTTCACCGCCGTACCTATTCTACGCTGCTCTGCCACGTTTGCGTCACTCTCTTCATGGAGCTAGCTGCTCTGAATTCTGCCCTCAACCCCTCCAGGGCCTCCACGCGCTTTCGCTTCCTACACCCTACGGAGATCAGCACCGACGGCCACAGTGACATCGATTGGAGTCACCGCATCGACGCTTACGGTCGAGCGCGTCCCTTGTTTTCGCTTGAGCTTTCCAAAAGACGCGCTTCCCCATACATCACTTTTTAGGTTCATCCTCATGTCCCTGTCTCCCTCCTGTCTACCATATAGAACTTGGGTGTGTAGTGTAGCGCCTCCTCGACAGTGTTTTGTCGTTTACATATGATGAAATTTGAACGAAGTTAGATTCTCGTTTCCAAGGACAAGAACACGTATGCACGAAGAGAGCTGCAAGTTAGAAGAAGAAGAAATCTAGGATGCAGTGGAAATCACTGAAGAAAGAACGTGAAGGCTATGCCAATAGTAGTGACTGATAAGGAAGATGTATGAGAAGAAGCAACGAGGGAGGCGATGTCGACTGGGAGCGCGATGGGGACTCGTCCGGCGCTGGATTTGGGCTGCAGGTCCCAAGAAGCAGCGGGAGCGGGGTTGGTCAGAGCAGCTTCCACGATCACCAGTCTATCACCAACAGAGCGAACAAACCTGCGACTGAGGTCACGACCTATTTTCTATACATGATATTTGACTTGACCCTCAGGCCTCAGGGGGAATAGCATTATCTCCGGTGGCAACGTCAGGGTGACATATACGATGGGATAATGAACCAAGAATATGTATTACTATCAAGCATTGCGCCGTCACAGGTTCAGCTTCAGGAAACATCCTAGTGCATCCTCTTTGAATGACGTTCACACTCTTAGATACTTATCGGTCAGGCACAGCCAATATGCAATTCAGGTCTCTTAAGGAGCAGCCGCTGTTTCGATGGATACCTCCAACGTCTCGTGACGGGGTGAGAGACATACCAGTTCATTGCTCGAAAAGGATGGAGAGAAAGGGGTGAAAGACAGAATTTCACACCTGAGTTAATGCTTCAGGTGAAAATGTATGTAAGGATTCTAATGAAGCACGCTGCTGGTCTACTTTCCAGAGTTCACGAGACATCCTCGTCACAAGAAAGGCATGAATAGTAACTTGCCAGATGCGTACAAACTTCACGATCATGAAACCATAATATTCCTGTGAAGTTTTGCTTGTCAATACACATGGCTCTATTCATCTTTCGCACCACTGACCTTGAAAAGTGCTGTCGTTAATATGACTACGAGTGAGGAGACTTTATATCATGATTCAGAAAATTTGCACATGTACTTGAAAATCTGTCAATGTGGAGGCAACTCACTCAGTCCGCAGGTCATGTAAATCGTATTGTGGAGAACCAGTTGTCCCAGCAGGCGATTGTGGGTTCCCTCTCGCCAGTAGCCTGCTATGGCCTTGTATAGCATGAATATCCATATTTCTGGGGGATCCTCGATTACTATAAGAAATGAGTGAGGTTGTGAAGCTGTACTCACGTATCTCCATCGTAGCCAGCATCACATAGACGATTATGATGGTGCTGCCATCACCAGTCTCAAAGCAGCTCGTGACAGGGATGGGAGACTTCGTAACTGCAAGAACGTTTCAGCGCAAGTCACTTTTGAAATTCTAAAAAAACACACTCTCAGGTGCAGATCGGCTGAGTGAGAGCACCACGTGGGTGGCAAGAAGGTATAGCTGACAGTTGCAATTCAACCGACATGGAGTGAACCCAGTAAAGCTTGCGACTGACTAATCCGCTGATCACGAGCATAGCTGTTACGCTCCTCCTAAGTTCCCAAATTGCACAAGCGCGAGTCAAGAAGATACCTTGCAGGTCTTCGTCAATGAATCTGCAGATATAAGGATATGAAAGAACAAACCCTCGGCACACGCCATAATCGCACATCCTGTATCTATGAAAAATCCCTATCAGAGACGGCTTTGCTTGAACGATATATAAGATCGCACATGTGTTTACATAGTACAACATGTGACACGTCTGTCATAACACCTGAGTTGAGGTATGAGTTGAGGATCTTTAAACTACTCACCTCAATCGACAACGTAGGATGCACTGCCACTGCAAGTATCATAAGCAAAAATAATCAATGCCATCGAGGGCTGTGCTTGCTAAGCATCACCGATGACAAGTAACCGCAGGGAAGGTATCGGCAGCCAATATAAAGCAGCTTCGCCCATCTCCATCGTGACTGAGTCAAAGATGTAACCTGTCGATTATGTCTCTCAGTATTGATTCGGACAAGTAGAACAAAAGTACCTCGTCGGCCAAGGTCAGGAAGTAGTCATATGCCTGTGGTGACAAAGATCACTAATATTTGTAAGTAGGAGTGATTCATGTGAGTTTACCCAGAACGAAGTTACAGCCACTAAATTAAGGATGTCGTGGACGAGATCATATCAGTCGCAGGCCACACACAACTTGAACTAGGGTGCAGACCATTGGCATACTTGAGACATTATAAGTAGCTGGAACTGAACAAAGTTATTACTTACATTGAGGCTCCAAAGCACCCGTCCGAGCTGAAGCACGTCCGAGTCCGAGTCGTCACGGGAGTTCATTGACGTGCACAATTGTTTACAGTGTAGAAGTGGGGATTCCGAGTCTTCTCATGGCTCTGGCACTTATGTATGAACCTCGGGCACCGTCACGATGTTTAAGCTTAAAGAAATTAGAGTGCATAGTACCCTGTTAGTACCATTCTGAAGTAGACCGCCTTGGGAAACACAAATCCCCAGTGGTAAAGACCTCGACCACCGTTCGGTAAGCATATATTCTTAAGTTGTTGAAGTTTCACCGCCCTCGCGCTACGCTTGGAATTCTGCCCTCGACCCCTCCACGCGCTTTCGCTTCCTACCGTAACCCTACGGACATCAGCACCGATGCCCGGTCTTGATGCGCTAGAAATCAACCGACGGCGACGACATAGCCAGGCTACAGCAGGTCCCAAGAAGGAGCGGGAGCGGGATTGGTGCCAGGATGCAAAGAGATGGCGATCTTCACAGGCACCACTAGGGTTGCAAAAAAATGACATGCGCAAAGACTGCGAACTCGACGCTCGAGTAGGACAACGAAGACATGGGACCAGGTTTCTTCCGACACATGTTTGCGGGGTCCGACCTTTACTAAATAACAAGCGCCAGGAATGGTAACAGGTCACACACATCACTCGGACCTGTCGGCTCATACTGGATATCCTGGGTTTCAATGATGGCATACTAGCAAAACACCTGAGTCGCTTTACATACGACACACCGACGAGACTCTTGGCGCTGTCCCATCCTTTCACTTGGTAGCTCAGGGGTATATCACTCGATACGACTGGGGGCAACACCGTGATTACATACTTGCATGCACCGAGCAGTGTGTAGGCCTTCCATTCTGTGACTTGATTCCTTAGACATTCTGTTTAGAAGGGAACGTAAGAGCCGGTCTACGAGTCTCGACCCATTTACAGTGTAGTCGGCCAATCGGCATCGTTCTATTGCCTATCTTTCCCTATGCCGTATCGTGTAGTAGAGGCTCGACATGCTATGTACCATGACAGTCATAGAATGACATGCCAGGGCCAAAGTGACGTCGTGACGATGAACAGACACGCGCAGGGATATGCTATTAATATTGAATTATTTGTCCATCGCACTAATCTACAGCGAACATCATGGGAGGTCCGAATCAGAATGTCGGTCTGATTCCCATAGTTTGAGATTCATCTTTGTTACTAGAAGTGCATGAAACACGACTTGAGCACTAGAGAATGCTTGAGCTTGGTTAACTAAAGCTGATGAACGAAACGTACCTAGCCATCCAATTACCATACGATGCCTTGGGATGTCACGTCAACACAGATTTCGATTTCCAGTAAAGAGGAAGCTCTGACCTGCAATAGGGCCGTAGTTAAGATGACAAGAACAGAAGAACCTAAAAGATTTTTCAGTAACCTATCTTCATGTTCTAAACAGACCATTCCTCACACAATCCACAAGCAAAGTAAAATATGTTGTGCTCGATGAGGATCTCGAGCAATCGATTCTCGCCACCCCACTTTTTTAAGCTTTTCGTGGCTTTGTATAGGGAAAATAACACGATTTCTGTACGGCGTCAAAATATGCTTTTCAAGATTGACAGGATGAAAGCTCACGCAATTCTGCGAGAATAAGTAGACTATATGCCGCGACGATGACGTCATTCTCCCCGGCATCAAAGCAGCTTACAGAGGGCATCGGCATTATCATCACTAGATGTATATAGTGATCAATGAACGTCAACGAGAGCAGGTAGATGGGGTACTTACTTATCGTTGACGACGTATGCATCTTCATGATCACGATACCCAATATGATATAGAGCTAAAAGAATTGGGTTGAATACAAAAACACAAGATTTAGCCACATACTGCTGTACTGATCGTAAAAAACAGAACAACCGATCGTTTGTTTCCCCAAAGTACACATGTACGTGCAACAAATATACCTGGAAAAGAGCGTGAATGAGATTGCAAACATGGAGCGTGTTCAAAGCATACATTCCGCGCAGACCAATATTACACCACCAATGTCTAGGAGCGCGTAGGCGTTAATATCTTAAATGAACGATCTGCCACAAATACTGACAAGTGTCCAAAGTATAAAATATCTGGCACAGCTGACCCCAGAAAATCAGCCTCGGAGGTAGCAAGAAGTATGCTGAACTCACAGATACGGTCTGTGATGAAGCGGGTTGTACCCACACTAGGAAACCCAAAGTTTACTAATTAGACAGCGAAGAGATTGCACATTCGACATACCGATCATTCCCAAAGTCACGAAGACAAACGGGAGATAACGACAGACCAAGTATAGGAATTTAATCATGCACCATCGTCCATGGAACAGATAAGTGACCTGGGGTTCAAACGAATGTTCAGACAGGCAATTGACATACGGACTCCTAGTAACGTACCTCGCTCGAGATCCTGATCAAGTAGTCGTACACCTATATCAAAGAAAGTTGTTTAATACCCAACAAAAAGTAGAGCGCTAGTATTCACCAAGACACATGCTATGGCCACTAATTTGGACAATCAGTTGCGGTCCATATCAAGTGTGCATAGAGACAGTTACCATTAGCGTACTGGTCAAGTTGATGAGCCACCATCACTAACTCGTACTGGAAGTACTTACATTCAGGCGTAATAACACAATACCCATCTGGGTTAATTCGAGTGAGGAGTAGTCTGAGAGTGAGCTCATCACAATTATCACTAGTAGTCGTAGAATAGGAGAATTAAGAATTAAGGAATGCAATATTACTCGCGCTGAAGTGACTGAATGAAGGAGAGTTAAAAATTAAGGGATGCAATATTACTCGCGCTGAAGCAGCTGAATATAACTCAAGCAAGTCGATGCGCTTCCAGTGCATACCAGTGTCTAAAAGGCGCTTGTGCAATGTATAAACGGCACGTCATACGAGGAACGTTGGACCTGACCACGTTCCGCTATACGATCAGCCTATCAAAACTCGACATTCAATTGGCAAATACTTTGATAGATCCCGGGCCCTGGTTTTCACAACGGAAAGCCTGCGTCTATGAGGTACCGAGCATCTGTCCGAAAGGGTCATCCCTCCGGCTAAGACCAGTCCGGAGCAGCGTGTGGCGCTACGGTGGATATATCTGCAGTCCGCCGACCATCCATTTTATTGGATAGAACCAGTGATCATAGGCAAGGCATAGTACAACTTCGGAAATTTGAGCTGATAAAGGCGCATATTTCCGTGGCTGGTCCTAGTTTCGCATGTTGGGGCAGAGGTCGATTGCATTTTGGAAAAAAAATAATCTGCGACATGGTCGACCAGGTCCCATATGGTGGAAATACACTGGGAATTGCTCGTACGTCAGCTCCACATTCTCTGCGCTTGATAGTCATGCCACGAGCGTCGTGAAAGTGGCTGAGGGTGAGACCTTTACCATGGTCCGTCGGGGAACCGGTTCAAAGTTCGCCTGTATCTATCCCAGAAAAAGGAACGGTAAGGTATCCTGAACCGCAGTCATGCAGTCCTGTGTTGAACATGGGCGTCAGCTTAAAGTTATGAACCAAAGATATCACTGCAACGCCTGCTTGTGACAGTAATACAGCCACATAGTACCTGAAAAGAACTTCGGGAATGGCATCCAATGACAAGCTTCGTATAAACCTCATAAAGCGCGCAATGGATAACTCGGTAAACGTATCGTCGCGGTAGAGCGCTTGAGCAAATTGGGTTAACTAGCAGTTAAGGATTTACGATTTTGATTGGCTGACCGTAAAACAGCCATGACGTAATCAGCAATAATATGTGATTAAGTAAGCTAAGCGAAAGTATTGCATTTGCCAACGTCTCTTCCCTTCTTCTTCATCTTATACCTCATCACTCTGCTCAAATCAATTATCCTATCTTGTTCTCTTTAATCATGTCTACCTTCCCCATCTTTCACACCCTAAACAGTGGAGCTGGCTTCCCTGGACTATCCTCCTACCCTGCTGAGCAGATATCATTAGCCCCTATGGAGCAACCCCTGTATGATCCAAAAGCCGCCGACCTTGCTGCGCTGGATTTAATACCTGAAGATGACTGGCTTAAAATTCTGGGGCTCCAACCCTCATCTGCGCCTGGTGCATATTGGATGCATGTGGACTCTCCTCCCATTGCGGAGGAGTCGCTCTCAGACGTCCAAAATGATTTCACCGCTGCCATTCGCATAAAGGTTTCCCATCCTCGGGTAGCTCATGCGTGTGATCACTGCAGGCGCAGAAAAACAAAAGTGAGTTCTCTTTTCATTCATTCCACTTTGTCTGACGTTTTGGGCACAGTGTTCGGGGGATCAGCCAGTGTGTGCGAGCTGCAAGAAAAGAGGCAAGGTGTGCCAGTGGACTCCTATCAAAACCACTAAAGAGCGACGAAGCCGGAAGCCTTATGACGTTGGTTCTGAATACCGCCCTCGAGCAAGTGCATCTGCACCGTCTGCCCCGTATATTGCGGCACCTAGGGCGACTTATCCGAGCGTTATGCTCCCGAATCCGATGACCATTTGGTCTATCGAGGATGCTATGTCTGCAGCGCAGGCTAGTACGATTTCGAATGCGTCCTCTAGTCGGAGCGAGCCTTCTTTTCAAACACCCACTGGCTGGAGTGCTCAGTATGATTCGGACTACGATGTTCAATGGATCCCATCGCCTCCTTCCTCCTGTCCTTCATTGGGGAGTGATGACTTATCTCGCGAATCGTCGCCTTTGGACACGCCCACGCGCGCCAACTCAACACCTGACTCAATATATCTTTCTGGGGAGGAGCCGGCGCAGAATTTCGACGACATCGATGATTTCTTCAAAGATCTATATCAAGGTCTATCTCCCGAGTGGTCTTCTGTCTTACAAAGCTGGCCGGAGATGCCTTTTGCTCAGTAAGCGCCATTGCCACGTCATTTTTCGTGGGTTTGCAGTATGGACGCTTTTGCGATACCTGTAGGCCCATATAGAGATGTGTAATGAAAATAAAACACTTTTATTTCATAACTTGAGTTATTTTTACTTGAAGCGCATTTCGTGAGAGGAATTCTTGGCTGGAAGATTCCACGTACATCTTTTCAGTGAATTTGACAATTTTCCGAAGCAGTGCACCTCCCACAGCAAGGTACGAGCAAATTCAACTCAGTGAAGACCTCGCTCACCGCATGGACCTTATGGACACATGATCAGTCTATTGATATTTTCGCTCTCTTTCTTGTAAATGAGGTACAGAGCATTGTAGCTGCACTCCCTCTGATATTTGTAGTATATATATCAGTTCAGTATGTCCTATTGTGTGTATCCTAGCTATTAATTATTGTGAAAGCCTACTGTACAGGGAGGAGCGCAATGCTGACCAGAAAATGTTAATATTTTGAAACTACCAAATTAGGACATATTTTGAGCGGTAGTGACCGCTTTCGGGCAACTTTCTGGTGTATACACTGCTGGTGCCTTGTTTCGCCACGGCTTGGCAGCCGAACGGTGGCGCAGGCCACTACACACTCTCATAATGCCAAGCGACCGCGGAGCGCAAACATTCACGCCAGAGAACCAGTCGTAGCCCAGTGTGGGCCTATGAATTTTTGATCGTTGTGGTAGTACATATACAGTAGAAAACGAAGCTGCACTAAGCGAATATAGAGGCGATACGAATTACAAGTGGTGCAGTAAAGAACAGAGAGAGACGAGACGCAAAAGTGTTGGTGTATATGGTGATCTAATCGCACGAATCAACTACTGACCTCGCTACCTCGAACTGCGGTGCTCACCAAATGGGACGCCTTAATGCAATGTAAATGTGGCAAGTGACAGTGGCGATACAAGTTGGGAGTAACAGAGTGATATGAGCCAACCGATAGATATAGAAGAGCGCATTAGGGTTGGTGAAGCGGCAGCTGCTTGTTGACATAACCGAGAACTTGTTGAAACTCCAATCAAGGCCATTATTGGTGGTACAGTTTGAGAAAAGTGTTCGCGCGAGAGCCCAAGGGGTATGTGATAAGACGAAGGGATGGTGGGCATAATGCCTGTTAATTGAAGCCGTCGAAATGACCCTTGAGGATCCTCTCGCCCATGGGAGAAGGCGCGCGATGCCGGCGTCCAGTGTCAATGCTCACCGTTGCCGAGCGCCTTGCCTTGCGAACAGGAAATGAGGGTAAAGTTGTTGTGGCAGGGGAGACTGCGGAGTTAGGTGGAGCAGTAGGAATTGTGGGACTTCGAGAGTTCGTATTATCCATGTTCGGAGGCTGAAGAAAGAAGACAATTAATGGCGCATCACATATACTTTTTAGAGATATACCTTTGCAAGTGCGCTTCCGAGTGATAGACGCCTTAACAACCCAGCTCCACGGTCGGTCTGGGCTTCAGGGGCAGGTGGAGCGGGCGCAAACCGCCCAGATGTACCAGCCCAACGGGAATGAACCGATGCTGGAAGTTCGTCGAGGGCGTCGTCTGTGAGGATGGGTATGAGTTAGTGAGGGCAAGAGGGCAAACGACTAAGGAACCGACCATCAAACGAAGGTTGACCACCAAAGCCGCGGTAAGGAACCGAAGATGGGGATTTTGAGGTTGGAGACTGAGACAGAAAGGAAAGGATGGGAGAACTGGATGGGGAGGCAACCGGAACATGGGGAGAATTTAGACTCAATGGAGTGTGTAGCTGGGGAGGTGAGCCAGGTAAAGTGGATGATTCGGAGGAAACGGACATGGAGCGGTGCCTCCAGTGATGAGTAGCCATCGGAATTGGTTGAGAGTGCTTCACGGAGTCGTCCTTTTCATTATTATCTCGATTCATGTTTATTTGGGTGGTATAAAGGACAGAGTGAGTAGAAGAAAGGAGAGCAAGAGTTTAGATTTCTCAGATCAGTCAGACGACCTTTATAATTGGCGATGGCAAACGCCGAGTGTGTCATCCCACGTGGTCATCGCCTTACAATTTTGCCTGTTCAAATCGATCGAATCGATCATTTTCTCCTTTCGCTGCGTTGTAGTTGAACTCCTTTCTTGAATGAGTGTATAGTGAGTGCGAGTGCGAGTGTGGCGAGATGGTAATGAATCACGGCAATGAGGTGAATAATTGTGGGGTAAGTAGATAATGCGGGGAAATGATCGAAAACTTAATGGAGCCGGAGACTCAGAATAAGACATGCAACTTGTCAGAACTCGATTCGTCTGATACCGACATTGATCAGTACGGTGAGCTCAGCTTGAATGTGTTTGTACTGTTTCATAGAAATTTAATTGCGGTCTGTGCAATGCAAATTGAATGATAGCTTGAACCGATATTCCGGAGCCAAACTGCAGAATTGGGAATGTTGCAGGCGTAAAGTCTTTCCATACTAGTAAATGTCGAATTGACCTAATTACTGTTGGGCTCACACATGTATTGTTAGCATGTGTCATTTGTGTGGGGAGATTTGACGCTGGACTGATGATGCTCACGGGCGGTGAGCCAGCAAGCAACGTTTGTTGAGATGTGTACGTATTGCTTATCTTATCTTTGCCTCATTGTTCTCATACTATGCGTTCACTTGAAGCGTCATTCTAACTGTGTAAGGGGTTTCATAACGCCCAGATATTTCAAATCAGCTCATTATGATTCATTTAGAACCTTCTAAATTTGGAACTTGCTTTAGCTTATCCTGTACATGTCCTCTAGTAGGATCCGCAGTACCCATGACACATGACACCTTTTTTTTATTCGCAGGGATGAAGCCTCGCAGTCGAATGCCGTCGCCGAATCTAGAACTAGGTTTGCGGTAACCTGTGCCGCGGAACTGGTTCAGAAGAACCACGTGCAGGTAAGTACCCTCGACTACTAGCTTGCTCACAATTATCACAACCTCGAAACCGGCCCTTTACATGATCAGCTGCCCGCCTGATCCAGATTTCTGCAACTTGTACTGTCCGTCGCTCTAGTCAGCTCAGGTGACCGCGTCACGACGCACCAAGACAAGTCGGACGAGCCTCAGCAGACACATACTATCTGGAGTACGTGTTAGATGAGGGTAGTGACTGCGTGGATTGTAGGGGATTGCAAATTGCCATCAATTTCAAACCCTTATTCTTATCTCCGCTCTACTCACCGTCAGCTCAAGCTCCACCAGCAAATAGTACAGACAAGCCTCGCAATATTCGCTACCGGTCCATCTTCGTGCATACCACGCTAAGCACAGCGGCATTAGAATTTCACTCTTCGACAACAGAACCATCTCATCGTACTCGGGACCGCGGTGGTTTCGAGTTTGATGGTAACAAGCAGTTTCAACTGGGCGGCACCTATATTTGGTCCTTACTACAATGCAAGCATAGACAAATTCACCAAAGAAGACGTGGGCCAACCAACCTAACGAGTTTCAAATTCGGCCTCGGTCCCTACATCGTGTTTGGCCATCGGCTCCGGAATTAATATCCTTCTCTCTCCCTTATCTCAATTCCGTTCGATGGAGACACCACAGATCGACAACAATGCTACCAGTAACAACCGTGTCATCGACCTTTCACATCACTTATCAGATGAGGCTAGGATTCGAGTTGCAAATCCACTAAAAGACATCATGCGAGTGATCAGCGAGTGCCCAGTCACTGATCTAATCACTATGGCAAACGGTAATCTCACTGTCATGCACAGTGGTGAAATGTAGTCAAACAGATGCCTTCCAGGCGATCCTCATCATTCCCTCTATCCTTTCCAGCAATTCATGTACGAAGTACCATCTGTACAGGACCCATCTGATCCAGTCACCTCATGGAACAACTCTGGGCGAACGCAGATCTTCCATTCCTACAAAGATCAAGATTGCGCACTACCCATTTGTAAAGCCTTCCAGTATTCCCGCGCTGCTGGTCTTGTACAGTGCAATGATGCAATCACCGATTTCACAAACTTGATATTCGCTCCGCCGAATCATCATGTCATGTTGACAATCGGGAACTCTGATGGTCTCGCAAAGATTTTTCGTATCTTCGGCCAGAAGGGAGACCATTTCTTGACTGACGAATTCTCTTATCCCGGTCAGTGAGAGTAGACTATTTCATATTTGTTCTGAGCTAATCTCGTTGTCCTGTAGGTATAACAAACTGTCCTCTCCCATACGGCGTCAAGTGGGTTGGTGTTAAGATGGATTCTGGTGGTATCATTCCTGAGGAGCTAGAAAAAGTTCTCATCAGATGGGATGAGGCGAAATTAGGACGACGACCTCGCGTTCTCTATCTCGTTCCGTAAGCTTTTAAATTTCAGTCTGAATGCACACCACATAATGTATAATCAGGGTTGGCCAGAATCCAACTGGATCAACATTGAGCGTGGATCGTCGCAAGAAGATCTATGCCATCGCGCAAACATGGGATTTAATTATCATAGAAGACGGTATGTCGACCCAGCGGTGTTATCGCACCTTGTCTGACATTCTTCTCGCAGATCCATACTATTTCCTGCGATACGATATCTCTCAAACGAACTGCTCGTCAGCAGATCCTGATGAATTTATCGAGAATTTTAGAAGCACTTTGATACCTACATTCCTGTCAATGGACGTCGACGGCCGTGTGCTTCGTCTCGACACGTCAGTACGCCTAGTAACTGGGCTTAGTCACCTTTTTGATCATTGTCTACAGGTTCAGCAAAGTGCTTGCCCCCGGAATGCGATTGGGTTGGATCACAAGCAACAAGCTCTTCCACCTAAAATTGGGAGAATACACCGATTCATCGACCCAGCCGCCGCACGCCTTCGGACAGATGTTAGTCACCGAGATGCTTAGCGAACACGGCTGGAAAATCGGGGGCTTCTGTCGGTGGTTGAGAAGCTTACGCTTGGAATACCAGAACCGCCTTGATTTCCTCCTAGACGTTTTCCAGCGCGAAGTAGAACCCACCGGTTATGCCAGCGTAAACCGCCCTGAAGCAGGAATGTTTGTGTGGATAGAAGTATTTTTCGAGAAACACCCTCGGTTCGTTCGCGAACAGCGTTCTGGTGGCTCGCCTGTTGTTGCGCGGACTAATACGGAATGCCTCCTGAAGGAGCTTTTTGAGACGTTGATGAACATTCAAGGCATCGCCTTCGTGCCGGCTTCTATGTTCACTATTCCAGAAAATCCTCTGTGGGTGGAAAGCGATGGGCATGTACCGTTGGGCGATGTGAGTGTCATGGATTCAGCAATACTTTGTCTGACTCCGCGACAGCGCACCAGGTTTCTACGCGCAACGTTCGCTGGTACTGAGGAAATCATCGAAAAGGGCATGATACGCCTTGGCAAGGGTTTACGAGAATTCTTTCAAGAATAGCAGGAAGAGCAACCGCAGTGATTACAAGTACACGCAACATTAAAAGTACAAGCATCCATGAAACCCGTGATGAAAGAATGAATCGCGATCACAAAGGCACAGGATCTTCGAGCGTCAACGTCTTGTCAGCGACACGCCTCATGAGTTCATCCGCCCTATCCAGATTCGCTTGTATCTTCTGGTCCCTGCCACCCATCGCCAGCTCAGAGACTCCCCATATTTTCTTCATCTTGGGAACAGTATCCCGTAAGCCGGTCGCTACCATGAGGAAGTTTTCAATCGGGACGCCGGCATTTCGCATGCAATCCATCGTACAATTTAGGTACCCTGGAAAATGGTTATGAAACGCGTGCAGTCTGCGCTGGAACACCCACATGCACGTAATTCGTCATCCTCGGGATATTTGCTGGATGCGTGAGTGTACTCCCCTGCCCCTTTCACATAGCTAAACATTTTTTCCACAAGATTAGTAGCGTATCGGGCCATTTGCACGTGATAGAATCCGAGCATCCTGCGAAGCAAGGCGATGGTCAGCAGAGGACCGGAAGCGCGGAGAGGTCGAGAGCATACGCGTGAGCAAGTCCAGTAGGGTAAACGATGAAAGATGATATGAAACCGGGGTCAACCGGCTCATCACTACGTGTCTGTACAGCTATCTCGGTCTCTTTGAGAAGGTCCTCAGCTTCTTCCTTTAGCTGTTCAAGAGGGAACTTGGAGTCCAAGCCAGGGTCATCGGTGTAAGCCTGCCATCCAATGTAATCCGCATCCAAGAAATACAACGATGCACGACCTACGTTCATGAACATCTTGAGGTACATACTCCGGATGCCTATCAAGAACGAATGCTCGAAAATGGCTCCTCTGCTGGACTTGGGAACATCCTTCCAGATAGTTCTTCCCCATTCGACCAAGTCGAGAGCTCGTCTGTAATACTGGACACCAGCCTGAGGTTCGTCTCTTAAACCGAATGCAGCTCTCATTATCCATGCACTAAAGCGAATGATCAGCAAAGTTTTTGAATATAGAACCCGACCTTGCGCACCGGACAGTCACGGCCAATGCGGGGCGTACATCATCCCAACCATTCTCCTTCAAGCGTTTCTGCGCCAGTTCCTTGACGGTCTCGAGTCCTTCAGAATCCCAAGCCTTGCGAGCCGTAACTTCGAAATAGACTGTACTTTGGTTAGTACATCTTCGACAAGCGATGCTAGCATAAGATCACTTTGTTGATTGTACATTTCAATCCAATTAGGTTGATTGATGTGGAACACGCGATCGTCACGCATAAAACCATTACTCAGGTCCGTCAGCCCCTGCGCCGTGTAAACATCAAAATATAACACGTGCGTTAAAACAACTCTGGACTCGCCTCTAGGTTTCCGCGGTGCACAAAAGTACCTGGCTTTTCAGACTGAGGAATTATTTTCATTCCTTTCATCACTTCTACCCCTTTGCTGAATTCCTAGTAGAGACTTCACTGTCAGCATACCACCATTTATCGAAAATTCGCTGATATCACCTCATACGCAAGTGCGATAACCCAAGCCTGCACCCACCGACAACGCTCAGTGAAAGCATGCAAAACTACGACTCAAGCTCACGCTGCTAGACACTTTCGCAGGACCCGCTCTCCGGAGCTCAGGAAGCATATCCGTCGCGATCTGCCAAGGGAACTTGCCCAATTTCTCATTCATCGAAAGAGGGACGATAGGCGGCCCATTTAAACGCGCATTCGCTGCTTTCAGATTAGCACTATACTGATTCTTTTGTTGTCGTTCTACGGGGCTAAGATTAGTTTTTGGCAGCGCGTCCAGCGCCTTCTGCCAAGCACGAGCGCTTTCCCTCCAATCCGCAAGCGCCTATGCACATCAAGTAAGCCCAGCCTAATCGGGATCAAAAGAACATACGTCTCTGGATGCCGCCAATCGCGACCACGCTTTTGCATAGCCCGGATCGATCTCTGTAGCCTAACACACGTATTAACAGTCCATGCAGCATCCACGACCGTGGAAGGGTACCATATGCGCATCGTCCACAGCATCTAGATATCTATTTAAAGATCGAAATCAACACAGCTTAAAATACATAATATAATAATAATATCCTCACTTGTTCAGGGCATGGTTACAAGCAGCGCGGTTTGCATATAGAACAGCATTCTTATCATCCAACGCGATGGCTTCGGTGTATTTGATGATCGCCCCGATGTAGTCTTGCTTCTTGAATAACTCGTTGCCTTCGTCCTTGAGCTGTGCGGCTGTTGGTTCGGGCATGTTCGACTCGGAAAACCAGGAAGGAAGCTTCGGGCACTAGGCTAGTTGATGTGTGGCGTCTCTGCCGTTGATGTAGATGACTCGGAGATGATTGGAAGACGCTAAGGCGAAGAGAGTCGGACCTTTGGGAATGTGGTGGTGGAAGCTGACGTTAACTGGCAAGCTCGAGACTTTGAGGCGGGGGCAATTGATCTACACGAGGCCAGACCATCGATGGGCTGGTGCATTTGTTAATTGTTACGTGTCGAAGAGGTCGACTCATCTAGGCGTGGCCGGCATATTACACTCTAGTGCGGGCAAGTGGCGTACTTGTGATACAAGTTATGCGTCGACTAACCATGATGCATGATGGACAAGTCGAGTGCCGTACTCGTGATGTCGAAATACTTGTTTCTAGCGCTCGTTCAAACTGTAGTATATGGTCAAGTTCCAAGCTTGATATCTCAAATTGGACTGGACCTCATCTATTAGGTATGCTGAAACGTAATCGATTACTAGTATACAGTGAATTAATCTGTATCAAAGGAGAGAACGGGTCGTACTTATTACTAACCCAAGGAATTAACGTGACCGACGAATGTAGTGAGCGGGGATATCAGATCGCAAAGTGATTCGATCGATAACGGGTTTAAAAGTACATGCAAAAAGTATGCAACGAGGTTTTCATATTGGATGGATGAATAGGCGCTATGTATGCCTTTAAAAGCCTTGAATGAATGTGGACGGCGACGTGTGTGAGTGTCCGAAAAGGAAGTGCGAAGGGTTATGCGTGACCCGTAAAAGAATGGAGGACGTCTTTCAAATTGTAACGATGCGCGAGAACAGCTAATTTGTTTAACAGTAGTCACGAGGCAGAGAGCATCAACCCTTGAATCCGAAGATCCGCGTGATCAATCCAAGAATGCAAGTTCACTCAGTCGGCGACTCTCTGCGTCTTGGATACCCTTGGTCTCAGATAGTATGCTTCCGCGGTTATGCATCGTCGGCCTGATAGATACCCGTGGAGAGGAATGTTGACTTGAAGTACTGGATAGATCCGCACTGGACCTTAAACTCCCAGTCACCGAGCGCCGCAAGTTGGTGAGCGAGTTGGTGCCGAATCTGGACAGATGTGTTGAGACCGACGAGCGTCTGCGAACATTTGACTCTGATGTACGCCGCCGGGATGGAGGGACCGGGAGTGGAGGGCAGGAGTTCTCCTTGTCCGGTATAACCGGAGGGGATGTGTCCGGCCGAGATGGTGATCCTAGAGGTGCTTGATAGCTAGAAAACGTACAAGAAACAGGGCTTTCGACAAGAATGGCGTGATCTGGGGGAAAAGAATTCTCCATTGGGGTGGACATAATTATGGACGGCTGAACATGGTGCGGTGGCGGCGGCGGTGTTGGAAGCGCATGCTCTGCAGGCTCCTCTTCGAGTACTTCTAGGTGTGAAGATGGGGATAGTGGTGGGACGCTACTGGAAATTGAGGATCTTGCTCTGAATGGCATCTCGGCACTAAGGTCCGCGCGAGCGCAATCGGAATCACATGCTGAGGACTGGGGTAGTGAAGAAGATGCCGAATATGACACCCCTGATGCCAGCGCACTAAAGCTGGGCAGCTGTCTTGGGTAGACAGAATCCGAGGCACGTGTTTCAGACGAACGATTTGCGGACATCCATTCTTCCTTAATCTTCGATGCCGCACTGAAGCCACTCTGGGCTTTGTCAGGGGCGGGGATGGGAGCTAAGCGCTCATCGGCCTCACGCTCTTGTTGGCTAAGATCTTTCATTGGCGGAAGCAAACCACGCTCGCGCAGCGCAGCCTGACGATTCTCACGAGAGACGAAAGAGTTAGGAAGTGTGGGAGAATGAACAGGAGTGACGCGTGGTGATCGAGGAGGTCGGGAAGAGCCCGAGTGCCCCACACCAGCTGGGGCACGTGTTGGACGCGGGGTTGACGACTCAAGCTGTGAAGATGAGGGAGTTGCCGGAACTGTGATATGTAACCTAGATGTTACGCGACGAATCAACGACGGTTTCATGGTAGGTGATGGTTTCGTTGTTGGCGGTAATGACTTATGGATATTGGTATTTGACCTGTAAAAAGGAATGTCAACGAATTGGTAGATGAAACCCTCGGAACAGAATCCGAGATGAAAAGCGAATAAGAGAGAAGAGAAGTTGGAGTTCCAAGAACATATATTACTGCAACAACCTCCGCACAAGTGCCATGGTAAGAGATGGAGATGACCGAAACTCACCTTAGGAGACCGGCGAGCTTCTCGGTTGCCTCCACTGGTTGCTCGAGGAAATGATCACTAGACTTTTCGTTCACCACTTCATCGTTACTTGTGCTCGTTGTAGGTATTCCGGGTAATGCCTTTTGAACATCCCGGGGTCGGTGCGGGGGTTGACGGATGTTCTTTGGAGTGCTGATGTGGAAACTCGTACGACGCTCGACCTTTTCAGGTGAACATGAGCGGTCGCTGTCGTCCTCTCTAGGAGGTGGAAGTGGTTTGGCAGAAGACTTTGACCACCAGCGAAGGCGAAGAGTATCAAAGCCGATAATAGATGGCATAATTATGGTCTGGCCAACGATGAACTAGGACCGGGGGTAAGGAAGGGGAGGACAAGTTGGGTGTCTGCCCTTTTAAGTGAAACGGGAATAAGTTAACACACACGGTATGGGGAGGAGCAAGCGTGACGGACCTTGTTCGACTTACAGTAACCGAGGTCTAACGGAACGTCACAGGACTAAACCACAAGGGGTGGATAAACATATTCGGAATTGGTACCTAGCTAATAGTGAGGGCACACCTAGGTAGGCTAATAGACAAATATTCGAAACTTTGAAGCATGTTTCCCTGCACTTGTTAATATTTTCTTACACGGTTCCGCAACAAAAAAGACTTCCACGCGGGTATGAATGGCGATAAATTTTTTTGATGGCTTGGAGGTCGAGAAAGAGCTCGTCAAACGTCAGTGTAAGCGCTCGTAAGGCTTCTCTTTAAAAAAAACTATAATAGGGCGCTGTTAGGGCGGTAGTGCCTATGGCCGACCAATACTCCGCGTCGTATGTATTTCTCCTCCAAAATGTTTCAATGCAATGAATGAAATTTTGACATAAATTTTGGATGACATCTAATTTATATCTAAATCCTTCATATATACAAAGGCAGGTCAGGTCAGGTCAGTATCACACCATTCGGCGAGAAGCAGTCATATCGTTTTATGGACCGCTGCAAGGCCGCTGAGAACTTTAACGAAAAAACTCAATGGATCAAAGGAGTAGAAACTCGTAGCTTCCATCATTGATCATCATCCAATGATCAGTGCTTCGCTGACCACGTTTGGGCATTCTTCAAAGTTCACCGTTGAACGAGGTAGTGCACGAGGCTTCGCAGTGGCTATGGATCCCTTTCACCATGTGTCCGACGTTCAGCAATGGCCGGTTATTACTTCTTCGCTAAGGTCGCTTAATCGTCAACTGACGGCGTGGAGCACCGTGGAACTGGAATTCTCCGTATTCTCTATATTCTCCGTCTGCTAACTATTAGGCAGACTTACTAGGCAGACCATTTTTTCCTTAACGACTTCTCAGTGCTTCACCGCAATGTTTTATCTCCTTTTGAATGTAGAATAAGTTTGAAGGTGCGATGGCATAGTGACTGGCGAAATGAAAATTAATGACTTGACAGGCCACTTCGGCGTTTTGCGTTCTGCCCTGCTTCATTGACCTGGTTGCTCAGTTACTCAGGCGTTGTGAACTCGTTGTGCAGAAGTACTTGGACGATCAGTATCGATATCAAGTTGTGGCGCCGGAAAACAGGAAAGAGTTTTGATATCCTCCGCAAGCAAGTAGAGCACTAACTTCAATAAAGCATGATTCGCAGATCTCGAGCAGCCCTGTAGAGTTCAGGTGACGGATGTCCTGTTGCCTGGTGCCTCCTGGCGCTCGTGGTTTCGAATAAGATATAGATTGATCGGGGAACTACATTCACGCAGATAGGTCACTTTATCCCGGTAGTCTAATTCAAAAGAATTGGACTGGACTAGATCGCACAGATTGATTGCCTGTGATATCACGACCGCGAATTTGGTAGTTGGTAGTTGGAATCGCGGCTCCGTTTGACGATGTAGTCGATAGTGATACCGGCAACAGTTGATACGAACAACGTTAAGAGCATTGTTGTACAAGAGATTCAGAAGCCAGCGCCATTTGAATATCCAACCTCCGTTCAAGGTCCTCACTTTTCCATGTTTGCTTGTAGGCACTTCATATCCGCGCAGTCATGAGAAATTCGAGTGCGAAGGAATGAACGAATGATGAAGCTCTTGTGGTGATACGAGCACTTGCTGTGGCGCATCCCTCAATTGGGCAAATGGAGAACTTGGACCGTTGTCTTCGCGATGACTTTCCCTTTTATCGCCTGGCAAATAGGCAAAAAGCATTTTCGAAGCGCGAGGATCGGAAATGTTCCGGATGGAAAACTTCTTTGGGCGCTTCACCCTCTCTTTCGCTCAGCGCTTCATGCATACTTCCACAGCGCAACTCAGTGTAGACGTGGCAAACCCCGATGTCCTCGTCAAAACAAAGGTGGGTTTACCCATTGGCGATCTCGTAAGATATTGAATCGTTCTGATCCTCATCAACAACGTCGCAGTATGCTTACGGTACGTCTTATCATGCTGTGCCATGTCACACTGCATACTCACCCAAAACCGTCTTGGCAGTGGCTTTATGTACCCTATGGGTAGGTAATGCGGCCATATTACTCCTTCTCCAACTAAAATTCTCGGTCAATTGAGGCTTATGACTACGTCACTACATTGGATGAAGAGGTGCGAGCTCCTGTATGAAGGCAATTCTACTAGCGATAACACCATTGTCAGCTGTCATTTGTTACGGGATCGACCTGGAGAATCGTCAAATATCTCTATCTCGTGTGTCGATATGTACCTTTCCTTTATCTAACTGTAGTCTCAAGCCGTGAGTCCGTTTGAACTGTCTTCTCTGTCTTGACATGCCCCATTTATCAATCTTATCAAGGGTCACTGGATAAATATCCATCGCTCAGCGTAAGTCCGCGTCGACTCTCACCGGACTCGGTGCCCTTTTAACGACCCTTGTGTAGATGTGTCAAACGTTGTATTCCATGAATTCGTGTAAGTGAGCCAGTTTGGCTATTCGACGCCAGTCATCTGACCCGAGTCACCGCAGATCTCGGTATCGCGATAATTGTCTCAGCAGAGAGTATGCATTATCTGCATCATGTGCCACAGACAGGACTGATCATGTGTATCAAGGCGTATTTTTTGTACGCACATATGCCATTTGGGAGCGTTCAAAACGGGTATTGTGGGCATTCATTGTCAGTGTTATTGTAAGATTTGTTATATCCCTGTCCCCGTGCTTTTCGCATACCTTAACTGCGTTAGTTTCTCCTGACGCCCATAGTTGGCATTCTTGTGAAATACAATTCCTCGACAATCAGTAAGCGCCCCTCCTGATATTCCGTAACCATGTGATGAATATTGACTCTTTAGTCACCAATTGGGTCGCCACCGGGGTACCGGGTTGTTCCAAGACGGATGAAACCTCTGCTGTACTTTATGTGTATGTCCTTATGATCATTGCTGAGTTAGGTGAGAGCCATGTGATATTGTTCGAATACTATCTAACCAATTCCAGAAATATTGTGTTTGACGTTGTATCAAGCCATTGCTAGATACCGACGTGAACGGAGTGCCAACGTGCTGAGGGTCCTTGTGCAGCATAATATATTCTACTTTTTGTGCGGAGTTGGTCAGTTTTGTCATTCTTTTCCCTCAGGCACAAAGTGTAATACCGCGTTTAATTCGTAGGATCTTCCGGCGTGCTCATAGTTGCGATTGCAATATTTCCTGTCAGTACCTGATTTTTTGAAGTTGACTTGAATATTGCTCATTTGATCGGCGTACAGCCATCATACTCTGATTTGGTGTCCAGGTCGGTGTCAGATTTTGTCGACAATTTACCACGCTGACCGCCTAAGAAGCATACAAATTACCGTCCATGCCGCGCTGGTTACAAGAATGCACCGAGCACTATGGAAATACAATGCAGACTATGCCCATCCAGATGAATTTTCCCTGACCACATTCAGTGCTGCTCCACCATTACGGTCCAGGACTGTGCAAAGCGTGGTTAGTTATGTAAGTAATGCTGCGACTTCATGGTTCATCCAACTTGACAAGCAGCAATTAAGTATCTGGACGAACCTTTTGGGAAATAAAGATCGGGATTACACTCCTCTGGACAGCAACCATTCCGGTGACAACACCCTCTTATGCGAATGGACATACGATGTTTGACAAGACTCCCTCGCTGACGCATAGGAGCGAGCACGACGATAGTCATCGATATCGATCACCCTCGAGCAGTATGAGATTTGCTGTTTTAGTCAAAACTCCATAGCAAGCCATCGGACGTAGACTCTGTTAATGTCAGATGATTTGATCTACACAACCATTTCATTGTGTTCATCTTTAGGGTGGATTTATCTCCGTGAGCTCGGATTTGTGGAGAGGGTGAGATGCAATCAAAGTTCCGACCGCGGAAACGGTTGCGCATATGGGAATCTTAGGGGGAGGATTTCCTGACTTGATAAGGTTCTTGTTGGTATGATTGCGGTGTCTATACATGCTCCGCTGACGCACCATATGCTTCGGAGAGTTCATCAAGGGCTGATGTGATGGAAATACCATTCCTAACATTTGAGGTGAAGTCGCAAAAAAGGGTCCCGAACGCCATCAGATTTCTAGTCCGGGGAAAACCCAAGACTTGGGGCTGCGCCACTCAAGCACGACAATACATATTCGGCGTAATTGGTGGTCCGTCCGGGATGCAAGAGTGACACCGATTGACACACCAATAGTATATTCTCGCAAGGAAATCCATGGTATTTGGTCAAGGCGATGAAAGGAGACTCCGATAGCTTGCCTAATACACACGTATAGCAGTCGATATAATGAAACGACTTTTATGAACTGATTGTTTGTCAACGAAATGCATAGCAGCAATGGAAGTAAACATACCTATCTATGATTCTATCCCGACCATCAATTACTCTACTCGTCCTCATAGCCTTGTACAGGCTTTCTCGGCCGTTTCGGCACTGAAGGGAAGAGTCGCATTTAGATCAACACGATGCGAACTAAAACCGTATGGCTAACGACGTACAAGGATATGAGGTAGGTATGGGCTCCGCGGGAGTGTATCCGAGCCAATTCCTTCTGACTGCGGGTACAGTCAGAGCAAGCACTGGTCCTGCGAGTCCGAGGACGCAAGAGCAAAAGATGACAGGCTGTTCATGTGCGAGGTATTGCTAGGATGTATTAGCCAAAGATATTAACGTTTCAGGTCGGACATTACGTACCAGATGCCTGTAGCCTCTTCGGAAAGGAGCAAAAATGGACGCCATGAGATGAGAACAATGCAGACACCAGGATTTGTGGGCCTACTGGAACTTCGAGGTTCGGAAGAGGTTGTATTTGTTTGCACTTGTTGTGTAAAGGCTTTAGAATTAAACATGAATAAACAACCATTCAGGCTTCAAGCTTCAAGCATGGCACTTGAGTACTGGCTTATGTGGACGAATTGTTTAATTGTTCCGCTAATCGACTTTACTTCCTGGATAGATCTTAGGTGGAATATAATGGAATTGAAGATATCACAGGTTCAAAAGGCGATTCCGGTGGATAGGTTATTGCCATGAACACACAAAAGCAAGGTGTCTTCGTACTGTCCCCTTCAGATTTATTGGATCACGTATCAAATCCTCATAAATAAATAATGTGTTTCTACTTTGTCCTGGGCGTTGACTTGTTGCTGCTTTGACAGCATCAATACCTGCTGGTGAAATTCGTCCTCTCTTTTGCGTATGTGAATCAAATTGCAAACATTGCCCTCTGGTCCACAAGCCTTATTAAAAGCTTTGGCACAGTGTATATGCATATCTTATATGCGAATGTATGTTGGTCATACTAGACTCGGGCGCATTTTTCCTACCTTGTGTAGTGCGTTTTGCAGCGTCAAATTTCCTGCGGGCGGTGGGAACGCGCTGGAAAGGGACCAGTGCCAGAGAAGTTAGAAAAAGTGCGGCGGAGGACATAGGCGATGAAGTGAGGTACCTTAGATCTGACAGCAGTGAGAAATCGCTCCTGCGAACACTGAAAGACGAGGAGTCCAGCCAATTGTTTGAGTTACAAAATCGGCGATTTGGGCGAGGAGTATTGATCCCGAACGAGCAAGACCCCCGGATATAAGTGGAGATGCAAGATTTGGGGTATACAGGTGGTTGATGTCTGGATTGTCGGTCGCACATTTTGCGGAACTCACAGCTTGCCGAAGGGATCTTGTCAGGCCTGCACGAGAAGAGCAGGAAAGGCTGCGTGAAAGTGCCAACCATGAAAGTTTCAACCTTCTAAGAGATCAGTTTCTGTAGCTTTGTAGATGATGATGCGGCGGAAAGTGATTGTGGACCATTGGGATCTCCGCCAGAGATCCAGTTGAAACAATTTTCTGATGTTGAGCGTTTTGGGCTCCTCCGTAATGACGGATGGTATAGCGGACTGCCTTGGGTGGGCGCCGCCGTTGTCCCCTTCGCGGGTGTTGCCAATATAGACGATAAGCTGTATATTTACTGGGCTTCTGCTTATCAGCGACTCGGACTTCATGCTGCGCATCGCAAATCTTGACTGCAGGGTCGTTATTGTCCGGAAAGCTTTACTCCTTCAGCATAGCTTGGTCGAATTTGGTTTGAAGGCCCTGCATCTTGTGATCGTACGCTATCAATTATTCTTATCCAAACCCGCTGGGCTGGCGTCGAGAATCTTCTGTCGGTGATCGCGAGAATTCCTTTTTGTTCGTCCTCCTAACTCCACATTTGATGATCCTTCTGCCACCGAGTAAGCCATTCAGGTGCTGGAAACACAAGAACACCTACCAGCAAGGAAGCCTATCGATACAGACCTGTTAACGCAGCTGGGACACGATTTCAGTGGATCAAAGAGAAGATAAAAGTTACTGGAAAGTGCCTGGTACAGGGCGAATATAATTCATGGACCGACTGACGGTCCTATAAGCTTGTCGTGAGCCCAGAGCATTCAAGGAACAAGGCACTGCGTGACCATGTGGATATTGCAGCTGAACTCCGAGCGGAATGTAGTATCTTGAGAGTGAGTACTGCCGCCACACCCACAAGGAATCCAAAACGGTATGTGTTTGCTCATCGTCGTATATAGCTTGAATTGGGATTTTGTTCTGCTGGCCAATCGTTCAAAGAATTAAAAGTGTTGCGGAATTAGCAGCTCACATTTTCAGAGATATTGTACGCTCAGTGCGAGACGGGGGATATATCTTCCTTCGGTTCCCTATGGTCGAGCCTAACAAAACATTCACGTTAAACCAGGCAGGTAACATGATCTCTCTCCAGGTATGGTTGACCGTCGCAGCAATGATGCAGTAAAAACGTGCGTGAGCCAAGTTGGAAAAACATAGATATTAATATTATTTGAGGGTGCCTCTTCAAGGAGCCCGCCATCTAGCGATGGCAGGAATTTGGGTGAACCTCAGGCTGCCAAGCCCGCGAGTTCAATGACTGTGGTTTCTGGGGTCCTACCACTTATACCAAATCAATCAAATATTGACTCTCGAATCTCGCATATCCTTTGATTGCGATTTTCAAAATGGGCCGAACACGCACGAAAGCCAAGAAGTCTGTATCCGCTGTGACGAACTCTTCACAATCTTCGTCGAGCTCAGCAGCTCCAGCCATTTCTGCTCTCCTTGACAAGGCTCAAGAGCTCATTGTACAGTGCGACTTTCCTCTGGCACGCAAATTCATCGATCGTGCTCTTGTCAGGGACGATGGATCAGTGAGCGAAAAAAATCAAGCGAAGGAGATGATGGGTGTCGTGCTCCTCGAAACTGGGGAAGTGGATGAAGCGAGAGAGGCAAGTTGAAGTTGTCTCTTGACTTGGGTTATACACCTGATTATTTACTTGTCCTAAGTTGTTCTTAACATTGCTTCCGCCACATCCAACAGCTCCTACACCTCCGCCACCTTCAGCGCATCTTTATCTTGCACAACTCTCCGCGGATCCGTACACTGCTTTGAAACACTATCAGGCAGCCATCGACATCCTTCAGACACAACTCAAAGGTAAGGCACCTTCGCCCACCCAGGGGGATGAACATGACGAAGGAGAGGATGAGGTGAGGAGCAATATCGTGAGGGCTTACGTTGGAATGGTCGAGGTATGGATGGACCCTGAGTATGATCTATGGTGCGTCCTCAATCTACCAATCGGAAAGCCTTTGTGAAAGATTTGACGTATTTTGAACAAAAGTTTTGATCCTGCTGCATCGTCAACATGTGATTCCCTTCTGGCAAATGCTCTACAGATAGATCCACATAATCTTGAGGCTTTGCAATGCCTTGCCAGCGTCCGCCTCAGTCAAGAAAAAATGGAGGAGGCACTAGCTGCACTTCTTACATTCCCACCCTCCTCTCCAGACGCGCCTCCTGCGCGCAATCAAGCATTGGTTGCGGCACTTCCTCTTTCCGTGCGGCTTGCGCGCGCCAAGCTACTTCTGGAGTGTGGCGCTTACCATGAGGCTCTTGATGTTTTGGAAAATGTTCTTGCGTCCGATGATTCCTCAGTAGAAGGCTGGTACCTCATGGGGTGGGGGTGGTGGCTGGTGGCCGAACGCCAGAAAGAGGGAGGTGAAGTAGAAGGAAGTGAAGGGCTGACCTGGGAGGATATAGCTAGAGACTCAAGGGACTGCTTAGAAACTTGCCAAATGGTTAGTCAGTCTCATTTATACCCATCTTGCAAGTCCTGTTGTAATGACTGCGCAACCTCCTTTCATTCATTGCGAGTCAATATCTGAGTACTTACTTTTTTGGATCCAGTTGCACAAGTCGCAGTCAGATCCAGACACGCCTATATTAGAACATGTCCAAGAACTTCTTGGAACCCTCGATGCACTAGGCATCACGCCGTCCCCGATCCAAGATGATGAAGAGGGCGACGGGGATGGTTTGGAGGATGCCAGCGATGATGAGGACGTTGAAATGTCATAACACGATGTCACAAATTGTGGCTCGTGTTCTACCTCAAAGCTGTTCCATATCAGTTTACCTGGCGCAATTATTCCAGTGTCTTTTTCGCGAGGGATATGTCTTATCGGCCAGATGCCTTTACTGGATTGACCGGATGGCCTTAACAGTCACTCAGGTAGTCATCACGATCTGTTCAATCCCACTAATGTGCGTTTTGTGAATTCCTTTGACATTCTTTGTGAACAGCTAGCAGTGCCAGTGATTTACGAGGCGTAAGAAATCGAATGCACCACTAACATAAAGCGTGCCAACCAATGTTACAGATAAATGATCCCTGCTAATGATCCTCTTTGCGGACCAGGCTAGTTGTTGGTGAGTCACGACTATTATCATAATCAGGAGCCATGTCTTGTTCATCTTGCGAAAAGCGTATTATGTGCAGACCCTACAACCGTCGCTGTGCTGACATGTCTAATAATCTCCAATGTGTTAAAGTCTATGGACTTAAGGCGCATGTGCCAGCGAATTGCAAGACCACACGAGTCGGAAATTATCATTATGACTTGGGTTCGTAATGGCCTACGTCCATCCGTGCAGCCCTAACACGCTAGCACCCAAGGAGTTTCAAATATCAATCGTACGATCAATCGATGGTCCCAATACTTGCGCCTCGAAGACCTAGGGCACATACAATAGTACTGCTTGCCTGAATGACAAGTTATCAAACAAACACTTAAAAGCAGCTAATTTTCGAGCCTCATATTAGTGGCACCACGATCCACCACTCCAAGTTCGTCACTCGCTTACACACATCCCTCGAATATGACCCTGGTCTCAAATGATCCCAGTTGGTGGCTAGTAGTCAGTTCGTTTCGTTTTTTCAGCTATTTGTTAGGTTTGTACAGACCGGTTGGATGGTATCGGGGACGTCCTGATCTAATTCGAATTGGTGAGCAATGAAATGAGTATTCGAGAAAATGCTGATGAACCAGATATTTCTAGTACTTACGCTCGGACGAGAGGTAAATTGATTGACATCACTGGAGCAACCATCTCGCTAAGAGTAACTCGATGTTATAGACCGAATTGATCTGGGTGAGCAGAGTCCTCCCATCTGAAGAACAGCAAGTAATTCAGAACAGAGGCAACACTGGTCACCAACGACTGTGCTATACCTCAATGTGTGTAGCTTGTGTTGTAAGCATGGTTGAGAAGTTGCACTGACGTTCAAATGGCCTAGATGCGTTACACTAGGATACTGACTGGGCGGCGTTGTGCTAATAAGCTGTCTATTGCAATCAGCGTGAATATTCCGAGTATGTCTCACATGCACTGTACTGGTGTCTTCTCACTGGCGGCATACAGTTTCTTCGTCAGTTTCGACGTCAGATGCAGTGAACGTGCTGTACTCATGCCTCCCCTTCCCATCTAATACTTGCGTGTAGGAGTAAGTGAGCACCCTTTACTAGCACGTTGTTAAACTTGGCTCAACATGATGACTGCAACAGGTGTGAGTTTTTTAAGTAGTGTTTGATCCTACTAATATGAGGTGTCCACTAAATGAGTGTGTCAGGTACTGTTACATTCTCTGTAGACCCTTGGGTAAATCTGGTCATAGCTGTCATGCTGAACGGTGAGTATGCAGCTGCAATGTCATATTGTCTTGACTGAAACATCATGCAAGTAGTCGTCACTGCTCGGTTGCATGCCATGTATCAGGGATGCAGAAAGGTGCTTACCTTTCTCATCGTAATCTTACTGGTTGTCAACAGTGCCGCCGGAGTAAACCGTATGGCAGGCTTATACTGATGACCCTGGCTTGGACTCCAAGTTCCCTCTTGAACAGTTGAAGGAAGAAGCTGAGGATCTTCTCAAAGAGACTGAGATAGCTGTCCAGACACGCAGTGATGAGCCGGTTGACCCTGGTTTCATGTCATCTTTCATCGTTTACCCTGATGGCTTGCTCACGCATATGCTCTCTACCTCTCCGCGCTTCCGGTCCTGTGCTGACCATCGTCTTACTTGACAAGATGCTCGGATTCTATCACGTGCAAATGGCCCGATACGCTACTGATCTTCTGGAAACAATGTGAAAGCGGCAGGGGAGTACACGCACGCATCCAGCAAATACCCCGAGGATGACGAGTTACGTGCATGTGGGTGTTCCAGCGCAGACTGCACGCGTTTCATAACCATTTTCCAGGGTACCTAAATTGTACGATGGATTGCATGCGAAATGCCGGCGTCCCGATTGAAAACTTCCTCATGGTAGCGACCGGCTTACGGGATACTGTTCCCAAGATGAAGAAAATATGGGGAGTCTCTGAGCTGGCGATGGGTGGCAGGGACCAGAAGATACAAGCGAATCTGGATAGGGCGGATGAACTCATGAGACGTGTCGCTGACAAGACGTTGACCCTCGAAGATCCTGTGCCTTTGTGATCGCGATTCATTCTTTCATCACGGGTTTCATGGACGCATGTACTTTTAATGTTGCGTGTACTTGTAATCACTGCGGTTGCTCTTCCTGCTATTCTTGAAAGAATTCTCGCAAGCCCTTGCCAAGGCGTATCATGCCCTTTTCGACGATATCCTCAGTACCAGCGAACGTTGCACGTAGAAACCTGGTGCGCTGTCGGGGAGTCAATCAAAGTATTGCTGAATCCATGACACTCACATCGCTCAACGGCACATGCCCATTGCTTTCCACCCACAGAGGATTTTCTGGGATAGCGAACGTAGAAGCTGGCATGAACACGACGCCTTGGGTATTCATCAACGTCTCAAAAAGCTCCTTCAGGAGGCATTCCGTATTAGTCCGCGCAACAACAGGCGAGCCACCAGAATACCGTTCGCGAACGAACCGAGGATGTTTCTCGAAAAATACTTCTATCCACACAAACATCCCTGCTTCAGGGCGGTTTACACTCGCATAACCGGTGGGTTCTACTTCGCGCTGGAAAACGTCTAGGAAGAAATCAAGACGGTTCTGGTAGTCCAGGCGTAAGCTTCTCAGCCACCGACAGAAGCCCTCGATTTTCCAGCCGTGTTCGCTGAGCATTTCGGTGACGAACATCTGTCCGAAGGCGTGCGGCGGCTGGGTCGATGAATCGGTATATTCTCCCAATTTTAGGTGGAAAAGCTTGTTGCATGTGATCCAACCCAATCGCATTCCGGGGGCAAGCACTTTGCTGAACCTGTAGACAATGATCAAAAAGGTGACTAAGCCCAGTTACTAGGCGTACTGACGTGTCGAGACGAAGCACACGGCCGTCGACATCCATTGACAGGAATGTAGGTATCAAAGTGCTTCTAAAATTCTTGATAAATTCATCAGGATCTGCTGACGCGCAGTTCGGTTGAGATACATCGTATCGCAGAAAATAGTAAGGATCTACGGGAAGAATGTTAGACGAGGTGCGATAACACCGTTGAGTTGACTTACCGTCTTCTATGATAATTAAGTCCCATGTTTGCGCGATGGCATAGATCTTCTTGCGACGATCCACGCTTAATGTTGATCCAGTCGGATTCTGGCCAACCCTGATGATACATTATGTGGTGTGCATTCAGACTGAAATTTGGAAGCTTACGGAACGATATAGAGAACGCGAGGTCGTCGTCCTAATTTCGCCTCATCCCATATGATGAGAACTTTTTCAAGCTCCTCAGGAATGATACCACCAGAATCCATCTTAATACCAACCCACTTGACGCCGTATGCGAGAGGACAGTTTGTCATACCTACAGCATGACGAGATTAGCTCAGAACAATATCAGATAGTCTACTCACTGACCAGGAAAAGAAAACTCGTCAGTCAAGAAATGATCTCCCTTCTGGCCGAAGAGACGAAAAATCTTTGCGAGACCATCAGAGTTCCCGATTGTCAACATGACATGATGATTCGGCGGAGCGAATATCAAGTTTGTGAAATCGGTGAGTGCATCTTTGCACTGTACAAGTCCAGCAGCGCGGGAATACCGGAAGGCTTTACAAATGGGTAGTACGCACTCTTGATCTCTGTAGGAATGGATGATCTGCGTTCGCCCAGAGTTGTTCCATGAGGTGACTGGATCAGATGGGTCCTGTACAGATGGTACTTCGTACATGATTTGCTGGAAAGGATAGAGCGAATGATGAGGATCGCCTGGAAGGTATTCGTTTGACTACATTTCACCACTGTGCATGATAGTGAGATTACCGTTTGCCATAGTGATTAGATCAGTGACTGGGCACTCGCTGATCACCCGCATGATATCTTTTAGTGGGTTGGCAAGTCGATTCCTAGGCTCATCCGATAGGTGATGTGAAAGGTCAATGACACCGTTGTTACTGGTAACATTGTTGTTTATCTGTTGTTCCTCCATCGAATGGAATTGAGATAAGGGAGAGAGAAAGATAGTCATTCTGGAGTCGATGGCTTAATACCAGAGGCCGAATTTGAAGAAGTAAAGATACTTCTGGTACTAAGGAGGCCAGGTGCGGTCCTGCCGCGGTCGTGACGCGCCTGTGAGGTGGCACTCAGGCGGCTTCGCAAGTTGCTCCTTCTCTTGTGCAGGCATTGGTCGCTCGTGCATATCAATCTTCTTTGCAACACATGTTTCACGGTATCTGTGCCGAGGAAACATCTGCAGCACTATCTCCTTTGTTGCGACGCTTCTTTTCCGGCTCTTCATCGGGCCATCAGGGATTTTCTCGGAAGCACTACTTGAACTCGAGGCAGATTGGCAGCCAGCACATGATCAATTGGCTTCTTTGATGTCTGAGCCATTCGTCGAATCATCCGGGTGCATCTTGCCGTTTCTGGGGGCCACTGCCTGAGTGTTTCGTACCACTAACCACTCTTGATACTTTTTTCGGAGGTGCTGTACCACTGGCTAAACTGAATAGCATTTGTGGGGTTCATAGGCTGCGTGAAATGAAATCTATTGATCTGAGGTGATGACGAGTTCGGTCCTGTGAGTCTCGAGTCTGTAGTTGCATGTGCACCCAATCAATTTCAGATGCACCCTTGAGTGAGTAATCTGCATTGAGCGTACATTGGTCTTCATCCAGCCCTCACATGTCACTGCACACTCCGTATCAAATGCACCACCCCTCCCTCGACACATGAAACACCACTCACACGAGTTATTTAACCTCTGCACATACACAAAGTGTTGGTCCTTCTGCAGCCCGAGAAAATAAACGCCGTGGTCCGAATCGATCATCCAACTTACTACGTCCCAAATCTGGCGGTGGTGACCAGATCTCAACAGATGATGTATGGGACCCATGGCCGGACGGCGACTTTGAAAGGATATTCACATGGGAGGAGGTATTAAGAACTGATAATCTTGGGCCATTGGGCTTGTAAGTTGTCAGCCAAGAAGAGGAGACAACTGGAGGTCAGAGTCGGCACACAGGCTCGAAGGGTCCAGAGAGGGAGGAAAAGAAAATAGTCATTGGCTTATGTACCTAGTTGTAGATGTCCCTATGTCAAATAAAATAACAAAGGGATGGTTGTGAACTCGTCCAACTTGATCTGGAAGTCGAATGTAGAACATATAGGAATGGCGCGTCAATATTTCAATGGCCGTGTCAAGGGCTCGTTAGTGCCGCGTCAAGGCTCGCGTCACATGCGCGTCACACCGCGTCACGGCCGCGTCAAAATAGCTACGCCCGTACTAAGGCTGCTAGGTTGGTTGGCCCACGTTTTCTTTGCTTGATTCTATCCTTGCTATAGCACCGTTGTTTGAGCTTTCGGGGAGTGAAGGCCACTTATAGGTGCCGCCCGTGTCTCAACACTCTGAGTCACAGTGGAGATCATCCTATCATGGGGAGATGTGCGAGGAGGGAGAGGAAGGCTGGACCTTCGGAAGTAACTTGATAAAAACGACTCGCAGTGTCACGGCGTGTGGAACATTCCTTTGAATTTTAGTTACTTGCAAAGTTAACACTAGCATTTAGGTCAAGCAAAGTTCCTGCTGACTTGGCAGGTGGGAATACGTGCTGGGTATCTGTACAAATCATTGGCTCACAGCAAAACAAAGAGGCGTGCTAAGACTCGCGACACCAACAACGGCAAAATAAAACAAGATAAAACAATGCTGTTCACAGTAAATCACTTTCGTCCACATTCAAGATGAACTTGGTGTAGAAACGAACGCCTTCATTCAAGCTGTCTGCACGGAAAGCTGGTATGGGGAACTGCATGAGCGGGAAAAGTAATGTAACACTATGTAACACTTGCCTTCATTGACAGTGTGTGCTCCATTGAAACTATCAGTGTCAAAGGACGGCGAGAAGCGGAAAATATGCTTGGTTAAATTCCAGTAGAATCGTGTGTCTGAGACTACATGAAGGGATAATTCGTTATGAGCAGATAGCAGCTGCTTACCAGTGTTGCCTGGTTGACACCATTCGTCAGAATCGTGCAGTACAACCCAGACAAACAACGTACCGATAGATAGGGAGGGTATAACCACGACCTTGCTGCTGTTGCGAGTAGGGGAGCTCTCAAAAGCAGCTTTAATACTTCCTTGCAAGAGTGCCCAAGGGCCATACTCGGTAGGTGTCACAGGCGAAGGCTCCAAGGCCGTCCCGAGGAAGTCAGACAGAACGACTCGACCAGCACTACCATAAGTCACGTTGCTGCCGAACGCGACGAGTGCGAGGTCGTACTTGGCTGCCAACGGGGTCAAAAGGTCGATCATGTGCTGTTGCAGCTCGTCAACAGAACTAAAAGTAAGAAGTGAACAAAGTCCTGAAAATCCTACAAAAGAGGCAAAACCTATGCTCTGCAATGCGGTGATTGATCACTGCGCTAGCACGCTCTGGGAGAGCATTAACTTTCACGCCACCTTCGACGAGGTCTACTGCTTGTGTAGTCCCGAGCATTGCTTTGTACAGGGGATCCGAAGCCAGAAGTCGCTCTTGAAGCACCTTCAGAGCTGCATCGTTTGTGACCGCTTTTCTTGCGAGCTTTCGCAAGTCGTCAGGGTACAGTGGACTGTAGGCCGCAAGGCATTGCGTCGTCGCAAACGGGGTTCCTGTTCGAGAAAGGCTGGCTTGGTGCGGGTTATCTTCCACCGCTGCTATGAAACGGGAGAGGAGACCGATGCTCTGTACAGTACAGATCAATTATCAGTCAGAAAGTGTAGCGATCAACACGCACCGTATGAGAAGGTGGTAGGCTCGAATGACCACCCAGAGTTGAAAGCGTGATCTCGACATCAAGATATCCCTTCTCAGATGTTGAGGGAGCCGCGAAAACAATGCCACCCATATCCGTGTAGCGACCTGACGCAGATTTAAATTGTGCCTTTTGCAACATTTAGTTCACGTACCTCCTTCGTCAAGAAGCAAGGCAAAAGAATCGTGCCCATACGTTTCTTCCAAGTATCGAGCAAGATGACCGGCACCCTGAAGTGACCTATCAATAATGGAGCTTGTATGTAGCGGTTTTACTGACCTCTGTGCCTTTGGACTCTTCGTCGAATCCGTACGAGAGTACAAGGGTGCGTGCAGGAGAGAAATCTTGCTTTAGCAGAGAATCGATGGCGAGCAACTGTTGTATCAAGTCGCTTTTGTCATCGCCAGTACCACGTCCCCATATCCACGTGCCTGTGATAATACAGGTATAAGTAGCACCTCGCGGGGTTGAAAGTTTGCCTACCGTCATAGTACCCTGAATACGGATCGTGTTTCCAGTCTTTGACTGTCTGACCTTCAACTGGCACAACATCTGAGACGACGTCAACTGAGATTCCGTAGAATGTTCAAACGAGAATAACCTTGGTGAGCGGCCAAGATGTAAGGTTTTGCCGTACTTGATCCTTGCCAGTGAAAAACCAGACCATATGTGTTGACTTTGGTGACATTGAGGGACTCGTAACTAGAAACAAAACATAAGCTATGAAACGACAGCTCAGACTTGAAGGCCCCAACGTACACGCGAGGAAATGAGGCCTCAAGAACTCGGTGGAGTTCTGCAAATGTATCCCATCGACTGTCTTCACCGACCGGTCCATTATCGTCGTACGATTCGGTCCTAAGAGCGCGTCCATGTTTCCACAGTGATATGCGACATTAGGACTTACGGTACACGGACTGCCTCTCCAAGGACCTGAATAGCTCTTTGCTTAAAGTCTTCTGAGCTGTATGCCACATCCAAGTCTTCGCTGAGCCCACGATGCTTGGTTGGATGTAAAGCCGTCCACTGAGGGCATGTAGTAGAATTAACGCCTGGAGACAGGGACCCGGCAAGTCCGTTACAAGGACCTTCAAGCCACAAATGAGAAAGACGGCAGATTGGCCGCGGCAAGAAAGCGAAGTCGCAGAACTTATAGAGCACTAGTGAAATGATTACCAGACTGCACAACAGCACTCGAAATGCAAACAGTAACCTAGACCAGCCGCTTTCATGCTGCTTACTCGATGTTCTGCCAGTAGGACGACATAAATCCGATTGTGCGGGAGCCATATGAGAAGATGAATGACTCTTCCGAAGGAAAGTTGTTGAAGGGGTGAGAAACGACTTTGGTTTGCTCCATTTCGACATATTGAGGCTCTATTTTTTGTACCTGACTGTCATTGTGGTGTCGCCCTCACACAATTTATATGTAAGAGTTGCTATCACAGACCACGGTTACGCCCCCGGGTCCCGTTGTTGCCAAGAGACCGAAAGATATATATGATGCTGGCATGTTGGTGTTTCTCGACCATGCAGTATTACTAAGTACATACTTTGCACCTTCCCATTCCCATGATCATATCATGATGTGGTGGGTTCATCAGTTGGCAGAGTGTTCGTAGATCTCATTGAATGGACATTAATATTTTTTACTTGTATTCTTGGTGACGATATATTCGATGTGGGCGCGGAAGGGCTCCTGAAGGAAGTTCTGTTGATATTCTGTAGGGTCGTTATCAATATCTTATGGCAGGTGTATCATCATGATACTGCCCAGCTGCCCCACAATCTGTCTGCTCAAGAAATGTATATATTCAGTAAACAAGAAAGCTGGTATATCACCTCTGAAAATGGGGGTATATGTACCGTGTAAAACTAGATGTGCGTGAGGGTATATGAATAAAAGGTATCACAGTCTGTCAAACACAGAAATAGTGGTGGAATACTTTTCGTCAGAAAGTTCGTCGTCAATCAAACCACCCCACGTCTCTCATCTCCATAGCCAAGTTTCCCCACTCGCATCCGCCAGCCTTGCGCCCCGCACACTCCGTTGCAAATCGCAGGCACTCATCAAGCCTCCACCGCGCAGTGACGTCTAATTCCTTCTCCTCCGCTTGCACGGGGGTATATGGCGCCCCTGGAAGAGTGCGCCTGCTGAGGGACCAGATCATCCCCGCGATGAACGCGGAATGCGCGCCCTCTTCATCTTGTAGGTCCTCCGAAGGTGGTGGTGGTGGCGGCGGCGGCAGTTGCACGGGTATAGAGCTCTGTACGTGCTGGGGAGGACGTGTATGTGCGTGGTCGTGGCCATGACCGTTAGTGCGAAGATGAGGATTGGGAGGTGAGTGGGGCAAGGATGTCCCGCGGGTGGTATGCGTAGACCTTGCGTCATCTTCGTCGTCGTCATCATCAAGTGGGTGGAAGGATTCTCCCGCCGATGACGTGCGCCTTCTTGGCTCGTCGTCGTGGTCTTCTGAGTATCCACTGTCACGATTTCGGGCAGGTGAGGGGTTATCACCCATAGTGAACCCGCTTGAGTCGGGGCTGCGGCGACCAGCCCAAAATTCTGAGCCGCTGCGCACGCTCTCAACACCATCAGCGGTGGAGATGATGGAGTGTAAGTTGGAGTTGGTGTGTGCATGGGATCTGCCCATCGGGAGTGGAGACCAGGAAGAGGATTGGAGGTATTCACGAGTGGGAAGGGAGAGGAGGGCTGAACCAAGGGCACCTCCATATAATACAAGGAGCGCGTGTGGAGGTGCGTGTCGTGCGAGCGCAAGGAGGATAGCGCGCGGAGAAGGTGGGCCTAGGGTTGACTAGCGTTAAGTTGGGGATTAGAGAGCGAGGGAAATGTTTGCGCTGAAAGGAAGATGACGTCTGCGTGAGGGATGAGCTGGTTGCATAAAAATGATCAAATAGAGTATGTTTCAAAAAAGTACAAGGACATACAGCTTCGACGCCTTCTCGTGCCCTTCGGCCGAGATCCACACTGAGAACACAATGTGCTCGCCACTTTCGCTCACGTGCAAGACCGTCTACTCCAAGAATGTTGGAGAGCGTGGTTTTGATACTGCCGTCCTTCAAAATGCATCCAGTCAAAAGGCGCTGGCGAAAGTGGATTTTGAGTGGGTACGATCGCCATATGTGGAGCGGTGCTGCCTGCAGGGGCTGTTGCAGGTCTGGAAGACATACTATTTCTCGGTGGTGGAGTAGAAACAAATGCATTTGGGAAGACGGCAGCGGGCGAAGGTGGTTGAGGAGGTAGTTGTGGGTGGGAAATGCCAATGTAGTTTCTCCGGTGCAAGAACAGGGCCCAGCAAGGCAATAAAATCTTCATGGGACACCTCTGGAAGTGGATTGTGATTTATAACAGTTCTTTCACCAGTATCACGGGCATGCATTACCCATGCAGATGGAACACCGAGACCAGGCCAGGGTTTACAGTATTTTGTGCGCACTCCACCTGTCTCTAGCTCATCTCGCAGTCGAATTCCGTCGGGCGACGCGCCCAAACTCGCGATGAGCATGGGTTCCACAGCAGCAGGAAGCGCTGCCAAAAAACCAAGTATATGTCCAGCGCTACCGCCACGTGCGGTGGTGACTGCTTGTGCCCGAGACGCAGTACCCGGAACTGGATGCGAGCAAAGGTCCAGCGAATACGTCAAGAATATCGTCCCTGTCGAAAAAATACGAAATGGTTTGGAGATTGATGGACTTGGCATAGGCGGGTTGACGTAGGTGGACGTTGGGGAGTGGGTAGTACTGGATGTTGAAAGCGTGTCACGTCGCAGGCGAGCCATCCTGCAAATTTGTTAATTACTACGCGGCGTTTAGTGTTGAGTCTAACTGAAAGTGGGAGAACGTACGTCGCCCACGTCGGGGTCGACTGAAAAGAAGCCATTAAAGTTCACCTTGTCGTAACTCACGTTCTGATGGACTCGAGAGACCATAGTCAGGTCCATCATGGTGGTCTACTGCTCGTCGACGTGAGTCGTGATGCTGGCATGCTCTTTCTCAGAAATAAATAAATCTCAATCTCAACTCCACGAGAATATGTCAATGGCCCATACTATTCCTGGCTACCTATCGATTTGTCAACGCCAGTAGTTCCTGGAAGCGCACCATTCAACATCTGTTAATCCTGGTGCAAGGAGCGGGCTCCCGACTCGGAGTTCTGGTAGTGGGATACATATGTAAATGGTACAGCGCATGTTTGCGAGGTCGCTACGCCATGAAGGTCAGTCAGTTCCAGCTGAAGCAGTGACAGACTTCGGACAGTATTCAAGGTAATTTTTTGATTCTTTAATACCGAACAGTGATACAACTTGAGTCAATGAGTACAAATGGATAATCGGGGCGCCGTCCTAGAGGAGCAGTGACCGGTCACATGCACATGTCAGGGTAAGCGCTTGAAGCTTGAGCACTGATAAGTACTTAAGAATAGTATCAAGATGCTACGCCCTTCCTACCATTCCGCCATTCTTCTCAAGTGTTTGAGCTCATTCGTATCCCACTGTTCGTCGACAAATCCAAGTGACTTCTCCTAACATGTCTATGCCAAGGAAGGTGCCTTACAGTGAGTCTGCCAGTTACAATTGTAGGAAGGCACTCACTCTGTTCATATGCTCAGCGAGGCTGGGGAATTCTGGCCTGAAAGTGTCCAAAATCATACTTGGGACCATGCAGTACGGCAACAAAGGATGGCAAGATTGGGTCCTCGGAGAGGATGAAGCACTCGAACACATCAAGGTTGCGTAAGTTCTCAATCTCGGTACCACGTACACAGTTCCCCTAATCACTAGGCCCAGTTACGAAGCAGGAATTCAAACTTTTGATACCGCCGATGTGAGTCGTTACTATCAGAACTCATCAGATTACAATATCCTACATTTCTCAGACATATTCGAACGGTTACTCGGAAGTGATCCTTGGACGGGTGATCAAGAAACTGAATTTACCCCGCGATGAAATCGTCGTCATGACCAAAGTACATGTCTTTAATATTCTGCAGCTCTCTCTCATCACATTGACCTTGAACAGGTATTCAATGTGGTCGGACGTGAATACAATACCCACCAGCTTGGCGGGCGCAAAGACCCAGATCAAAATGGTTATGTAAACCAGCATGGTCTCAGCCGGAAGGTATGTTTTCAATCGATTATGAGGTCAATCGACTTTCTGAACTTACGAAACAGCACATCTTCGCAAGCGTGAAAAAAAGTTTGGAGCGGCTTCAAATGGATTATATCGACGTTCTACAATGCATGTCTAATCATAAATATGCTCAACTCTTTCTTAGAATGCTTATCCACTTATAGGCCACAGATTCGACAATGAAACACCGATGGAAGAGACGGTAATGTATATTCTATACTGGCTTTCGCGCGCTAATGTTTGAGAAGATGCAAGCATTGCACGACGTAGTCCAAGCTGGCTATGTCCGCTACATCGGAATGAGTTCTTGCTGGGCGTACCAGTGTGAGTGCACCTCATTCATTTACAGAGTCAGTCTAACGTTTGTTTGCTGTTTAGTCCAAGCTATGCAGAGTGAGATCTCAATTGGGGGTACATGCTACCGTCATCTGACTTCAAATCAACGCAGACTATGCGATCACAAACAAGCTCACTCCCTTCATCTCCATGCAGAATCACTATAGCCTACTCTATCGTGAGGAGGAGCGCGAGATGTTCCCTACTCTCAAGGTTCTTTCATAGTGTTGATGGTATCAGCGTTGTGGCTCATAATGATATTGAGATGTTTGGTGTTGGTTCAATTCCATGGTCTCCACTGGCTCGTGGTGCCCTCACACGCCCTCTTGGACAGCAGACAAGCAGAGGTCAAGCTGATTGGCAAGTGTTTCAATGTCTTCATGTGGTGACCGTCTCATGGCTTTTTACAGGTTCATTGGGAATTATGCCCAAGCATCGTCATACGAAACTATTATTAACCGGTATGCTGGGTCTCTACTAAGAAAAACAGTTATTCACAGGTTGATCAGGGTCGAGGAACTTGCTAAAAAGAAAGATGTAACCATGGCTCAAATAGCCATAGCATGGATCTTGACAAAGGAAGGTGAGTTATTTATTTTGACGCCCATGTGGGTACTCGATCAATGAAATCGATTCCCTAGGGGTATCGGCTCCTATTGTCGGAACCACGAGTATCGCAAATCTTAAAGATATCATTGGTAAGTGGCGATGCCTGCATGAACTTCCTGCGCCATTAACTTGGAACCCATAGCTGGAATAGACGTGAAACTTACGGTGGAGGAAATAAAGTTCCTCGAGGAAGAGTACAAACCGACTGCTGTGATTGGTCACTTCTGAGTGGTTCAACGATGTGCGGTTCTCAGATACATGTTAATTCCGATTCGCTGCTTTCTCGATGGACACACTTGAATGATACTCACAGCCAGTGAACGACAGCCTGAAGCACAAGACAAAGAACCTGTAATGTTTCGGATCCTGGTATACTCCAAAGTTGTATCATCGCTCAGCACTCAGCTGCTGAAGCTAAGCGCCAAGCGTTCCAACACTCAGATCTCAGATTCAATATAGCTATCCGTCATCCACCTAGAAGGATAACAGTGAATTTTGTATGCCTGCCATGATTTTTTTACTCCTCAATCTGCCGATTGGCACCAGAGACATACATAAATCTTCCTAGCTCGTGACCCCCGAGCTGATCTCGTCTGACATGAATCGCACAACCTCAATTTCATCAAGCATACAAACAACGGTGGTCTGTCGGTACGCCGGCGTAAGTGGCGGTCAAACGATGGAAGCTGTGGAAACCCTAGGGAGGCGATTGTGCTCCCAACCTCCTTGCAGACCTGCTTTTGAACGATTGAGATGCCCTGCAGGAACAATCCGAACTCCAAGCCAACGGCAGCCCGCTACTGCCAGTCGTCGTGCCAGCCTGTAAAGAGCCATGGAAGAGGCATACTTCGTGTGTTGGCATGATATCAGCATGCAGTATGCCGGAGTTCCGTCGCTACTGATGATCTCGTAAGGTCAAGATTTCAGAGGTGAAAACGAGTCGGTCAGCACGTCTTACATGTAGCCACTGAATTACAAGTTTGAGGAAAACATTTCGAACGAAAGACCGCAGCTGTTACTGATGAGCATTCAGAGTGGATACTGCTTACATCAATTAATCTCTCTTGAAGGCAATCACCACAATCATGGTTCAAGTTGTGCGAGAGAATGATACAGGCCATGACCGTGACATATGCATATATGATTAATGACAGTGGAAGATTCGAACTCGGAAATTTGTGGTCACGTGTACAAGAGCGCTTTGGTTGAACAGTGAACTGAACACGTGTATGCTTCTGTCCTGAACAGGCTTACGAAATCCAATCGCCAATAGCTGACTCGACAATGCGTACGAAAAGAGAGTTTGAAGGTGAAGATGAGGCAGGGGTAAGTGCCTGATCCGCCCAAATACAATATATAGGTCTCATTTACCAGAAATCGCCTAGGACTCATCCCAAGTTGAAGGAGGAGATTGGGAAGATATTCCAGACAAGGACGTTAGCCCAAAGCGGTTCGAAAATTTTGACTCTTCCAGTACAACAAACACTTCTACAGATGCCTCGAAGCCGAGGCGTCGTGCGGGCTCGAAACCCGTCTTTGCCGCTGAAACCCCTCGGCGCAATCGCGCAGCACCTACACGGTTAAAGCGCAAGAGAAGCCCCAGCGTGGACAAAGAACACATCGCAGACAAAGAGAACATTGTTGATAAAGAGCTTATCAAGGAAGCGTTGTCAACTGGTGCCCACCACTCGAGCATTTATATTCTCGACGTTGTCCTTCGAGCAGTGCGACTTATGCGCATACCATTATCAATCATGCTCTTCCTTTGGATGTTGGCATTTGTGATGATACGCCTTTCGGGTGCGCTGCGCACAGCGTTTTCCCCGATGTGTTACCTTCCTATGGTATCGAGGTCGGCGCTGTGTGCTCCGCTGGACTTCAATGCGTCGCAAATCCCAAAATGGGCGGATTTTCCACAACTTATGGAAGCCCAGGGCTCTACTTTTGAGCAGCTTTTAGCGGGGTCGGTCGGAGGCTCTGCACTTTCGATTGAAATTCGGAAGGCTGAATTCGCAACCGCGGATCTTACAACCCTTGTACGACATAGCGACCTCAAGTCTAACGACATCCTAGCTGATTTGTTGGCAACTTTCGTGAAAGATGCCAAGAAGACCTCTAAGAGTCTCACAAAGCTTAGTTCGAAAATTGGTGGCGCCGTAGACAAGTAAGTAGTCGTTCGTTTAGCGTGGAAATATTGTATGCTCATTTCAAAAGTGTCATGGCAGTGAACGGGTATGCAATGCGTACCATACAAGAGGCAGAGAAGAACGCACCGTCACCGTATTCTCTTACGGCCTTGATTCCATTCCATTTTGGACCCACAACACAGGAGGCGATAGTCGATGCATTCACGAGTGCGATGGACACCTTCTCTATAGTAATCCAGCGACTTATTCTGGAAGCGGAGATATCACTGCACAACTTGGATGTACTCGAAGAAGATCTTTCCGCTGTACGCGAAGTTGTGATGCGCGAGGACATTGACGTCACAACTGAGCAATCCGAGCTTTTGGAAGCGCTGTGGACGAAACTGGGTGGAAACAGACGCGCATTACGGAATAATGACAGACGTCTTGGTTTACTTAAAGACCTTGCTGACTATCGGAGACAAGCACAGGCACATGTTGTTGCCGCACTCCAGACACTCAACTCGATGAGCGAGGACATGGAGGATTTACGAGAGAGGGTAGCGGCCCCTGAATTGGTTGGTGGGCGTATCCCACTCCACGTGCATATTGAGAGCATTCAGAACGGACTCGAAAGGCTACAGGAGGGCCGTGTGAGAGCCAAAGAGAGGGAAGAAGAGGTGATGAGAAAAGTGTTGGGACTCGGCACCGATTGAGTTGAAGAATGTACCATATATAGTGGAGCTTTGAATTGTGTATGCTTAGGTTGATATATTCCTGGTGATTTACACGGGCGGGACATGATTTTACCAACCTGGCACTAAAATTGTGAGACTTGGCAGGTCATCTTGATCAGACTCGAGGCACACGTGGAGCTTGTTATCATGTGTTTCTGCGAGATAACATATAATAAATAGCGTGTCTGGAGTGCATATGTCGTGGGCAAAGGCACGGTGAAACCCTAAATGACGGTGAATCCCGACTCATGGGATTTGAACATGACCCCCTCTTATAGGAGGAGGAGCATTGCGGTTCTCAGTGAACTCACGAACACACACGCACATGAAGGATAACGTTATCAGCCTGAAGCAAAACAGGTGCACGCCGAGAGCCGTTCCGGCAATGATGTGTGTGGCTTACCTTTGTGCTGGTCCAACCGGGCCTAGCATCGTTTGGACAGGGTCCTGCGCAAAGTGAAAATATAGCTGTGGATGAAAGCCAGTGGGCCAGCAGCATGACGGTCCAGTGTGGACGGATCCAAGCATTTGTGGCTCCGAATCTTGATGTGGTAATTGGGATCTTATTGTGGTTATGTAAATTATTCTGGATATAACGGGTAAGTCGGATAAACACAATTGTTAGTCCACTACAGTACAGATCGCATGGCCCGGACGGTCATTGAAAGTATTATTATTATGACAACGAGAAGCTTGGCATCCCACTTCCCTTCCTCCACTACCTCATCCTTTAAAAGCTATACTTGTGTAGCTTTCTTCCGAAAGGCGCTCACAATAAGTCACTGACAGCAGACACTCATACCACACGGTGTATAGCCACACGTCAAGGTGCATATCCTCATCCAAGCGGCTAGGCACATGTAGCTGACATATATTTCTGACAGAGCACCCCAGATATTTTCACCAACGATCGAGCCCGAGAGTCTACACTTTGAGCTTGCTTTCAAGCCACCTACTACATCATTCAGTGACAGTACATACCTACTATCGTACGTGGAGTCATTAACAACTCTATAACCCCTGCAGTAGCATGAATTGCTTATCACGTTTTGATTGTTCTCTAGACACCTTGCCTCGAGGCTAGCCTTTATTTTTTTTACCACGAAGTTTTCATGACTTTTGTCACGGTGCGTACATGCCATTCATCACTCACTTGCCGTCTCTGAATTAACATAAACCTGCAGGGTGGTGCTTCAGCCTACGATCAAGGACCTGTATCTCCCGAGGTAAGACGAAGCTCCCAGTTTGCGAACCTCCATACTCACGTAGCTATAGTCGTGGAAGCGTGCCGTGTACCGGAGTGCTCCTCAGTATTTCTACGTCTCAGTCCTCAATCCAGAAAAACAAGGTAAGCTTGTTCAATTCTTGTTGGATCGTATTCACGTTGGTTTTAGGCGGTAGTTATAGCTATGGCCTCAGGATTTGTCCCATTAAGAACGATAACGCATCCATTTCTGCTCATTCAACTTCCTCGAAGGGCTCACATTTGGAGTATGACATCTGGCGAAAATGGGAGGACTGTCTCTGGTTTCAAGACAGCCTTGAGGCCGAATACGCTCTCATGGCAAGACAGAAGATAACACGTCTGGCTGCAGGCAAAGGAGTGAAAAAGGGCGGGATGTACATCCAGAGCGACCAGGCAGCTTCTTTTGATTCACTTCCCCCGGGTCCCGATCCTCACTCCGTCGCCCGTGATATCCACCGGTATATCCCGAAGCTGACGAAGAAGGGAACACTATTCCGCGCGAGCCAAGCTACCGTTGACCAACGGTTCGTTGAGTTTCGTGCCATGATAAATGCGTTCTTTCAAGAAGACCTCCCGATGCTCTTGAAAGAGTTGATGGCCACGCGAACCTTCACTGATTTCTTCGGCTATTGGAGACGTGATCACGACCTCGCTATCAAAACACAGAAAAATCAGACCTCTCCCGCTAAACCTCGCCGCTCTGTGTCTAGTAGCATGCTTTCTGCTTATTTTTCTCCTTCAAATCCAGCAACATCAGACGACGTACCCTCTTCCACGTCTGTGACCGAGTCACCAAAGAAGTTGCCCAGGCGAGGTTCAGGCACTTCAGACTCATTGTCATCAGGAATTTCCCTCAAAGACCAGCCAACTACCCGCTCACGCGCGAATGCCCACTCTGCCGGCTTGACAATATCCCTGCCATCGCGTGGCTCAAAATCCACCCTATCTTCTTCTTCCTCGAGTTCTCCATCTCCTGTCACGCCGCGTCGATCTTCTAATCGTTTGCCAATGGTTGTTACACATGAAGCTCCAATCACATTTGGACATAACCCACATACACCTGCCGGATACGCGTCGGAGCGTCGAGCATCGGTACTCCAAGTCCTCCCAGAGGACCAGGAGGTTGAGATTGACAAGGCTATATCTGTGGATTACACGCAGACGCGAAGGGCAAATAGGACCGCTAGGGTCCTTGGCCCCCCTGCTTCCGAATTATATGATGATACTGAACTTTCTTCGGATGGTGCGCCCCAAAATCTTTCATATTTGATCTGCATTACTGATCTCAAAGCAGCAGAGTCCTACGCTAGGTGCTCCTGGCGGTCAACCAACTCTGTTTCGTCCTCTCGTGCTGCAGCCTACCTTGCTGAGCTCGACGTTGACTTCACGCTTCCACACCCTCACCCGGAACGTGCGCACCGCCCCCGTGCCTCGATGTGTAGTGTAGCCTCATACAGGACTGATGCCTCCGCCGATGCGATCATTTCTCGATCTGCTTACACTCAGTCTTCGCCTTCTACTGGGACTCGACAATATCGTCATTCCGTGCCTTTCCCAGATGAAGAGGAGTGGGCGGAACGCGAACCATGGGCTGATGAATCGGCTTACGGAGAGGATGACCTCCTTGACGCCTATTTCTATGGTACGTCTGATATACATACATGTTCGACCGGTGTGCTAATTATCCCTGTTACAGACGCGATACCGCCCACATCACCTAGCGAAGATAGCCACTTCTCTTCACAGCAGCATGACTCGTACCCAACATCACCGTACCCTGCGCGACGTACATCCGTAACCACATCTATATCCAGCGGATCGACAGGATGTAGTGACGGTTCAGCCATTGCCATCAAAGCATTGTATGAGAACCACATCATCATGCTTCGCGTTTCGCGGTCCCTGTCGTTCACTGAGGTTCGTCAACGACTTTACGACAAATTTGTACGACAGGAAGGCGTGCCACTTTCAGAGAGCTTTGTCGTGGCCATCCTCGTTCCACCTCCAGTCAAAGAGAAATCTGGAGGCCGTCCTTACGCTGCTTCGTTCTCCTCTATGGCAGACAAGGATAATGTTGTTCTGCACTTCGTAAAGTCCAACGATGACTGGGACCAGGCGATATACAAGTATGGAAACAAAGTCCTTCTGCGTGTTATCGGCAGCCGCGCCTAGGCTGCTCCACGTGTAATGTATTGCCATGCAGGCTTTAATGTTGTTATATTGGCATTTTCGATCTTCGCATTTTTGTAGAAATCATTGGTTTTGATTTCGTTCTTGCATCCAACATTTTTTCGTTCCCAACATTCAACATTTTCTTTCTTTCCGACACACGAATTATTTCCATTCAACTGCGATACCTTTGTCCTCAATATTCCATCTTCGTTCTACATTGCATTCACTGGATTTCCTTGTTACTCTTCGTTTCTGGGTTTGGCCGCGTTTGTACTGTCATAGGATTGTACTCGCGAGCTCATGTACGGATCAAAGTTGTAGAATGTATCCTTTTATCGCATATCACAATTGTCTACTTCATACCACAAGCTGCTGCATATTATGACGAGCTTTACCCAATCTTTTACAATTAGCAATTATACAATATTACAATCAAGCACCGACGGCTTGCGGGGAAGGCAGAGGCTTTAGTGCTACAGCAGGAGGTGCGCCTGCGGGCAGTAGTCCTCTAGTCCAATCTGGTATGACATTTCTTGGAATGCGTTCAGATGCAGGAACAACCATAATGACATCGTCATCCTGATCGGTTTGCGATGGATCTGATTCGTCCCATTTCTCCCGTGCGACTTCGACGCCACCAGTCTTTAGTGCTCTAGAACACCATCAGCATACAATAAGACGACACGAGGGAATGTTGGTAGAACTTACCCCGCTAAGGAGCCACCCACCCACGCCATCGTAGCAGGTGTAAAAGCTGGTGCCTTCCCTGCGTTCACATTGGCACGTGTACTCGATGAGGGTACCGGTGTAGGGTTGTTGAGAATAGCAAAGTGCGGTACCAGCGGGCGCAATGAGGCATATCGATCATATGTAGGTCTAGACCGTGTGGATAAGATATTTAGCGGAGCAGTAGCGCGCAGCAGTTCCGTGTGTAAACGAGGGATGAAACCTGGAAGCATGGCTGTGCCCCCTGTGATTAGAATAGAGGATGCCATAGTTTTACGAAGATCAAGTGGGACCTTCAAACACGGTCAATGGCATAATCATAGCAAGGGAGAATTAGATAACAAACCTTGAGTAAAGCATCCAAAATTACTTCTGCGACACTACTTTCGTCGACATCACCTCCTTCAAATAGCACCTCGGCAGCGCGTTCGCGGACCCAGCCAGGGATGATGAGGGTTCCACGCCCGGTACCCGTTTGCTGAGATACAGGGGGAACGACACGCATGTGAAGATTTGTGGCAGTGGAGTGACGCATATACATATTCGCAAGGACCTGTATATGCTTTTCATTGCTTGCTTCCCCACTGGAGGTAGAGTGTGTCAGATGGGAGACTATCGAGAACTCGGACTCTGCTGCGCTCTCTTGACCAAGGGAACCCCGTGAAAACTCTGACTCAGATATGGCAGGGTCGCTTGAGGGTGGAGGCTCATGGTCTGAAGGATCGTCACCTGCTGGAGAGGATGCGCGGACATCGCTGAGAGAAGATTCCAAAGCATCTGATACAAAGCAACAGCGTGTCTTGATGTCCTCGATGACAGCATCTGTTAGTATCTCTTGTGGCACACGGGTGGTGCGATTGGCTGCGGGCACGTTGACAGCCGCGCTGAGCGTAGTTGGTGGAGGGAGGTAAGAGCCAAATAAGAGGAGCAGTGCACGGATATGCGACGAAAAGCGAGAGCCTGCGAGTGGTGTTGTTCGGAGTTGAGGAAAGAGAGGACGGGCTGCGAATATCTAAGAGGGCGTGTTAACAGAAAAAAGCAACAGGCGCATCCATCTTACAGGTAATGCGGTAGATTCTAAATGGCCACAATCCAGGACGAGACCTGTTATTCGGCCAACAGATAATAGAGACAACAGATGACTTGATGCAAATGATATTGAGGGAACCTGTTATCTTCCGTCTACAGATTGTCATCCCGCGAAAGCTGAGCACATACCTGGAGGTTACTAAAGAGGATGTGAGCCAACATATCCTTGATGTACAGCGGCATTAACGGGTGCTCAACCAATATTACCTTTCTGGCCTTGGGTTCTGCAAGAAGTGACCTTCACGATCTATTGGATGCAAGTGTCTATGATAGTTGAGCCTACTTACTCGTGAAAAACAGAACGCATACATCTCTCCAAGTTGATTTCTAACATGTTATCCTGCTCTGCCTTTTCTGTTGGGTCTGTGGCTCGATTCCAACTCCATAACGAGTCATAATTTTTGGCGTCGGCGTAGAACACGTCTCTTGGCTTGCCTTCGCCACTGAATCCAACTTTCCAGATGCGTGAACCTGGATCGATTACGACACGGTCCTCTGTGCCATAGAGAGAGTGACGTCTGGTTGTCGTGTAATGAGGAGATGCTTGAAGAACATGGGATCCTGCTAATCGAGTTGTCGTTGGTGTTGCAGGGGTGATGCCCGTCTTTGTTCTTGGTGTACTTGAGACTGTCGACATTAATATTCAGCCCAGTGTACGGTAGCCAGCTGCATACAGAGCGAAATTCAAAGTAATTAAACAAGCACTTACTAGGACTTTTCGTGCACGTGATCAAGTGCGTCGCGTCTACGCGATTGTTACTATGTACTTATTTATCATGTGAACACGGTTTCAACGACGGTAAGAGGTCACTCGATACCAAGTAGCCTTTCTTTCGATTTTACGAGACAACATTTCACTGAGTTAAACATAAATTGTCAGCTGAGCGTTTCAGAAGACAACCAGCATACGGGCTGAGCATCAAGGAAAGTACTATGGAGTCGTTAACTTCAACCTCTTTTGAAGTACTTACGTATACTATCGAACGCGGCTTACTCTCACAGATAGACATCAAGTCACGCTTTTGTTACGTCTCTTTATCATTTGAGTGTATCTCAAGAAATGGAGTTATGGGTGGACAGCAACTGGAACGTCTAGAGCTGGTCCGCCTTTGTTCCACGATTGTACCGGTTTACACGTGGATATGGTTGTTAAACGCTGGTACGGAAGTGCAGTGACTGATGCACAGGCTTGCTCCGAGTCACCAACGTGGTTCCCCGGGTCACAGTAGCTTGCTATCTTAGAGCCCGCGCTTCTGGTGGCAAGCGCCCAGATCATTAAACAGTAGGGATTTCATGTAGCGTCTGGTACGTTCCGACCTTTATCGGCGGAGTCAAACCAATCAATACAGAACGTAGCCTTCTCCCCGGAGCTCTAACGTTCATGTGGCCGCCCATTTCACAAGCTGCGCCATCTATACATTGTCTAGTTGATGGCAAGTGCGTTGATGGTATCTTGGTTATCTCAGGTGTCACCAAGGCTGGTATACGGTTTTTGAAATCTTACCAAAATGCTATACCAGGTTCTCAATATAAAATGCACGAGTCAATTGTTCAATTGAGAACACCCCCTTCCACGAAGCGAAGACGTGTGTTTCGCGATGAGCTCCACTACGAATATTCTTGAACTCGGATGGGTACTCTGGGGTCTTAACGTGAGTAGCAGTAATACCTTGCTTGTTTCCAGCTATTCATGATCTTCCAAGTACGCCAATAGTCTGCGTCCTCTTGCAACTTGTGTTGACTATAAGATATACTGACAACTGTGTTACAGTGGCTGTAACTACGTCCTGGGTAATTTTGCACGAATATCACAATTTAATTGTTAATCTATGTCACCGCAGGCATATGACTCTTTCCTTACCTTGGCCGATGAGGTGCTTTTAGCTATATCGGTTCAAACGCTATACAAGTCTGATGCTAACAACCCCAGGTGGCATTTTTGACCCAGTCACAGTGGAAACTGGCAAAGCTTCTCTACGTTGTCTGCCGATATCTTACCTGCGGTTACTTGACGTTGGAGATGCTCGGTAAGCGTCCTTAATATCAATCATGTTAGTTATTCATATTTAAGACACTTGCAGTGGCATTCCAACCCATGATGTCAATTCACGTGAGTCTTGCAACGACCGTAAAACTGTACCTCAACTAAAGCGTTATGATAGATGTGTCAAGTGATATACTCCATAAATAGCTGTGTGTCTCATTCGTTCGTTCAAGCAAAATCATTCATGGTAGACATTTGGCGCAGATTTGGGAACTCTCATTGTAGTGTGTGCGGAAGGTTTGCTGTCCTAACATACAACATCGTCAAATTCATTGACTGAAACCTGCAAGGTGTCTTCTTGGTCCGTGTTTGTGCAATATGGGGATTTAGGAGGAGCGTGGTGATTCTGTTCTCGATCAGCGCGCTGGTCAGTGGCAGCCTTCAAGTTTACTAGAATCCATCCCTAACATGTGGATTTAGATGTATGTTATTGCTGCCACTGTGGTGGTCTGGATCATCCGATCTCCCCCTGCAAGTAAGTCTCTAGACATTCCGAGAGGACTTCATGTACTAAAACACTGTTACAGTCACTAAGTCACCTATCCCTGTCACGAGTTGTCTTGAAACTGGCAATGACAAAACCATCATAATCCTCTACGTAATTCTGGTCGCGGCGGAGATCCGTGAGTATATCGTCATTTTGTTTTCTATGGTAACCGACGGTCCGCCAGAAATATGGGTATTCGCACTGTACAAGGTCGCTGCGAGCTACCGGCGCGGGGGTGGTCGTAATCGCTTGTTGGAACAGTTGATACATCACAATATGATTTACCTGACCTGCGGGCTTGGTGAGCTGCCTTTACATTGTCCAGTTGTAGAGAAGCGGGCAGGACATTTTTCTGATTTGTGGCTCACAGTCTTCTCCTTCGGTGTCATATTGACGACAGCCCGTCTCAACGTTAGTACACGAAATTCGGTTTAAACCACGTGTACTGATGACAAGTAAACCTGACAGGTGTCTTACGGTTTCATGATTGAGAGGTTTTTACGCAACTGGCAAGTCACTGTTCATGCCTTTCTTGTTACAAAGATGTATCGCGGACTCTGGAAAGCGGATCAGCGACATGCTTTGCTAGAACCTGTTTCCTTCTCGCTTGCGACTTTCCAAGCCGCACCTGGAGTGTCAACTCAAGCATGAATTTCTGGCTTTCACCCCTTTTTTGTCTAGCTATAGGTTGTTGAGCAAAAGAAATTGTTATCCTTTATTCGCCACCGACTACGTATGGAACGTTTTGGTGTCAATTGTTTTACGGTATGTACAAGTCATGACAGTTCCGGAAACGGTTCATATCTGAGCCCGGCGACCTCAAGAGCTACATGAGCATCTGGGGATAAAGTATCCTGATTCTCGAATGACAGACCGACGGAAAAGGAAAGTTCAGGAACTGCTATAACCGCCTTCATTCAACCTTACATGGATCATAGGTGATTTTGTTTTCCATAATGGAACTGCGAGATGATAAATAGCTACTACTAAGAGGGGGAAATAAAACGTAAAATAGATAAGCACACATTCAAGCGCTGTCAATTACTTATCAATGTCTTGCATACTCTCCGTACGAAATCATTTGGAGGGTCCTTACTGCAAGGGGATTCCCCCACCACGATTATCTTCCCACAATGGTGATCTCCTTTGTATAATGCCACGGCACGCCCCACCCAATTGGGGCAGACCTAAAAAATTACATATGAAATGCAAGGACCAGCGCCCCGCTTTACGGATAGGAGTCATGCTTTGAGGCATAGGGTCATCCCCAACGGACAATGATGGATTGGAGGAGTCTACGCGAGATGCTATAAAGGTTTGAACCTTGCGCTCGCACTTAGCTAGAACTGATATGGCAAAGACTTGTTCAGTTCCACTAGACAGCGTAAGCAGTATGGTTCAAAGCGAATAGTCCCTTCAAGACAACCGCGGCAGTCCGATGTCTCCGGCAGGTATATGGTAGCCAGTCTCGCATCCCTCTGGGTCGCTTTCGTCACAGCACCTCCAGATAAAGTCCTCTGGGTACGACCGGGGATCGCACCGTTTGTGCCGTTCAACATCTTTTCGGAGGAACCCTATCGACGAAGAAAACCATAATTAAGACAAAAAATCCTTGAGTATAAATCTCAGACTCACCTGGATGATAGCAGCATTCGAACGGCCCGCGCACCGCGTTCATGTCGAATTTTTGCCCGCAATTTACGCAAATATCCCAGCGTGGACGCGATCTGACATCCACGCTCACCTCGGATTGGATCTCAGGGACATCCTCGATATCATTGACGTCCCAATTAATCACCGAACAGGCGGACTTCCAGCTGGGGCAACTCTCAGAATCTGTTGACACACTCTCTAGGTTGAAGGAAGCTTCGGTTGAGTCCACATCAGACCTCATGTCAATATGTGAGACCTCCGAAATCTCCTTTGACGATGCCTTCAAGGAGTCAAGCGATCGGACAAGAGACCATCGTAGTTCAGGTATCTCGTCGGCGAGCTGAAGGACGAGGGTGCGTAATTGTTCGGGAGATGCTGCTTCAACTGAAGAGAGCAGGTGCTCACGGAATTCTGGGTCGTCGATCGTCAACAGACTGTGCTCCACCTCTGTCACGTCAAAGTCCACCGGTAAGCTGTCAATAACAGATTCCGGGAAGTCCAAGGAGCAAGGGTGAGACCCAGAGGGAGTGAAGAAGCGTGACAGGCTCACAAAAGCCGACATCGAGATATGGGCCTTGCAGCTGAAAGGTGATAAGTATAGAAGAACGGTCGTAAAACAACGTTAAGCTTCGAGGTTCCGACTCCAAGTTGCCAAAAGGCTAAAGCTGTGCTGAAAAATTTCGCTTGTGCCATTTATTACGTCTCGGACTCCGAGTCAACGTGAAGCCGCAAGCGGCTAGCGGTGTCACCCGTTTCTGGAGTGGTTTCAAATTGACAAAAATCTTCAAGGGGAGGCAACTTGGAGGACCACGAATCTAGGTTACGATAGTAAGTGGTCCAAGACTACTAGTACCGGATACTCCCGATGAGAATCTACTACCAGCCTGAGAATGATTCCACAGACAGGTGACCATGCGTCTAGCCCCAGCTAAGTATATCGTGGTACTGTCAGTTCTAAGCAAGTCTACAGTACCTCCATATGCGACTCTCGTGATGAGGCTCAGGTTCAACGTGACGCCACTGCGCCAGATGCGGCTAGCCAACTTGAATGATAGCCTTCATTACCCTGCCCAGGCAGTCACGGTCTCCCTGCGATCACTTGACAAGGGTTTTACCATGTCTCTCCTTGCTACATGAATACATGAAATACAATTCCGTTTGGTTTACTATAGAAGCGTGGCTCATCTGGGTTGATGGTAAGTCTATTAGGTTACTCAGTTTCGAATTCATTTCACCAACACCCTCATCACTGGCACTGTCAAGCAGGAAAGAACCGTCCTTCGGCCCCCTATCAACAGCCACAATACTGGACATCATGGGACGTACTTGCTCACGTTTACGTATGCCTGTGACCCCTGTGTGGTATTTGTATGATTTTATGTCAATGTGGCTAGTCTCTTAATCAGTTTTGACAGCCTCTTTTTCCGATTCCAGTACTACTTCGCGACCGCTGGTAAGTAATGTCTTTAAACACTGACATCCGTTATTAAAATGTGCCGTAGTTTGATCATGGGCTGCTTTGTCCCATATGGCAGGGTCTCCGTTCCAGTTCGTGTCGTCTGTAGGGCCCGAAGCACTCACATGACTGTTTCTGTACGTATCTGTAGAAGTACATAAATTGCACAACTGATAGCTTTCGATAAGCTCACCCACTTAGTCGCCCTCAAATGGCTCAAATCCGTCGAGCCTCACAAACTTCCGAAGAAAAACAATCAAGCGAGGGGGAGCTTATTGAAGCAGCACCCCTACCGACACCTCTTCCAAAAACACAGCTGGCAATCCTTCTCCTTGTACAAATGCCCGAGCAGCTGACAGCCTCAGTGATATATCCATTTGTGAACCAGCTAGTCAGGTCAACAGGAATCACGGGTGGAGATGAGCGTAAGACAGGCTACTACGCAGGCTTAATTGTTTGTTGTTTCTTAGTGGACACTAACCCATTACTGACGAAATTATGTTACTAGGAATCTTTGTATTATGCAGTCGAGGCTGTCACGATTCTGCAATGGGGTCGCGTGTCTGACCGAATTGGAAGGAAACCAGTGATTCTCGTTGGCCTTTTCGGGGTTACCTTGTCTATGGTCTCTTTCGGATTTTCGAATCAATTTTGGATGATCATCCTCAGCCGTTGTGCACAAGGTGCTCTCAACGGCAATATCGGTGTGGTCAAATCTACCATGACCGAGATCGCTGACGCCTCCAATGTGGCGCAAGCATTCGCGTGGCTACCTTTGGCGTGGGGCACTGGTTACACGCTAGGGTTTGTTTAGTCGTTGACCATCATGTACGCCGTAAATTGATCGAGTTCTCAAGATTTCTCATTGGAGGGGTCCTCTCGGATCCAGCAGCCAAATGGCCAAACACCGTCGGACACTACCCCTTATTCCATCAGTATCCTTATTTTTTGCCCTGCATCGTTGCCGCCAGCGTATCGACATTCTCCTGGCTCATCACCTTGGTATTTTTCAAAGAGGTACATTGATTCCGCTATCGTATCGCGTGCAGTGCTCACAAAAAGATTTTTTCAGCCGATGCGAAGCACTGCCTCCAAAAGTGGGTCCGTGAGCCATAGTGACAACACCAAAAAGTCGCCCGTGCGGGCTGCCACGATCCACTACAAGCCTGCAGACACCCAGATAGACACACTACCTCACACGCTAGATGAAGCAGAGATTGCCAGTCCAGTTTCTTGTTCTCTTGAGTCTACAAGGACCGACTTTCGCGCCATCCTCATCCCAGGCGTCATAATACCAGTCTTGCACTATGGTTTGCTGTCTTTCGTTGACCAGTGCATGCTGGTACTAATCCCGCTCATGTATTCGACATCACGTTCACTTGGAGGGCTTGGTTTTAGTAGCAACACCATTGGGTTGGTGATGTCGGTTTGGAGTATGTTTAACGGCATGATACAGGTTTATATGTTTCCGCGATTGTTGCGAAAATTTGGACCAAAGAGGTTGTATATCATGAGTTTCGCCTTTTTCCTCATAACATTTTCCACCTTCCCGTTAATTGGTTATATGGTGAAGCGCAAGATGGAAGCAGGAATGTGGTTGATTATTTGCGTTCAATTCGTTGCATACGTTGTTGCGTACATCCCCTATAGTGAGTTGCCTCCCCCTCATGCCTGTGTTCCTGACAATAATCATTGTTAGGCTGTATTATCTTATACATCAACAATGGGGCGCCGAGCAAGGACTTGCTGGGCGCAACAAATGGCCTAGCGCAGATGATGGGTTCCGTGATGCGTGCTGTTGGACCAACGGTGGTATCTTCACTGTTCGCTCTGTCATTGGAGAAGAATCTCTTAGGCGGAACAGCCGTATACTGGATCATGTGCACGATCGTCATGGTGATACTTGGTTTTTCGACATATCTGCCGAAAACCCTTACCTGGACATCGTTATGACACCATGGAGTAGGAATGAGTCATTAGAAGTTACTTCCCTGATTTTTCAGCAATCTGTAAATCTTGTGTACAAAATAGATTCAGGGGCGACCTTACAAGGTGTAATTGGACTAATACCAGTAAATTTTAAGTGTCAACACCCGTGGTATGTAGTACTTATATTCAGCGAGTATTATGTAACGTGAATGACATCGATATTATTTGTTCTTGTTGAATCTAGAGGCTGCTGACTAATGTAAATAATCATTGCACCCTGGGCACAAGATGTTTGAACGCTCATTGTTGACGTTCGTACAATGCAGCGAAGTTAGGAACCTTTTCACCCACCCCATATTTTTTTTTTCCATACCATTTGTCACGAATGGCGTTGAAAAGGGGTTGTTACTATCCAGGTCTGTAATGATGACTCATTTCGATCACACCACACAAACTTGACCACAAGGACTCAAGTACTCAAATACAATAAATATCCTTGACGATTTATTCGTCTATCTCACTAGATAGCTTGAATGAAAAGATGGTAAGGCTCCGAATGTTCCATACGAGCCTTACCACTGCGACGTTCTGCCTTACGAGCGCGTTTCTCCTGGCGTTTCTCTGTCCTAGCCTCCTTTCTCGCGGCACGGCGTTGTCTTTTATCAAACTTGCGGGATGCAGAAGACCCGCTTCCATGCTTATTGCGACTCCTGTCGTCCTCAGAATCCGATGAGGAAGACGAAGAAGACGAGGAACTCAAGGAACTCGAGGCTCGGCGACGGAGGCCATTTGCCGTGCGGAGTTGGCTATAATCATCCAGCGGGGCTGCTCCCTCACGGCCGCTTAAGCGCTCTGACCCTTGCCAGAGAACGGCCTCCATTCTGCGAGGTCCGAAGAAGTACTGAAGAAACGATGGTGAATAGTCTGATGGTATTTCGCAGGACTTATACTGACCTGGTTCCAGTTATCAACGATGTCTCCCGCCGCATTGCGATTATTCACTTTCGCTTTCATTCGTTTCTCGATGCCTCCGGTCATTAGGAACCCGCCTAAGAGTGCAGACATGGGATCATTTCCTGCAATGGCTTGTTGCACTACGTACCAATAAGACTGGCGTCTGTTATAGGGGGTATGGCATTTGATTTGATGCGTTGTCCCGCAGATAACGAACCTGCTTTCTTGATGTCTGCCAGGAATCTAAAGATCTTTTAGATGAATCCAAATGGGACGGCCTGATGAAAAGTCTACTGACCGTTTCCAATCCTCCTTTAAGATATCATGCGTCGCAAATGGGTGAACACGCAGTTGGCATGGGGGAGCTACCTCAGGGAAGCCTTTGCTCAGCTCCGTTTTGTTTGAGATGAGACACATGGGAGGGAACTGGTCGTAACGCAGACGCTGAGGCGGCTGACGTTGCCACATTGGCGGAGGACCCGTGCTACCAAAGAATGAAGCCAGGGACAACCCTCTACTCTCGCCATTTGGGGAAGGTACACGATCTTGTGGCACAGCGCCTGATCCTGCCCTGTTATGGTCATATGGATCCCTAGCTCCTGGGGAAGCCCCTTGGTATGCTGGGTATTCCCCGCCTTGTCGGTCATAATGACCAGTTGCAGGTGGTGTCTGATCTCCTTGAGGATATCCTGGAGGAAGGTGGGATATTGATCCCGGAGGCGCTTGGTATGTTTGCGGCTGAGGGTTGTACTCTTGGTACGTGCTATCACGCGGGGCATAAGATGCCTCCTGGGTGTATGCAGGGGGTGGGACTAAAGGTGCCTGGTATTGATTCTATTGCTGCTGAGGAGCCGGGACAGGGGGCTCCAGATAGGTTGCGTACGGGTTGTTAGATTTGTCATCGGGATAGTGAAACATGGCAGTGGGGATAATTGCTGCACAGACCAGAGTCTCGTGGTGGTTTTATATGTACGATGGTATCTGACTACTGCGTTACACATCATATTAATTACATTGATGGCCTTTCGACTGCGGAACGAAGCGCACTCGGCAGGCTGTAGCGCCGTCACAGCACATGACATGACACCGAGAAGCTTACACCACCACTAGTGCACTCTTTTCGGGCAAAAGGAAAATGCTGCGCCACTGCTGCGACTGCTGCGGTGACGTTCCAAATTTACGCTAAGCAGCAAATTGACTCACGACACTTGCTTGTTGCTTGCCACATAGTACTCTGGATTCTGCATCGCTGCCTTGAAGGATTTTACATGATTAACTTGAATAGGGGAGCTCAAAGTTGAACGCCCAACGCCATCAGTGAAAACCTCCCGCACAAACCTGCTGAGCTACGTTTAGAATCAGTAGATCTAACTTCAATAGTTACCGAAATGAAGGGCCGCGCTGGACAAAAATACGAAAATCGATTTTCACAACACAGTGAGAAAGATTCCGAGTTTCTCTTGTTTCAAAATAACAAATCGAACAAAATTATTACTAGTTGTCGATTTTCTGATTTTGAAGTTTCTTGTTTACCTGCATTGGGAAACGGATGACCGTAGACCGTCAAAGTCACCGCGCACGCATGTAGTACAACCTCAACCATTGTTGGGCATGAATGTCCTAGAGCAAATTCCACTACCTCCCGAGACCATACGGCAAGGTTATAAATGAGCTTGGTCACCACACTCACATTTGTTCTTCGAACTCAACTTGGTGATAGCGCAAGGCTTAATGCCGCCAAGCGAGAGTGTTTGTGGTTTATTAGCATAGTAGTATGGAAAGCCGGACGCTCGTGCTCAACTATCAAGCAAATACTACCTCATATAGTAATCGGACCTCGAGCACCGTACTGGGCATATTTACTTGTGTTGATCAGTGCAAACCTACTTGCGTATTTGAATCTAAGTCGAGTGCATAGTGATGAAAACCGAAGGCCGTAATACATTGTAACACTGTCCAAAAAACATACACCAAATGAAAACCAGTATCGTTCAAACTACTCCGGCCTCAAACCCCTCAAGTTCAAACCCTGGCCATTTGAGCCTCTCATCTCAAACCACTCAAATCATGTCACACGTCGTTATTCGTGCAATCCCCTTTGCGACTCGTCTGCGCGCAGCCCAAGGTGGTGCCAAGGAGCTTCTTAAGCGTGACCGCGTCCGCGCACAGAAGTTCGTGGCTGGCAAGTCCCACCATGCCTTCGTTGCTGCCAAAGCCAAACGCTACAGCAGTACTGGCGCGGACTCTAGCATTGATGTCACCGATTCAGGTGTCACTTACACTACGCAAGTCGGTGTTGGAAGCCCAGCGACCGATTATACATTGTTAATCGATACTGGTTCGTGGAATGTTAGTGACGTAATTTGGTCTGAAAAGCAGTGTTTCGTAGCGCTGATATCTTTGTAGTGTCGGTCCCGCAGACCTTACACAGGGAACCGTGTCTGACACGACGGAAGTGCCTACTGTTACCGACAACATCTCCTGATCTAGAAAAAAAAGGTCATAATACGACCTTGCCGCAGAGGATGAAGAAATATCACAAGGGCTGCCGCTCCTCGCTTACACGAAGCATACCTGTATTGGCACGTGGAACGTTAGGCACATCACCGCACTGGCCACCGCTTGCGTTTGGAATATGTTGATCCAATTGTCTATCTCGCCTTCAATGTCAAGCCAGTCATACTTATTTCACAGGACGACGAGTTGCACTCAATACGGTTTGGTACGGTGTTTAGGGAATGGGGAGCAGGTCATCCTAGTTTATCTGATGTGGCCCCCAGATCGGTGGGCAGAATCTGATTGGCTTTGAAGTCTCTGCGGTACCGAAGGATTATATCCAGTCATCTGAGAATAGGAACACACCAGTACGCCATCTACACGCCTCATAGTCTACATTCGTCCTGAGATGCAGCTGGCATAGAAGGCACTCCAACCAGGGTACCGATTCCTTGAACATCACCGCTCATGTCACTCCGGTGCGCCGATGGCAGAGAAAAGGCACGTTCTACACGTAAGGAATCGGTACATCATGTACGCAATGGCAAGCCCTTACATTCGAATGTACAACGCTAATCGTCCTGAGGATTACAGGTCACAGAAGTCGAGGTTGCTGGGGAAAGGGCGGTTCCGTTTCGCTAGTCGAGAAGAATCATGTTTCACTATTGGGTGCGGGTCATAACAAGACTGGCCATATCGACACCGCAAGGCACGTGAGGCATCAAAAGATTGGGATGTTGCATTTCCAATGAGTCCAGCCGATGGTCCTAAAAGTGGGATAGTAAGTTTTGCGGCTGTGTTTGGACTCCTGGTAGGTCAATAGTTACGTGTTCCACATTGTTGTCATCTAAAACATATATCCAGCCAAAGTGACTTCATTGGAGTCAAATGACATCAAGTATTAAATCCTCCGATACCTCTGACACTACTCGATACATCGAAGCATCGGAGACGAACTTTCCAACCTGCAGTGATGGAAAGTAACAGCGTCTCCTGCGAAACCGAAATTCATACCATGCAGTACCGTGGCTTTGCTGCTATATATGATTGTTATCTCACATTCATGACGCGTGTCGTTTCCCCTTGCAACGTAGCATATAGGTTGCCTGGTTCCTTGGGGTAGCATGCAAATCGGGGTTGGTCTTCCTCCTCTCGATGTCAGGGCAAATCAGCACCACAGACATGGCAACTCCAGTGAAGCTTCGTTCAGCTCACTAGCGTTATCCGGTTTTATCTTCGATGAGCTGCCCTCTGTGCCGCCACTTTGGGCGCCCGCGTTGGCCACATGATGGGCTTGGTAAAGTGAACTTCACATTCATGACCCGCTGAAATTGAGCTGCACCAGTCAGGAACTCCCATTTCACTGCAGAAGATTAACTCACTCCGATTCTGTGAATTTCTATCTCCGCGACCCGCGATATAGTATTGGGGTATCGATCAGTCGGTATCGTACGGTACTGGTCAAACAATCTTGAATACGACTGCCGGCATTGTGGACACTGGCACTACCCTTCTCCTCCTTGCCACTGGTATGCACGTATCCCATTGTGATATTGTCACTCACCTAAATGTGCAGAGGCTTTCCAGGCCTATCAGCAGGCAACTGGTGCCGTCGAAGACCAGCGAGTTCAGTTCGATGAGCCTACAATGTTTTGGCGATCACGTGACATGATTGGTAAGGCGGAGGGCCATGGGTAGCATTATATTATATTATTGCAGTCGCTTTGTTCCGGCTTATTAGCGAGAGCGGTGTCCGCGGTCCCGCAGAAGGCATGGCCGTATTTAGTAATTTTTGCTTCACGAGCGTCAGGCTTTCCATATAGTAGAACAGGTGCCATCACTCTTTGCTGTTGCACTGGGATGCCGACAAATTCAATGAAGCATGCCGATGTGCACTAAGAAGAAGATTAAGCTTTTGTTGCTTTTGCCTGTGAATGCATCTGAATTTCGAGCCTGAGAGTGACCATTATGCACGTCATAAATAAAAAATACAAGAACATTGTAGCCAATGATTTGTCAACCGTAAAGTAGTTTCGATTCTAGCATTCCGATCAGCATCAGTGCCGGCCACCTTGATCTAGTCAGCCGAGTCGCTCCATCATGCCACGACTGTACTCTGCGGCTAGCTAGTGTGGGCGTAGTAGAACCACGAGTGCCAACGAAGGTTCCATTCGACTGAATGATAGCATCGAGGAGCACCGGATGCCTGGTAACAGCCACAACTTTTAGCGTCAAAATGAAAATATGACATCTAATCAGCTCACCATTTTCCATAGATCACCTCTGCCTGCTCCACTGCATAATATACCCACATCCACCTCAACGCCCTAACATCCGACCATCACCCCGGGTCCCTTTCATCGCTTGTCATGATAACATGTGTAGCCTCAATCCCTTTTCGTGTGCAAAGCTCTTCTTGCACCTCAGACACCCTGCGCGCAATGACAGACAACGGGGCAAAGCACTGATCCACTGGGAACTCCTCGCATTGCTGGCTGAAGTCACCGTACCGTATGTGGATCGATATATACTAAAGTTAGATCTGTAGAGCAACCTATACCCAACACCACATCCTGGGGTAGTAATGTATTATACCTGATGGTTACAAGACACATGTAGTGCATTAACTAGTGTAACTACAAGCCAAATGAATACATTAATTCATGATAATGACAAGATGCTGCCGAGTTCCTCTGTGTTCGTTTGCCTTGCAGGAGAGTGTAAATGGTGCTAATGAGCCTGCAGGTGACGATGACGAGGACAAGCACATTTGAGCCACAAGAACTTTCTCGATTAATACAAGCCAGCGGCAGCGCATACTAGGTCACAATGATATTAAGGGAGCGGCAATTCTGGGAGGTAGAGATCTAACTCGGCTTCATCGTCTGCTGGACACATAGTATTACAGGCTACAGTCAGTGGGAGATGTGCTGCCCACTTGTTCTTGAAACAGTCAGCAAGATCATTCCTAAGCTGAGCCTGACGATAGGCATAGGCACCTAGACCTTCATGGTCAGTAGAGGTGAGCATGTGTTCCACAATCTTCTGGTTCCACCATGATGCGTGCCACCTAAGAAAGCAGGTCACCCGGCGCATCTCCTCCTGGAGCAGCTCAACTTCTTCTGCCCATCACATGGCCCTTGCACGAGCTTTGCACCATTCCACTCTGAGACCTGCCAGTAAGATTAGCGTCTGTTTGTCACAACTTGCGCCCCAGCTTACTATCTTGGACCACTTCATCTTCATCATCCCCGACTCCTTCAACCAGCCAGATCCACGACAACTGTCTTTGACCTTCGCTTTCCCCTCACTTGGGAACTGACATGCCACGCATATTGTCCTTCCTTTCGAGAACCTTGTATTTGTGATCTTAGCCAACTTTTCCAAGTACGTGTGCAAGAGATGAGAGAGCCACACGGGCTGCACGATACTTCTCTGCTGCAGCTGTTGCCCTGGCTTCAACACGACTGAGAGCATTCTGGGCACAAGTATTTGCACTTTGGCCACATATCCAGTCCCTCTTGAAGGTATACATGTAGTCCTGCAGGCGAAGACTCTGTCTGATTTCCTCGAGGGCATCTGCAGCCTGAGCATATCATAATTCCCACTCAGTCGTGAGGAGCCACAGATCGCAAGGTATAGGTTTGCTGCACAGAGCGGATGGGAGCCAGAGCTGAGAATCCTTGGGATTGATGATGTCTGAGGTACTGTGGGAAGGCAACTCGACCCTGGATTCTAAGAGCTGTACTGCAGGGGTGTAGAGAGCTTGGATGCGCTTCCAAGTATCAATTTTGCGTTGTAATGCATTCCGCAGTCGTTGGACACTGCCCATTTGCATATCTGTGGCATGCAGACCCTGCTTTGCAATATCTACTTTCAGACGATGCCTGTTTGGCAAGAAATGAATTAGAATGAAATTAAGTCAGATAATACTACATACTGTTCATTTTCCAGGTCAATCCCCGATGCAATGAATATACTCGGAGAGATTTCAGCGTGCATTGAAACATCAGTGCCTTGGTGGAGCTCAGATGCCTCGAGTTGGGCAAGTTGGAGCCGGACAGCAGCTTGTGTAACAGCTTGTAGCCCAAGTCATCAGTAGCTCCTCGTGATCAGGTGTGGTGCATGCTACTCACGAATGACTTTTGCTTCAAATGGATTTGCGACCAATGAATCATTTGGGTTCTCCTCCCAGGATTCAATTTCGACCTTCCAGGCCTCCATTGTCTCTGGCGCCAGAGCTTCGTTGAGTTCTTGAAATGCTGTTTGATGTGCCTTGCGTTCCTCCCGGGCCTCAATCATTTTACGAAGCAGTGTTGCACCTGTCACAAATACGTTATCATACATGCCAGTACAAAGTTGTAGTCACAACGTACCAAGTCCTACAACCTTCTTCCAATTCCAGTCACCAAAATGGTCATCAAGTGTGTCTCTCCGTGAGCCTGGCCCCATTTCTTTGGTACTAGAGGCCATGGGGTTAATATTTGACCATCCCCGCTCAGGTGCTTCACCATCAGTACGTCCAACATTCTTCGAAAAATTAAAAGAAAACTTGGTCTGACACGCCAGAATGTGAGCAGGGAGGTGAAATTTCGGGACGAAAAACCTGACAAATGTTGCCAGATGGTCTAGATGGAGGTCAAGCGGCATTGTAGACATCCTCTGCCATAAGTTCTTGTGCCACTGGCAGGCGATGTCGTATGAGACATTGAGTGCGTCTACACAGTGTCCACAGAGGCTTGAGAAGAACAAAAGTCCATATTCATGTATCTATGTTCAGTCAGCATCATCAATCACCTGCCAGCTAATTTAATAAATACCTTTCGCCTTTTTGTAGATCGCCAACGCCATTTGGCAGCTTCATGTTGTGTCGAGCGCAATCAATGGTCCCGACTCCTGTAGCAGCTAGATCATGGGATACTTTCGTGTCTGCCATGTTCACTGCATTGTGGGACGAACATGTACTTTTCTATGTATATAGCTGGTCAGAGTAAATTACGTAGATGAATACAACAAAAACTCACCTGCTGTGGGCTGCCGGTATAGGATTGTAGATACGTCTTGTAAGCGGTCTCCTCGACAAAATAAGCCCATCCATGACTGAGGCCAGGGTCCACACTATCCTTAGACACCATGCGCCTTTTGAGCCAAAAGTTGGCATCAATCGCTAGAAAGAGTCCATACAACCAACTAGTCATCAGTCAGCCAAGTGAGTATAGATATAAATGCAACCGCTTGTACCGTTTTCCTTTTGGCGCATCACACCAATTATCAGGTAGATTTTTACCTGGTTGCAGACAAGCTGGGCATATCACAGCACACTCACCACTTCTAGTACCCTCGACACCAGCAGGATCATATCCCCGGCCAGCCTGCTTGAGCATTTTTAGATGTCGCCATTCGCACACCATCCGCATAAAGGCTTCATAACGATCCTGATGATACGAGTGAGATGAATGTTTGAACCAGAGGAAAGAGGTCAAACACATACCTTTTGTGGGTGAAGTCCTGTGTTGTCCGAGAGTCGTGCAACAGCATGATAAAATTCGTAGCCTGAACATTTGGATTTGAACGATAGGATGTGATATTGTTCGAGGATTTGGAAAGTAGTGGCCGTGTGTGGATCAGTTGTTGTTGCCGGGAACCAAGCAGTACGAAGCAGTTGCCGTGTGTGTGTTTGAGCGGTCTCACAGCCACAGAAATCAAGGCCGATTTCATGGATCCCGTTGGTATCGATAAGAGTGAAGTCGTCGTTGAATGCCCTCTCAGGCAACAGACATCGTTCACCTGCTGGGTGTCCGAGCTGCACACGCAGCCCTAGTTTCTTTAGCGAGATGGCCACAAAGTAAGAGCCCGTCCACTCCTGTCAATAATCATTCTAAGTAAACGACATATTCATCTATTTGATAGTCTCTCACCTGGATCCGATGCGATGGGTTTTTAGTATGAGTTGCAACAATGCAATCATGGCAGCACAGCTCAGTGCTGAAGCAATCTTTACAGCGAAATTGTGGAGCGCCGGAGTCACAGATTCTGCAGATAGTATTGTATACATAGTCCCCGCGGCCCTCGTGTCATAGCAGTTCCTGCAAAAAAAGGTCCTGGTCCTTTGTCCATGTCAAGAGCGGGTGATCCTGGATAGATGAGGGATCAATATTCAACCTACATGTACACATGCTGGCCAAGTCATTGAGGAATACTTACTCCTGCAGTGCGCTTCCGCCTATTGCTGTTGGCAGCTTCGGCTTCAATTTCAAAGACCGGATCCTGCTCCTGCTCTTCCAGAGAGTAATGTCCATCATGGTCTAATGCGACTCCATCCTCCACTGTCATACTGACCAGTTGTTCAGATGAAACGGGAAAACTGAAAACTTGCGAACTTCGTGCAGTAAAGCCTTGATGTCGTGAGATGAACGTGTATGCAGGGTGCACGCTTGGTGCATCAGGGTTGGGAGGCTTATATATATTGAGTTTCACTCGTTTTCGGTGGTTTAGATTCTTCAATGAAGGAGCATGGAATAAGCCAGCCTGATAATTACTTGAGTTGGTAGGACTGGCACTCATGGTGCGCTCAGGGAGTATGTGTATACTGTAGTGGCACAACAATTGTCATTGGGCGTGAGACATTCATGGACTGTGAGAACAAATTCCCCCCAAAACTGATACCAGTGCTTCAGTACTCTTCAGTACTTAAAGGCGTCCCACTCTTCAAGCTTCATCCAGAATATATCCCATTCCATCCAATCAAGCAGCACTTGAGTCCTACTATCAATCCCGTGTCATGTTGTTATTGGAATAATGCATTACATAGTAAGTAATGCATTTTTGACTCTGCCGTATGAGTTCTGATGCAATTTTGCGGCTAATGCATTAAAGATCCTGTGGAACAATGCATTACTCTACTTGTGAGTTCCATGGTTTACCTGTATTTAAGGCCGAGATATGTTGATTTCGTCTTTCAGCCTCACATCACAATCATTCCGAGTTAACATCATCTACCTGCATGGTTCAAACCTTGCTGTGTCGACAGGCTGCACTTGGTCTGGAGGACGATGTCCGAGTCATTCATGAGTCCCCTCCTCTATCTCTCTCAATTGAATCATCTGCTGTCTCACTTTGATTGTCTTAGGAATTATTGGGTCATCTGTCCTCCCAGCTCCGTCTTCACATGTTACACCTTCCGAATCTTCTTGCATGCCTGTGGTTTGTCATGACTTGGATGTAGGCCTGAACAGCTTGACAGAAGATGTTGCTGGTGTGTACTATCCTCTATCTCTGTACGAGTCTCACTTTGATTCAGATATATTATCTGAGCCATGTGTTCCTTGCGATATGTCAGCACTACTGACTGCATGTGACACGAACAGAGTGTATGTATCCTTGGCGCCATTTTACGCGCCTGCTGAAGACTGCGACGACATTATTTTCTATGCAAACGAGCGAGGGTATGCAAAAGTTGCTGATGCTATTGTAGATGATTGCTACATTTATTTCTATTGTGGCACACTATACAATATTCCAGCAGATGCTAATGCTCCTCCGCCCTTCACCTGCATCACAAGTGGGTGTTATATCGGGGTTTTCACCGGCGAGTAAGTTGCATGTTATCTTAATGTCTCGGTGTCAATAAATTGTCTTTTCAGGACCTATATGCCCATGGTGAAAGGAATTACCAACACTGTTTATTTCGGGGTTGAGTCACTCGAGGTTGGGGAGAAAGCACTGAGGAATGCGATTGAACGATTGGATATAGTCAGATTCCCCATGCCTTCACAATAAGAGCCGCAACTCATTGGTAGCTGAAATTCATTAGTAGCTGACATCCCTATTCACTTTCGTACTCATCTTACTTCACTCTTTGTTCTTTCATGCAGCAAGCTCTTGACAAACATGCAACTTGTTCCCTCTGACCCTCACTTGCTTCCTTGGGAAGGCAATCTATGAGCACTGCTCGCACCCTCGTGTAATGAGCAGAGGCGCAATGTACAATAGGGCCTGACATGGGTCGACCCAGGTCATACCCAGGTGCTACCCGCGGGTAAATTGAGAAATAAAGTCATGTCCATACCCATCCCGGGTCAAGTGGCATGGGTATGGGTTGACCCGCAGGTTGTACCTGCGGGTGTGCGGGTCACCCCGCGGGTACATGATATATCTACTAGTACCCATTAACTATAGCATAGCATGTGGTGATTGACATGCAAACGACCGCAGGAAAATACTCGTTCGGCGTTCACAAAAGATGCTAGTCCATGCTGCAGTCAGAAGATATCAAAGCCTAAACATCCAGATCACATACCTAGAGCAGATAAGAAGTCCAATGCCATTTAAGCCAGACGAGCATGAGCATTCCCCCAATATTTCAGAACTCCACCGATAACAGGCCTGGAGGATTTCATACTAATGGGACGAGCAGAGCCATGAAGCTTATAGTAGAGGCCGCATCTGTATGTATATAAGAGATTGGTACAAATATAGAAGGAACAACAAATGAGAACTTGCGCGTTGCAAACAGTCTTGCCTTCATCGTCCTTCCTCCACAAAGGAGTTGCAACCAGGACTCACCACCTCCACGACTTGGACCGGTGTCGCAGAAGAAGAAGAATGTGGTGGTGCTGCAGCCGAGGACAGCGTGGACAATGCAGAAGCCAAAGATGATGCACCACCGCATCGTCCTTCTCCATGACTAGCACGCATGGACTTTGGACGCAGACATTTATGCTACCAAAGAGAAGAGAAACGAGACGTCCGCTCAGCAAAGTCCATACAACGTATATAGATGAAATAATACTCACCAATTTACAATAGAGACCGCGCAAGTGTGATGAGTTACGACACAAGTGACTACCCACTATAAGGGTATGGGTATGGGTGTCCAAAGGTCATACCCCCACCCCTACCCACGAAGTACCCTTACCCGCAACCCATGCAGGTGGCCAGTACCCCTGTCATTGCCTACTGGAGACACGCGGATAATTGAGACAAGATTCGAGCCAGTCCAATAATGAGGGCAGATTGTCGTCAATGTCATATTTCGAGTGTTTTCTCTGCAAAATAGTATTAAGATTGATCCTAAAGCCAAAAAGAAGGGTAACTCGAAATTTGGATGTTGATGCCCGTATGTGCCCGGGTACCTTAAAAGTCACGTCAAACAGGAGGAGCATTGCTGTGCACCAAGTACACTAAGCCCGCTTTTGGAACCAAACCCTAGATTAGGGACGTTCTGGAATGGATCTCCATATTTGGAATAACCCTAACCCTAACCCTTCAGTGGGTGAGCAAGGAGCGAGAGGTACAAGGCGAAGAATATGCGGAGTTCCACAAGGCCTGTAGGGAGTTTGAGCAAATCAATAGGTATGGCAAAAAGAAGATCTGTTGAGTGCGAGGCTGCGAGCTTGGAAGTCGTGTTGGTGTCAGAGTGTCAAAAGGACAAGGCAATCGGGTATTTGTGGTGAAGGTGCCCCATGGTCGACCACTCTGGCGATAAAGATGTTGAAATGGGCTTGGCCATTTGGATGAGAATGGCTCATGAAGAGCGCATACTCGGGTGCAGACAAAGTACCACAAACTATCGGGGAAAGTCGGTATACTCTCGACTATGAATAGCCAGGACAAGGATGCTCACCCAAAATAATGTCTTCTTTTTGAATGGGATGATAGGGAGCATACTCCTTGACAATGGTATTGACATTAGCCTTGAACCAGTCTTTTGGTGCTGCGAGGTCTTCTGTTACACACTCAAATAGATCTGTTAGGCAGAGCCCTAAGAGGGGCGTCATCCGCCAACGTTCGTGACATAACTGGAAGGATCCGGTATAGCAAGAGAGACTGGCGACGACGAGTTGGCAGTTATCTCAGTATGCGCGTGTCACGTGACTTCTAAGACAGATGTCTTTGAAGTCGCTCAAGGTCAGGACTGTCTTGTCCGAACGATGAGGTCGATCAGGGTGGACTTAGTCGCGATGAGCAACTAAGAAAAGATACTAGAGACTGAAGCTGAGGGGGCTTCAGAGAGAAGTATGTTCCAGGGAAGATTGAGTAGATTCAAGTTAGAGAATCTAGTACAAGGTGACCAACTACTTATACTAAGTGGAGAGGGTTAAGGGCAAGGCTACCGCACAGTAGGTAAGGGTAAAGGGGAAACGAGAATGGTATAGGTGCGTTGGCAACAGAGCCGGATTAGTGATGGATGGTCGAATGTGGAATGAGACCGAGAAACGTTGGAACGGACCAACGGTAAGAATACAACATGTGGGAATCCGCAGTCAGAAGGAACAGAAAGGGAAAGCCACATTGGTGGCATGAGTCAGACCGAGTCATAGGTGCAGGACCACATTGGTGGTCGAATCATTGGAGGAACGTGCGTGCACATGCATAGAGGCGGGCGATGCGAGGGACAGGAACGGTCCCGAGGATCCGGTCAACGGAAAGTCGGTAAAGGAGGACGAACCGGTAGATGGTGAGGGCGAGGATGAAGGGAAAATGATAGGGGGGCCATGTGACCGATGTTACTTGTAACATCTTCTATGAATCGGTACATTGTCGACTCTGCATAGATAAATGCAGCCTTATGGCCCGCTCGAAGGGGGAATGGGTGACACCTCGAAATGTGTTCCCTGAATGTGCGTGATTAAAACAAACCGGTCAAAAATATACCTGCTGTGCACTCACGAATATGACCCATCATGATCTATCAGCGGGAAGGTCAACAACCCGGAAATGAGCTCAAGCCCTCTTTGTGTCATCGTACGCATTGAATCAGACTTCTTCCCAATATGAATAGGTCCCTCGAGGTACCCGCCCAGCGAAGGAATATTCGTCACTTTGCTCCCTGCTGTTTGGTGGGGCTTCATGGCGTTAAAGAGCGTAATGAACTTTCCTTTTGGTGCAGAGAGATATCCCAGTGTGCCCAGCTCGACATGAGAAGGTGACCAAAGGGGTAATGTAACTGCCAACGAAACCACATGTTCAATCAGTGCCAGAACACCTAAGAACAGTTATAACACAGAAAAGGACATATGGAAATGATAGAACTTGTGACTCGACTGCGCTAATGACCTGAACTGCAACTCGTTTTTCCTCTCTGCGAGTTGCTCATCCATTGGAAGAGACAGTTTGTACCCCAAGGCAACATGGGGGGGACGATGACAACGACGAACCTCCTCCAAAGCACTATGTTCAGCTTCTGGACTTGATGTGAGATGCGACGAGGCACTGCTCATCGGATCGCTCTCTGCCAAAGATAATTCGCGAGTCGGCGTATAGATAGCAATCCCGCCCTCGGGCATCTCCATATTGCCCGTATGAGAATCCATGGTGGGTTCCCAATGATACAATGGATTGCTGCGCAGCTGTCCGATTGGATAGAATGGTTTTAGCTGCGTGACCTTCCTGTAGGGTAGATGGAGACGTCTCTGGTAGTTCTACAGGATGCATGTGAATCAATTCGCAACATGTTGAACAGCCTCAAATTGAAAACACAACGAAAGGCTAGACAAACAGGTGCAAATCTCAGCATTCAAATTGAAACTTTATACTAATGAAGTCTGTACCTAGATATCAGAACGAGAAAGGCCGAGGCGAGATGCGGAACGACAACCACAACGGACTATCAAAACAGACGACGTTAGCGAGACCGGTAGATACAACATTGGAGCTATACCTATCAAAACAGACGAGTGCAAGACTAAAGAAGAGAAAAAGGAGAAACGCGTGTGTGTACTAACTAATAGGGAATACCAAAAAGGAAACTAAAAACATTGTTCATGACACTAGACAAACGGGTGCGACTATTCGGACTATGCAATGTTAAGTACTGGTAGGTAAATGATATAAACTAATAACTCACGTCTCAGTATTTGGATTGAAACTGAGATGTTTTTGGAGCCTGGTGCTGGCGCTTACAAGGTGAGTGTGCCAGGAACTTTGAGAGTATACAAAAATCAACTGAAGCATTGTAGGAAATCACCGTATGACCCATTCGCGTCTGCTGCGGATCTTGGCACACACAAATCTATCGAGTGCCCTTACTGTTATCGCACTATTCTTTCGTGTATGTCCCTTCTGCCTCCATGGCATGGGAATTCATTCTGACAGCCAGCCGTAACATCCTTCAAGCCTGATATACCCAGAGCAACTTTACCATCGAGTGTATATGTACTAAGCCAGTTACTAATCGGCCTTCACAAGTTTGTGAAAAGCATAGTCGAATCAAAAGCGCCTCATGCATATTTGGTGTGGGTGTCGTCCTGTTGGCCGTCTTGTATGATATCTAATATAATTTTATATCATACATTGTGGAACTCTTCATACACCACGTAGTACGCGACCACATTTAACGGATGAGTCAAAGACTCACGCTCACACATTTTGCACTAAACTGTTTGCAAGTAAGTCAGCAGCGTCATTGATACCGGAGACATGACAGATGTTGATAAGTTCTATGGGCGTCGAACGTCGACACTGGAGTGCAGGAGCACTCGAATGATGTCACACTCAAAGGGCCTCAAGTGGAGCGCGCACATGACATTGACACCATATTGGAAATCGCTCCGCCCTCAATTGGTGGTAACAGAGTGCGGCTCCATACATCCTATCATGATATAGCAGGAGAAATTCACTCAATCCCTCTTGCAGCTCAAACACAACATCCTCCCTGTTATCATCATTTCTGCCTATAACAAAGCTCTCAAATAAGCTCTCATAAATGTAAGTCACATCTCCATCCCGATTCACATGTCTTCTTCTGACACTCTCATTTAAACTTCTATCGGCACCAAATTTGGGGCACACTGTTGCCTGGGATGATGCTGGGGACAGCAGTGTTGACATCAAGCGCTGTGCAGAGTACAGATGTTTACTTGAAGTCAAGCCCGATCTTATCGTCTCTGAGGAAGGCATGTCTGGTTGCACGTTATCAAGAACATTCCGATTCCAAGGTGAGTTCCTGAGTCAACTGTGCATTTTCAGCATCCGCTGACGAGCCTGATAGAACCAAGTATGTTGATATGGAGATGGAATTTGTGCTCGAGAATCTCGACATCTCATCGTTAGGCTTGCTTCCTGGGCACGTCTATATCCGCAATATCACTGATGTTGACATCACCGCTCCTGCCGGGTTGCAGTCAACCACCACTGTCATTGGCACACTCACGCACATCAAGATGCAAGCAGTCCAGCTCATGCTCAAGGAGGTCTCATTCTTCTACAGGGATAAGGTTGCTACCATCGGGCCCAAGGACTTCACAGGTCTCATGAAGTTCGGTCTCCCGCAAAAAGGCATCAGCATTGATCTTGAGTTCTGCTTGATCCCAAATACGCCCCAAGGTCTCATGGAGTGCAAGAGTCTCGGATGGTTCTTCAAGATCGAACACATCGAGGTGAATGTGGCAGAAGGTATCGACATGCAAGTTAAGCAGTCCAACCACCCCATCCTTGCGTCCGTCTTCCGGCCTGTCATCATGCTTTACTTCCACGAGGCGATTTCACACACCCTGGAGGAGCAGATCTGGGGATTGGACTTCGGCAACACTACCTGGTAGCTGGTCAACGCTTACCCTATCAGGATCTGGAAAAGTCTCGTAGTCTATAGGAAATGTATATTATTTTCGGCTCAGTGAGCCTAGCCCAGGCCATTGTACAGCTGAACCTAATACATTTAGTCTGACAAGCCTATTAGCCCACTCAAGCCCAAAGCCTAGGCTGTTGTTGAACTTCCGCTAGACGACGGATTACAATACTCGCGCATTCACTCATTCATTGGTAACTATAGCTAAGCTGGGTTCATCCTTGTTAAAACTGCATGAGCAACAGACTGGAAAATAGGCAGTGGTTCACTTGGTAGTAGAGCTTGGACATCATTGTTTCATAAGTGCGAGAATAGTCTACTTCCCACTGAGAGTTGCCATCCAGCGAAATATCTTTGGTTGGTGCCGAGTTGGACCCCTTCCAGCTTGATCGAACATTAACTTCTGCAATCTGCGCTGATGGCCACCAAATAGCGAATAGAACAACCAAGCCGAGGGCTGGCTTTTAAGAATGTTGATTTCTGTTGATTCATCTCCACCTCCCCACTGACTCCAGGACCATCATCTCCTACATTCACCTCATCTACTTGACAATGCAACGTCGTCGTGGGCCAAAGCCATGGGCTACTGCAGAACAGCAAAAATTCCTGTTAAGTCTACTCAGCAAATATATCATTTGTCAAAAGGCAAAAGTATACACGGCATTCTTTCTCAACATGTGGGTGGCATTTGAGGTGCAATGGCCAGAGCACAAACGCGCTATAATGGGTGTCCCTTTGGAGGGCGACCTCACAGCAGCCCAGACAAAAATACTAACTGATGCTAAGAGTATTCATAAAATAGTAAGTATTCAATGCATAAAATTTGGTTATACCATGCTAACCTGCGAGACCTTATAGCAGATCAAAGTATGGTATAGATGGCAGACTAACGTCGCACGTCTTGCATGAGTAGCAGGATTAAAAGGGGCGCTTGACCTCAGCGAAACTCTGAATGGAGGAGATGAGGTATCAGGACGAGCTCCACAAGAAGTGGAAGTATACTCACAGATTTTCTACAATGAGCGCGTGAAGGAGGAAGCAGATGCGGCAATCAAGGCCGAGGGTATCACAACACGTGGCCAAAAGCTTGTAAAACGGAAGGACCTCACTCGCACCAAATATGCAGCCGAAGATGATGGCATCAAGGCTCAGGTCCAAGAAAGGCACCAAGAAGCCCTTGTGAACTGGAAAAAAAAATGTGAACTAGCTAGAGCCAGTTTCGTTCCAGAAGTTGAACAAGAGGAGAAGATTAAGTGTGTCCTGCTTCATATCAAATAACTTGTTCTCACCTATATATGCAGAGCCTTCAGCAAACTCGGGGCGCATCTTGATCGCATCTTCCGCCACTTGTCCCATAAGACGGGTGGACTTAAGTTCACATGTATTGCGGGGGGACAAAACCCAGCCATGGGAGACGTTGTAGTTCTTGAGTAAGTATTGAATTTCCCACACACCTGAAACTATTAACTCACTGGATAATGCAGCTACCATCTCGGAGAGACGGAGATGGGGGACGAGTTTTTGGCTGAATATGCTGGGTTCAGTGAAGTTCAAACGGCCTATGCAAACTTCGTCAAATTGGCACTAGGTAAGCATCTATCAATTATTACTTGACGGCAATGTCATTTACCTTGTTCAATCAGCCCATGACGATAAGATGGTGGCTTCAGCACTGGATGCAGGTACTATTGCAGATGAGTTGGCTGACAAGTCAGACAATATTTTTTGGGAGGGTAGCGAAGAAGAAGAGGAAAAGGCTGCTGAGGAGGAGGAAAATGTTAGGGAGAATGAAGAGCTTGGGGTTATAAACGATATTGAGCTGGGGCTGAATGGCCTTTATGAGTTCGACCGAGTCATGGTAAGTAATGCATTAATCATCTGTTGAATTCTCACTGCTAATGCATCACATGTTCTAACAATGCTGTAATGCATTTCTGGTAATGCATTACCTTCAAACTCGTGTAGGATGACCAAAGGCCTATGGTCGACTCATCACCAGCACCTGTAACCGCTTGGACCACTACTGTAGCACCAACCATCACTGATGATAATATTGTCCCCCCCACTTTCGACCAATTCGACATATCCAGCTTGGATATGTCTGCTATCGACGATTTTATCGCAAGCCTACCACCCTATGACCCATTCACATCTGGTCTCGACAATCTTGACTTTAGCTTCATGGACGACTCCTCCGACTCATTTGATTATCAATATTCCCTGCCCATTGCTCATGAACCAACAGATCATATTTTACCTGCATTCTCAGGTTATACAGCCATGTCTAGTAACACACCGCTCTCTCGTTCCAATCATCTACCACCTGCTACACCCCTTGCAAGCACCTCCAGCATGAATGTGACAGATTCCAACACATTTGACCCTCTTGCTGGTCTAGAAGAGGAAGGTCCATGTCGAACAACGCGCCACCATGTTCCATCCACACGTGAGCATGTTCTCAATGCAATTCGGTCATCAAGTGCGCGTGTGCACCCACCTGTCTCTGTTGATAAAGAGAACAACAAGCGACGGAAGGGTAATACCATCGGTGCAGCCCCGCAGTCCAGAAAGTAAGACTGCTGTTTCTATATACTCCCCTTGTTACTCACTGGACTTTTACAACAGAAAACAGAAACACGCCTGAATATTCAATCGCTGGTGCTTGAGATGTGAGGCTAGTGCACGAGTCTGATGGGGAATGTGTTTCAAATCAAGTAAATTAGTAGATTTAGTCAGTATGATTTCAAAGGACTTGAAATGATGAGACGGTTTGGGACATTTTGCTCTTGTTGGCTTCAGAGTAGAAACACGCTGGATTCAATGACCTCTACATAGTGTTGAAACATGGTACAACAAATGTAACAAGCACATTCAAAATGAGAACGAGCAAAAGTATCAATGTCCCACTGACACAAATGTTGATATATGCTCCATCAAAGATCACAGAGTCCACACGACGATCTAAATAACACTTCAAAGATCCATGAGAGGACGAAAATTCCAAAGGCAAGAGGTAAGTACTAGTCGACCTGAGGTTGAATGGAGAGAGACGAGATAAAGTACAAAGACATCCGAGTCTGCAATCAGATGCCAGGCGAAGGAACGATCTAGAAACTCGTTACTTGTAGAAAGCCGTGCAAGAAGAAATATTGCCTCGGCCTGATGTAGGTGCCTGCTCACCGGTCATCCCTGTTGCAAAGCGGCTATTCACAGAGTGCCAATCAATGATATGCATTAACACAGAAATGACTGGGTGAACTCGCCTTCCAGGTGTCTGACCAACTCGATTGTCCGCAAGGCCAGGATGTCTTGGCCACTGGCAGGTACAATGATGATCTTTGAGCTGCCTCCACTCGAAACCTTGACTATGAGAGTTTTTTTCACCTCCTGCCGGTGGAGGGCCTTGAGTTGAAGGGCAGGTATATTATGGGAGGGTAGTTGGCACCTAGTAATATGAGTGGGTAGGGTGCAGGCATGAACGAACCTGTTGAAGGACCCAATGCTATCAAGCTATATAGGAAGCAGGTATAGCGCCAGCCGCATACATGCGTCGTGATCAGGTACAGAATCTGAGATATAATGCATTAGGTCTATTAAGGCGGCCGGGAAAAGTGTGCGAGAAAATGCATTACATTGTCTGTCGTTGTTAATACATTACACCTGTTTGCTAACTATCCTGTGTTATTGCATTAATATGACATGGTAGCCTGTACCCAAAGCTTTGACTCACGGGGAGGAGTTGGCTTGTATGATGGGCGCTTATTAGTAAAGGAAATCGGAGCATAATATGTGATCGTCTGGAGGAATGGAAACCTAGTGCTGAGGAGAAGGACAATTCGTTAATGATAATTTCAGGCTTTTCAAGCGAGTTTCTAGAAACCCGAGTGATGCGAGAGACCAAACGGATGCATGATTGTGGTGTACGCTAGGAGATGTCAGCTCGACCCAAGCTGGGGTTCATGTCCATGAGACATCTGTGATGGCCACGTGTTTAATCACCGAAGAGGGATGTTCGAAGTTGTCTCACCGAGTTTGAGCAGGTTCAGGGAGGGAATTTGTCGTGGTTCGGGAATCTCAATGTGCTGTTGAACGGTTTCCCAGACAGGCCAACAACCAAGATCATCGACAAGCTGACTTTCTGGATCCTTGACTTCGTGCCATTGAATCAAGTGAATCCCTATGGCTTGACTGAGTCGAAGGACGTCAAGTACTACTTCCCCGAAAACAAATAGAGGTGCGCTTGGGTCGATATGGTTAGAGAGGAACTTTGGAATTATGGGTATACGCTCTGTTATGAGAGCGAGGTATATCAAATTGACCTAGTTTTTGTGAGGAACTGAGATGACGTCGGAAGCGAATTGTTGACTTATATAGTAGGTTGTCACATCATTCGCCAACAAATAACTGTGATCAGTGGTTCAAGTGGTGTTTGGTTGGAGTTGACGTACTCCATCCTGCTGAAGTCCACCATGTAATGTACACCTTAGTCATTGTCAGCATATCTTAGTGTTGATGGCGACAGGACACATTACAGAAGTGACTGTCAAAGCAACCATTGGAATTGTGACCTCGGGCCTTTTGGCTTTATTCTTGGCAATATCAGAAAGGCACATTACTAGTACACCCAGTCATGAGCATTTACTCATAGAATGGAGTGAATGACATACCAATTGCAATACGATAGACTTCATTATCATCTGTTAGTGCATGATGTCTTCCACGAAAATGTAACCTATCACTGTAGGTGAAATTTGGGGTGATCTACGTTGGGCCCATAGTCATCAGGAAAACCCCAACTTACTTAATCTTGCTTAATCAACTTAGCCACATTTGTTTCCTCTCTCATGCATCATCTACCTAGTAAATTTTGTATTTTTTTAGTGTAACCTGTAACAAAATATGTATGCTAATATGACTGAACAACTTTTTCCCGAATATGTCAAATTTGAATTTCTAGCAAAGTAGGCTAAGTCACTAAGTACGACTTAAGTCTGTTTAAGGCAAGTTTAAGTAAGTTGGGGTTTTCCTGATGGTTATGAGGCTGAAGATGCAAGCTTCGGAGTAGTTGTCAAAGTCGGTACGTCATTTGATGTCAATACATATTGTTTGTTCCTGTTGAATCTAGAGGCTGCTGACTAATGTAAATTATCATTGCACAAGTTGTTGACGTTCGTACAATGCAGCGAAGTTAGGAACCCTTCACCCACCCCACATTTTTCTTGTTCCATACCATTTCTCATGAATGGCGTTGAAAAAGGGTTGTTATTATCCGGGTCTGTAATGATGACTCATTTTTATCACACCACGCAAAGACCACAAGGACTCGAATACAATAAATATCCTTGACGATTTATCTCGCATCTACTCATCTATTTCACTAGATAGCTTGAATGAAAAGCTGGTAAGGCTCCGAACGTTCTCTACGAGCCTTACCACTGCGACGTTCTGCCTTACGAGCGCGTTTCTCCTGGCGTTTCTCAGTCCTAGCCTCCCTTCTCGCGGCACGGCGTTGTCTTTTATCAAACTGGTGGGATGCAGACGACCCGAATCCATGCTTATTGCGACTCCTGTCATCCTCGGAATCTGATGAAGAAGACGAAGAAGAAGAGGAACTCGAGGCTCGACGACGGAGGCCATTTGCCTTGCGGAGTTGGTCATAATCACCAAGCGGGGCCGCTCCCTCACGGCCGCTCAAGCGCTCGGACCCTTGGCAGAGAACGGCCTCCATTCTGCGAGGTCCGAAGAAGTACTGAAAAAAAGATGGTGAATAGTCTGATGGTGTTTCGCAGGACTTATACTGACATGGTTCCAGTTATCAACGATGTCTCCCGCCGCATTGCGATTATTCGCTTTCATTCGTTTCTCGATGCCTCCAGTCATGAGGAACCCGCCTAGGAGTGGAGACATAGGATCATTTCCTGCAATGGCTTGTTGCACTACGTACCAAAAAGACCGACCCCTATTATAAGGGGTATGGCATTCGATTTGATGCGTTGTCCCACAGATAACGAACCTGCTTTCTTGATGTCTGCCAGGAATCTAAAGACCCTTTAGATCAATCCAAACGGGATGACCTGATGAAAAGTCTACTGACCGTTTCCAATCCTCCTCCGAGATATCATGCGTCGCAAATGGGTGAACACATAGTTGGCATGGGGGAGCTACCTCAGGGAAGCCTTTGCTCAGGTCCGTTTGGTTTGAGACGAGACACATGGGAGGGAACTGGTCGTAACGCATATGCTGAGGCGGCTGACGTTGCCACATTGGCGGAGGACCCGTGCTACCAAAGAATGAAGCCAGGGACAACCCTTTACTCTCGCCATTTGGGGAAGGTATACGATCTTGTGGCACAGCGCCTGGAGTCTGGTTGTATGGGCTAAGACTGTTGTTCGGCTGGTATAAAGGGTAATTTGATGATCCTGCCCTGTTATGGTCATCTGGATCCCTAGCTCCTGGGGAAGCCCCCTGGTATGCTGGGTATTCCCCGCCTTTTCGGTCATAATGACCAGTTGCTAGTGGTGCCTGATCTCCCTGATTTCCTGGAGGAAGGTGGGATACTGATCCTGGAGGCGCCTGGTATGTTTGTGGCTGAGGGTTGTACTCTTGATACGTGCTATCACGCGGAGCATAAGATGCCTCCTGGGTGTATGCAGGGGGTGGGCTTAAAGGTGCCTGGTATTGATTCTGTTGCTGCTGAGGAGCCGGGACAGGGGGCTCTAGATAGATTGCGGTCGGGTTGTTAGATTTTTCATCGGGATAGTTACTCATGGCAGAAATGATGTGGGGATGATTGCCGCATAGACCACTCGTGGTGGTTTTATATGTACGATGGCTACGTTACACCGCCTATCATAGCAATTACATGATGGCCTTTCGAGGGCTGTACCAAAATAGCCTCGACTGCGCACTCGGCAGGCTGTAGCGCCGTTACAGCATATGATCAACACCGAGATTAATAACTTGGAGTGTGCCAGCACTGCCATTTCCGCAGCTCATGTGCGAAGCTTACACGACTACTACCACCGCTAGTGCACTCTTTTCATCTCGTAGACTCGGATTACAATCTATCCCATCGCGTCCCACGGAAGTAATACTCGCACATCTCACGGCCAATCACATCTTGGTTCTCCCTTTGATCCGAACATAGTTACAATGTTTCAGACACGCACTAATAACCTGAAGTAGAAATCCAAGTTTGTTTCGCTCCAAACCTGAAGCAAAGGCGTAAAATCGAATCTGGCATATCGATTTGGAACTAGCTGGAAAATATCACTACAATCCGGTTAAACTTAGTAATGATCCTCATCGTGGGGACAACATATTGCGATAAAACAAGTAGGGCGTAGCGTGACAGGTATGGTCGGAAGCGAGGTGGCAAATTCTGCTCCTATGGACGTAATCGACGTGGTATTGATGAAACGACGTTAAGCATCAGGGGAATGATATGCATGAGAGTAAGTAGAAAAAAAAGTAGGAATATCGCGCGTGTACAAGTCTTCTATCACGATGAGTGAATTCGTGAATTCGTGAAATGTGGATGATTTAGTAGATGTGATATGCAACAATAGATGTTGATGATACATTGTTGCATCTAGGATTGGCTAAGCTTGAAGATTCGATGGAAATAATAAAACACGTACCAAAGTGCTGATAGCTATGTCCTCCGCCAGGACCTCAAGAACCCAAGAAAAAGCGTAAAACCCAATTCAAAACTGATGTCAAATCCGTCACAAAGTTCAGTCAAAAAAGAATTATCACCTACGTCGACCGGCGACTATTCTTAAAACCTCGCCGACAGACGAGTTTTGTACATTGCCCCGATTTGGCACATTCCCTGGCCGCAGCTGATAGGACGATATTCAGTAAGCAAATGTGCCCCTGACGGTGTATGCGAGTGAAGACCGACGTCAAGTTTATTATGGCCACCATTGGGCCCATGACCAGAGGCTGGTCCACCCGCAACCGGTACTTCTGGCGCACGACCACCACATGTTATCAACCCATTTTGATTGCCTGTTTCCCCACTTGGATCCACCCTAGAGCCAGAAGCATACACGGCATATGCTGAAGGCTGACGACGGCGCACAGTGATTTCCGGTTCGGACGCGGAATAGGCGTCTGCCTCGGTAAACCCCACACCACCAGGAGGAAGCCTCCGGCCGCGTGTTTGGGTGTCGCTAAAGTCGCTTTGTTGACTTTCTGCAGAGGCCTGGCGTTGGAGGCTCAGGCTCCAAAAACTACGTTTATTCGCTAGGCTAGGCGGAACGGGTGGTTCTCGCGCAGCCACGGATCGCAACTTCGGATGGGTCCTGACTTTTCTGGGGGGAGGGGGAGTGAGAGGGAAAGATTTCGTGACTTGTGCAGGCCACAAAGGCCAGATGGAGTTGGATGGAGATGTGATTGTAATTGATGAAGAAAGTGGTAAATATGGATCGCTTGATGTACCTTGAGTGGGAGGGAAGGGGTATTCATAGCGCTGTGTCCCAAAATCAAAGGGAGTCCCAGTAACCTGAAGCATCCCAGACGAATGTCAGGATCATGCAGTTCCTCGAGAACACATATATTAATCGAGAACAACGAGAACAGGGTTTAGGTGATTATGACCGCCACTCCACTACACGTGTCTTGGATCAATAGAAACTTACCTCCCCGGAGGAGCTAGATGATAAACTGAATCCAGAGTCCGAGTGAGATGCCTCAGATGGAGAAACCTGGGGAGGAGGAGCTGGGGCATGTTCCTCATGGACGATCTGGTCTGGAGAAGGAGGCAGCGAGGACGCCTCTTCCGCATATTGGTTCACCTGGGACTGCACTGAAGCTATCCGTGTGTCACTTAAGTGTGACATTCAGTAGTCCCTTGCAAATTTGGATGTCGAGTCTCGACAGAGGAAGAAGAAGACGGAGAACCCGTCTCAAGCAAGTCAGCGGACCATTTACATTTCCTGCAAACGCTGGCGGAACGTGTGCGGGGAATGTGACGCTGTGCGTGGGCCACGATCTTGCCTTCATCCGTCACGTCACTCTCTAGAAATTTCCGGGTCACTCACTTCTTTGTCCAGACCTTCGTTGACTGCAGCAAAGTTCATCGTAAACGGCGTTACTACCAATCCGACGTGCCACGTACAAGGGGTCTGAAACATTATGAAAAAGGATATCAACAATTGCAGAAAAATCTGTTAGATAGCCAAGTGGATGACAATCTGATGCACAAAACCTGAACAGTGTCTACTTGGAGGTTTCGGGTGATTAACTACTTGTGACGCGGTGATATCTCGAATTTTGTTACGTTTACAGAACGTGTATTCGGTTGCTAATACGTGGCTGACTAGGAGCATGATGTAAAAGCCAGCCTCTCCTGGAACGGCTCAAAGCGATCAAGCTTGGATCGAGGGTGGCATTTATATCATTTCATAACAAACTATCACTGTCCTTACCTTGAAAGCAAATCATGCCTGTGCGTCGGGTCGACCCACCTCCGCAGCCTCCAGGTCTCTTCTTACGTTTCTGGCTTTTCTTCGCCAAACTCGCCCACTCATTCACAGGCTTGTTCAAGTCAAAGGGACCTTCTACAACGCTGCCAACGCCGGTGACAGCGGGAAGTCAGATTGCCCGTCACAAACCGCCTGTTCCCAGACGACTCGAGCTAGTAGATCTCAAGCTATCTAACAGGCACACTCCTCAGCGAAGCTCCCAGAAAAAAGGCCTCTCAAGTCAGTCTTCGGCAATGCATACTGTGGCAGAAGAAATCCATCAAGGCACCCTCTATTGTGATGGTATCGGTAATCAGAATGAAGACTTGCGAACCAAGAAACATGCAACTTCCTCGTTTCCCGGTTTCATCGGACGAACAGTTTCGCCTGGCTGTGTAGCTGAAGGTAGCACTCTTCGTACACCAACTTCGCTCCGCAGTTTCGCCCAGCCTTTAGATCGGGACTTGAGACGTTGCAACAGCATCACGCCTGCCGTAGCTGAGATATGTAGCCCAACTTTGGTATCGAGCAGCCCTCTTCCACCCCGAAGGCTCTCATTGCGCACCGCTTCCATCACAAATGGATCGGTTCTAGGCTCAAGCCTAGTGGGCCCTCATTTAGCCAATATACCTCGTTTAACTGGCCCTCGTCTTCGTATCTCTTCGTCGGCGAGATCCGCTCAAGTGAGCGCATCTGAGTCGGTTCATAGCGTCAGCGCATCCCCGTTCGCAATCCGACGTGGGTTCTCAGGAGCATCTGTGGGGATACCTGATCCCTCGATCCGTCTTGAATCCCCTTGGAGCCCCTCGGACAAGACGCTACCTCATGATGTATGGATGAATTCAGAAGGTGTCCTAGCCAACGTTCGAGGCACTGTCTACGTCTCATTCAATGCTACGAAATCTTTCCAAGACGATGTTGTAGCCCTCCAACACGAGCCTTACACGACGCTTCCGTGTGCTCCTTCTTCTCGGTTCTCGGATGACGGAGACGACTTTATATCCGTGTATTCAAATATCTTCGACCTCCCGGAAGAAGAAGAGAAATATGAAGAAGGATCCAGCAAAGGCACATCTCAAGGTGACTCCTTCGATGTTAATGGTGCAGACAAGGGCTCTCCTCCCGGCGGAGCAGCAGACGTTTTGGTTGCGACAACTCCTGTCGATGACTCTGCCGTTATCAAGCATGATGCTGCTCAGAATTCTACCGAGGATGCTGAGGTCGAGGACTTGGACAAGTGTGATACATCATCAGAGCTTGAAGGAGGTTTCTTCTATGTCATCTCCCAGTCAAAGTTTGATCTGACCTCGGATGACCACACGTCTGGTCTCGCCTACATGCCTTCTTCGAAGCACCGAGAAGCACATTCGCTCAGCGTTGCGTCTGAGCCTATTGACCACCCCGATCGTGCCACCAAACGTTTCTCGGTTCCATGTCTCCATTCCATCCGGGAATTTGATCAGAGCTCACTTCGCGCATCAACATCGGATTCTTCCCCTTCGAAACATTTCACTGCCGCAGAAAGCAGGAGCTTGAGAGCACTCGCTGACATTATATCTCTACTGGATTTTGCTGCGATGGAGGCTGCGGAGACTACTGGCGTTCCTGAGATCTGTGGGTAAATCTTGCTTGGTACGGGCCGATTGATGACACCTGTTCTGCTGTATGATTCCATTCTTTTTACTCTATTCGACTCGATTATTCTGAATTCTGAAACGTTGTGGGGGAGAGCTTTTTCATAAGAAGTGGCCGAGTTAACATCTGAACAGCTGGTAGCTGCGCCGGCGCCTCCTTTTCGATCGATGCATCGAGTTCTGTGAAAAGGTGCTGCGTATAAAAACAATTCATAGCTCGGGACTGGACATTAATGTGACAATCATCGTCTGGCTCGAAGCAAGTCCGTAGTTGATGCATTGATGCAGGGACTTGCATACACTAAATGATAATCTTATAGCCAACACCCAAAAAGGAATTCTGAACTCCGACATACTAGTGGAGCATTACGTTTGATTTGGAAATATTCTGGAAGGCTCAAATCCTACTGCGGCAGTCTGTCCTTCGTCCCACCTCACCTCAAAATATGTTCTCCTCTCTATTTTCGTGAGTTGGATGTTTTAGTCTGTCATTTTGGTCTAAAGGATTTTGTAGAACTGCACCCCCTGTCGATCCGAAGGCCCAGAACTTATTCCCTGTCTCGGAAAGTTCAGATCTCCTCGGGGAGCTGGAGGCGAAGGATCTTGAGTGGACATGTGCAGGAGGCTTCGCAGCAGAGACTCAGATTTTTTATCAATTCTTACAGGATGGAACGATGTTGATGTGTCAAGTGATCCACTCGTCAATCGGGTGAGCTTTTGTTCGTTTGTGCTTGTTCGATTTGACTCATCATTCGCAGTCTGTGGTATCCTACCATTCAGTTCACATGCAAGATCTATAACCCCACAACGAAAGAAACGATTTGGCGTTCTGTCAATGTTACAAACTTTACAACTGCTCCACCTGGTCTTGATAAGAGATCCAGCAAGGCAGATCAATTCTCCATCACCCACAAGCCTTCCTCGGATGGTTCACATGCTGAAATGTACACCATTCGCGCAAACCTCTCAGACAACTTGCAGATATCACTCGATGTCTCACGTCCCTCTTCTGTACCCGGTTTCAAGATTGGCAAAGGGCCAAAAGGGGGATACTCGTACTTTGGGTCAGATCAACAGAAACCAGATGGCTACGTTGTCCATCGCTTCTGGCCTCGTACTAAAGCCAGTGGTCACATCATCCACAATGGCCGTGCAATCGTTGCTGAGGGCCACGGCATGCTCGTTCATGCTATCCAAGGCATCCGTCCCGACTTACTTGCATCGCGATGGAATTTCGCGCACTTCCAAAGCGACGCCCATGACGGCGTATCTGCAATCCAAATGGAATTCAGAACTTTGGATACCCATGGTCGCCATGGACCTGGCTCTGGCGGAGTTGTAGTCAACGTTGGTTCATTAGTGCTTGGTGGGAAGCTAGCTGCGGTCACAGCAGAGACTAAGTGGGCAGGCGAAGGACAGTCTGTGAAAGCTGTGATGTCGCGTGCCCATCACCTCAACCCTGTTCATGATCCGGATACTGGCTACATGCAGCCTACTGCGGTTGAGTTCCAATGGGCAGGCCCGTCCCTGCTGCCTGGTGTGGATGGTTCTGTCAATGCATCTGTGCACCTTGATGTCGGCAGTCCATCTTCACCTAAGGGTTTAATTGAGAAGGTGGACTTCCTCGCAGAGATCCCGTATGTGATCAAGACAATGGTCAATTACGTTGCAGGCACAAAGCCATTTATTTATCAGGTAATTGGGAGGTGTTGCATTCAACTTATCCGATAGCTAACAGTGATCTGATAGTGGCAAGACAAAGCCAAGCTTGTCGTGCGTGGTCCAGATGCAATTATTCCGGGCCTTTCCGAAGGATTAGATGTAGAAGGGGTGCTATACACAGAAGCCTCGTTCATATCTTAGATGCCTACTCATCTTCACATCTACATTTCCCCCTGCGTGTAAGTATACTGTTGCTTTAATGTAATCCCGTGGAATGCTCGGCATTCTTTTTACTTCTGAGGATGTGAGCTGTATTGGCTTCCTAGGTGAATGTAAATGTAAATCACAGAGTAGATGCTCTTTCTTCTGAACGGCTGACAAAAGAGCAAGAAAAGTGTACAGGTTGGCTGAGAGGCGGTAATAGTCAGAAAGAAACGAGGCAATATAAAAATTTCACACACATGGCTATACCGGCAGTAAATTCTTTCTTCACATCGATTTCTTCACCCAAGATGTCCTTTGACTTCACAATGCGAAACGTCGCGAGAATATTCACAATGGCGATCCAGATCACCGCCTCCGCTGTGAATCTCCCCGGGCCTGTAGTCAATCTTATGAGCTGCCTGATTGAAACCTCAATCATGATCAGCATTGCATACATATACGACGACCGAGCCCGAAAATTGGGTCAGCGGAGATGGGCTGGGGGCCCGAGTTGTTTTCAGCTGTGAGATGCCGCTCGGGCCTAAACTCTTCAACATCGGCGCCGTGTTTTGACTCATCTCTGCTCATTGCCCTTCACAAGTAATATCAGTCAGTGTTACAAATATGCGAGTTCCGCATACAAACCAAACGTTGTTTATCACCAATGCGCCTGTAAGATTTGTTTTAGTCAATTCTGAGTACTTGATAAATTTGTTCTCGCCCTTGGGAATGAAACAATCATCATAAACATCGTCCTTTGAAGTAGCATGGGGTATGCCTATCCCTACGTTAGTAACAAAAAACCCGAGTTTGATAAAGGCGACTGACCCAGAGGAACCACAGGCATCCATCTCAGCAGCTCTCGAAGGATCGCATCGACGTACGGTAGCAGTGGTCGGTCGTCGAATTCTGGCAATCTGCTAGTTACCCCTATGACAGAATCGATCTCTGCTTGACCCTTCGCCTGCACCTCTGGATAGAGAATCATGGCGAGAATGAATGTATGCAGCATAGATGAGCTCTTTTTCATACTTGTCAATAATAGCACTCCCAGCAAGGAAAAAAATGATTACCGACTCAAAGCCAGCTGCGATGATATTCACAGAACATTTAGTATATGCCCAGGAAACGCATCATGGATGAAAAGTTACCTATAAATGCAGTAGCCGCCGCCGCCTTTATAGCGGCTTCTTGTTTATGTTGGTCTTCCTTCTCGTCAATCTGGGCTAAGCAATCAGATACCATGGAATGAGTGGCCACCCCCGTATCCTAGTGTGCGCACTTTAATCATTGAGTAACACTCGGATGATTGAGGACATACAATATTTTTCTTGACCAGATTGAACGGCACATTAAGCACTTGTCCTGCTAATTCTCTCGCACGAGCAGCGTCACGTTGAGATCCTAGACCAGGGAGCCACGCAGGCAGGCGAGTGACTAATGTGAATGAGCGACATTCTGGTACAGGCTTTTTTTCGCTCACGTATCGGAAAAGCGGACACGATGGCGCTACGCTCAGGGGAGAGCGCCTTTGCGAGTATATCGACGAGTTCTTTGACATTGGCAACTATTGGATCGTTGCGCGGAGCTACATCGTACCCGTAGGTAAACGCCATAACGTTCGAGGCCACAAATCTGGATAATCATATATTACGTTTCTTCGTGATTGCGACGTGATTTACCTCTGGATATGGATTTCGAAATGTGATGGATCATCAAGCAGATCCTTCAGCAATGCTCGAACTCTTTTCGTATGGATGTGATGATAGCGTGATGCACTCTCTAAGCGAAGTGCATGATGAAACATCTTGCGGTGAAGTTTCCAGTCAGTGCCGTGATAAGGCAGCATGACGGTACTGAAATTGACGCCAAAACTGGATTATGATGAACGTTAAATGGTGGTCAAAATATAGATCAAAGCATACAGCTCGTTTGTTGCGATAAAGGGGCGATCAGAATATATGGCGGAACGTTGGTCCATGAGTGCTCTTGCAACCTTTTCCGAATTGACCACGATAAAGTCAAGTCCAAGGAGGCGGAAATAGATTAGATCGCCTGTATTGAGGTGAGCACGCCCCATTTACTAGAATGTACCCGCTGCACACCATATTTTTTCCTCCAGTGTGTATATGTTAGCCATGGTCGAGCAATATTCAATTGGAGGAAGTTGCCCATGATGGGAAGCGGTTTCGGACCTGGGGGGAGTGGTAGTCTAGCGATTCTCTCAACCCTTGGAATAACCAAGGCAATAAGAACGCAGGCTACTAACACCCAGACAACGATATTGATGAGACCATTCATATTTGTGGGGGAAGTGACGCGAGTGGCGTATGCAATTTATACGTATCTTGGAGGCCCTTCGGTGGAGAATTGTGGTCAGCAGCAAACATTTCTTTTCAGTGTTAAGTAATTAACTCAAGGCATAAATATTCACTCGGATATGTTTAGTCCTGCAGCTGAAGTCGAGGAATAGATCAACGATTTGATGCGTGGTTCAAGGGATCAACGCCATTTTCGTGCCGATTGCCACGGTAGGCGGATTGAGCGACATGGATTGGTTTATGAAAGACTGGTGTATCGAGCAGAGAACTTTCCCCACAAGTACTCTGGGGGTAAATAGTAAACACATTAGTGCCTCTTGATATCATTAGAATAACACTACCCCCGGAAGTCATCACCTCTTGGAGAACCCACTCAATAGTCGACGTAACATATCATTTGGTTGAGGGATTGCATCGAATTCCAGGTCATGCCAGCTCCCATCTGAAACCTGAGTCTAGTGTCCGTTTGATCGTTCGATCATTTGTTGATAGGTGACGGCACCGGCCGGTCAGTCGGTATCAAGGCCAATAGGAATGACCAACCCCGCTATTGCTGACCTCGTAAATGATCCGCGCTTCAAGACTTGGTCCAAGCAAATCGCGCACAATCACCGCGGCCCGTTGTAGCCACAGACGATTCCTCTGTTTTCCACAGCCACCCGAAGCCAGTAGCAGCACCTATGTATCCTCATCGAGCCACAACGGCGGTACAAAATTCTATACAAGTGGGTCGAATGAGTTTTGAATTTGGCATGAGCTACCTGTGTTTTTGTGAAACGAAAAATAGGACGCACATGATTTCGCCATTATTACCCTTGAATTGTTAGGCACTCTTTCCCATATCGTCGATAAACCTCGCCAGAAATGCTCAATGTTTTATGCGAGATCACGCCAAATCAATGGCACGAGAAATTCCTCGGACGGACGTTTAACTCATTTCAAAAGTAAGCCAAGATATCTTACAGAGATGAGCCCTAGGTAAACGACCCTTTACACGATTACCCCGCGGAATTTGGCAATTTCATGACATCATACACCCCTGGTGAGTAATAAACAAAACAGTCTGAATCGAAACGGGGCAATGAGCAGAAGCGGTCACATCAGGAGCAAGATCCTGAAGAAACCAAGTACTCACGGATCCGAAGGACTCTGATCCCTTCCCCTTGATATCCCGACAAGGGATTTGACTGCTTGAACCTGGATCGGCGATGTAGATGATCTGAAATAGATGATTGATAGATTGCTCCGGCGTCGGACAGAGTGTCATAGCGGAAGAGAAAGACGGTGGTGTAGGCGCGCTCCGAGGGGAACTCCAATCGATATCTCCACAACCTTCCACCCTTTGCTATAAGAAGCGCTGTCATGGCTATCACGTAAAATGGGACACAAGGAGCCTCGGGTATTACGGTTTGGGGGTTGGCGTAGGTTGGCGTTCATCGAAAGCTACTGAGTGATTTCAGGAACGTGACGCAAACCAGATGCGGCAACGCACTCGTCTTTGTATCGGAACCTTAACCAAAGCAGTGCGATGATGTGGAAACATTACATCAGAGGTCGATAAGACCGGGTGAAACGTCTTTGGGTTGTACGTCACCGCGAGATGGTCAGCACAAGCGGATTCGACAAAGACATACAGAAGTTACATAGTCAGTATTCCCTGCGAAGAAGCCTGGCTATTTTGCAAGGAAATGGTACAAGATCCGGCAACCATCAAGAGATGTGTCAAAGCAACGACCACTCAGTGATAGTACACGCCAGTGCTTCCGAACAGCTGAAATTCGAATTCGTGCTGCAAAAGCGGAGGCAGGCCCCGAAAGTCAATTGGCCTCCAGCTGGCAATTATTGACAGTCACACAGTGACACCCTTTGAGTCTTGGCACCTGGCAAAGACTTCAAATTTTAGATGCGAGTATATATATTGAACCTACTGCAGGGATATCCACAGCACGTATGATTTGATTGAATAAAGCTGGTAGGCCCCAATCACATCAATAGTAAAGGTGGCCGATCGGCGATGATCAGCAGCGCGGTCACCTACATTAATATATTAATAGGCGGCCACCAGTGGCCATGGCAGAGACCCACAAAGCTAATAATAGTCCAATATGATTAAAGTCGCTCGCTTGGGATGATTTATGTAGACCTCTTGGTGCTGGCTGGCTTTTCGACTTAAAGCACTCCGAGTGACAGACATGGATGGAGTCGGTGAAAGCGGCTGAAAGCGGGCCATGGCACAGCCAAGCCCAACCGACAGGCACAGCCACACATACTGTCATGACTTCGGTAGCGGCACCGCAGCTTCAAAGTTCAAGGCTATCAAATCCTATAACTTGATCAAGGAAATATACTGGTTCGACAGAACCATGTACAATGTTTCGCGCAGTCACGCCCAGAGCTCCTTCAATTTCCTCGATATCCTGGCGCTTCCCTTCAGCTGGCGCTCGAGCGGCAAGAGTACTAGTCACAGCACGTTCGAGTCCATATCATGTATTCCATCCCACGCCAAAATCCAACGGTCTTGTCCATGTTCAAGTTAATGATTGTATGAGGAGGCAAATATGGCATGCACAGAGAGGAGTTGCACCATTTCATTCTTCCGGGCCAAACCAGGGACTTCCTCTCATACCGATGCTATTGGGAGCCTTCAAGGCATGTTCACCTGAATAACTCTTGCAAGTCCTATACTTAATTTTGCAGGCTTCTACTACTATAGAGGTAGCGCGTACCGCTGCCCGTATTGCACTTACATTCCTGCCCCTCATCCTTTTCAAAAACCGCTGGTCAAAGAAATACCTCAAGCACCACGACAAATTTCATCCTGGTACACCGGTTGATGAAGAGAAAAGAGCCGCGCTTCTAAAACGTATACGTGCAAGGACGCTTGTCTTTAACGTACTTTTGTTCGTTCCTGTCACATTATTCTGGTTGGCAATTCTAGCAAGCGCCGAGCAGACGCCTATCACAGGACGGTATGTCATGTATAGTATTCGATTTCTGCCTATCAGCTAAGTTGATATACAGATGGCGGCTTATCATTCTATCGCCCGAAGAGGAGGATGAGATAGCTGCGCAGCTCAAAGGCTCAAATTGGTATCACGCTGTCACAGAAATTCTCTCGACAGACGGTCAACCCAAGTTGATTCCAGCCACTGATTGGCGATATCAGTGGGTACGTGACACCTTACGGCGATTGGAGGTTGGCATTCCCGTATTGCAGCGCGAACAAGAGTTGGCTTCGCATTGGTTGGATACAACTCCTGATCAGCCGCCATTACCTCCACCTGCAGAGTATCCCCTACGGCCTCGGCCCCGAGCCACCGACACTATGAGGAGGTGGTCGGAAGGTCTCTGTGGGCGAAGCTCACCTCATTCAGCTCATGTCATCGCTGGACCACCATATTCACTTCTTATCGTTGATAAACCCGATGCGGCTAATGCATTTTCTTACGGCTTTGGGCCAGATGGTGCTTGTGGCATTGTGGTTTACTCCGGATTCATTGACAACATCCTTTCGAAAGCTCCTTCCACAGCTTTCTCCTCTGACTACACGCCACAAAGTCTACCTGAAGAAAGCTCGTGGTGGGCACACCTTTTCGGTTCGCTCTTTATTTCACCATTATCCACATTACCACCCCATCCAGTGCCCACAGAGCAACAAACAGCCGAACTCGCCATTCTCCTTGCCCATGAAGTTGCACACCTCGTTCTCTCGCATCACCTCGAGACGCTCTCATCCGTCACTATCATGGTCCCTGCTTTGATTTCCATGTTTGCTGACTTCACACGCACCCTATTGTTCCCCGTAACGATGCTCTTTGGGCCGTTTGTCAATGACGCAGTTGCCCAGCTTGGAAAAGTTGGTTCTGGGGAACTGACCAAAATAGGGGAATACTGCACGAGTGTGCACCAAGAGATAGAAGCGGACGTTGTATCCGCCAGGATCCTTGCGCATGCCGGTTTTGATGCGCGCCAGGCAGTAGCATTCTGGGAACACAAACAGAACGCGCCTCAAGCTGCCGAATGTTCTCTGACTGGTCGCCCGGAGACAAGCAATTCGAGTTGGGCGCTTACACGACAGATCATGGGTTCCTCGCATCCTGTGAATGAGGTTCGCATAGAGAAGCTTAAGAGCGAGCTCGTTCGATGGGAACTGGAAAAACGCGTCGCAGAGAAGAAGCGTATCATGGGAGAGCCGGAACGAAGCTCGATATTGGCATTCGTTTGAGAATAGATCCTTTTGATATATTTTGTCTCTCCCTGTCCACTGATGAATGAGAGAAAGATACAGCAAGTGTAATTTATTCAAGTCGTTACTACTGTAAATAAAAAATGATTGGAAATCTGAACAATACTTGTCCGGCAAGCGGAATTCTTGTCTCTAACATATGTAAGGACGAAACGGTTGATCCTGCTGATTCCTGCAGAAGTGACTCCCATGTGCATGTCCCACTTGCACTCCATCGCCACTGCTGCAAGCCCATCTTCAGCATGATCGTCTCCGAGTCTCTGCACGCCGAGAACAATCACTCGCATGTATCCGCGTGTTTCTGATCTTTGCATCGATGAAACACACGGACGGCTTTCGCCTTGTTCTGAAGTACTGGATCGACGCGTGAAGGATCATATATCCTTACACTCCACTCATATATATTTGCATGCTTTCAAGACAAAGTAAGGAGCGCGCCTCATAGATATTGTTGCACTTATTATACAGTAAATCTACACTGATTCAAAGACCTCTACCGATTCCGACGGGCCCATCAACGAGAATCGTCTGTGGCCCTCTAGGAGCCATTTCGGACGCATGCATGAGTTTCCCTGTTACAACATCACAAGTGATGATCTGATCTCGCCGGCCAAACCAAATGTAGCAGTCGCAATCTTCACTTCTTTCCAGATCGCTCTGTGAGAGCAAATACGCTGATAGTTAGGCCGACTCGATATGAGGTGCGGGTGCTAACTGGGAGAGAGAGATTAGATCCGAGGTATTACAATCACGATTGTGGTCGGCATGCCATAGATAGAGGTGCATTCGAGTGGCGAGTATGGCATGAATGATGAATTGGAAACTAGACGCATGATTTGTAAGTGTTGCATGTCAGTAAACCTTGGCAAAGACGTACTCTTGGAACATGCCGCTATACGCGTACTGCATGAGATCTCAGTTACAAGGAAATCTTGTAAGGAGATAGATGACATACATCGAGCAGCAGCGATGTCAGAACATTCACGGTCGAGAAAACTGTGGGAAAGATGAGCAAGAATTGACCACTCCACACTCTTACTTACACAGACCACATGCATAATATAACACATTGTGTTTCAATATAACAACATAAAAACTGCTGTTATTTGTACGCCAATTTCGTATGGCACATGTGAGCGTGAGGGAAATCAGCACTGTATCAAGCATGGGTTAAAAGGCGTTTACGTATCAATTCTCATTGACGTACTCAATTCTAATCCGAACAAAAGAAGGAAAGGGACAAAAAGCCTAGCACTTCCTGAGGACTGATAACAGCCTGTGATGCCTGGAATTGCACTGGTCTCAACTGTGAAATGAAAACTGGGTCAAAATTTCCAGACAGGAAAAGAGAATAATTCGTACACGGCGCAGTCACAGTTGCAGTAAAGAGGGCAACCATGGACCCCACAATTACGGCCTGATGCTGCGTTCGCATCAGAAAGCCACACCATTGCACATAACTCACTGCAAAAGTTGATAGCATAGCTGCCAAAACGACTTTATCGTTATTCCATAGCGCGTAAGTCCTAAGGATGAAGAAGCCTGGAGGAATCAAGACCCTACACTCGTGATAAAGATAATAGAGCAATTACATTCTGAGCAGACGCTGGATATCAAGCTAAAACCTGTGGGACGAAGGTCAGCGACTCGTAATTTCGACATGTAATTTGATGCACTTGAGCAAATATTGTTGATAGATTGGCACATCTAGATTGGCCCTCAAGTAAGCAGGGCTCTCATCTATTGCGAGCCAACGTACGTTGGAGGTCTCATTCGGGACGAAGTTCACTGGCAACAGTCTTTCAATATGTTATCTTAGACTCGTTGAAATTAAGGACTTACAATACAAGTGCACAGAAAAAAGAAGGAAAGGCACATATCGTGTCACAACGTACAACATTTTTACCCTGTTCCAGCTGGAATAAAGCAAAAATATTCCCTTGAGAGGGTGCATTGTGAGGATAGGAAGTTGATCTTGCAAATGATGTGTGTCACCTCCTCACGCATCGAGCAGGCATAGTCGTATGTCTAGATAGGAATCGAATGACCAAGATGAATATAAGAGTGAGAAGGTGGGGACGATCATACCCAAAATGTAGCCATCGACGCTGAATTGCCGCTCAGCAGACGCAGTTTGCTGATCATCGAAGAAACACATACTGTATATGAACTAGAAGTGATTGATTTCATCAGAGGCTGTTTGCATTGTCTAGAGAAAAATTTGCCGTAAAGACTTGCAGACTCTTAGCAGCTGTGATGGCGTCGACAGAGTATTTCGAATCCATTCGAGGGCGATGGAACGGAAGAGGAAGTGGTATGTTCGGCTGAGAATCATGTGAGATTAAGAATGTGCTCAGGACTGGCATACTATTAATGAAAACATGACATCGACTCTGATCAGGAACTCAAGTCCCCGTTCCACTAACGTGAAATGAGGCTCGAAGTGCTGGATAAGGTAGTTTCGATAGGAAGTACTTGGCATGATGAGAGCACGACGTTAACTGTGATCATCAGCTCGACTCTTGTGTTGAGAGCCGATGTATCCGAGGAGCATAAGGCAGAGAGAGACAGAGCCGAAGGGGAGAAGGAGAGTACGGCCGAAGAATGAACCACATCGAGTGCGAGCGTCTCCAAACGGAGAACATGGACGACGTGTCAACGTCGGCAATCTTTTTGTTCTTAAGTATATATGTTTTCATCAAAAGTCTTGCTGGCACACTCACCGTATAAGAAGAGCCAGCCAAAGTCGTAACATCTCAGTTTCATAAACGAATACTGAGATGTGAGTTGTTATCCCACTGTAACGTTTGAGTAGAGTACTGACGTACAAGTAGATTCGTACCTGTTTAGGTACAACGTTTTGTTAATAGAGTTTCATAAACGAATACTGAGATATTCGTACCTGTTTAGCGTGTCGCGAAGCCTCCCGCTCGTATAGATTCTCCACATCTTGCTATGTTCAAGTTCCCGTTCTATTACTTGATGATGAATTGCTGGATGTACTTATCAGTCTGATGTCCGACACAGGTTTTGATAGGGAATACTTGGCTGCCCTCGAACCTAGCGGAACGTTTCGCTGATGAAAAACCAAGCATACGTACACCGTGTGGTTCATACCTAATAACACTGCAGCAACCAATCAGCCTTATTGAGACAGCCATACTTAAGTAGGTTTGAACTCTTTTTGATCAAATGAACTTTGAACTAGGAACGTTACTGGGAGCACCCGTTCCTGTTCAAAACGACGGCAGTTTCCGTTAGTCAGAAGATGTATTGATGATATCCTATGTCCTACCAATTTGAACCAACTCATAATACATTATTCTTGTAACGCTCTGGTCTTAAGCTAGGTTTGACGTGAGAGTTGCGTCCGCACCTGGGAATCACGTACTTGTATGATACTAATACAAGGATTCATGAGTTTTAGCATCAGATTATAATTTATAGGGCGTTACTACAATTATTTCAGTCCATCAAGTACTGAAAATGAGCGGTTGTTGCTCTCCATTATCAACCATTGCAACTGAAGGTTGATATTTGCGTGTCAACCGTGTAGTCAACGCGCCGTCCTCCAACCGTTCCACCTCCTCTACGATGGTATATCCCCCTAGCCATGGCAAGACGATAATCCACAGCCAGTAATAGATTCCGCACACCTATAAAGGGTCAGATTTATATGGAGTCACGTTGTAAGCGATGTACATACCGCAAGAACACACAGACCCACCACACAGTAACTGAATGATGGACATAGTCAGATGTGGACCTAAAATGCGACAGCATTAGACTCACGTTGCGTACCAGAAAGACACGTCGCTATGACCAGGTTCCGGTGGTATCCTTGTCGAAAAAATCAGTGCTAGTTCAAGGCGTTGATTCGGTAGGACAATACCAGGGCATTATGAGAAGAAATACTGCGCTGAGGAGGTAAAGGGAAACGTAAATATTCCTCGCACGATACTTCGAAGGTACAAGGCCAGCAAGCGCTCGCCTCCTTCGAAGAAGCCACAATCCTATAGCAGTTGCAACATGGAACACCTGTGACTTGTTGATCACATAATACGCCGCGGTGGAATAAAATACCTACTAAATTCGGATAAGAAGACAAATCCAACAAGAAGTTGAATGCATCTCGAGCTGGGAGGGCGACTATCACGAAGACTGTGAGAAAGTACTTCAGACACACGGGTCCCAACGGCGTGCCGAATGGCTTGGTCGATGCAAAAAATCTTGGATACGGAAGCAGCCCCTGGCGGGCAATCTCACGCAATACGCGTGCCTGACCAATAGTCTGGCAGAGTATAAGTTTTCACATCATGAAAGGTAGTTTCCAAATGCTTTGCTCACCACAGCGATCTAGAAATGTATTTTGTGAGTAAGTCGGGCATGCAAAATACAAAGGTCACACACGATGTTGCCGAAGCAACTTAAAGCAACCATAATCGGCATGGTTTGGGCCGCGAAGCTCTCTCCGTATACACGTTGGAAAAATAAAGCCGCGATGAGTTGCCCAGAATTTTTTATCTCGTCCTTTGGCACTGCTGCCACGTAAGCGACGTTGACGAAGAAAAAAAGACAGGTGACTAAAAGCAGGGAGAGTAAACCGGCTTTGCGCACTGTGCGGACAGGATCACGCGTATGGACTTCCCCAATGACATTAAACGCGTTGTGCCAACCAGCGAATGCAAAATTAGTCTTGACTAGGGCAGTAGCCAAAGAATTTGGATTGGTCGTGCTCTCACTGAAGGGAGACCGGAAATTGGCATACGGATCGCTGATGCGAGTGAAACCGCCAAGTACGAGGGCGCCCGTAAAGACCAAGCTGAAAGCATAATATGTCAGTAGATGAAAGATGGTGAACGATGCGCTCACAAGACAAGAGAAAGAACCTTCAACCCAGTAAGAATGTTCACGGCTCTTAAAGACCATTTCGTTGATAAGGCGACGACTGCGTGGTTGAGTTCCAGATTGTACGTTGGCGCAAGAAACTTAAGAAGCTCACGAGCCATACCAACAGCACAGACTGCTAAAGCAACAATGGTTTGCCTTTCTGGAGTGATGGGGACATCGAAAATTGTAAGCACATATTGGGCAAATATAAGTGAATTTGATGCGCTAAAACTGATCGGCGTAAAAGCAATTCCATGAATACCCCGTCCAACATGTAAACAGTAGTACGCACGACAGGAGGACTGAGGTTACAGCAAACATGATTGGGATCAAAAACTTTGGACGCGGGTATGCCTGCTCCAAGTACACAACTTCTGCCCCGGATCTTTTTGGGAACATACTTGCGTATTCACTGTAGACCATGAGACCTCCGAATGCAAACAGTGGAGCTAATAGCCAGAAAATGAAGAGTAGGCCGACCGAGCCAACAGAATTCAGTATGACGCCCGGAACAGAGTATATTCCTGCGCCGAGCATTCGCCCGAGATTGAGCATAACACAAGACAGTAATGTAACCTTGTAACCCAAGGGATTGTTCTGCAGACGATATGAGTATTTATCAGACACAAGTGAAATGTTGTTACTCTCTCTATTGGTGCTCCCGCAGCTGACAAAGTGTTTCCTTCATCTTGCGCGTCCTCACCGCTTTGAGCGAGGATTTCGGAGTCCAGGACGTTGTCGATGGTCATGACGGTAGGATGATAAGACTAGTACCCAAAACGGTATCATATTTCAATTTCAATTTCAAGACCCATGCTCAGCGCTCATTGACTAGCATTATGGGCCTAGTGTGGTGGGCAGAAGTCTGCCATTCTGCCAACGGGTTCTGCCAAACCGGTTCTGCCCGGCAGGTGGCAGAATTCTGCGGGCAGAATCCGGCAGAATGTCAAACTACAAAGGATCACAGAAGGCCGTGGTTAATGGCAAGCCAATTTGTCGACGTCATGCACACATGCACACCAATGCCCAGCCAGGCATCAACATCGATGTAGCTGCTGACCTAGAAGCCAATTTTGCGTGGGCGCCACCACTCGCACCTCAGACTCAGAACATCGATGATGATCTTGCGGGTCCTGAATCCATATCACTTGACGAGATTGACGCTGCATTTGCACTACTGGAACGCGAGAAAGAAGCCATGGAACGATAGCCGGTTGACGGAAATGAAGTGTTGAAGTTTACGATTTTGCGGAATTGGAGCATGTTGACCAAGGTCTTGCACCAAAATCTGTTGACGACGAGTTGATCACACCTCACACGGCAACGGACAGTGGGATGTGGACGCACTGATGTCTTCTAATGGTGTTTCCTACTTACTATACATTGTCATCATACACATAGCTTTGAAAATTTTGCCAAGCAGCAGAAGTTGGTGGTTCTGCCGGTTCTGCCGGCACAATTACTCGCAAACACAGCACGCAATCATTATGTAATCACTGGCAGCCGAGTAACAAGCTGACTCAGGTCGAGCGGAGTCTTATTTAAAACCGGTCTGGGCTCCCCTCTTCTATTTCTAGATTCTCGTGGTTGTGACTAGTCCCCAGTTTCTGCCTCACTTGTTATCGCAAAATTAGACGACACGTTCACCAATTCTTAAACGCCAAGGACATTGGCAACTTGTTCACATAGTTCTCGTTTCCTAAAACGTTTAATAGGTGCTATGAGCGAGAGAACAAAAAGATATTCAGGAAAAGTTCATATAGCAGCCCTGCTTCAGAACTTGAACTTTCACCGCTCGCCTTTAAATTTGCGTTTGACATTCTGATAGCTGAAGCACTATCCCTTGAAGTATGCCCGCCGCTCATGGGAAATCTGACGCCGCGGTGGAAGAGGAAGTCGCTCTCGGTTATGATGTCTTGTCTCAAGTCAGTCGTGCAGAAGGCATCGGGAGGGACTATCAGCTCAAGTGTAATCTCAGTAAGCAAGGAACTTTTATTTTTTATTTTCATGTACCGGTTGGCGACTTGTTGCTCATTTAATCAGTCAATAGATGTTTTCAAGAAGAGTGCGTTGAGCACAGTCACAGTCTTGTGGTATATAACCCAAGCCCATTCTGCCGAACAGGATTGGCTTTGGTCGCTATCAATGGCAGCTCTTTGCTATTACTGGTCTAGGATGGCTCGCAGACAGTGAGATAAGAGTTGCGTGTATCGCACGTGTTTCATCTAATTGGTTGCTGCTACTAGATCTCTGGCTGCAAGGTTTGGCAATCGTACTTCCACAGGTACAACAGGAGCTTAACCCGGTTCGGGTCGAGTACGCTGTCCTAGCAGAATTCGCTGGATTGATTGTTGGCGCCACAACATGGGGCATTATGGCCGACCTTGTCGGAAGAATATTATCTTTCAATGTAAGTCATGCACTGAAAGTCGTGTGGGAAACTTTTTGATTGTCGACTAAAAGATTACACTGTTTCTCGCCGGCCTCTTTGGATTGGCAGCAGCAGGTGCACCCAATTTTGTGATATTTTGTTCCCTTATAGCGTGTATGGGCTTTGGCATCGGCGGCAAGTGAGCACATCTGTGTCTGTATGGGAAAAAATGGATCTAATCACACTCGACATCGCTGTTGGTATTTGCAGTTTACCTGTTGATGGTAAGTAATGTTCTGACCAAGAGACACCCTCAAAATTTATCATTCATGCACCTGAAGGCGCCTTGTATCTGGAACATATTCCACAGTCTCATCAGGTGCGTCATTGGCCGCGATATTTCATCAGAGTTTAGGTATTTAATCTCCGACTCCTAGTGGACTTTAACTCTTCTGTCGGTCTGGTGGGCGTTAGGACAATTGGTAGCATCTTTAATCAGTTGGGCTTTCATTGCCAACTTCTCCTGTAACCCGTCGATACCAAGTGGCCAGTGCGCCAAATCTGCCAACATGGGATGGCGATACACATTGTAGGTCGCGTCTTAGTGACATCGTAGTATGCAAGATTGATGCTGACGCCCGTCTCTAGGTATACCCTGTATGTTTTACATCAACTGCATCTGTTCTACCTAATTCCTCTACTTAGCGGGGCTTTGACGTTCTTGATGTTTATATGTCGCTTCTTTGTTTTTGATGTGCAGGAGTCGTCGAAATTTCTGGTGGCGCAAGGTCGTGACGAAGAAGCCATTAAGGTTTTAACATAGTGCTACTGATTGTCGTCGGGCTCAGCGGAATGTCTCTGCAGGTCCTGGAACACATTGCAAGGCGTAACGGTAGGACTATCACACTCAAACTCGAAGATCTGCAGGCAATATCTGGTGACACAACATCTAAGCCGGTACCAAATTTGTCCACTAGCGTCTGGAATTCCTTTTCTAAAATGTCGCTGTACGTCGTCTGCCCTGACATTATATCAGCTGCTGAGTCCGCTGCAGCTCGCACGTCCGTCCGCTCTTTTCTAACAGGCGCTTGGTAATTAACACGACCCTTATCATCGTTATCTGGGGGTATGTACCTAAAGAATTGCGTGTGTTCGCCCGTGTTGACTTGTGGATGTTCAGTTTAATTGGCATCGCATACCCACTCTTCAATGCCTACCTCCCACTTTATCTTTCCGCACAAGGTTCGGCATCCGGTTCGTCAAGCGTGAGTGAGACATACCGCAACTACTCGATCGTATCCGTCCTTGGCATCCCCGGGTCTCTCATTGCCTGTGCGACCGTTGACTATACTCGTGGCTCTGGTCGGTGGCTCGTAGGGGGACGGAAACTTGTGTTGGCCGTGTCAACTATGCTGACTGGACTCTTCCTCTTCTTGTTCACAACGAGCAAGACGACGGCTGCAGTGCTCGGATATTCTTGTGCTTCTGGTCTTACCCAGTGCGTACTCAACACTAACCTCATAAACCGCATATACTGACAACATACACCCAGGAATGCGGTGCGGTTGACTTACTGAGTTGAGTATCATGCACTAATTCTTCCCCTTTAGATGTATGGAGTCTTGTATGCGTATGTGAGTGATATACTGGAGGAGCTGCCCAAGATCCTGAAATGTGACCCCAAACCGTGTAGACCCCAGAGGTCTTCCCGGCACCTCACCGTGGGACGGGCGACGCACTCTGTTCTGCGCTGAACCGCATCGGCGGACTTATTGCCCCTCTTATCAAGATTGCCACAACACCGCTCAGTGGCAATACATCAGCAAACACGGCAAATGGGTGCGTCGTGATCGCATCCATCCTGATCGAGCTGATAATGGCTTTTGTATTTTGCAGTCCTGTCTTTGTGTCTGCTGCATTATTTATGGTTGCAGCCATCTTGACGATATTACTTCCTATCGAAGTGAGTCAGTCGATCCCGTGATTTGTATGCGCCTGATATCTCATTTTATAGACTGCGGGCAAGATGGCTTTATGAGTCTCACGCACACGGTATACTCCAATGTCAGGTTTGGACCCATAATGATTCGAATTTCGTGTCTAGTCGTATAATTAAAACATACAATGAATGATCTATTTATGATCAATCGCAAATCAATCGAGACAGTGCAAAAAAGACAAAACAAAAGCAAAACAAGTAAAGGAAATAAAACAACAACATAAGTCAAAGTAGCACATACATTGGTCATACAGTAACGAACAAGCAAATTATCCTTGATATTTCTTGATTAAGTCCCTGAGACGCGCCTGACCAAATCCAAGGTCACCAGGGGTGCGAGTAACTCTGGGAATGGGAGTCTTAACAACACTTCTAAGATTTGACGTCGTCTCCGAAATCATTGGAGGTAGAGGACGGGATGCTGGGGTCCTGGGGTTGGGTGATGCACGAGCAAGAGAAGCAGTAGATGAAAGCATGGGTACAGCATGAGACGATGAAATGACAGCAGGAACTGTTGTTGCTTTTGTGGCCTTCCCGCGTCCCTCCCTGCTCGTATCGGCCGGACCCTGAGTTTGCGATGTTGACAGTGGGGACCTGACGGATAATTTTCCACCATGGTTAACAGGTTTTCTCAAGGGCCGAGAAGCCTCATTTTTCTTCGCCTGTATCTGAGTCGTATCTGCTTTTGCGGCCCATAGCGAAGCAACTTCAGTGACCCTGCCGCCTTTCCCTCCGCGTGCAGAGCAGATGTTATATTTCACCTCTGGGCTAGGTGGTTTAGGGGAATGACGTGAGTGATGAGGCGATAAGAAATGATGAGTAACTGTGGATATGGGATCAGCCCTTGTTATGTCAGGGGATTTCGATCCTGCGAGCGGGGCATTCAAAAGAGAGCCAATAGGTGTTACAGTGGTTGACTGGCCCGTGGACATCCTTCTCAAGATTGGACCCGGTGCCAACAACTCTGCGGCGGGATTTTTCTTTCCTGCATCAAAGCTACTATGCACATCTTCTGGTGCAGGCGCAGTAGAGTGTCCAGTGCCAGCAGCCTTGAGCGTAGAAATAGTCACGAAGCCAGATGAACGTGGGTTGGGAGCTGCAGAAACGTCGTTGTCGAATGGTATTCCTCCAAGTTCTTGATCGCCTGACAATGGTAACAGGTCTTCTGACAATGACGGTGGGGCAAAAGGCTTGTTGTCAGTGATGGGAACGAAGTGGGATGCAGTGGGCGACACCATAGATAACGAATCATCCACAAGCGGTGGGCTTGTATCAATCTCCCCTAGCCATGCTGCAATCCGCCCTTTGACCTCACTACGCAGTTTCCGCATATCACCCACCTTGCCTCTCTTCCGCTCCCGCTTCTGCGCAACCTGCCTCTCATCATCCTCATCATTATGTTTGCTCTTTACTTTTCCCCGTCCCCTCTGCGTGCGCACCTCGCGTTCATCATCACTTTGACTGTGACGGCCACCTCGGTGCTGTGTTCTCTCGTCTGAATCATGATCCTGCTCTTGCTCCTGCTCCCGCTCGTCCTCGTCACCTCGCAGGAAAGCGTCACGATCCGCAAGCGTCAGGCTCGATATGGTACTGTCATTCACACCCGCGGGAGCCCCACTGGCCGGAATCTTAATTGGCTGCACCACGCTGCACACATCCGGGCGCAGCTCACCTACGTCCTGGCGGCGCGTCCCTACCTCTGCGAGTAGGCGCCGCTCGAGGGCGTCCAAGCCGCTCTCCTGCGGGGAGCCCTTGACATACTTGGTGCTCAGGCCAGATAACTCACACGGTGCACGCGGGAACTTGACAGGAGTTATAGCTGCGAGTGGTGGCATCGGTGGAGGGGGGCAAGCAGATTCCAACTCAGGCTTGGGCGCAGAGCAACCAGGAACAGTAATATCGGAAAATGCTGCCTGGACGTGCTGTTGAACGCGTAATGGTCGTTTACCAGATGGAACAGGAGGGCTAGGGAACATCTTATCCACGTTCGAGTCTACGTTTGCCGCGCACTTTGGAAGATCTGCGCTTAGATCGCCGCTATGCCTGCCGACTTCGTCTGCCATGCGTTCCAGGGCACACACATTTTCGCTGCGTGGAGACGGGCCTGAGTAGGACTGTTTTGGTGATGGGATGGGGCGTGGTGAGTGTAATGCACCTTGAGAGTCGTAAGGATTAGGAAGCGTGGAAATCTGAATTGCACCAAGATACGGGCGACCAGGGGACACGTGTTGAGCAGAGGGCTGAGGTAAGGAAAACCTGTGCGATAGTGGTGAGACTGAGCGGTGTCGAGAGGATAGACGCAGCGTTTGAGAGATGCGAGATGCACGAGTGCCTTTGCCCTCTTCCGAATCTGCGAGGTACTGAGGGCTGCTTTCGGCAGCTTGTGGAGGGTGATATGAAATAGGTGGATGAGGCAGCAGAAGATGAGCTACTGATGTAGGAAGTCCTGATGGTAAGCTTGTATCATAATACGGCATCTGGGAGTGAGGTTCGGCTGATGCTGGTCGAGGTGGTGGTGGTGTATAGTGTTGGAAGTGTGGATTAGATGAAAGTAAATCCCGAGGATAATACTGCTCCGAAAATGCAGGGGTGAAAGGCTTATAATCTGCACTTAGAGACAGTGGTGGCCAGTACGTATGTAGTGGGTCGTATTGCTGTGATGAAAAATGAGGATCCACGTAGGAAGCACCAGGAGGCGGTGGGAGCAGATAAGCGTGTGTAGGAGGTGATGCATACGGCTGTGGTGAAGTGGCAGGGATGGCGTAGGGTGGCGCGTGTGCATTAGGTACGGCCAAAGGATGGTGAATGACCAGCGGAATTGTGATTATGACAGGTTCGCTGGAGGTACTTGATCAAAGCGTTGCCCAGGAATAAGAGTGACACAACGCACCTCCCAACAGGCATATCGATCCGGAGTCTCAGGCTACAGCGAACTTCAAACAAACAATCAGTTGTGTTTCCATTCTCACCGACGCGAGCACCACCACGAGATCCACGGGAAGACCGAGGGATATTAATCACCAAGTTGGCAACGCCCTCAATGCCAGGGGGGACCATATACTCGTGACCCCTGAACTCGACCTCGGTGACTGTGTCGGTTATCTTAAATGTATCCTTATCCACAGAAGGTGACGATAGTCGAAGTTCACGGGAAAGTGTGAGTGTAACCCCACATGTCTGCAAGAGTTATGCTAAGTTAATCCCATAAAAAACAAGAACCAGCACAACGAACCCAGTTGAGTGAATGATTCTTCAGCTGTAACTCGACGCAAGCGACCTCTCCAGCAATGATGGGACCATTCGTGACAAAAGCTTGGGCCCAAATGTTTCCGCCCTCGGTGACAGCAAAACCTTGAGGGCGTTTCGACGGTGCTCGTATATCACAATATTCGACTACATTGACGTATTGATGATCAGTCACGAGGCGTTTCTCTCCTCTCCAAGCAACGCCAACGCTCGCTCGTATTTCATATCGTATTTGGGCAGGACCGAATGATATTGAGGCAGGGGACGAGGGTGGGAGGGGAAAGCGAAAGAAAAATGTAGTGAGACCACGACGTGCAGGGTAGTAATGGGCCGGAAGGTGCGATTCTCCTGGAGGATCGAAGTCAGATTGGATCGCATTCGACGGCGGGAGTCCTGGCCCTTGAAATAGTCTGCGAGAATGAATAAAGGTGGAAGTGCCCGAGTGGTCACGAGACGTAATTTCTGGATTATGCATTAAGCATTAGTTTATGCGATAATGAATGGAATAAACAAACCTTGGACGGCGAATAATTCGACCATCATAAGACCAATTCCAAGACCGCAATCACCATCACCGCGACATTCGACTTCCATTTTTCCAGAAATATTATTGCCGGCCACAAATATGGGGTCGGATAGCGTCAGGGACACCTTGACCTTGGAGTGATGTGGCGAAGCATTCATAGGCACTGGACGAGATTGAAGCGCCATGTTGTGATTTTTTGGCTGGGATATGAATAACAAGGAGAGCTGAGAAACAAGTAGCTGATAAGATCAAGCAGGTAGAGATAGTGGCAGGTACCAGAAACAACGATGGTGTGGCAGTGGATGATTACCCAGGTGAGAGGTACGACCGAAATGCGCCATGATGGGCGACATGGCAAGTAAGCAGTGAAATTATACGAAGGTCATGATGTTCCTGCTAATAAAATTTTGAGTTGTTTCAGCTCGGTTTCAGCTTAGACAGCCTGAGTGTCTTCTCGTAGTAGTAGTGGTCAAGCCTCGAGGCACCCAGAAATGTACAGTGGGTGTTTGGCCTTATTAGGATGAGAAGCCTAATATACTTGCTTAGTAACATTCAATACAGGGGCGGAAGTGCTCACAGTTGAACTTAACTAGCGCAAAACTAGCGGAGGCATGACTAGGAGACGGTCAGTGCTGTAACGTCGATTCATCCGACAAAAAGTTTTCCGGGGAGCGCTTATGTGTTTTATCGTCATGTAGCGATGGGCAATTGAGAGTCTGTGAGACAGTCACCCGGGCCAGCCTTGCCCGTATCTATCAGATCCGAGTGCAACTCATCCATACTATGAAGTACTCATACATTTCCGTCCCTACTTCGAAAACTTCTGCCGGCCTGGTGCAAACAAGAACAGTTCAACCATTTGTATGCTTATAAGCATAACAAGTATGAATAAGTACAACCTCGCGTCATCTTCATGCTGTTTCCTCTTTTGTTTCAGCCGCCTTCTTACCGGAATACAACTCGACACTGCCCTCTTCAGACCCTGCTGTCGGCTCAATATTGGTTTCCTCCATTTCGTCAGATACAGTCGCTGAGAATGCCATAGTCGTATGTGCTGCAATAGCTCGTGTATGCTCCGAAGTGATTGCCCGCCCCCTTGCTACACGGATGATGATAAGCAATTGGGCGATGCCCTAAAAACAAGTTAGCATCAGGTACACAAATAACACAATTTGCCGTGTGCTTACCTGGACATGGCTGATAGACAGGAAACATAGATTGGAGACATTGCTATGCATACCGAAGGAAACTATGAAAACAATGGCGTAGGCAATGTATGCCATAGCGGACTCGACGACCATGAGGACGACGGTGTCATAGGTGCTAGAATCATATTCCCGTATGATCTGCTTCATCAGGCCTCGCATGGAGAGCAAACGACTCGTCACGAGGACGGAGTAGATGACAGTGAGCCCAACCTCGAGGGAGAGGTAGGCCAGTTCGGTATTGATATCGTAGAATATGGCACCAGCGCTCGACTCGATCAAGACAAGAATAGCCATTGCTGCTCAAGATGTCAGTGACCACTGTCATTCGACAGACAGTGAATCGTACCAGTCATGGCAATGTAGAGGATGATCATCGGGACCATCACGTATCTTGCCCAATTCCATATTACAAAACATCGGTAAAGCTAAAGTATTCCAAGAATCAGGCCTCCACCTGTCCAAGAAGACGAACAATTGAGCTCACAAGTAGGGCTTGCATAAACCACTCCATGACTAAGTAACTGGATGAAACTGTCAACACAGTTTGCACATGGGTGGGAAAAGGAACTTTACCAGGAAATCGCCACGACGTTGATAGAATAATTCATCTCATCCTCAATCAGTGCGGATGGACCACCAGGCGCATCCCGAAGGTCTATCCAGATCATCTGCGTGTATTTTGCGTTCCCAGCGAAACCTATCGTCCCCAATACAAACGTTATAAATATGTAGGCAAGGAGAGTCAAGCGACTGTCTGCAATCTTCCCCCCATGTCGAGGCCGTTGCATGAGAGCGATCGCAGCTTGCACCGTAAGGATGAAGAATCCGCCTGTTGCGGTACAAGAGTCATTTTCCAAATTTCCATACTATGTAGACTAAAAACGCACCGTAGGATACTGCTCCTAACATCATTCCATCGAGACGAGATCGCTCAAGCCACAGATTTGTCGATGCGGTGTCGGATGACATGACACAAATTTTGATCGCGGACAAGTTAAAAGGAGGACTCAGACAACCAGACCGAGTGCTAGATACGTCCTATCCAATGGTGAAGATAGCCAAGACAGTCAGGGACGAGTGGGGAAGAACTTCCTAAGAAGCCGTGGTTATAAAGAGACTTGAGACAGATTCAGAATAGAATGAACGAACATTTCCGCTTGAGAGTCGAGACCCGACAAGTATCGACACTCTGAGTAGAACATTCCCAACGTGATGAGTGTCGCTCTCATCCCTGGAATGTTTTGCGACAGCGTGTTGGTCAGGTATCAAGAACTTACTTATGTTGAGCATATCCTATGATAGCGGTGCGAGATTCAGAGTGGGGTGGCTTCGCTGGGCATAACGGCGTCCACTACCGGACCGGTCGACCTCGCACTGGTGCCATTGGTACGGTAGCAGTACCACATGCCAATGACGAGACGGCTTACGATGATTGGTCAAATCATACTACAGTGCGAAATGAGTGTGTTATCATCACAACACTTTCACTGTGAAAATTAGTACATATGTAGTAGGAGCGACAGTGAAGAAAAAACAAGGTGTAGGGGACGAATAACAGAGAGGAAATCATTTTCGGCTCCGGTACCTTTAATTGAGGGCACAAAGTAGAACCGTGTTCCCCACACACACGCGCACATGTTTACAACACGAACAGCGCGGTCGCATAGATACACGCGTCGTGTCTCTACAGGAGTCTTGTAGTATGCATAAAAGCCAAGTTCAAGTTCAACTCTAAGTGAACCTCGTATCATATTTATACTATCCGTCCTGTTAGCATCAACAGAGCTACATTGGTTCCCTCTGGTGCGAATGCAGTCCCCGAGAATGCTAGAAACGTAGACATAGCGTTGACAGTTCGTATGTAGCAATTGCCTGCCCCGTGCTACACGAATAATAATGAGCAATGCCAAACCAGAATCGCATGAGCAGACCGTGGGAACCTCGAAAAAGGGTGTAACTGACTGGATGTAGGTTTTTCCGTAGTTTTGCCTCCATCAAGTGCTTCGTTGTCTGTCCGATTAATGCCTTCCCAGAATGAAGAAAGGTTTGAATAAGTTTTTGGGAGATTTGGTTGAGCCTTATGTGCCATCTACAGGAGTGATGCAGCTGCTAGGTGCCTCGCACCTGTATGACCCTCCATTGTCGCACGAGGTCATACTCTAATTGGTCTCAAGTCTGCAGATAATCACTCAGGAACCGGTCCTCGAAATATGGACTGGGGGACCTTGAACGATCAAGCAAAAAACCTCATGAGCAACTACAAACAGACACATCGGGGTGAAGACATAGAAGAGGCCATCCGAATCCTTTCAGCATGGTACAGTGGCTTGCCCTCTGGCAGTGAAAATCGCGCTGCTTGCGCCAACAGCCTTGGTTTCGCGTTCTATATGCGTCTCCAGCATTTGAATAGTATTGATGACCTCGATCAAGCTGTACATTACTGGGGTATAGTTCTAGAATCATCCACTTCTGGATCACCACATTACGTCCCTTTGGTGGTTAACTTGGGAGGGATGCTTCGTAGGAGGTTCGAGTGTCATGGAAAATTCGAGGACATCGAACAAGCCATTATGATGTATAGCACCGCCACCTCCATCTGTCCTCCAGATAGCCCATATCGTCACAACCTCCTCAACAATTATGCTCTCGCAGTTTTTAGTCGGTTTGAGCAGACCGGAGACCCACAAGACCTGGATCTCTCGATTCAAACCCACCAAGAATGTCTGTCACTGCGACCACCTGGCCACTCAAGCCATTGTTCGACTTTGTCGAACCTTGCCGTCGCAATCTGTGCTCGCTATCGCCATAGAGGAAACGTGGATGATTTTACCAGTGCAATGGCCTACCACAGCCGAGCGTTGGAACTTTGTTCACCCGAAAGTCCATCTTACCCAACAATTCTCATGAATATGGGACTCTTGTTGCGTTATTCATTCCAGCGCAACGGGGACCTGCAGAACTTGAATACAGCAATAAATTTTTATCGCGTTGCACTGACGACTTGTCCTGATAATCACCCGATACGATTTTCCCTCCTCACCAACTACGCGGGTGATCTCAATCTCAGATTTACGCAGAATGAAGATATCAATGACCTCGAATATTCAATCGAGCTCTATACCAACTCCTTAGCCAATCAGTCCTCCGCACATGCACATCGCTTCTCCTCCCTCCATGGTCTCGCGATCGCTCTAATGAGTCGCTTCAAGGTTTATGGCGTTCCCGAGGATCTTGATCTCGCTATAACACACACAGCATCTTCCATGGCTTTGTGCGGACCTTCGCACCCAGAACATATTCCTGTACTTATGGTCTGGATCAATTGCCTCATCATGCGCTACAAAACGCGTGGGGATATTGCTGATCTCGATGATGCTGTTGAGCACTCTGAGGCAGCCATATGTGTCTGCCCAAGGGAGAGTGCCGACTACTTTATCCTGTTGACTCACGTTAACAATGCCCTGTCTACACGATTTTCTCGGCGACAGGACGTTCGAGATCTGAAGAAGATAATTGACTATTGCGACATAGCACTCAGAGATGTCCCAGGTCGCCACATCTCCAATCAGGTCCTTGCTATGGATCGTGCAGATGCTCTCCTACAGCGATATTTCCATGAAGGGGGCGTGGACACCCTAGAGCACGTCATTTCATTTTATCGGGACATAATGCAAGATTTATCCAGAGGTCATCAAGCCTTTCCCCGTGTCCTTATTCAACTAGCATCTGCACTCCAAGCTCGCTTTGAGCAGGGAGGGAACGCAGATGATCTTAATTGCGCAGTCAATCACTATCGCACGGCATGTGAGGTGTGCCCTCCTGGTCAGGATGACCACTATGCTGCCTTCTCGGGTCTCGGAAATACTCTCTTGCTGCGATATCAAATCTTCGGTCCCCTAGATGACCTCGATGAATGTTTAGTTCACCTGGCTCACGTTGTCGAAACCCATGCTTTGGCTACCTACCATCCAGACTATCCCAAAGGTCTTGCCAATTTTGCAAATGCCATCTTCGCCCGCTTTCAAAACCAACATGATATCACTGATCTGGACGTCGCTGTGAATTATCTGCAGGTGGCTCGGGATCATCCCAACCAATCAGAGGGACGACACATTTTGACTTTCCTCGCCACTGTACTTTCTGTTCGTTACAATGAACGCGAAGACATCGATGATTTGCACGAAAGTATAAAGGCGTTTGAGACAGCGCTTCCCATGTTTGCCTCCAATCACCCCCAGGCCCTTCATCTCCGCCAAAACCTTGCCCGCTCTTTGCAGAAGATGTATATAAAACGACAGACGATCGATGATTTGAATGCTGCGATTGCCCATTTTGAGGCATGTTTGACGATGTCGCCAGAAGGTCACCCTGACCTGCCGTTTGCGCTGAGTTCCCTAGCATGGTGTAGGCATATGCGGGCAAAAGCGGGCAAAGATGATGATGGCTTTCGGAATGCTCTCTTACTTCTTTCCAAGGCCGGTGAGAAGCTGCCCGAAGCGCATCCATCGGTTTTCCCCATTTACCAGCTGTACACGACCATTTTCAAAGATTACTACACCCTAAACAAGGACGCTTCATTTCTGGAGAAGATATTTCAGTATCACCAACTGGCCTCTAGCGCACCTGGAATCCACACATGGGATCAACTTACTGCGGCTTTGCGTTGGAGAACGGACGCCAATGAATTTCATCATATGTCGGCTCTGGAAGCATACAAAACTTCTATAAAGTTGCTTGATCGCCATATTATGGCTACTCCTACGGTTTCTGGGCGTTATAAAGCTTTGCTCAGAGGCATAATGCGTGACACGCCCTCACTCGCTGCAGATGCTACCGCCTGCGCAATCAGCGCAGGCGATCTCGAGCTAGCAGTCGAACTCTCAGAACAAGGCAGAGGCCTTCTTTGGTCCCAGATGTCTCGCTTTCGAGCAACCATTAATGATTTGCGAGTCGTTGATGACGAAGGGCGTCGACTTGCAGATGAATTCGAGTTGCTCAGTGCTGAGCTTGGGAGAAGGCAGTCTGACTCATCAGCTATCAGGACTGTCACTGAAACACTCAGACGAACACAGCAGGAGGAAGAGGCACGTCAGTATCGTCAGATCTCTTCGCAATGGGAAGCTGTAGTGAGCAAGATACGGCAAAAACAGGGATTTGCGTATTTTTTGACCCCGATGCCCTTCAAAGAGCTAAGGGCAGCTGCGGTTGCCGGCCCCATCGTCATCATCAATGCAAGCATAAAGCGATGCGATGCGATCATCATTACCAAAAATGGGCCTCCTCGACTCATTCCACTCCCTGATGCTTCGCTCGGGGGCATTGCTACCCTGTCTGGTGACTTTCGCAATGTCCTGCGGAATACTGCAGGAGTTGGAGAAGAGAACATGAGAGAAAAGCAACTTATACCTGTCTTTCGCAGGCTCTGGGATGCTGTATTGGCTCCTGTTGTTGAGGCACTTTTGACCATCGTGCCGAAAGGGTCTCGTGTTTGGTGGTGCCCAACTTCAAAACTCACTTCGCTGCCCATTCATGCTGCCGGACCATACCGCAAGGGAGCCAGCAACATGCCTAACATTTACGTTTCATCTTACACACCAACTCTTTCTGCTTTGATACGCTCAAGGCGGCAGAATGCATCTAAGGTGGCGTCGAATACTCCGTCCTTCGTTTCCATAGGTCAATCAAAACCGAATTCCGGGAGTGGAGAAAAGGAGTTGAAGGCCGTAGGAGCAGAGCTCGAGCTTGTCAAATCCCTTGTACCAGCATCAATGACATGCTCAGAGGTCTCCGGGGATGAAGGAACCGTCAGCGGGGCAATCCAAGCCTTGAAAACTAATTCATGGGTCCACCTCGCGTGCCACGGCAAGCAAGATTTTCTTCAGCCATTCGATTCGTCCTTTGCTCTCCGCGACAAGCCATTGCGGCTTTCAGACATCATACAAGCCGAGCCAGAAAACCCGGAGTTTGCTTTTCTGTCTGCTTGTCATACCGCGGTTGGAGACAAGAACGCACCTGATGAAGTCATCCATCTCGCTGCAGGGATGCAATTTTCTGGTTTCAGAGGTGTCATCGGTACAATGTGGGCGGTGGATGACAATACTGCTCGCCATATGGTGAAAGAATTCTATGGCGCAATGTTTAGCGGTAAAATCGATTGCACGAACGCAGCTAGGGCTCTGAATAAGGCTTCCAAAGCCGTTGACAAGGATAAAGTACCGATGGACCAGAGAGTCGTATTCATTCACATTGGAGCATAGCCTTCAACCGTGCAGTAGCATTAGCACTTCTGTATCTTGTATATTTTTGTGGTTCTGGCACATACGGATTCATGGTGATCGAGAGAACCGATGAGTCCTTGACATGGTGTCATGGAGTCTATCAGGGTGCGTGATCATGACACTGCTCTTCAAGACTTAGACGATACAGCTTCAACTCCGTCCACAGTACGAATCTGTTATCTGCGATGGTGAGGTGAGGTGTCGAATGAAAGCTGAGAACGGTCAAGATACTCCAATTGAGGCAGATTACTGTGCGACTCCTGTACAAAAGCCGCCACGAAGTATTACATTTGCCTTACAGAGAACTGCTCCTAACCAGGCTTGTCAATCCCTGCATGTCCTGAGCTTTCCTGGGCACAAATCGACATGGGAAGGGCAGGGGGTGTCTACTGTGTCTTCAGCTCAGCACATCAAATGTCCAGTGACACTTACGAAGCTAGGCCTGTCTTGCCGGTCAAGTAATTCATCTGCGACTTCCTCAGAATTCAAAACAATAATCTCCATGTTCAGGGCGCGAGTATATATGATATCACCTACAGCAGAGACTGTCAGGAAACTTATGCCAACCGAAAGAAGTGAAAATACTCACCATAAGTTTTCTGCATCGTAGCGTAAGGTGCATCAGCCTTGATATCGAATACATCTCCGAGAAAAGGGATCGGAGTAGGACCAGGAGGGAGGTGCTTCCTGTGGGGTGACGCCGTTCGTCTGGAGAGTGCAAGCAACGCCAGAAAGCAGATTGCCAGCGCACTGATACAGCACTCTATCAAGAGAGCCATGGTGAACTTGAGTATGCTTCACGATAAGCCATGGAAGTCCCGCGAGTTGTGTTGTGTGGAAAAAGGTTCGATCTGCGCTATAGGCTATAACTAGTAGCTAGTAAGCGTGACAGGCTGATAAAAATAAAAAGGTTATAAAAGGTTATATATACCTCAGGCACCTGCATGTACCTTCCGCTTCATGTGACAGATAAGCATCCGTTGAGGCCGAGGTGCCAAGCCAACAACCCGGCGCTGTTCTAGCTGAATCTTTCCTACTAGATTCTCTTCAGGTCTTTCACCGCTCAGCCCTTATACACTAGTACTTCTACTAGTTCTTCACGGCTTCCTCGTTTTAGAACTGAAACTGCATTGAGGTTTGTTTCCGATCCGACCACGACCGTATACTGCACGAGGACACTGCCAGTGATGGCGCCATAATGGTAGTCAATGACTACTACAATTCGCCGGGCGTCGACTCTTGTGGATTTATAATGATGATACAGTCCTGCCAGTGAGTACCAGTCTTATCAGCCCACGTCAGTAGTCTCATGACCATCATCGACAATGTCCTGGACTCTGAAGTCCTCGCTCAAAACGAGGATGCGCAAGATGAAGGAAACACTCTGTCAGCAGCGGGAGCGCCAATAGAGAAGGTAACAACCAATCACTTGTATCCGATAAATACTCACCTGGTCTGCAGAGCAATCCCTTGGGTTACAAGGTTACATTACTGTCTTCTGTTATGCTCAATATCGGGCAAATACTCGGTGCAGGAATATACTCTGTTCCAGGCGTCATAATGAATTCCGTTGGCTCGGTCGGCCTACTTTTCGTCTTCTGGCTATTGGCTCCATTATTTGCACTCGGAGGTCTTATGATCTATGGTGAATTCGCAAGTATGTTCCCAAAGAGATCTGGGGCAGAAGTTGTGTACTTGGAGCAGGCGTATCCTCGTCCACAGTTTTTGGTCCCAGTCATGTTTGCTGTAACTTCAGTCCTTCTTTCGTGCGTGCTACTACGGTTTCCATGTTGAACGAGATGTTCACGGAATTTTTTCTACGCTGACCAGTTTTAGCGCAACAAATTCTATTGTGTTTGCGCAGTACGCACTTACAGCTTTCGATGTCCCCATCACTCCCGGAAGACAATCCATTATTGCTATAGCTGTCTGTGCTGTTGGTATGGCTCGTGAGCTTCTTAAGTTTCTTGCGCCAACGTACAATCTGGAACTTAACCACGCAGTCGTCGCCTTATCAACGAAATGGTCTTTAAGAGCCGTGAACATTCTTACTGGGTTGAAGGTTCTTTCTCTTGTCTTGTGAGCGCATCGTTCACCATCTTTCATCTACTGACACATATTGTGCTTTCAGCTTGGTCTTTACGGGCGCCCTCGTACTTGGCGGTTTCACTCGCATCAGCGATCCGTATGCCAATTTCCGGTCCCCCTTCAGTGGGAGCACGACCAATCCAAATTCCTTGGCTACTGCCCTAGTCAAGACTAATTTTGCATTCGCTGGTTGGCACAACGCGTTTAATGTCATTGGGGAAGTCCATACGCGTGATCCTGTCCGCACAGTGCGCAAAGCCGGTTTACTCTCCCTGCTTTTAGTCACCTGTCTTTTTTTCTTCGTCAACGTCGCTTACGTGGCAGCAGTGCCAAAGGACGAGATAAAAAATTCTGGGCAACTCATCGCGGCTTTATTTTTCCAACGTGTATACGGAGAGAGCTTCGCGGCCCAAACCATGCCGATTATGGTTGCTTTAAGTTGCTTCGGCAACATCGTGTGTGACCTTTGTATTTTGCATGCCCGACTTACTCACAAAATACATTTCTAGATCGCTGTGGTGAGCAAAGCATTTGGAAACTACCTTTCATGATGTGAAAACTTATACTCTGCCAGACTATTGGTCAGGCACGCGTATTGCGTGAGATTGCCCGCCAGGGGCTGCTTCCGTATCCAAGATTTTTTGCATCGACCAAGCCATTCGGCACGCCGTTGGGACCCGTGTGTCTGAAGTACTTTCTCACAGTCTTCGTGATAGTCGCCCTCCCAGCTCGAGATGCATTCAACTTCTTGTTGGATTTGTCTTCTTATCCGAATTTAGTAGGTATTTTATTCCACCGCGGCGTATTATGTGATCAACAAGTCACAGGTGTTCCATGTTGCAACTGCTATAGGATTGTGGCTTCTTCGAAGGAGGCGAGCGCTTGCTGGCCTTGTACCTTCGAAGTATCGTGCGAGGAATATTTACGTTTCCCTTTACCTCCTCAGCGCAGTATTTCTTCTCATAATGCCCTGGTATTGTCCTACCGAATCAACGCCTTGAACTAGCACTGATTTTTTCGACAAGGATACCACCGGAACCTGGTCATAGCGACGTGTCTTTCTGGTACGCAACGTGAGTCTAATGCTGTCGCATTTTAGGTCCACATCTGACTATGTCCATCATTCAGTTACTGTGTGGTGGGTCTGTGTGTTCTTGCGGTATGTACATCGCTTACAACGTGACTCCATATAAATCTGACCCTTTATAGGTGTGCGGAATCTATTACTGGCTGTGGATTATCGTCTTGCCATGGCTAGGGGGATATACCATCGTAGAGGAGGTGGAACGGTTGGAGGACGGCGCGTTGACTACACGGTTGACACGCAAATATCATCCTTCAGTTGCAAACGTTGATAATGGAGAGCAACAACCGCTCATTTTCAGTACTTGATGGGCTGAAATAATTGTAGTAATACCCTATAATCTGATGCTAAAACTCATGAATTCTTATATCAGTGGCTGATATCGAAAGTCTTCTTGATCAACCAAGCGGTCTTTGATTATTTGCTCTGGTGGATCCTGTGAAAACAACAGGATCTCGTCGGATGTTGTAACTTCTTGACCTGCTGCGCACTCGGACGCTATTTAGTGGCCGGATGCATCAGTTGCTGATGAACATTTCCTCTGGTGGCACTAGGAGCAGTGCGGTGTTTGCATCTGATGCGCCTTCTTGCTGTCATCTGGAGTCTTCAATGGTAAAACGGAGACGTACTATAATCAACGGGGACAATTTAGCTCTTGATATATCAAACACTTGCTTCAGAAGAACACCGTTACCAATCCAGAGGCCCGCAGTGACAGCGCAGTCCATCATGATGTTTCAACAGCCCCAGACTTCGTTCTCCGATTCAATGTTCAACCTGTACTCACTCAGATCACACTCATCATATGTATGGACAAGATGTCGGATGCAAATTCTGTATCTAGATCTATCGTTGCAACTGCCCCAATGCTACAAGTTTCTTTTTCCCAGTCACGGTCAATCGCTATTAACCCACGTTAAGCCTGAGCAAATAGTGAGTCAGTACATCCGATTCAATCGCAAACTTATTAGCTTAAAAAACTCATCAAGGCGGCTAATTGGAGAATAAGGGCACTGGTGACACCAATGGCCGTGTGAAACATCTCCTACGCATAGATCTCTACATACGAGTACGATGATCAAACACAGGACAAGAGGTAGAACAATGAAATCAATATTATCGCCGAAAACCAAGGATGATCCCCATAGAGTGGCAACAAGATAAGCCTGCATACAGAACACGCAGTACAGAAAAATAGGTTGTATACACTCAACCAGTAGCCAGCCTAACTGTGTACTTCTCCCAACTTGGAAAGATGAACGACTCTGTCCTTGTTTTGAGATCCTTCGACTTCAGTTCTGTCGAGGCCTTCCCAGCAGCCATCAGCGGAACTTCATAGGACACTGGGATCGAGGAAACTTTAATTTTCCTATCATCATTGCTGGACCGAGGAAACGGTAATTGTTTCGGTTGCTTCAGTTTGGGTAAATGCAGGTGGTCATATAGTGAACCAGCATTTCGAGGGGCTGGTGAAGTACTGGAGGAGGACGTTGCGAGAGATGAAGATGAAGGAGCTAAACGTGATGAATCATCGGGCGGAAGAATGGATATCAGTTCATCCAACGCTTCACTGTTTGAAGGCTGTATTTTCAGTGCCGCACGTAAATCTAACAGCAGCTTAGTACATCGGAAAGGTGATTCAAAAACACACCCACCCTGCACAGCGTCATCTAGCTTACCCAACATTCGACGCGCTTTCGAGCGTCTATAATAACCTTTTATGCTTCGATGTTGTCCCAAGGCTTTTGTACATGCTTCTTCGGCTTCAAGCCAGCTATGAATTGTCTGAGAATTAGGCACACATCTGAAGGACTGCGACATACTCGCTGAGCTTTAGGTGGGCCGCAGCAAGGTTGAGTTGATAATGAGGCAGTTCTGGTTCAATTGAATGGGCTGCCTTGTAATGTTTTACGGCGCGTTGATACTCGCCTCGCCGGAACGCGGCGTTACCCTACAACCATGCAGATGAGTTTTATTATGCTGTGTTTTTTCGGAACAATACCCACGAATTCCTTCTCTCTTTCTGCCTTGATGAACCTGATTTCCATCATTTGAGCAATGGTCATTTCGGACCCAAAGCCATCCCCTTCTTCAGAATCGCTCCCGCCAAAATCAAGATCGATATCCCATATATCCTCTTCTTCTTCAGTCTCCCAACCCAACACGCCGCTTCCTATAGGCCATGTCACACATTTATAATTACATCGCTTAAATGACATACCTCGCCCATCCCATTCTCTTTGCTTACCGGATCTAACACCACTCCCTTCCTCATCTTCCCGTACCGTCTTTTCACAGACCTCGCCCAGGTGATCCGTAGAACATCCACAATCGCACCACTTCGTTGTAAGCTTCTCCCGAAGCACACAGCCGTATCCACTGACATCAAACTCCCGAGTCACTCGCCAGAGAGTTTGAGCAAGCCTTTCATATCCCGTGCGTACTTTCATGCGCCACTGATGGTCCCATCCAGGAGGAGGGGTGGACCTTAACGGGGATTTTTCCCCGTACTTCAACTCGCACGCCTCTTCCAAGGCCTCCAAGCCTTCTGTAAGGGCGCCGAGATGCGGTGGTTTAGTAAATGCCGCGTGCGGCATCGCCTCCAGGGAGTCCATGTGCACCTTTAGCGAGTCGTAGTGAGGAAGTAGTCGAAGAGAGTGTAGACCGCGCTTCCGGCATACAGGAACATTGTTAGAAAGCGCCTAAGACAGTTGATAATCAGCTTTCGCTAATACATGGAATGAGATCGAAACCGCACAAATTCTCTCAAAGCCGTATAAGACCACAAACGCTCTTCGTCGAAACTCGTTCTCCAGCCTGTCTCAAGTCCATACTAACGACGGAACGGAAGAAGTCCTTAATTTCCTCACTATCCGCATTATAGGCGACCCAGCTGGGCCCGCCGACAGTGATACAACGCATCATGAACGTGGGTAAGTGAATAAGAGCGACACAGAATATGTGTGTTGAAACAGGCGCGCGATATCTTGCTCGAAGCGGATCAGGAAGATCTTCGCGATGGCACGCTCCAGCTGCGAGACTGCTGACATGGCATTTGTAATCGTCTTGTCAAGGTGATTGGGTAGCTTTTGGTGGCGATTATTGTCTTTCCCGGACTGAATCGTGGCAGCGGCCTTTTTCTTGGGGTTTGTCGACCTCTTCTTCACGTGTGAGTACTTGGCAGGCATGACGAACAGCTCACTCTGTGAGAGTGAAATGGAATATATGCCAGTTGGAACTAGAGGGTGATTATTGTGCTCCTGTCGTGTGAGTACAGGATAATAGCCGCCTGATTTGAATCTTCGATGCTAAAGCAGCAGATAAGTCCTGCTTTAATGCGCGGGTTTAAAGTATCCTGATGGTAGAGAAACAAGCCATTGTCAGTAAACTTGAAGACATTTCACGGTATATCAACATGCAGATATCTCACCGCTGGGGACGAATGAAAGCGACCAGTAACTTATTAGCAGCGTCACTGAGCACGGGACAGAGCAACTACTCTAATATTACATAATATTGCTTATTTTGGATGCTGTTCTCCTAACCCTCGGCGACTCGTGTCAGAATCATAGAGAATGTATTAAATTAAGTAGAACTAATGTTGCCAACTAAAAAGTTACAAAGAACGATGTGTGTGAAGTACGAGGCAAGTAATACAAGTCTAGGCAATAAGAATACAAGGTGAATTACATACAGTACAGTAGGATCACATAAAGCGGCAACGATTAATCCCGGTAGTCAATTGCACAGCAGGCTCGTTCTGGAGCCAATCAACGTGGAACTGGCGCCAATCCGGCACACCGTCAAGATTTACTTCTGTAACATCAGCATTCTCTCCATCGTCCTGGGCCTCCAATTCTGGACTTGATTCTTCCAGCATCCACGCAGGGTCGATACGTTCCCTGCGCTCGCGCCGGTAGTGCCCAGAAAATCTACAAGAAGGCATAGGCATAGTTTGGGTAGAGAGCGGAAGCTCGCGACGGAGTGGTCTATAGAAGGTATCTAGATCATTTGACAAAGAGAGAAAAGACTCTTCTTTGGGTGGAAGAGGCGATGGGTCCCCCTAGGTTCACATAAAACGATTTTGATTGAGGCGATGAAGAAAACGGATCTCCCAAGTCCATGATGGGCAAAGGTAGACCATCAGCTCCATCTTGGCTGTGTGATTAACATCAGTGCCCAAATCAGTGGTATTTGCAGAAAGTGTGCGCACATCGACTTCTGACGACCATGGATGTTATCAAAGAAGCTCCCTCCCTTTCCCCAGGGTTCACATAGCTCATTGGTGGAGCATACGAACATAGACGAAGGTCGTGGACGCACACCTTTTCTGCGCAAGGTGGAGACAGACTAGATTTGGATGTGGAGGACTCTTAGTTGAGGTACCTCGTTTGAGCAGACAAGATGACAAAGAGAGAGAATATCTCCGCTTTGTCTTTTCCGGTGAAGAAATCGGGGCTGTAGACTGAGCTCGGGTGCGTGTGCCTATGAGGGAACGGAGGGAGATAGCTCGCAGTCCTGAGTGAAACAGGCTGGAGTATTCCACGCCCGATGCCCAGTCTTTAGCCTTCAACCAAGACATCAATATTCAAGCCCGTCACGACAGCCGAATATGAGAGAGGGTTAAGGTCCAAGCAGATCAAGAAACGGCAGGATATATGTACCCATAGTTGAAGCTCAGTCAATCGTCCCGATGAACCTCGCGTGAACATTATTAGAAACGAAATAGCATCAGCTGATGAGTGCCAAGTATAGTCTGCTCCATCCTGTGCTTGGAAATTATAGATGGAACTCGTACTGCCTGAGCCGGCGCAAATCAGCCTGGGGTTATTCGTGTGAACATCAGATAAACGCCTCGAAGTAGGTGACACAGGTGAGATCTGGTAGGAAGATATGGGAGGAAAATCTGCAAACAGAAGTCATGAGAACGCTGGGTTGGTGGCATCTGCAACCCAGTGTGTAATACCAGAAGTAGTCACAAAGTAGAACTTGATGATGTTTCATCATTCTCGGAAGAGAACATTAGCTGGCTAATATAAGCTTCAGGCTCAGCCACTAGTTGCAATCGTAGCATGAACTGTTGTACCACTTGGGTCATAAAGGGTCCGGGACAGAACAACGCGGTTGTCAACTGTTATCAATAATCATTTTAAAATTGGTCTGTGGTGTAAGTGCCTTCAGGTGTGCATGTGATGTCTCGGATGCGAAGATCAAAATCAACACTGCGTTAGCCACACTTGGTGGGCGATGCCCTTTATATAGCACAGCAACGGTTCGGAGGACACAGTATAATGATAGTTCCTTCGGGCACATGATGAAACAACCGAGTCATCCGATATCAAGAACGCCACTCTTGATGATGATTGAATGGTATCTTAAAATTAAGGAATTGGGAATTAGAAGTAATCTGCTTGTTTCATGCGAAAGAATGTAACCACGGACCACAGCTTGCAAAATTCGGGGGTGGATGAGTCAGGCCCGAGGTGGTGCTGTGATGCAAAATGATTCATCATAAGTATTCTGCCTAAACGGAATGAGCAGAATTTCTCGTACACAAGCAGAACTATAGTTTGCGATTAGCTTCCTGCGATTGGAGCTGAGACTGTGCAAGCATATCCTTCTGTTTCTCAGCGAGAACCCTCCTTTTGTTGAAATAATCAATCTGATGCTTAGCGGTCAGATCAACTAGATGCGAACAGTTGGATCATCATACTCACCCAGCTTTTGGCACAGCTCTTTTCGTACTGAAACTTTGATTTGGTGCATGCTGTCCCTTCTTCTCCAGCAGTTAGAACACCAGCGCTATCCAGGCATTCAAAGTATTGGTCACGACTTTCCCAGCATTTCTGGCGGTCCTGCCTTGTTGCAGCTGAAGATTGTTCAGAGCCTGAACGACTAAACCAGCTCATCGACGAAATTATGTTACTTTAAGACTTAATTCGACGAGGAGTCTGTGAGTCACATAAGTTTGTCCCACGGTCCAACACACTCTCCTTCTCTTGATCTTGAGTCATTTCTTTAGCAAAGGCTAGCCAGCCTGGAATAATGCCAAGTTTCAATTGGAATCTAAGCGAATGAATCCACAGGTCCCGCCCATCAGTACTCCTGTGCATTTGCACCCTCTCTCCCCGAACGAAATTTCGTCACGAGGGCGCAGAACGCGTGGAGCTCAGGACGTAGATGAAACGCGGTCCCCTAACAATTATCTTACTCTAAAAACTCAGTCAGAGACACTAGCAGAACCAGAAACCAAGGGCGCCAATATCCGAACAAATTGGGACGGCAGCGTTCGCGGATTTGGCAAGCCTGATGCGGCAAGCGGGCCCAGCGGAGAACTAGTGACAGGTCGTGGAATGTCTTCCAACTCGCTTTCGGCACTTTGGGATAGACCAGTGCACCAAGTGCCACGATTTATCATTGGACCTACTGTTGATAACAATTTCCTTGTTCCTCCAGGCTCCCTCCCTCCGAGGACTGCTCTTTCAGATGGCACCCCCGAGGTATCCCTGTCAGTGACTGCACAAGTACTTGCCAACAAGTGGCACGAGTACTCAGACGAGGCCATCCAGGCTGCAATATCCAGATTTACTGTTGCAGAGTCCCCGTCAGATGTTGACACTCATCCATACCATACTGCACTTCGTGTGCTTTCATCCACTCTCCACAGTTTGTCAAGGGCTAGAATAGAGCTCGAAGAACATAGGAAATTGTTGGAAGAGAAGGAGGCAGCGCGCAAAGAGCGTGCTGAAACTCTGTTATCGGAGCTGCTACCCTCTGAACGAGAGGTGGCAAAGCGGGTCATACAATCAATCTTCCCTGGCGATGCCGAGACGCGCCATCGAGTTCAACGTCATGGAAGCCTTTCTGTGCGTCGGTCTACTTTGATTGCACCCTATTCGCTCTGATACGTTACACAGTCACTCAAGACATCGTTGACGGAAGCTATCGAGGATGACACTTTACTTTCACGCAGCGTTCCGGATGATACTATGACTCCTTTAGCATCGACTTACATCGTCACATCTGCACAATCGCCCCAAACCAGTGAAGTGCCATACGTTGAACCGGGGGCAACCGTCGATAGGATAGGGTCCACGGCAGCTGATAAATCTGTGGCTATATCAGCCCCCGAAGCCACTGTACGACCCGTTGCCACGGTTGCCGAGGTTGTCACAGAACATGTGGCTCCTATTCATCATGCCAGGAATGATAGAGCGTCTTGGATTGGTACCTGGTGGCAGAAGGGGAAACACAAACACCATCGGGTGCTGACCACGACTTCGGTAAAGGAAACTCCTGAAGTTCTTGCAAAGCAACCATCTCTATATTCATCCCCACATTCTGAATCCCTTTCCTCCGTTACTCCGACTATCCCAAACAGTTTTTCACGCAAGAAAACTAGCAGAAGTGTGTTTGAGAGTTTGGGTATTTCGATACTCAACCCTCCCGCATCATCCTCTTCTACCACGAGACTACCATCGACTTCGAAACCTGTAGCAGAGCCATCATATAAAGCCCGCATAGATGACACAAAGTCTTCTGTGAGCTCTTCCCCTGCGTTGAGTACATTTTCTGCTCCTGCACCTGTTACGCCACATTTAGCAGCTGTCGGAGTCTCGTATCCAAGATCAGGGAGTTCTACTACCTCTCCCTCCTTGACCGAAGAAAAGCCGCCGCAGGGCGCATCACTCCGCGCCATTGCCCATGCTATTCGAGTTATGACCTCGGATCCAGGTAGCATTCTGACTGATCACGGCCGAGAGACAAGCCCTCTGATTGCTCAATTGGCCCTTGAACTTGTTAAGCGTGCACGAGACGAGCATGTATCATTCCGCGAACCCCAGAAGCTTCGAGAGAAGAGAGAGCATAGGTCAGGTAAGGCTGAGATAGGAGACCAAATAACCGCGCACGCAACCCTCAGTCCTATCGAGGGCCCAGATGCAAGCACGGCTCTGAACCGCACGTTGACTGCGCAAGGTAAAGCCGTGCGTACAACTAGGTCACGGGGAGCAAATATAATTTCGCCTTTCACGTCACCTCTGTTCGGTTCCTTCATGCCACATCATAAGAAATCCTTACCTGCTATGGAAGCAAGCGCGAAAACATTAAGCGAGGGCACGATGTCTACTGCACGACCGAGTAATATTCCAGTGCAGCAACAACACTCGGCGAACAAACCCGGTTCAGTCGCCTTAGAGTCCATTATACCTGCGACTGCGAAGCCTCCAACTCATTACCTTTCGCGCACGTACACCCCTCTCACTGCTCCGCACTTCAACTTCACCATTCCTATTCCTCTTCCCACCAGTGCGTCTCGGTTCACAGTTTACCGCGATGACGAAAGCAAACAGCCTCTTACGGATCGTTATGGCTTCATTTACGACGTGTCACAGTACGATGTCTTGCTACTCATTCGGGCAAAGGAATGTGGCAACACCGCGCCTGCCTGCCTGACTGGCGTCAAAATCGCTGACCGCAAGGAAAGTAACTCTTGGTCAGACGACGACGACGACCAGAAGAATGTGATTGAGATCGTGAAGGATTCGTGCATTTGCGACGGAGAAGGCAATCCGATGTCACCGGTTTTATCTGGTCCTGCTAATAGCAAGGCAGGAGCAGCATCAACCCCTCCAGAAAGTGGCAGTCCTTCGCGCCGTTCCCGCGCTGCTTCATTATCATCTTCCCGGCCCCGCTCCGCCACTGTCACGTCGATAGCCACACCTCTTGCTGTACCCACGCTTCACTCTAGCACTGCGATTCTGACTGTGACCCAGTCCACACCTCGCCATGTTTGCGCTAATGTTATCCGACATCTTCTCGATGACATGACTACGAATCACGATCAGAATCAGAACGCCAAGAGGAAAGAGTGGGATGTATTTGTGAAGCAACGTAGCAAAGTCAAATTGCCCAAGAATATCCTGCCTACGGTTACGAACTCTGGCGGCGGTGCTGCTGCTCTTCTTGGCTTGGGTACTTCAGTCGAGGAAGAAGAATTATCCCATTCGGAGGGCCTCATTGGTTTCGCTCAACTGGGCCTGTCGTCGAATACGCATGAGAGGAAAGAATTTGATCGGTTGGTGCGAGGAGGTATACCCCTAGTGTACCGCTCCAAGCTCTGGCTGGAATGCAGCGGAGGCTTGGATATGCGGGAACCTGGAATTTTTGGCGACTTGCTGGCTCATGTCGACGAGCACAACTTGGTTTGCGTGGAAATTGAGAAGGATGTTGGTAGGACTATGCCACTCAACGTCTTTTTTGGAGGTGACGGCGCAGGAGTTGACAAGCTTCGTCGCGTGCTCAGAGCATATAGTCAGTGAGTGTCACACAATCGTGTCAATCTGGTACGTCTGTTAACACGACGCCCTCAGCCGCAACCCTGCTGTGGGGTATTGCCAGGGCATGAACCTCGTAACTTCGACTTTGTTGCTAGTACATGCCGATGAAGAAGAGGCGTTTTGGGTGCTCTCAGCAATCATCGAACGGATACTTCCGGATGACTTTTTTTCGCCTTCGCTTTTACCATCTCGTGCATGTCCCCTCGTTCTCCTTGAATACGTGCAGGAGACCATGCCTAGGCTTTACACACATTTGACCGCCCTTGGCGTCGACCTTCCAGCCATCTGCTTCTCTTGGTTTTTGTCGCTCTTCACAGATTGCCTTCCAATAGAGGTAAGTAGCATATATGCGTTCGCGCTATGTTATCTGACTCTTCAATAGACGCTTTTCAGAGTGTGGGATGTCTTTCTTGTTGATGGACTTGATGTTCTCTTCCGCGTCGCCTTAGGCATCCTTCGCAGCAACGAACAGGAGCTGATAGAATGTGAATCCAACTCCGCTGTTTATGTATCTTTAGAGAACCTGCCTACCAGGATGTGGCAATCCGATAAACTACTTCAGGCAAGTCCTCGGTTGCTCTTCACATCCCTACCCTGACCGATTGGGATTAGCTGGAGCTTGACCTTAGAAACACGATCTCGCACGCAGATCTTCTCAGGAGACGAGAAATACACGTTGTTGCACTCAAGCATCTTATGGCATAGCTATTGTTTCAATTGTTGTTGCTCAGCATATCATGTATCGCTTGAAATACAATTCAGATGGATGTAGCTGCTGGACTGAAGTGTATGATTAAGATTATGTAAACTCAAGGGGGCCAGCGAGAACACCCCTAAAAATACCCCTCTGGCGCAGAAAAGTCCAGTGTGCACTCTGCAAAAGAAATTTCACAATCTCTACCTGTGCTTCAGTTCAACCAATTATCATGTTACGACGTGTAGTGCAGTGGAAGTCCCTTCTGCATCTCATGAAGGGAAAGGGAAGCAGAGACTTGGAGAATGTGAGTAGTTTTTTGTTGAGCTAGCAAGTAATGCTGACTCCAATGAATCCAAGGATAATCTCAGCAGGGAGTCGAAACCTTTCAGCATATATTTTGGTCCAAAGGACTACTCTGCCAGACTTGCCAGTGATCAGATGCAACAGCTCTTAAGCTCTGCACAGGAGATCCTTCTCCACAGCAATAATGGCCTGAAACATTTAGCCACAATGACCTTTGGAGAATACAACCCAGCCACAGAAGATCTTGCAAATAGGATGAACCAAATCACGACATATTTGCAATCCTATCCTCCTGATGTCAGGTTAATATATGATATGCCCTCCTATGCAGAAACTCCAAACCCCATCACCATCCTTCTACATCTTCTTGGCAAGCATTGTCTATTGAGATGAGGCAAACCTTACCCCTTGAATTTTCATTAAATGCCAGCATCTACGAGTTGATTCAGAAGTCTACTACCAATGGAAGTCAGAGGTGAGTTCATCCTTCTGTAACATATAGTAAACTATCTGATCTTCTACTCGGATTGTCTGAACAGTCTCATCTGCCTGTTCTCAATGATCACTATCATTCATGAGCTTGCTCATATAGTGATGTATACCTTCGCCTCACAGGATATCTCTCCAAACATAGAGAGGGTGATGATTGGGGGGGAAGCATTACTGGCAACCTCATCTGGTTTCACCATCCAGACAGTTGACCCCTCCCACATTATCATAGTTGTGGCAACAGCCAGTGGAGACGATTGGAAAGTTCTTGATGGTGAGTATTTAAGTTTCTACCCTCAGTTTAATAGCATTGACAGCTTGAATCAATTTCGCTAGAAAATACTGCCAACCTGACAGACATTGCATCTGGTAACTGGAGTCACATCAGTGCCTTACCAATACAGCCTTTTCCATCTGGTTTCTCCCTTATGATATTTTCTGATGTGAAACCCCCTTCATCCTTAGTGCCATCATCATCTTCTTATGATGATTATGTTGTCTGGGTACCTCGGTCAGATCCAAGTAAACCTGGGGTAAAATATTGATGTTTTCTTTGTCTAATATGATGGGCCTGGGGAAGGGTGATTTTGATATTTGGAAGTCATCAGGTTTAAGTCAGAGTGTCATGTCACTTGCACCTGCCTCTGGGTGACCTTGGTAAACAATTTCATTTCATCAACTGCTCCCAGTCTTTAACATCATGAGAAGTGCTGAAAAATGAAATTATGACAACACTGCACCTGCCCTCATTAGTACTGCTATGGTCTGCATCAGGAAAACTACCGGTTGCTTATCTCACTTTATTTGTCACTTAATTACACGAAAAGGGACATATAAGTCATTTGAGTGAAAAAGCAGGAGCCACTTAATTAAGCCCACTCTTCGTCTGGATTTTCGCTTATTTCACGCTTATTGCACTTAAAAAAAGCGACACAAATCTTCAATAATGGAAAAAAGAGCATACATAGAAAGCATGATAAGCGTAAAATTAAGTAACGATGCGAGCAAAAGTGAGCGCAATACTAGAAAACATGATATAGTGGAAAACACAACTGGAAAGCGTGATAAGCGTAAAATTAAGTAACAACGTGAGCAAAAAAGTGAGCGCAATAGAAAACATGATACAGCGGAAAACATGACTGGCAGAGGTGAGACATAGTATGCAGTAGTAGCAGGGGAAGATTAATGACAATGTTTCCAGCGCAAATTGAATGGCTACAGCCACAAAAATGATATCCTGTAGCAGGGGCCCGGTTGTCAGTGAGAGTAAGCCTAGATGATTTGGTCCATGCTCACAAATCATAGCTCGCTCGTCCTTGTCTGACTCCTCATCATCAAGTAAGCTCAACACCGTATCAGTGGCATCATTTACTGTAGTGTGTGCCATTTCTATGGTGGCCTCCACATACCCAGCAGGCTTGCTCAAAATCGACTTGATAAATGCCTTGGTTGGTTTGGACCAGAGAGTCGCTGAAAATAAAAATGGAACATTGATCTCTTTCCCCATCATTTTGTTGAGAACCTTTGGTAGTTTGATGGCCACTTTACTGCGTGATGCAGATAACAAAACATCCTGAACCTTGAGTTGTTTATTTTTAATCAACCCAAGGGCACGCTTGATCTTAAAAAAAATCAGTGTGAATAAGCCATTTTAAATTGAACTCACTGCTACAGCAGAGAGGGCGAGAACCCGTGACATCCTGCTCGTCACAAGCTCATGCATGTTGAAGGAGGGAACCTCCACATACCCTTTGATGGTGTTGAGGTGTGCCATGCCAATCAGCTGTAAGATGAAGGGAGAGCAGTAAGCTGTGAGAGGAGATGGACTACCAGGGTTCTCATATACAAAGGCCCAATCATGGACAAGGGATGTTGCCATATCGCTAGGAGGGCAGTCAGGATTACGTGTCATAAAGTCCATGACAATGACTATGGCTGTTGAGCCAAAATTACTGCGCCATTCTGAGATGCGCTGTGCAGTCTAATGATTGATATAGTATTAATAAATAAAATTGGATATCACAGGGGACTTACAGGTGAATGTACCACACCATTGTGAATGAGAACAATATTAAGATCTTTGTATACTGCATCGAAAATGAGCTGAGCATGATGGAGAAGAACATCGTCTGGGATAACCCAGATGTCTTCATAACTTCCAGCCCACAGCATTATGGTAGGGAGATATTTTTTCGTCCAGCGCTGGTCTGCCTGCATGGCTGCAGGTAAGTCAACCGTATGATAGGCACCACATGCTTTCATGTGCTTTGGCATAGTGTCCACCGGCACATTCTGTTGGCATTTGAGCTTGGCAGATACACCGCGAACTGATGCAGCAGAAGGCTTGATCTTGGCCTTTTTTTGAGCAGGCGGCTCACTATCGGCAACAGAAGTGGTGACAGATGTCTGTACAAGTGTCAGAATGAGCAGTGATATAGTCATTATCCTTACCGAGGTTGTTGTACATGAAACCTTCTCCTTTGTCACCACAATAGGTTCAGGCTGAGATAATTCATCAGCACACATGATCAGGTTGTTGACGCCTTTAACTTCCATAGACCAATCGGACACCATAGACTCAGCCTCTGACACCTCAGCTGAGACAAGAATTTTGTTAGCTTTGCGCTTGGAGGATTTCAGGTTTGGTGCCTGTGTGAACAGAGCCCTAGGCTCCTGTGATAACTCAAGCTCTGAGTCATCATATTGCAGAAGTCCTTGGCTTGCTTGAGGCTCATCAAAGTCGGAGTTTTCATCAAATATTGAGACGACCTGCTAAGCGAGGAATTAAATGCTGGCACCAATAAATCATTGCCACTTACCTTAGTTTTCCCTTTGTCTTGCTTCTCCTTGCAAGTAGCCTCATACTCCAATGAATCATCAATTTCATCTCCCAAGGCACCAGTAAGAGCATCATCAGTCACATGTTTGGTTTGAGCTGCAGGAATCTGAGTTGGGGGCTGAGTGGCTGAAGTTGCTATAGAGGAAGCAGTGTTGGGTGAAAAGATAGTCAAGGGAGGCTCTCGAGTTGAAAAGCTGGATGCACGGGGTGATGGTTCCAGCTTTTTGTACTCAGTGATTGCTAAAGCCCAGTTGGTCACTCGGCCGCCTAATGTGAGTTTCTGAGCGGTCACATTGATACTGGAAGTAAGATTAAGGAAAAACAAAGTTGATTTGGTGAGGAGCAACATCATGTTTGTGTGAGAGAAGAATCTTACATCAATAGCGTGTCTTTCCCATCAGTATGTGGTACCTTATTATTGATGCTATCATCTTCCACATTCGACAATGACTTGTTGTGCTTCTTTTGCATGTTACTGATGGCATCACGGATCAACATCTTCACACCACCTTTCTTCCCTACCACCTTCTTTTCCCTTTCCCTGTGGTAGCAGGTCCATCATCCATATCCTCAGTAGGGGTCTTCTGGTGGTTGTCTATCTCATTGGCCTCTGGTAAGTCATCTAACATGCTGTCACCCTGATGATCACCATGTTCTACTACAGCCGTCTTCATCACCTTTTGGGCCCTTGGTTTAGGCCGAATGGGGGTGGCCTTCTTGGTGAGCACTTCTCCCTGTTTTTTTTTTCCATCTCAGTCTCGATGTGAGTGAGGCACTCAAGTCCCTTTTTAAATAGAGCTTCCTTCGCTTCCTTGAGGGTGAGGTTGTCAGCAGCCTTTTGTGCCTTGGAACACCTCTTGACCTGTGCCTCCAGCACTACCTTACCAGGTTGAGTAGAGGCATTTGATGGACGGGTGCGACGGGTTGTTTCTGTGGCTGCAGTAGACATCACAAAGGAGATGAAGGAGACAATGATGAAGTTTTAGTGCTGGAGCGAGAGCAGTGGTTTGGAACTGAAAAAAAGTCGTAAGTCTCACCCCAACATATAGGCCGACTATTGCACCACTTTCTCACTAACCCAGATTTGTTACAGCAGCGTCTCTAGTTCAAACTTAATATCACTATTACATGTTTCCAATGGCCACATCATCAAGTACTTTCTCACTACCATTTACCATGTCTCACAGGGATCACAATGCCCTTCAAATTCCATGTGGCTACTTAAAATGTGCACTGTAGTGGGGAGCTTTGGGCGAAGGCCGGGGAGACAGGGATAGGAGGAGGAGGAGGTCAGGAGGGATGCAGAGGATAGGAGAGTAGAGTGGATGACACAGTTAGAGGAGACAAGGACTTGACCAGCAGATTCCAGGGTCTTGGGACTTGGGGTCGAGGAGCATATACAGTACACACTTGTACCATACCACACACACGACGACGACACTGTCTTCACCCTTTCTCGAGCGCAAGGCTGGCTGGGACAGCGCGCTTCTTCAAGACTCAGGCAGGCCAAAAAAAACATTGGAACTCTGCACACAGAACATTCACAGTGTCGCATACCACTACAGTTGAAGATGATTCTGAAGAGCTACTGGACAATAATTTCACTGCTGACCACAATGATTTTTCCCCAGGTGAATATGGCCTTCCTCTGACCTGGGTCAGTCATTTGGTGAGCCTGACAATCCAGACAACATCGACACCGAATTTTGGGGGCCAGGTGATAAATTATACCGCAACTTTCACTCAAAACTAAACGGTACATTTCTTAATGTTTTTAATCGATTAAAACTATATAATATGATGCTTTCCGAGCATTCTATGTAAACAAGTTTACAGACCACCATGCATTCGAGATCGCATCTTAGACATCTTGCCCATGTGAGTTTGTCCCATCTCCTACTTGTACACCCAGTCTAACTAGTATCACAGCGAGCAACCAACAAGTTTGGCAAACATAACAGGGTCATAGATACCCCCTTCTTGCAACACAACCTGGAAAACCTTTCTTTGACGAACAGCAAGTGACCAATGAGTTTGGCGAGCATAACAGGGCTGCAGATACCTCCTTCTCACAACACAGCCTGGAAAACCTTTCTTCAATGAACAGCAACCAACCAACGAGTTTGGCGAGCGTAACAGGGCCGCAGATATCCCCTTCTTGCAACACAACCCAGAAAACCTTTCTGCAGTGAACAGCGAGTGACCAACAAGTTTGGCGAGCATAACAGGGCTGCAGATATCCCCTTCTCACAACACAACCCAGAAAACCTTTCTGCGGTGAACAGCGAGTGACCAACAAGTTTGGCGAGCATAACAGGGCCACACCCATGCGAACATCCCACCTTCTCGCTCACCAACCTGTGCATCTATGATGTTTATCACGAGCGGCAATGAATTTTGTTTGGTGGCCATTGTTATCACCCTTAGCATACGATGAATTTTGTTTGGTGGCCCTTTTTACATGTATTCTGCTTATTGTACTTAATACTACTAATTTTTCCTCTTTTTGAGCGGTCCTGACTTAATTTGCTTGTAAGAAAGTCTATTAAGTCAAAAAAGCAATGTTCCAATTTTCATTTGCGAAAAATTAAGGGACAAAAAGTGAGATAAGCAACCGGTAGTTTTCCTGATGTGGTTTGGAGGGTTCTAGACAAGAACCAAGAACTAAACCATAGTCTGGTTCTACAAAGTTGTCAAACCCCGAACTGGACTATCGAGAACCATTCTCAGCGGTCCAGTTCAGTTTTTTTCTGGTTCAAATGCAAACCAAACTGTAAATTTTCCAAGCACAAAAAAAACATTAATACATTACATCTACATGTCATTGAGTAGCTAGTCCAACTACATACTGGCTGCATGCTCCTCTGACTCTACTGCTGATGACATATGCTAGGGAACTGCACAGGTACAGGTAACCTGTGGTGGGTCATGGGTATGGGTACTGCCGGGTATGGGTACAGGTCAGGATTTTGTGACCCGCGCAAACACCTGTACCCATGATGTACCCATAGGGAACTGCATGGGTAAACCTGTGGGTGCCCGGAGGTCAACCCGTACCCATACCCACCATGGGTATGGGTATGGATGCGGGTACATACCCGTGGCAGGTGTGCCTGCCCCCACCCGATCCCAACAGCCACCAGTGCTTAGTGCACACGCCCGGCGCATGTCAGCGAATGCTGACATGGCTTGAATGTATGCAGAGGACACTGGAGAGCGCCAGAAGAGTGGAAGGAGGGACAACACAGGAAGAACGAGATGGAGGGTAGGATGCAGTGTAGGGCACGATTGGTGGTAGTAGCGCACTGCAAGGTTAAAGATAGTATTGGTAGTAAATGAGAAAAAAAACATGCGCACCTGGAACAAGCAGCGAATGACTACCTAATGCTACCAACTCCCCATCCAGAGTCGACTCTACATGCGTGCGCCAGTGTGAATGTACCTCGTGCAGACAGAAAACAAGCTGGAATAGGTGTGAGTGAACAAAAATATGTATAGACAAGTAGTATAACACTCACAAGCAAGCATAGATATATGAGAATAAGTGTCAAGTGTAAGTGCTACACCATGACTGTGACGGGTACATCACGGGTACGGGTATTTGCGCAGGTCACAAAATCCTGACCCGTACCCGTACCTGGCAGTACCCATACCCGTGCAGTTCCCCATGTACCCATCACAGTCACAGTGTAGCGCTTACACTTGACAGGTACATTCACAGTGCGTGCATGCAGCGCATGTAGAGTCGACTCTAGATGGGGAGTTGGTGGTATTAGGGCTGCAAAGGTGTGTGTTTTTATGCTACTTCATCATGCTAACTGATCATTTTTAGTAACTTATGATTACTCTTGTGCATACCACCACTTGTGCCCTCTCATTCTTCCCATCTTGTCCCTCCTTCTGCTCCTTTGAACTTGCCTGGACTCACCCGGACTCATTTCTGATTTTGACTCGCCTTCATCCATGCTTGTTCATACTCATTCGTTCATGCTCGTTGTTCATCCATGCTCATTCGCACTCATTTGTTTGTGTTCATTCGTCCATACTCGTTCATGCTTGTTCATTTGCGCTCATTCGTCCGTGCTCATCCATGCTTGTTCACACTCGTTCATCATTCACATTCTTTGTGCTCATTTGCACTCATACCTGGTGATGTAGATGTGTTTTTTCATTGTTTCACTATCTAATAAATTTCTTATTTGTATATGATACCCACGGGTAAACCCTGCATGGATGCAGGTATGGGTCTGCACTTGTTGTACCCGCCAAAAACCCATACCCATCAGAGTGGGTATGGGTTTTTGCTGGGTATGGGTGCAGGTATGACCTCTGATACCCGGGGGTTTACCCGTGCAGTTCCCTAATTATCAATATGCATGCAGCAGAGTTCAGAGATCCAAGTTTGGGGTTGTTGGTGGATGGCATAGACACTTTGGTGATAGTTATACTGGTGCATGGGGTGGGCTTGGACTTGTCATTGCTTGGGAGTTCTGGGTGTGGCTAGAACTTCTTGGATGGAACCCCTTGGAGGTGTGTTGATTTTTCTATGCCATGAGGTGCTAATCTACCATAAGTGTCAGAATTCACACACCTTGGATGAATTTTCATGGTGTGCTTCACTACATGAGTACTGTGGAGATAATGATGATCCAGAGTCAGATACAGGCCCAAATGATGACTTGGTTTCCATTATGATTTCCACAGCAGTCATGCCCCTCATCTGCAAGGTGATTGAGGTGGGCGCACTTAACTCATACTCAGCATTGGATACCCACAATACGATAAACTTGGCAGAGCAAGTGGAAGCTTCTATTGGACATAACAACCCCAAATTCCAGGTGACTAGATACCTCCTGGTCACCACAAACAAGTTGCTATTCTGACACAATTATGTAGATCATATCAAAATCAGTGTTTTCCGTTTTCAAACACTCTGTATCAGCATTGGAGTCACTGATAGCTCCCTTTATTGCACTCAACTGCCCTGTTTTCAGTCCAGATGCCATTGCCGCACATTGCTGTCTGCTTTGCCACACATCAAAGCTTTGGATACCCTCATTCAATGGTACAAGTATACTAGTGAAAAATCGGGCATTCTGACATATGAACAATGTAGTTTTACCAATTGCTGAAAGTGAATGGGAGGTTGGAGGGGAGGAAATAACTGGAGAGGTAATTGACAGGAATGTTGGATATTTGCGTGGCTAACTAGTGCTTCCGAAGTCCAGTTCAGTCCAGTTCTTGGGGAAATTTTCCGAATGCCAAACTGAGCCATAGGTTCAGTTCAGCCATTTGGTCGAACCCTGGACCAAACACATTCAGGAGGTCCAGTTCGTGTTCGAACCAGGTTCGACGAAGTTTGCAGATGATCTCAGGACCATGAGAGCTCCACCACACTGTTCCCAACACTGCAAACACCATGCACAAACGCCCAGTGCACGTCAGCAACTGCTGACGTGGCTCAGACAAATACAGACGACGGATGAGAGCAAGAGGAGGGAAGAAGGCAAGGAAGAGAAAGAGAAAGAGGGAGAGGAGATGGATGAGACGACTCTGAGTAGTGATGTTCTGGCCCAGCTTAGGCTCGGCCCAGCTGTCAACAAGAGCGGTTTGGTCAGTGAGGAGATCATCATGCAGTTGTTCAAGGTCATCTATCTTAAATCAAAAAATGAAGTGAACATCACCAGAAATCACTCACTGATTGCAGTAGCATGTTCTTGTTGCTTGGAGTGAGTGCATTCAATGCTGACATGGACAGTGGCCAAGTGAGTGGATCTAGATTTGTGCTGACAAACGATGGTGAGTGCAGCACTTGGCTTCGCGACAAACATGTCCATACCTTGTGTCTTCCCAGGCAGAAATTATGATGCCATTTCATATCCAGGGGTTTCAGCTGAGGCAAGACGATCTGAGGCAGGATGCTGCCAAGAGAGGGTGTCACAATCATTTGAGTCGACAGGCTATAATGTCATATTGATGCATCACAGCAGGCTAAGTAGCCTGGTTTTGTGATGCATCAAGCTTGCTCAATGTGTGATGCATCATCCATCCAGTACATATTTGGGCTGTGCCGTCCATATTTGACACACATCTGTCCATATCGAGCGGGTTGTCCCACTCCCAGTTGGACCTTGCTTACGTACTCCTTGCTTCTCACTTTCTCCTGGTAGTACCTTGCTTACATACTCGTGTCCGGCTACTCATTTTTCACTTTAGTAGGCCTCTTACTATTCCAGGTGTCCTTTTTGCTTACATACTTTAATACTTTGGCATCTGCGTACTCAGTATCGACTTAGTTAGCCTCTTACTGTTTCCAGTAGCCCTTCGGGCTTAGTAATATTAGGACAATGGGATCAATGACGCAATCTTCGAGTTTTGAATTCACCAAGTCCCTCACTGACGCAATCTTTCAGTTTTGAATTCACCAAGTCCATTCCACCACGATTTTTCATCTTATGCATCTCACATGTATATTTTTGTACATAGTCAAGACAATTTTCTGATTATGCACGGAGTCAAATTGTTTTTTTGAGGTCAAAACAATGAATTGAATTGTCGGTGTGATACAATATTTGATACGGTGCAGTACAAGAATATACACTACTACACCAGTCAATCAAGCAGTGTGCGATTATAATACCAAAATATAGAATAACATTGACAAAACTCTCCCAACTTTCAAGAGTGTCGAGCCCTTCTGTAGTATGATTACCCTTTGCAATGTGATAGAATTGACGTACTTCCGTGAGTCTGCGGGACAAGCACGATGTGTTGGAACTCCAATGTCATTATCACGCTCTCGTGGGTTGAAGGGCACATTGTTGCATGTGCGGAGACGAGGCACATGCGCTGCCGGAGGGTCCGGCAATGTAGATGGGCCCATAGATAGTGTAGGAGCCGGAGATCTCTCAACACGTCGTCTATGCACTCCACAATGAGAACGGACCTCTGGCTGGTCAAGGAGTGGATCATTGTCCTGTTCTTCCTCACTATTCGCAGATTGAACAGCCGGAAGAAGTACCTCCACCTGTAGATTCGGAGGTAAATATGGACTATCACGGTTGTCTGGAGATGTCAGGTTGGCGAGAGACAAGTCAGATATCGTACCCCGAGCATTATCGAGGGCACCAGGATCGAAATTAGGATTGTCGACAATATTGGTGAAGGCGTGGGGATCGAAGGCAGAAAAATTGATGGTGCCTGCTATGATCGGGTCAAAAGCGGCAGAGGTGCCCCACGCAGTATGCGAGTTGCTCTATGTGTGCAATGAAACACATTCCACTGCATATTGATAAGCTATTACTCACTGTGTTATCCCCAAGAATTTCTTCAGGTTGGGGAGTCATTTGATACAGGCCGCTTGTATCAAAGGATGGGACATCCTTGATGACTCGACTCATACCCTCCTCGACACTCTTTTCCTGCTCATTGTTACAATCTTCATTGCTGTCCCAGTTCGATGATGACTCGTCGTCTTCATCCATTGCCGACTCATCATGTGGTAGGGTAGACTCGAATGCTGATTGGGGGAGAGGCTAAGTCTGGTGTCTCTGTATTTAGAAAATTCAAACATACCAAGAGTGTTTTCCACGAACGCTAGAAAGGCAGCCTGCATTCCATCGAAGTCTTTGTATACATGATTGAACTGGGCGCCGCTTTGAAGTTCGCCAACGTGGTAGCTTAATTAGCAATGAGTACGCCTGAATTCTTTGTGTTTGCAAATGTTGCTCACTTGAACACTGACATTTCACCTGTCCCAGGATCACAACCCCCCATGAGAACGGTAAATTTCCATCCACCTGTAATATGTGCAAGATACTTCAGGATGCGGTCGAGCATTGGACCAAGCTGCTGGATAGCTCTACCCAGAAGATCCAAGTCAGTGATGCTGAGATACAATCGAATAACAGTACATACATACTTCACTTTTGTGGCATCATCAATTTTTAATGCCTTCCCAGACTTCAGCTGCTGGCGCTTTTTTGCAAACTTTGCTTTTGCCTTGCGATATTTCCTATTGATATCTGCTTTGACAGACTCACTTTCCTCCAAGTACATTCACCGTGTGATCTCATGTCGTTTGTTCAGCTTCGGACCTCTATTGGTGATATTTTCTGCTGCGATTGCATCATCTGCAGTGTGCTTAACCTTCACTCCATAGAATTCGTGTGAGTAAATATCAATTTTTTGTGGTGCTTGTGTCCCTTTGAGTTCCACACCCCCACCTAAGATGGTATCGAACTTCAGGACACCCCTGGCGCCTTTGGAGCGAGCATGACGTGCAGGGTTCATCTGCCACCTATACAAAGTGACCAATTGCTGTCAAATTAATCAGTACATGTTTTATTTGATTTTTGTGCATGTGTCTTACTTGCTGATGTGTCGCAACTGCGGTCGCCAGAGCCTTGATGCCATCCGGGGTGCGAACATAATCGTCTGGCATGTCTTTGAAGATAACGTGTTCCTCAGGCCACCTTTCAAACCATAAAGCCCAGATGCGCGTGAAAAAATTGTCATAGTCCTTGGTCGCAGCAGTCTCGCGGTATTCAGACATGAAGCTGAGGAGAAACTCCTCTTGTTCTGGAGTAGCCCATTTCTTACCCGCCATCTGAAACAAGCTGTAGCAGGGTGAGTTTCTCAAAATGAAAGAAATGCTTGCCAGCGCACTTTCACGGGTATAGCAGTCAATCTTGGGTAGGCCACGAGAGACAAGATTCAAGCACGGTGATCCTCAACTTCTTCAGACCAGTTCCTATTGATAATATATGTGCCTAGGATTTCACCAATTCGTCTGATTTATGCGCGCAAGGCAAGTTCTCAATATCTACGCTACATTACACATATGATGACACCTGCATCCCGCATACACAGAATACTACCTCGTCTAGCTCAGCCACCTTCTTGACTTCTTCACAGGAAAGTACTCCTTCATCATCACACGTGTCTCCTGGTACAACATGTTCATGAGTATAAAAGTCTGGATGCGCTTCTCCTACAGTCAATACATACCCCCTTCAGATGAAATGAGTAATGACGTACTCGACGACAGCACCTAGTGGCTTCAACGAGCAATTCCTGCTGCAGGCCAGACAACACTTGGTCGTGCAGTATCTCCACAAAGTGCACAGCATGTTCAGGCCAAGTTGCAAACCACTGGGAGTAAACACTCTCCCAGAATTCTTCCTGCTCTTCTACTGACCCTGAACGAACAATTTTAAAAGCAGGCAAAAATGTTTTAAGCATGTTGCGTTGGGCATGCGTGAGGACTGCCATCTGCGACATGGACATAGCGAGAAGAAAGCAACAAGCTCTGGGATACCGCTGTGAATCACAGAGCCGAGCCTGGACATGTCTTCGCAAATAGATCTACATATAGCCACACCACACTTCAAACTGTCACCGCTAATTATATTCTGGAGGTCTCACAAACAAAGATAGAAGTTCTGACTCTACAGGGCAGGTACTAACTAAGCGCTAGTGGGAAACTCATACTCCTGGTACCATAATTCGTTTCCCATGAAAGCAATCGCTAGTTCGCTGTCGCCGCCATCCGCCAGATGCAACAAGATGTCTTCAACCATCCCTATCATCTCCCTCATGAACCTGCAGACACCATCTGCAGCGCACCACTCATCACTCATGCCACACATCTGAAGAATACCATCAAGCCCACGGTTGGCTCAGTGGAGAAATTCTTCCAGGTTTGTGATAGCATGTTCAAATACAGACTTATCTCCATTCTCGGTAGGGTATAACTCAGGGTCGGGCATTGTCTTGGAGTACTCATCAACGAGGAGGTTGAAGAATCTTTGTGGAACTTTCACATAGGCCATGAAGTCGTCCTTGGCGTACTTAACTACGGCAATGCACTCCTGTAAGGTTTCGCTGGTGCAAATGTCAGATGCCTTAATACAAGTAAGTCTATACAGTATGCACATCGGTTCATCTTCATCATCTGAAGGTTCATTGTCTTGACAGGATTTTTTTGCTTTGCGTGACTCACGCCGCTTGGCCAGTATAGCGTCTCGAAACCTGGAGAGTCTTTTGGTCAACTAGAGTCCTTAGATACTGTCGTTTGATCACTTACTTTTGATAATGGCGACGACACTTTTCTCTTGCAGCTTGCACTCTCTCCTGACGAGTTTTGTACAATGTTGGGCGCACCATAGTGAGAACGGAATGACTGCAAAAGTAATGTTGTGTTGTGAGGAGCAAAAGAACGAAGAAAAAAAAATAGACCCCTACAGTATTTGGACCCAAACAATGAGTCTTCAATTGGTGAAGGAAGCGGAAGCACTTATGCAGATGGTCGGACCATAAAACATAATGGTAAGATGGTAAGTCTGAGAGAGACTTGCAATCTCAGATGAAATGGTCTGAAGATACCTGGGAGTAGTATATACATCATCCCGGTGTTTTTTTTGGGGTGACTTACCTAGTGTTAAATGGGATCCATGAGGACCCCTAGATTTGAGTTGTCACTGAGCATGTGTTAGCATTCATTAGCATCCATGTGAGTGAGTGATGCCATCTAGTGCTGGTTGGATGCAGAACTGAGTGCATAGTGACTCATATGCAGGTCAACATGTCAGTATATATTGTTCTATGAATCACGGTGATCCTTAGCTGCGAAATATAGAGAATAAATTCAACTATAGCTTGTGAGTTACAATTGCAAACTGCATGGTTGGACTGATACGATATAGTTGGTCGGACCATAATTAATTGGACAATATGAGTACATCAATGAATATCTAACTGTGTAACTAAATATTCCAATGAAACAGCCAAATACCTTGTGTAGAATATTGTGGTCCTCCTTGACCAACATTCATTCAAGTGAACGAGAAACAGCAAAATAATATCATATGCAGTAGGGCCATAGTAGGACCATAATCCATAATTAGTAAGATGTGCGCTCGACTATTATGGAAATTACACACCGCAAACGAGACGACATAAAGAACGGGGAAAGACTCAACAAAGTCATACAGTGCAATTGAGTTGCTGAAAAGGAAATGTGGTGCCAGTCATAAGCGTGAAACGTAGTAGTCTTGCTGCAACTCCACCTTTTGCAGCAAGACTACTACGTTTCACGCTTATGACTGGCACCACATTTCCTTTTCAGCAACTCAATTGCACTGTATGACTTTGTTGAGTCTTTCCCCATTCTTTATGTCGTCTCGTTTGCGGTGTGTAATTCTCTTTAGTTCCTATTACACTAACAATCATGTCATTCAAGATACCATTCTTCATTGAAAGTGTGCACAGCTCGTCTTATGTCTACGTCAATCACGCAGTCTCCACAGCAGCACCAGACGTCAGCACCATCCACAAAGACAGCTTAAATTACCAGGCTGTAGTGTGATCGATAGCGGATGAGTCTCTCCTTCATTGTTACAAGGGCGTCTATTACAATATGCCAGGTGGGCTGAAAACTGTACTTTGAATGTCGCTAAATGTCACTAACACTAGTTTAGCCGAAGTCAAAGCTGGGCAGTCGCTCTTCTATGTTGTTTGTGGTTCCTACGTTGGCGTCATGGCAGGCTGGTTTGTACTTTTTTATTTGCAGATATTGTTTTATACTTATTAGCACAACTAGGGAGAATGCATTGAACTGTGTTCTGGGTGTCAACGAACCTGCTTATCATGAAGTAGAATCTGTCATGATTGGGGAGCAGTGGGTTAGGGAGGCAATTGATTAGGGCATAGTCGAGATGGTGGAACCTTGGGGATTCTCTTATGTTGTGTAGTTGTTCTGTACAGTTTTGTTGTCGTTGTCAGCCTAATTTGCATCTCGATTGTACATACAAATCTAGCAACTTTATTTGCTCATCTCGACAAACCACTTGTTCAAAACCTCTATCTCAACGTCATCGAGCATAGTGCCAAAGTTTCTCTCTAAGTGGACGCCGCAGGCTCATGAACATTGTAATTTGTCACGCATGACAGGGCCTTGTGATTTTCAACAATGTGTTAATTCCCACAGCCTCAGATTGAAGCCAACCTCGGTTGGAATGCCGGCCAATACTAGCCTTGTCAACAATAAATCATCGGGTCCTTCCTCTCATACCATTCGCATGCCAGGCCAAAAGCGAGCTCGACTAAACCACTATATGCCACCCAACCAGCATTCCCGAGCACCAATTCACCCATCTGTCACATTTTCCTCTCGCCGAGACAGTATTCTAGAGGTCTCTACACAGTAAATCTGGGGATCTGTGTCCACATCGCCATCTTATGAACCTGACAGCCAATCTGCTGTTCCAGGAGAGGATTTCTCTGATTTTTGCCATAATAGCCTGGAATCAGATATATTTGTACTATCAGATGAGAATCCACTGAGGCGCAAGCAAACAGCTGCGGTATGTTTAATTTGGTGATAACTATGTGTTTCCATTAAACGAGACATTAGGACAACCCCCTTCTGATATGGATGGACGAGCGTGATCTTTTTCTAGCAGAACTGCTGCGGCACGAGGGATGCGGAGATCACATTTCTGATGCATGTCCCGGATGTCCATGTCTGAAATCTACTCCTCCTCGATATCGGTGTCAAGACTGTCTAGATTCACAATTATACTGTGGTCTCTGTATTGTCCGGAACCACTTACGGTTGCCTACCCATCATATAGAGGTCAATTTAATTTCTCAATCGTGAAAGCCCTGATCACTCATTAACTTCCTAGGAATGGAATCGTCAATTTTTTGAGTGTCTTTCATTGAAAGCCATGGGTCTTCGCATACAGCTGGGTCATGCAATCGGCGAATCATGTATTCTTCCAAGGAGAGCATTTAACGATGATTTTGTTCTCATTGATGCAAATGGCATACACGAGATTGGGCTGGACTTCTGTGGCTGCATGACCTCTCAGACACATACCAAGCAACTACTATGTGCTGGCTGGTTTCCGTCGACTTCTACTAATCCATGAACGGCTGCTACATTTCGCGTTCTTCATCACTATCATATCTTGTCCTTCGAGTCAAAGGCCTCTGCTTACAAATTTTATCATTCGCTGGTTCGTTTAACGGACAACACAGGCTTGATCAGACGAAAGGTAATGTTTAATCTTACTGTACTTGAATTTTTCAGTTCACACTGTCGATTCAGGATCATTATGAATCTTTCATGCACATGGTCCGTGAATGGTGTCACTTGGTGATGTTAAAATGCTCAGGGCATGGCCATGATCCAAGTGGCATGGCAGGTACTTCAGAGGGTCAGTGCGCTGTGCTGTGCCCTGCATGTCCGCAGCCCGGGAAAAATCTCCCAGACAATTTGGAAGATGCTCCAAAGGCAAAAGGGTGAGTGCAATGTATATTACAAGATGGTCATGAGCACTGATCATGTACCAGTTGGCTATATAGTCTTTTTCTGGCGATTGATGCAAACTTTCATCTGAAAAGACGTGCTGTGTCATCCGATGAGACCAATCCCAGCCTTTCGCGAGTTGGGCTTATTTTGTAGAGGAGACATCTTACAAGTCATATATATCAGATAGGGCTGGAGACGTACAAGAGGTACGTTTGTCCACTGCTTGTGTCAAAATGCTGGCTGACATTCTAATTGACAGAAAAGCACATGTTCGAGCCATAATGCCATGAATATGGCAGAAACTAAGTTATCTCAAGGTCTTGCGGCAACAGGAGTAGGTACTGTGGATTGTGCGCGTCATAATATGAAGTGTCCCAATGGAGTCGGTGACCTTCAAAAGGGAGAAAAGTAGGTCTTTTATCACTGTTTTTGTAATCCGATCTAACAAACACAATCAGGTATCTGAACATGGACTACCTTTTTTTCTCCACTCTACGACATTCAACTGTAGATATCTTGAATGTGTCATATGACATTGCTTGTCAGTGGCACAAGTTTCTTTGGTCACGCATGGTATCTTTGCCGCCTTCCCACCACTTGAATTATCTTGCGAGGACAATCCGATTCTTTGTGCCGAAGTTCCATCTCCCTGCACATGTCTCTAAGTGCCAAACTATTTTTTCATTCAACTTTACTCACTTTGTGGGGCACACAGATGGTGAGGCACCAGAGAGAGGCTGGTCGAATATCAACTCCGTAGCTTCAAGCACGAAGGCTATGGGTCCAGGCTGTCGTCGGGACATGCTAGACAATCATTTCGGTGACTGGAATTGGAAGAAAGTAGTTGGACTCGGTGAGCTTTAATTGTGCAGTACTACATACGTGAAAATTGATCGAGATTTTCTAGGATCGTCGCTTTTACTCAAGATCAAAGAAGCTCAGATAGAAAAGGCTGACCATGGTGCTGCCTTCGAGGAGTTTGACAGCGTGATCACTTCTGAACACCGCTTCACATGGAAGGCTGAAATGGAGGCATGGGAAGAAAATCCGAACGATACAACAGTCACCAACCCCTTACAACCGAAAGGCATTGGTAAGTTCAGTTCAATCTCTTTGGTATACCTTACTTAAGATATCGACCAGCAATTACACAAGCCAGTGCTCGCTTGAGTTTGGCCCAACTCAAGGCTGAGGAGCTCGAGTGTGGTGTAGATCTATCACTTCACCCTGATGTATCGCCAAGTGTGCTCATCGCATCAGGCATAGACCTCAAAGAAGAACAGTGAGTGATTAGTACATGTCTTCTTCACCATGCTAAACAGCTCTACAAGGTGGCGCTTGAAGGCCATAGTCGACGGCATGGGCATCCATGCCACGGATAGACAGAAGCTGAGTATTCTTTGCATGAGGATGTCTCTTCGTCAGAAGATCGAGTCTTGGAGACAGACTCAACTTCTGTATGTGCCATTGGTGCAAGTACTCCTGGCCGCCTCACCAACTGGTAGTCTCAACGATGCTGAGCTTATGAAGCTTTGGCTCCCATCTGCATTGAACAGTAATGCTTGTGATTTATGCCTCCAGCATATTGAGTGGGAGTTGTGTTTCGCGCAAGCTCATGACGCCTTAGAAGAGCTTAGGCAGTGCCTCCATGTATACTGCTCACTCCTAAATTTCAAGAGGGAATGGATTCGAGGCCAAGGGGCCAATACTTGTGCTCAGAATGCACTCACACATATACATACGAGGCAGGTGGCCTGCGTGAAGCGCTATAGGACTGCATGGACCACGCTCAAATCTCTTGCACCAATTCTTAAGAAAGCAGATTGGTGTGGGCGGCTACAGGACCTCTCCGATGACGATGTGAAGCCGCTTATCGATCCATTTGCCAGTCAGGGAGAGGGAAGGTGAAAGTTAATGTGGATTTGGATGATGGACGGTGTGGACAGCGGTGCAGCTGGAGGAGATGTCGACGGTAAGGTTTTGGTTTTTATTTTATTTCGGCAAGATTAAGCTTGCCGTTTGCCAGGTGTTCGTGTGGAATGGTGCAAATCTCGTGCATGAGTGCTTTGTTGGAGTGAAGAGGTCGACCTTCTCCAGGAGGAGATGCGCCGGGTCCTGCAATTTTTTAATTGGCAGGCAAACTGGTGGGAAGGACAGGGAGTCCGCCGGGTCAGTGAGTCAGCCCCATGCAATGCAGAAGAACCAGGAACTGCTGCCCATCATGAGGCTACTGCCCAGGATGAAAGTTTGCATGCCTATGCTTCTCGGCAAGCTAATATTTGCTGGCGCCTCGCTGCCCATTTCCACAGCATATGGGCACCGCTCATGTCTCCCCAAGACACACTGGGTAATCCGGCTGCCACACTACCATTACCCGACTTGACGATCCCTGATATGCCCTGATGCTTCTACCTATGTAGTGTACCTTGTATTACCATATTGATGAATGAAGTTGATGAAGTTGCTGGTCTTGAAACTTAAAGTAACCGTCTCTTAAGGTAACCGGGGACTACAATTGGCTGGGGGAGGATCAGGCCGCTACTAGGGTACTATGCACACTCGAGCCTGATAGTTAGCATGTTTTAATGCATCAATAATGCATTGCAAAGATTGTGATATACATAGTTGATGCATTTCCTACTACTAGTACCTAGCAGACTTAATGCATCAACCCTACAGGGACTTGTGGAGTCGAAGCATCCACAAAAAGCGAAACATCAGTGATCGTCAGGTGCCCGTCCTCCAGGATGATTGGCTGGAGCTACGTCTGCTGAGAGGGTCCACTCGAGTCATCTGTGCATGCTTCAAAGGGTGTTCATCAAAGATGTTAGATGGGTGATCTTGACATATCTTCACAGTCATGTAACTTGTGTCAGAACTCATGGCTAAAGGTATCTGAAACAACAAAGAGAACACATGCCAACATCAGCCGCCAGGAGACATGGAGGAAAAGAGGAGGGTGACTTACCAGGAGGTCGAGCACAGGTGGGTAGTGAGAACAGTGAGAAATGGAACATGGTGCATCATGCATGCAATGATTGCCGAGAAAGGGAATGCACAGAACAAAGTGCAGCGTGATGAGTCAAAAGAGATGAAGACCTAAGATGAAAGGACACACAGTAAAAAAAAACAGAAAAAGATCACTATTCTGGCAGACACAAGATTAAAAAAGAATGTACGTAGGACAATAGTAATGTTATCATGAAGGATGAAGCTAAAGACAAAGAACATATCAGTCCTAGTGATGTTCCGGCCCGGCTTGGCCCAAAAGCCGCAGCTTTGGCCTGGCTTCAGACGGCTCTGGCCTGCAAAAAATCCAAGCCAGGCCAAAGCCGCAAATGACGGCTGGCTTTGGCCCGGCTCTGGCCTGAGCTGCGGCTCGAGTAGGGAATTTGCGATTCTGACAAAGTGAGCATGAGCAGGTCATTGTGAAACTAGGATTCAACCACATGACTCCCCTGCTGATGAATCGCGGCAGTCGAGAGCGGCGGTGGAATGTCGGTGGCTTCTTCGTGACATGCGCCACCCAAGGCTTTGATTGCGAGTTGAACATGTAGATATGCCTGACGTGCAAGTGGTAAAGATTAGCGATGTAGATGACTCAGCGTGGCTCCAATGCTTACAACTGGCAGGACGGAGAAAATAAAGTGTGAACCATAGCATTGTCTCCGAACGGAAAGATGGCAGTCAGCGGGAGTGATGATGGTGAAGTCAGGTTGTGGGATATCGACACGGGCAAGCTCCACCACGCCATTCCCAACACTACAAACACCATGCGCAAATGCCCAGTGCACGTCAGCAACTGCTGACGTGGCTCAGACGAATGCGGACGACAAATGAGAGCAGGAGGAGGGAAGAAGGCGAGGAGGAGAATGAGGGAGATGAGATGGATGAGATGAGACGAGCAGGCAGAGATGAGGAGGTTGGCGTTGGGATTGGCTCAATATTTTCTGCCTGTTCAGCATGTCGTGCAGCCTCAGCAATGCGAAAGTCATTGACGGCCTTCTTCTGGAAGGAAAAAGTTGCTGGTTCCGCTGAATGAAGAAGCGCAGCAGTAGGCTTAGTTTTGCGTACTGGATGCATAGCAACACGAGTTTCCCCTATTGAAGCCAGAGAACGTCGCGCGGGATGTCCGTGGAGTGGACCTGCAACTCAGTAAATAGTGAATAATGATTAGCGCGACATATATTAGACAGACATTGTCGTGACATCAAAGTCGAGTTCTTGAAGCGACCGTTGTGCTCGACATCAGGAACCAATTTGCGCTCATTCTATTTTTACATAAATGTTTCCCACAAACTCTCAAAGCCGTGGCCTGAGCCGCCGGCTCCCGGCTTTTCAGAATCATGGGCCGGGCCAAAGCCCTGGTCAGGCCATGACTTTGGCCTGGCCTGGCCTGGCCCACGGCTTGAGGCCGGGCCGTGCACATCACTAATCAGTCCCCCATCCAGAATCGGGTCTACATGCGCAACGTACCTCGAGACACTAAGTATAGTAGCTACTAACTCTACATCTTCTAGATGATTGCCGTAATGCCATACAAAGTAATACGCGCACTGAAAGCGCCATCAAATTCTTTGTTGACAGTTGTTTTTATGCCTTTGTTTCTCTTCCAGTAGTCCCCGCTGTATGGCGAGGATAGTGCAGGGTACCTCCCACGTAATCACACTATCACCGCTCGGCGCTTGGAAGACCGATATGAAGCCAAACGACTGTCGTGCAAAGCCTCTGCGACTTCTATACGCATGAACGGTTCGTTCCGCTGTCAGACACTTGCGCCGTTGTAGCATTTCCCACTGTCATGGCCTCCACGATCGCGCCATTGTTTTTGTCAGATGTCACATTTCTAGGTGCTGACTGCAGATCTACTACAGATTCGACAGAATGAATAATTTTTCCGCTTGAAAGACACCTTGTATTACGTGCTTTACCTCGTCGGAACACCCAATATTTGAATTGTGTGCGGTAACCGGGTAACTGCCGTAGAATTCGTGAGTCTTAATTGAAGCCAACGAATGAATGCACGAGTCCGGCACTGTTTTATGCGATATGAATGTTTTATCTTTTGCGCTTTGGAATTATTTCGCAGCTTTTGTGGTTGGTTTCGATGCAGGATCAGTCGCTATCTCTCATCGGGGTCCTCTGGGAGTGCGGTACGTGTGCCCTTCTTGGTGATTGTTTTGGACGTTTTGTGGTTGTCTCCGCTTTCACCGAATCATGTTATTCGCAATTCACGGACCACACACTGAGAGCGACAGGAATTTCCCGTTTCCCCTTGTACGTGACCATCCTATTCAAACCTATTTTAACCGATAAGGAACTCTCGAAGAAGTTACAACGTGGCTCGGTGCGTTCGAGCCTTTTCGAAGATTGATGAAAATCAAATTGGGATTTAAACTGATGGACGAACTTAGACCGGCTCGATTTGTTTCCACTTCGGTTGGTGCGAAGGACCCGGAACGATGTTCACGCTGTTGCGATAATAATAGTAGACCCTGTTTCTTCATCTCCCTGCATGGTATAGTGCGGTATGAATATTTTTTGCTGACTGTTTTATCGATGCAAAGCACACGCGGTTGTCCTAGTCCGAGAATTAACGGATAGTACGTTACCTTCCCTTACACTAATTCGTACACTCTGATTAATGATTGGCTGACAGGTCTGAGTATGTATTAAGCAAAACTAATATGCATGGATAATGTGTGTATAATCTTTCCGCAGGTAGGTTCATCCACATCCGGAGTCCCGGTTGGGCCATGTACGTGATACTCATCATCGATGATAGCAACAGACAACTATAAAACAGGCAGTTGCCAGACCCTGTTCCACAGGAGCTTTAGCACTCTGTTCTTCCATTTTCTCAGCACAAGATGACGGATATCATCGAAAAGCCTCGTCATTCCGAAACATCAAACAGCTCCTTTTCAACTCGACCTAACGATATGACCGTCCTAGGAGTCGTTGACTTCGCTGACTGTGATCAATGTTCTCCGTACCCCAACCGATGGTCAAGCATCAGGTAGTACCTACCTGTTCGCAAAATATTGACAATAGTTAACTGGACCTGTTGCAGGGAGCGCATCTCCGCACCGGTAGCCGAATTCATGGGTGCCTTCATTCTATGCTTGCTTGGCTGTGGCGGCAATTGCCAGGCAAATCTCTCTGCCAATAAAAGTGTGTCTGCAAGCCCAGCGGGGGTGAGTTCAAGGCATCGAACGTGATGGATGGACTGAGACTCATTGGTGTTTGTTCAAAGAATGCTGTCACATCCAACCTCTCTTGGGCCATTGGTGAGCGAACCTTCATCTTTGTATGTCGACGTCTTCCTTACAAGCTGGTCAGGACTGTCCCTTGGTGTATGGATCTCTGCAAACCACTCAGGTGGTCATTTGAACCCTGCGGTGTGTACCCCTGAATATTTTGCATGTGACTATGTGTGCTGACTCCTAGTAAGGTCACCATAGCATTTGCTACTGTCCGCGGTTTCCCCTGGAAAAAGGTCCCAATCTACCTCCTTGCGCAACTCCTTGGCGCCTTATGTGGGGCAAGTGTAGTCTACGCTACTTACTTCAATGCGATCACCATCGTCGAAGGGGGCTCCGATATTCGTACAATTGCGGTATCTGGTAATCTTTTTGGAACCTATGCGGTAGGTTTAGACCTTTGGCATGATTTCCTGCGGCTCAAGTGTATCTAGGCCGATTATCTTCCTTCAGTCTCCGCCTTCTTCGCTGAAGTGAGTAACTAGCGGTCTTCGATTGAACACATACTGACAACCCGATGTAGTTTATAGGGTCTGCCATGCTCATTACCGGAATTTTCATGTTAACGGATAAAAACAATGGTCCTTTACCTCCTGGTGTTCTTCCTGTTGGAATATTTTTCTTACTCCTTGGCATCGGTTCGGCTCTTGGTATGGATACTGGAGCAGCCCTTAATCCTGCCCGTGACCTGGGGCCCCGTATTCTTACCGCCATGGTTGGGTACGGTAGCGCAGTGTTCAACTTCAGGAACCAGTATTGGCTTTGGTGCCCTATTCTTGGTCCAATTTTTGGCATGATTGTAGCTGCGTTCTTCTATGATGCTATGCTCTACAGAGGTTCAGAAAGTATTACGAACAGGCCGTGCGTTTTAATGTTTCTGTATGACGCAAATACTAACTTGTTTATATGTAGGAGCGAAGAGGCCGAAAGACATCACCTGCACTCGTGCGCTCGCACCAAACCTAATGGGGTTGCAGGAATAGTTTGATGATATTCATGATTGGATAACACTCGTGATGACACTGGTAGCCCGGACATGACCCTCTACGTATGATGCCCATCTTTGACTCCTTTCGGATGTGTGTTTTTTTTGTATTTTTAAGTAAAGTCTTACCGATAGGTTGGAATTTACGTAGAATGAGGTTTAAATTTAAGCGCTTAAGCACGCGACAAGTTTTGAGTTGAAGGTTTTTCGTTTATTCGTTGTTTCGCAATGTCATCACTTGTTCCCATCGCTTGACACAAAGCACCGTCCAACGAAAGAGCTGTCTGCCAGACTGTGACTGACTCAACTTGGCTACGACTCTGGCATTGTTGCGAGCCGAATTAATAACCCCTGTGATGTTGAGCTGTATACTCTCGAGTGTACAGATAAGATCCGGCTTCCAAGATGACTACTTGTTCCAGTTAGTCTCTGTTAGATGAAGGAAGATATTATGATAATGACGTTATCCCGGGCCGCAACCTTCAAGTTGTCTTCTCACATACTAGTCGGGTATGTAGTCTTCCTCTGCCTACAACACCTGACCACCCCCCCCGCATCACGTGCCAAGTACAACTATAACCTCAACCTCCGAGTCTACACCTTGAAGCCTCCTCCCAAGGCCCTCCTGCCACCTCCTACTTTCGCCAAGCCATCAGAAAAATGTCGGAATGCTTATCGGAGTGTTTTTGCTAAGTATTTTTCCAAGGATTTCAAAGGACCGCTGATTTGACACTTAATCATCGGAGTCAACAGATATGATGACCGTCACCGTTCGCCTGCCAAGCCGTGGCGAAAACAAGGTACCAGCAGCCTGTGTAGCCCTCGGAAACCTTGTCAGCTCCGGTAGCTAGTAAGTAGCACCTTTGAAAAATACTCACTCCAAGTAACTCTACTAACGATAAATAATTTTCAGTGGCCGAAACCTTGTGGGCAAAACATCGAAAGTTGCCCAAAGCGGAGCACTACCGCCCAAAACACGTTCTAATTTGGTATTCCAAATATTGACATTTTCTGGCTAGCCCAAGCCACTATAGTGGGCTCGCGCAATCATTAATAGCTAGGTTAAACTCAACAGAACATACTGAACTGCTATATTTGCTACCAATGCATCAGAGGGAGCGCATACTAGCTATAATGCACTCAGGCCGTACCTCATTCACAAGAAAAAGAGCGAAAATATTAATTTGAGCAGGTCAGATGGTCCTTCGTCTTCGTCATCTTCCTCACGCTGTCTCATGATGAGCGCTGGAACGTTCAGTCATGGTGTTCCTTAACTTAATCTCGTTGATTTGATATCTTCGACTCGACATCTTGATGCTTCCGAAGTTGTTCCGAAGCACAGCGGAGCTTACCTTGACAGTAGCGCGTGACATATATACATTAGGAAGTGAAGCTTTGAAGTCTGGACAACGTGAGTGCTCACCACTATGCCATTCCGAAAAACCAGTCACGCTTCATGATCTCTCTCGAACAGATACTCGGAAAGTATATTTTAGCGGATGATCAAACTTGGGCGCAAAACAGGGGACAATGAGTTCGACACAACCTAGTGTCCTCCTGCCAATCGTCCCTGAGGCTGAGTACTCACCTTTGGTGAAGTGAACCGTCTACTTCGACTCGTGAACCACTGTCCTGACTCTGGTTCCTCAATGCACTGCTAATCTTATCTAGCGATAACAGATTCATCTCTGTTCACTATACAGTCATCTACCGGGAGCTTTCACTCACAGGAATTTCCCGCAAAAAGCTGAAGAAGATCGCGAAAGAAATGAGAATAAATAACAGATTTTATCAAGAGAATGGCACAATATGACCTCGTCTCTTCGCAAGCTCTTTTGGTGAATTTGGCTCTGCTTCATTGTCTAGGTCCGTGCCTGTCGGAACGGATGGAGTCGTTCAAGTTCAGTTTCGACAGCCGCCGCAGGGTCGGAAAGTTCATCGAAGATGGAAGGTGAGGATATGATAATGATAAGCTAGGGGAAGAATCACGATGTGGTTGTACATCCTAATGTACTCATGTCTCATGCGCTGCTGTCAAGACTTTTGCACACAGCTGCCAAGTGTAATAAACCGTAAAACAGAAGACCTACAAGAAAAGTTGATCACTCTAACTAAGGAAGGCCACACATGATAAGGAAAAAAAAATGTTTCCAAGCAAAAAATGAGGAAGACATCTCTCTGTGTTTTAAAGCTCGTCAAACTTCAACGGAGGATCCTGACGCGAACAAAATGTCTAAGTTATTGTTGCCATTCGCGAGTCCGGTGTTGTCGACGGGATAGGTTTAGCAGAGGGAAGGTAGGCTTGGGCGGAAAAGGACGATGGAGGCCATATGAGGACATAAGCGCACCTTCAATCACCAGAGAAGAGCAGAGGCAGCGAAAGGGATGGACGAATTGTGTTTGGTGCTGTGAGGGCGCATGGACTAATAAAACTTGATCTGGGAGTTAGATGAGCGCAGATGGCAGGTATTATGGACAAGCAAAGAGATGGTTAATGGACAACCCGAGTTGTAGATCAAGTTGATTGAGGTTTAGGTGGTGCCTTTCATGTAGATGAACCGTCGTTGGCATTGGAAAGCGCCGGAAAGTTGTGCTGTTCGTGATCAACAGGTTTTTGCCGCTGCCGTTCCTTAGTACAAGAAGTTTGCGACGTACTAAAAGGTGGTTCACCCTCGGCACAACAAAACCGTCCAGCACGGCGTTTCTAACAATGTTGCATGATGTAGAAAGGTTTGTTTTGTGGTAGCGCTGGTCATTCTCACCTGGCCCATCTTCGAATGATGCTGGGGCATATACTTCTAGAATCACGACTTCAAGAACTGATGTAGACGGTGCTGGTGAGTGACGAAAGGGCTACATCAAGATCGTCTTCTTCGTTGATGGTCGTAAATGATGCAATGGCCAGGCCGTAATGTATGTCTGTGCGCTAGTATTGGTACTTCAGAAAGATACTATGGGAGAACCGATATCTGTTTCGGTCATTTCCGAGCCAAAAAGGGACTTGGGCATGCTGGACTTTATTATGGCCGAGTAGCCCGAACGTTCAGTCACCAATCATTCTCGCATGAAATCAAGTCTCAGATGATTCGCCAGTATTGCGACGTGGATCAACTGGGCTGGCATGGCGGAAAGCTTCTACGCGCGTCCCGAAGCGTCCTCGAGATTCTTCCGAGCCTGAAGATCTCATCTTTTTTGGAGGACCGTCGAAACGAGGTCGTTCTTCACAATCCATTCATACGAGCCCCGTCGATAGTAGTGGAATCGAACCGTTGTCTTATACTTTGCATCATCACGATCCACTCGCGGTATCATATCAAGACGTTCCAAGGACTTTCCCAGGTGTCCTATTTTTTTCTTCAGGAAACGTCTACCTTCGCTTCTGTACAATCACTGCACGAAATCTGAATCCATAAAGACCTCTGCTATCGCACACTTTACAAAAACATTAAACAAGGTCCCTGCCAATGAAGTTCGGTGCCATTCTAGTACAGCAGGAAATAGGATCATCTACTTTGAAACCCTGTATCTTGAACAAATACCACGACGGATCCTCAACCAAATTTCTCGTCCCTGCAGATCACTTGGCAAGCATTTCCCTACAGTACACTGTTAGTTAATACATGTACACGCTCCTGGAAGACAATCGAATTCATGCTAGCTTCTGCATCGAAGCCTGCCACCAGTTTGGCGTGATTTTCTCGGACGCTAAGGATGAGGCGTGGTCCCAGCACAAACATCTGCACGAACAATAAAATTTGAAAAACACCATAGGCCACCTGAACTTCAATAGAATTCGAATTCTACAGAAATGATGAGCAATATTTACACGCAGATGTTGGTGAGAGGTCAGCGAACCAAGATTTCGGAAGACAGAAACATAAGCTGGAGGCAAGAGACACCAGCAAAGCTGACATCATGTGCGAAACTTGAGCAGAAAATATAACCGCATTCGCATTACAAGCTCACCTGGCAAAATAAAGAACGTGAGATTGTATCAGCACTCTCAAACACTCCCCAATGGCCGATCGTGTCGATGGGCCGAGTCGTCGCAGGTCACGGAAGTGTTTCACAGCAACCCAGACCGAAAGACACAGTGCGAGGGCCTCCCAAATAGTGTTGAGCATCCAAAGCATTGAAATAAGAAGCTGCTCGTCCCCTTCATATTCAAAACCGCACATATACGTGCCAGACAGTATGAACTCCTCTGGTGTTTGTCCAATGAGGTCTGTTCTTCAAGTCAACAAGTAGAGCTTACCCCCTACAACATACTTGAGTGCTATTGCCGAGATTACGCCGCAGGCGATGTTAACAACCAGAAATATAATAACAAGGAAGATGAGCATCATTCTAGATCCCTGATACATGGCATGTAAGCGAACAGTCATGATGACTTGTATCAAGTTTCAGTCGAGTCAAGGTATTACAGCTGAGTAACTCACCGCCCAACATGGCATTTACGACCACATTTGTCCCATTTACCGCGTAATACGCAATATTGCCTAAAACTCCCAATTAGTGAACAACACCCTCTATGATACTAGTATCGAACATTCCGACTTACACCTATTGAGTGATTATGTTGAGCCAAGCTCAATGGTGAGAATCTCGCTCACCCCTACAAATGAGTTCATTCATTGGATGCGAATGAGATGTGGAATACTTACTACATCTGTCAGCGAGACTGATGGCATATTTACTGTGTGCCGCCGGTGAGAAGAATCAAACACAGTACATATGAGACATACCCAGAACATTGGCACTAATCGTCAGAGATGAGTACTAGTTATTAGCACAAACCCAATTTGAATTTATTGGCCTCAACACATACACAGAAAATGATATTCCAATATAACGTATCTAGAACATTTTGGAGTCAGCACAAGTTGCCCACCACGCTAAAGCACAACATGAGGTACTAACAATCAAATACAGCACAGTCATGAGAGACCAGCGTTGTCTCTGTCGCGAATTCACTGCATGCTCTTGTTTTCTTCTGATACGGGACTCTTGTCACTCACCCAGATCAGTTCAATCTATGACACCTTTCTTAGCATGTTGGCTGCTCCAGCAATAACATCGACCTACCTCTTGTCCGAGTGTTAAGACTAGAAATATCATGAAAATATCGGCAATTTTCAAACACTGTCCTGCTCACCCCAATCATATACCACCACGACGCAGGCGGCAACTGCGAAACGGTAAGGCGACGTTAGATCTAGACATTTTGATGCGACGAACCCATCCAATAGCTGTTAAAAATTTGCACACTGATATACGGCCACCAACTTGGATCGTTTGAGACTACGGTCATGTTCGAGGGATGTGTGTGAGCAAGTGGGGTATGTTCGTAATGTATAACGACAGTATTCCTGTTAGATATACCACCGAATTAGCACAGCTCCTGATTGCTTTCTGTCGCATTCGGTGGCGTGGCAAAAGTTAGAGAAGAAACACAGCAATGCACTATATTCGGTGGATTCGATCATGCACTTGATGTGACAGTGATGTATTGCACTGGTGGATACATCTTGACTAATGCTGCGTGATTGATGCCTGTTAAATATAAGACACCATACATACTAGGTCGAAAGAGAAATCGTACAAGCGAGACAAGATGCTTGTGACAAGCAAAAGGTTTAATTTCTGATTGTAGAGCGCGTAAGTGGCCATGGTGGTTTTCGAGTGCCGACTTGAGCAGGAGCCGGTAATGGTTGCGTGAGCAAAGAATGCCATTGCCAGACCTTCATCATGCTCAGTAATGGCATGGATAGGCTATGAAAGTCGCATCGTGGTTTGATGCTTGCACACGCACAGCCATCGTACAGACACACCGTTGCTTTAGAATACTAATTCCACCTTGACAGGGTGCCAACGATACAAATCCGAAATAGTCACATATCGCAACATGCAGATAGCATCACATCTTCGCATGGGAATCCTTAGCCTGGACAATACGACCGCCATGACCCAGAGGACTTGTCATATGAACGTTCCTCCACCAGATATCCGCCCTCCTTATGGTTCTCCGAGCGCTTCAAATGCCAATATATTGTTAGGCGTTTCCCATGGCTTTGATATTAACATCTTGTTGTTCGAGATAGAGAATCTTGACTGTCGCGGCTGCGGAAGTTCCTGTGTAGGTACATGCTGTGTTGACACAGATTAGTGCTATTGAGTGTTAAATACATGAAAGCTATGACATACTTACCTGTGGCAACACCAAATCAGTCAAGGCTTTAGAATCTCCATTGACGGTGGTAGAGGAGAAACAGAAATGGAAACGAGAGTCGAAAATAACTTGTTGAAGGAGTCGTAGAATACGTGCACATGAGAAACGACAAAGCGAATCTAGGATGAATGTTCAGAGAAGGTGCTTTGGTTGTTGGATGTGTTGTCGTTATATGCACGACGTGGTGACTATGCGAAACGGTTTGCGAGCGAATCACCGCTCGATCGACGCACCGAATAGACAGCCGGGAGTGAGGAGATAGATAGTGATGGGGTAGGTGACCGCGAGAGCTGGCAGGGTCAATTTCGCTGTGGTTGCAAGCGTATGGAGACTTGTTTGCTGAAGTACGTTGGTCACCGGCTGTGTGTGAATGTCAGAGATTTGGCCAGTCTGGGGCCAAAGTCTGGGGCGGAGTCTGGGGGTAGAGTCTGCAGAAAATCCAGAAAGTCTGGGAATCCAAATTTCTGGCAGTCCTCGTCCGGCTGCGTGCGGGTCAGGTCCGGATCCGTCACAACTTGTCAGTTTTTAATGTCGCATCCAGGCTATACTGACAATGTCTGTCATATTGAAGCTTCAAGGTGTGTGATAAGAGACACACCTTGATCCATAATGTGTCTAGTTCCTTGACATCTGCAGCTTGATGCATGATGCTTCATGAATCATGAAGCATCAAGCCTTTGTGTCTCTGCCTTAAAGCTTCATGCTTTCCCTTGGGCAGGTACGCCCCTTCCTGGCTTCTTTGCGTCTCTGCGCTGAAGCTTCACGCTTCTTCCGTTCTTTAGTTTTATGACAACGTTCTGTTTCGGTCATTTCCGAGCCGAAAAGGGATTTGGGCGTCTATGTAAACGGTGCTGGACTTCTGCTCCCAATCTTTAACACCATGAAAAGCGCTGAAAAAAGAAACAGCGACAATACTGCACCTGCAGTCGCCGGTCCTTCAGACGATGCGCCACTAGTACTCTTTGACATGAACTCCCATGGCCAGATTCCTTTAATCGACAAGGAAAATCCTTTTTACTGCCCGAGCTTCCCAGCTGCAGCATATCTGGCTACCCTCCGGCAAGCTCGTAAATCGAATCCTTTCCTTTTTCAAGACATCTCTTTGCGCTCTTTTTTCTGGAAAATCGGTCTCTGCTTCACAAAAGAAAACCAAAATTATACAAGCAATTCCATCCCTCGCAATAGCCTAGATGCACCTTTATGGTCGAGTAGCCCGGCCGTTCAGTCACCAATCATCCTCGCACGAAATCAAGTCTCAGATGATTCGCCAGTATTGCGACGTGGATCAACTGGGCTGGCATGGCGGAGAGCTTCTATGCGCGTCCCGAAGCGTCCTCGGGATTCTTCCGAGCCTGAAGATCCCATCTTTTTTGGAGGACCGTCGAAACGAGGTCGTTCTTCACAATCCATTCATACGAGCCCTGTCGATAATAGTGGAATTGAACCGTTGTCTTATACTTTGCATCATCACGATCCACTCGCGGTATCATATCAAGACGTTCCAAGGACTTTCCCAGGTGTCCCTATTTTTTCCTTCAGGAAACATCTACCTTCGCTCCTGCTCCGAGTTCTCCCTCTTAAATACTAAACATATACATATACTGACTATATGCGTCTCAGCGTGGGTCTATGAATCTGAAACAGGAGATGAGACACCAGTAGACCTTTCTTATTTGATGAATCGCCTTGAAATGGTCATCCCGGGCACGGGTGTGCACCAGACGTTCCTAGGAGACCCTCTGGCCGTTCTGCACCTCACTCACCAGAAAATCACAAATGTTCTGGCAGACCGGGGTATCGATCACAGGAATGTCTCCTCCCGTCATGAATGCTGAATGGTTTTAGGACTCCTTACCGAAATCGTGTTGACACTCCTGCGAGGTGGCAATATCGATAGATTGGTGTTAGGTCCTACGATGTGCGAGGAAGATGGGCTAAATTTACATTCAGGCAATCTTTTACGCGGTAAAGCTCTTGGCAACACAGCTCTGTTGAAGGCTTGACTTTGGACAGTATTCAGCAAACCTGGTTACTACTTGACGCTCAAGGAGCTAGTCCTCGATGGCGCCCACTTGGAACGCGATTTCGACCTCGTTCACATCCAACAACTTCCTAACCTAGAAAGACTCCATCTCGAGGGGACTGATATCGGAAACGAAGCGTTGGCCATCAAATTTTTGGTGTTCTCATGACAACTGACGGTCTCTCAGAGTATTCTTACTGGTCACCCTCAAAGAGAAGTTGTATTATCTGAACCTTGCACACAATCCGAAGATCGACGACGACGCAATACCTGCTATCCTCCTACTTACCAACCTAGGATATCTTTCGATTCAGGCAACTGGAGTCGAAATGCCTGGCTTTCGTCGGCTCGCAGCAGTAATCCACGCCGAGGATCGCGTCATTGACATTGAAATTCCATTCAGATGCGAGAAATACATCGATAGTTAAGTGTTTCTTGTTCATTTAGCGTAACTTACCTGGTTTTCAGACTTGCACAAGCAATACCTCGTCGATCCTGCGTTGCCTCTCGTCACTGATCCCTCTGCATGTCCATTGTTATCAGATGTCGCGCTCATCCGCAACCTTCAAGCTCACGCCGACGTCAACCCCTCGATTGTACCGACAGGAACGCGTTTAGAGATGATCGAGAGATTGAAGAAGCTCTTGGAACGAAGGCAGATGGACCTTGTTGTGCGTAGTATGATTTGCGGTGAACCTGGGGAAGTCTGAGATTATCATGTGAATTATAATATGCATCAGAGAGTGACACAAGGATACCGTGATGCTGCTGCGTACACTGCAATGGAATTGGAAATACGTCGAAAGTACACGTTCTCTGTCGACTAATTGGTACCGGTGTGAACGAGTCGGCTCCGAACAGACTGCTTGAATGATCACATTCCATTCTCTCGTTCTATCACCCCCTACTCTCAAATCTTTACCACCATGAGAAGCGCTGAACAAAGAAACGGCATCATCACGTCGAAGCGGAATGCGAGAGACAAGGCGCTTGGTTTTGCTGGTCCTTATTTGGTGAACGACCATGACGCCTATACCGAAGCAACGGGTTAGTCTGCGTTCCGCTCGGGGACGCATGTGTCGTGACTTCTGTAGCCAGCGAAATTGTGCAAAGGATAGCCAAAGAAGAATGGACCTCTTCTCAAGTCCTTGAGGCATACATTGCGCGATCTGCCATGGCCCAGGCCGAGGCCAACTGTCTTACAGAAGGGGAGTAGATTCTCCATTTTTCTTCCGGTATTTCCTTCCTGATACCTTCCACAGTTTTATATGAGGATGCCCGAGAACGAGCAAAAGAGCTTGACGCAGAATTTGCGACTACAAAGACATTGCGGGGACCTCTCCATGGTGTTCCATTCAGCGTCAAGGATAATTGTACGTCGCTCCATGTTTGACTGATACCTTTCTGAACCCTGCTGTAGACCAGATTGAAGGATACGACGCGACGACTGGTCTCACTGCGTGGGCCAACAACCCAGGCAAAAAAGACGCTTGCGTATGTCCTTATTACAGCATTCGCCCATTCTCTATATCATTATTTGTAGCTCGTTGCTCAACTCAGAGCTGCTGGTGCCATCATTTTCGTGAAGACCAATGTACCGCAGACAATGTTCGCGTTCGAGTGCTCTAATCCTCTCTGGGGTCGCACGACAAACCCATGGAACAACAAGTATACATGTGGAGGTAGCTCGGGTGGAGGTTCGTTATCTGCTTGTGAATCTCCCAGTGCATAACAGTGTCTGGTGCTAGAGGGAGCTTTGCTTGCCATGGACGGATCCGCCATTGGTGTCGGCTCTGATGTCGGAGGAAGCCTACGCATCCCGGCATCGTATTGCGGCATATACTCTTTCAAGCCGACGGCTGAACGTATCAGTTCTGTTGGTACACCAGGAAGGTCATGTTCTCGATTCTTCCAACCAAAACGCTAACTGGCTTTTTCTTACAGGCATCCGGCCTGGATTTGAAGCAGTTCGATCTTCTCATGGGCCATTGGCGCGGTTAGTCACTAACTGCATTACTTGGTTCATTTCTTGACTATTTTCTAGGTCTGTCCAGGACTGCGAATTGTTCTGCAAAACTATCTTTGGTCAAAAGGACTCGTCGCACCAGAATATTCCTATGCCATACCAAGCCGTCGAGTTCCCTTCAAAGCTTCGCTTTGGTTATTACCTGTCAGGTACCGTAATATATTTTGGTCTTTACGATTTACTGCTGATAGGATCCTTATAGATGGAATGATAGAAACATCACCTGTATGCAAGCGAGCAGTATTAGAGACAGTCTCGGCACTCAGGAAGCAGGGACATGAATGCATCGAGTTCACATCTCCTCTAAGTATGCCTTCTATACATGTCCCCGCTCTCCGTCCTGACATTTTATCAAGACAGAACCGCGATGGAAGTGTTCGTAGCACTCGCATCATCTGACGGTTATAAGAAGATGCTGTCGCATCTTGATTCAGACCCTATGGCAAGTTTAAATTAAGGATATACTGTCTATAGCTTACATAACCCGACCTGCAGGAGGACAGCTTGTTCCTGGTCACCTTGGGCCCCAGATTACCGTCCTTTGTTCGTAAGCTGGCTTGTTGGATCGCCAAGACATTCTTGGGCGACTCCTTCTTCTCGCAGCTCTTCTCGTTGGCACGAGAGAAATCTGTCACGGAATTTACAGATTTGACCGACCAACGCGATAAGACTATTGCTGCGTGGTATGAACAGGTGAGCGCGTCGACATCCAGGAGACTTTCTTTGTTAATCGCCCCCAGGTATGGGACAAACACGGTTTCGACGGAATCATCGCACCTGTGCAGTCCCTTCCGGTGATACCTCACGGGTAGGCTTCAGTACCTTCCCTCTTGGTTGTGAAGCTTATCATCTCCAGGGGTTCCGCATACTTATCCCCGCTCGCGGCCGCGACTATTATATACAACATCGTCGACTCTCCCGTCGGCACCATACCAGTGACGCGCGTCAACCCAGATACCGACCAGCTATCAACAGATTTCGTTCCAGGCGTCTCAGGCCAATCGAAAGTGTTGGAAAGCCGCATGTACCTGGGCAAGAATCCCATTTACGATCCTAAAGCGATGGAGGGTATACCCGTTGGTGTTCAGCTTGTGGGTAAGAAATGGGAGGATGAGAAGGTCCTCGCAATGATGCACGTCGTCGACGAAGCACTGGGACCTAGAGGATTCGGTCCAGGTAGTTGGAAACAGAGAGAGAAAGACAGTGATTCCTGACTTATGTCGATCCGCGATGGTGCAGCCGGTGCTTCCCGGTCCGTTGTTGAAACAATGGCGGCGAGTAACCTAAGCAAATCGAGTCTAAATGTTGCATATAGATATATATTGGGGCAATGATGAGGACTTGGGATACAGTTTGTGAGGCAGAACATAAGTGATTATTGATGCGTGGACGATATCGTAAGTAGATTGGGTCGTGAGCACGTGAACACAAACATTGCAGTGGAGTTCTATATCACATCATCAAGCGGGAATGAAAGAGGAGAAAAAAGCGGAAAACAGGATGAAAAAGAAAAAGAAAAAGACGTAAATGGAATTCATCAGTGCATGGGACAGTAGGGAAAAGGGAAGTGCACATTGAAAGCAAGCCTAAGGAAAGAAACTAGACGAAGAATATGCGCGATAAGACTCTCGATGATCCCCCACACATGCAATAATGAGGGATCATGGGTCTGAGGCACTGGAGCGCTCACATCCTGCTCTTCCCTTTGGGATCAGAAGGGTAGCTGGAGTCACTCTGTTGCGACGACGGCGACGACGAGCCTTGAGACGAGTGGTACTGTCCTTGGTGGTAGCTCTGAACGCGTCTAGCACTAGGTAAGCCACCCTCATGAGTGTACTCAACGCCCGGTCTGGGATTAGGCTGCATGATAGGCCCGTTGCGATCTTGAGTCATAAAGGCATGTTGCGGACGGGTGGACGTCATTGGAACAGGGCCGAATGTAGTGGGAGATGATGCCACAAATGCTGAGGATGAAGACGTGGAGGTTAGAGGCACTCTGGCTGCTGGCATCTGACTGAACCCCGAGCGTCCAAATCCTCCCTGTCCAAATGACGTCTGACCGAATCTCGGCGCTAATTCTGGACTTCCATGAGGTGGTAACTGGCTCTGCAGGTACCTAGGCGACTGCTGGGAAGAACCAAGGACTGGATATGGACTGGTGGCAGGCCTGCGCACAGCAGGTCGGGTTCGACCTTCGCCAACAATGTGACTTCCCTGTCTCAATTCCGGGTCGATGTAGGACTCGTCGGATGCTGCGGGGCTAGGGCGATTTGAAGCGTAATTCGAACCTGCTGACATACCAGCCTGAGGTACATTCGTCCCTTCTATGTCACCTTCCGATGAAGAATCGTCATCGTCGCCCTGATCAAGTGCCGCCCGAGCAGACTTGCTGCGGCGCTTACGAGGGCGCTTGTAACCCTCACCACCAGAGCAGTCGAGTTGCCAATAGCTTCCTTTACCCGGCTCCGTTATAGCACGGGGCACATGTTTGAAGACTTTGTTCAAAGAGAGGTTATGGCGAATCGAGTTCTGTGCATAATCATGAGGCTTAATAGGTGAGGAATCGGAATGAAAACTCACCTTCCAAGCCTTCTCATTTCGCCGAGCCTTGAACCATTCGAAACGATCTTCGAGTGCTGTGTATATCTCTTGTAGCGTGAGCTGCTTGTTCGGGCTTCCGTAGATCGCCAGCTTGATCAATATAGGATAGGGCTGGTTTGGTTTCTCTCCTTCGGGAGGATCTGGAAGCGCCCACAAGTTGATTTCCTTGTAAGGTGGAATGTGCAGCGTCTCACGCAGGTAAGGTCCCGCGTCTTCGAAAATAAGGTGCCTAGACCTCTCATCAGTAGTGGGGGCAGCGGGGAATGTCGACAACGACCCATGAGAACTAGACGGTGATGCCGATGACTGTTCGAAATGTGCTTGAGATGAATTAGTGGGCAGGGGGAGGTCCTGATGTGTCTGTTCATAGAACTCGGGAGCAAGAATGTTGTTGGATTGATATGAAGATCGTGGAGGTGGTCTATAATGAATGGTGGCACTACTGGTGGGTGGCTGGAGTGGGTATTCAGCATGCTCAAGGCCCAGGCGATGAAGACCATGATAAGCTGGGTAATGCGAATGGGGCTGTTGCAAGTGTTGTGGCTCATTAGAAGATGACTGGCGCGAGATCGATGAATGATATTGCTGATATTGGGAATGCGATGCGTATGATTGGTCTTGATCGGAAGATGAGGAGCTGCTCCAGTTGCTGTCTACGCTGACATGAGACTCTGCGGGACTTGGGTACTGCAGTGGGAGAAGTAATAAAATAAGATAACTTGTAAATGAATGCTTGGGATACTCACAGATGGAATGCCGTGAGCTCTCGTACTGCCATGTGGCGTGTGTGTTAGATATGCTTGTGGTAGAGACTGCCCTGGCCGAGGAGGGACATAGGGAGTGTCATTAAAATAGTCCGAAGTCAGAACTCCAGAATCGTGAGCTCTACTTCGAGAGGCGCCGAAATGGGTGGCTCCGACCTGGTTGCCGGTGCGGGCAGTGCCAGAGTCGGACTCCCCGTCCGAGATATTATGTGAATGGGGGATGGTGACTGAATTATTTATTGTGAGACCGCCGAGAGGAAGGACACTGCCGGCCAAACCCCAGGTGTTGAAATGCGATCCGCCAGGCATGGCAACTGCTGTGCAAAGGACATTGTAAAAAAAGTAGCGAGGACCCACCAAACCAAACAATTTGACAACATCGGAACGTGAAAGGGTCGGTCGAGTAATAAGACGGACGCGACGCGGAGGTCAGGTGATCAAGAGGTTGTAGATAACACGTAAAAGTATTAAAAAAAAAAGATAATGCAAGTTATGATTAGTAACGGCATTTTCCGAGATGTAAATCAGATTTTACCTGACAAGGATAATCAGATAAAGGAGTATGAGAAGAGGATGGTCAACTGTTCAAAAATGAAAGAGATCCGGGGAAGGATTAATACAGAGAAGGGTTTGTATGGTTTGAGAGGCCTTGTGGGCTTTTTTTCACTGGAAATACCAAGTAGGCGGGCCCGCCTTTTAAGCACGACCGCAAGGTGTGACATGTTTCACCTTCTCACTCCGAAAATTACCAAAGGAAGTAAAAAATTTGAATTGCTGTAAAGTGGTTGGAAGCAATCGAGCTCCATGATTGCCTTTGAACAAGGTTTGTCGTGCGAAATGAGTACGTCAGCTCCCTTTGACTGAGGACGCTGACCATGGGAACTCTGCTATTTGCCTTGCAAGGTAATTCATGATGGCAGTGTCGACCGCAAGTCCATATTGACCTGATCCAGTAATTTTGACTGGATTGCGTCGGAGGCAGGTTCTCTATTTCCCTTTTACAGCAAGCCCGCTCAACACACCACGCTAGTTCAAGTGTTTCAACAACGAGGCATCACCTCCATACAATATAATCAGATTACAAGTTATCCGACATTAATTTGGTCTTGCAAATTGCAGTAAAAACAAGTTCGGAGTGTGGGCTCCTCGAAGCTAAAGAAGAGCCTATCGACGCATACGAGTGGGTGTGCCAAGCTGGAAGCAACCTCAGCGGAATCAAATAGGCGAATCGTGATATTCAGTATCGGCAACTGCCGATACCAGCATTGATGCGGACGCTCCGCATCATTTCAGGCCTCTGAGTCCTTGGCCTTCTCAACGGTTTGACAGATCCTATCCATGACACACCAGATGTCCCGCCGCCCATGTGGCTTGTCAACGAAGTGCACAAGTCAAATCAGATACTCCGAGTAACCAACGTTTCAGCTGAGCCGACGTTCAATACCACGACCGGTGTTCCCGGTCGCAGAGATCACAATGAATCTACCGGCGAAAACTTCACTTCGCACACTCAATTCCTGCCTTCAGATAGCGAGAGATTTAAACTCTCTTCACTCGTTGTGGCCACTGCGACGACAAATTGAACTATCAGTTACATGTCTGTAGGTCCAGACAATCCGGCGTTAAGCATTATTATGCAGTATGCCAGGGATCCTTGGACGTCTACAATTCATTATTCAAAACACGTCCACCATTATCCTTGGAGAAGCCTTGACGGAAAAAAGCCACTCTCCCACATCTCCAGTAACGCGGTCCAGGACCTTCGGAATAGAGAAATACAACCCCAAAATTCCACAGTACAGTACTTCTCGCTCTGTTTTGCTCGTCATGACTTGCACTTTTGCCCTGGTACTCCAGCTACGTCTATGAATCGGTGTTCCTGGTTTATTACACGAGACTTCAAATACCATGTCGGTTTCCGTATCTCTTCCGATTATTGGCCGCGATATTGGAGTCCAAGAAGATCAGCTTCAGTGGCTGGTTTTGACTATTATTTGAGTTCGGCGTGTATATCCGCTCATGTACATCGACTTCTCACCAATTGTACAATACAAGGTTTTCAAGGCCTCGGGGTTAGCTGTACTGAGCTCCTCAGTAACATGTACTAATACCTAGATTTCATGACTGCTTTCACACTTGCGCCAGGTGGGCACGCATTCCCGCCGTCTCGTGCATGGTCAATTGCTTTTCCTTGTTTTCTGGTGCTCCCATTAGGGGTGCTTTCAGAACCATGGTCGGTGGTACCGTTACCCAACCCTCAAAGTATGTACTTACGTCAAGGATCGTATTCTTGGTGAACTGACGGAACATAGGCAACACTGACGTGCCACTGACTACGTAGCTGCCGCATTATCGGCGACATGTTCCAACAGTGCTTTAGTATCCTTTTATGTTGATAAAAAATATGCCGATGTCGACAAGCGCATTGACTGAATCGTTGTAATTCTAGTGACGTCTGTATTTGTGTTTATTGTTTCGTTCTTGGGCAAGGCTCTCTCCCACTGCAGGGCTGGAAAGCCGCTCGTAAGTTTGTTTTCGATCTTCCGCTAAAGACATCTTGATGGTAGAGCTCGATATTATCGCCATGCTCATTGTCGGCGTCTTCTTTGTGGGCTCCTTCATAGCATGGGAGCGTTTCCTGGAGGAAATTAGGAAGGTAGGTACTTTAAATGCACGATGGATTGAAAGCGGACAACATGTTGTAACAGATTGTTTGACGAGTCTACATTTAATTTAATTTAACTGAGAGTCATAGACCTGCGATGCATGCATAAGTATGTGATGGACCTGAACCCCATGTCCACTCCTTCATGCCACAGCACTCGGATATTTCGATGAGAGTCCTACTCCATCACAATCCATGTTTCTCGAGGCAGCTGCACAGTAACTTCTGTCATTGCCGCTACTTTCTTAACGGCTCCAACGTTGACAATGACAGTGACACGTCTCCGAGTCTTGCAGATGCTGTATCAATTTTCCAGCAAATGTGGACGGGCCAGCCAAAACTCATCGCCAATGATATCGCAGTGCAGTACCTCTACTGTAGTTTCCAGTTTGTTTTTCTTCTTCGACTTGAAGCGTTTTTGACGCAGAGGGTCGAACGGTGGCGTCTCACATTGGTCCGTAGATGGTGAATGCGGAGGTATGCTTGTCGGCGGATCAGGCACTCCTGAGCGTTCGGGGCTCTCTTCGCGTGTTTTATTGACCTCCGAGCGAGTCAAATGCATTGAGGGTTCTAAATTTTCACCCTTGTCCGATGACTCAGGGGCTACCTACACGTTAACGTGAACAGGATTGACGGAGTACATTCCAACGGGACGCACGATTTCTCGAACTATAACGCTGCCTTTCTTAAACCTCTGTGATATTTCATTATAGTTGATACCAAACCGGGAAAAAAGCATCTCGTGCTTAGTCGCGGAAACGGTGCCCTGAAGATTTGTCAACGATCCATCACAGATACAGAGGAAAATATAGATACTCTAAGTGTGGCATGAGCCTCCGTAGTAGTCTGACCTCCTTTCTGTATGAGAGCCCAAAAGGTGGTATTGTATAGATTGTTTATATGGGCTTTACGCTGACAAGCAGCTGTGCTCAGTCTCAGCAAAACGATAGTCGGAGATAGACCCACTGTCAGCTTGTCGCCATGAAAAGTAGTCACGGATAGCACGCTCAGTCGGATACACGATAATACGTCCATCGAATGACGGTGGATATCGTAGTGGCGTGTCTGGGAAATACTGCGACCAATAGAGCACATAGCACGAAGTGAAGTAAGACGTCAACGTGGTGAGTATCTTCGAGTGTCGTCGGTTATAAAGATTCGTCGACTTTCGGAAGAGAAAGCTGTGATGAGCGATGATAAAACTGGTCAGAACTGGAAAGAAGGGGTTATAGTTGCCTGAATTCGTCGGATTCCCCGAATGCGAGCATGATGTCTTTGAACTCGATCATTGCGCTCTTTGCGGCGTGATCCATGAGTTGGAGCGCACGCTCGTCGTTGGGCTTGGCGAAGCCATGCTCATCCGAGAACCTATAAAGTGCAATACCATTATGCTTTGTCCTCCCCGATCGGCTTATGATGCTCGCTTACCGGTGGAAAGAGTGTCCATCGAGACGACAGACCAGATAGGTATCTGGTAACAGTGGATCAGGGAGCTCAAAATTGCGTACGTATGCAAACTTTGTGCCCGCCATCACGATAGTTGATCTACTACTATGTAGTAGTAGCAACTTGTAAATGTGATCTGGTTTCGCTGGGACCAAAGGGAAGTTCGCTCAAACTCCATCCAAACATGGTAATTACTAAATTACTGACATAAAAGTGGGCGTGATTTCTGGAGGATACATCAACTATTTTACATAAGCATTGATCAAGTATCTTCCCCCAAATCAAAAAAAGCTCCTGCAGATCTGTTTGAACTACTGCGTGGTTCATTTTGCATTCATACGATCTCAAAACGCTAACAAATTCACTTTGATGGGCCTCCAGTACGAAGCACGCGGATTTGGCCCTTTTCACTCTTTTTTTCTGCCACTGGCACACGATGATCCCCAGTCCTTGCTGTCAGGGTGCTAACTCAAACTTAAATTGACTCAGTTGCCAAGTCCTTGTTGGGCATGGAGTACTCCTAGCTTTCAAACACCGTTACTCCGATCAAAAACAATCCTTTAATAATATGCCTCCTACTTGAACTATAGCAAGGCTACTAGCACGACCAAAATGTCATCATTTCCGCCACTACCCCCATTTCCAACTGCGTCATCTTCATCACTTCCCCATTGGTTCATGCATCCTTCCAGAGGCGGCCTTAATTTTATGTCATCAGCGCCCCCAATCATTTCAAGCATAGAAAGTACGGGTCGGAAACGAGAGATGCAAACATACATGGTACGCCAGATGATCTCTTCGTTTTCCTTTGCAGTGAGCACTGACTGCGAATGTTTGTGTAAGATGTCGCTTGATGGCATCGACATGGAAGACGATGAGCAGGATACGCTGTTCGCCAAGTACAGCGTTGACACTGTATCTAAACTACCTGGCAGCGCGGAATCGAGTCCGCCAATACACTCAACTCTTGGCACTCCTGAAGCGCGAGGAAAATGCATGGCTAGAGAAAGTTCAGAAGGCTAAACTTGCAGTGCCAGGTTACAAGCCTGAGCCTGAGGGGGTGGTTATCTCGCTTGAAATCTGAAGATGATCTTTCCTCGTCACAAGTTTGTGCCCTTGTATTCGATTAGAGTGATCTCTGTTTCATAGATATCCCGGTGTCAACTACTGTATTCGAAATAAATGTATCTCTTGCTCGATGTTCTTGTTGTAACAAGGCTTGCCTGAGCTTCAGGATCGTAAGTACACCAGTAAGTTTGATCAATGTGGTCGTACAAATCTGGCAATGCCTAATGAGGGCTAACTTTCATAGCCAACTGTAATTTTAGCTACAGCTGATACTTGGAATTCTCGCTGTCCCAGTGATGCTGATGTATTGCATTGCTAGATCCTTTTCGATACTAGGATTGCATTGTTTTTGTAATTATTTGAATGTGCATTCCGATCTCCCACATTCTTACTATTCTATCGGTATTTCTTGAAATATAACCCAAAAGCTCCAACTACTACAAGCAGGATTTCTCAAGTTTCGATCGTCCATGTTGCTAAAGACAAGTAAATGACTGCCCCTTACTCATTTATGCTCACTGAAACATCCCCGCCGCCACCCAATAATCCACCCATTGCCCCGCGTCTGCTGAAGACAATGACTTCAGCTCCTTCATCGTTGGACTGACACGCTCGGTTACGGCGGTGACTCGGATGCATGAAGCCATTCCAGCCACTTCAATGTCCATCTCTCCAGATGCCCTGGTCGCGATGTCTGATCGAGCGATCGCACGCATGAAGTTGAGAAGCTTGATAGCAGGCTGCAATTGAAGACTAGATGGCAAAATGTTCTGGCCAGCTATAGAATACACGTACGATGCGCTCTTTGCTCAAGTCCTTGGCATTTGATTCGAGCTTTTCGAGCCACTTCGAGAACGGCACAAGTGGTAGCGGGTAACTTGTTACTTTACGCTCAACTAGTAGGGCGTCCGCAATGGCCTGCATCACTGTCCTACATGCGACTGGTCTTGGATGCACTAGATTCATCGCGATGGGAGGTTTTTCTTCCGCACACACATGAAAGTCAAATGAGGAGAGCGCCACGTTAAAGTTGAATGTTGAGTACTGAGTCGCCAAGCGTTGTGAATGATGACAGTGACAGACGTACAGATCTACACTATCTTTAGTCAATTCGGTGAAACCGAAATTGAAACAAATCTTCTGGTATAACTCCTTATCTAGACCTAGGTGATCATTGGATGTATCAGTTCACCAACTGAAGCAGGGTGAAATCTAAACCGTGATCTTTGAATGAATTTCCTGTCGTTGTTGCATGGATGCCTCCTCTGACGGGCGGTTGAAGGCATATACCACAGACACGTCCTCACACTGCAGTAGATCTGCAAGCAGATATAAGCCAAGACAACCCATGGCTTGAGTGGTGTCGGCCTCTGCGACAGAGTTCCCTAATCTGACTGAATACTGAGTATAATGACGACTAAAAGATGTGTGAGCCGACCCTAGGATAGCTATATTTGGTTCCCAGAAAGCACCTCAATGGTTGGTTTCTGGATTTTGGGTAGCACTGAGGACTACTACTGACGGCCCCTAGGACCGTCTGCATTTTATGATTATTTGGTTGTGCATTCTGATCTCCCACGTTCTTACTGTGCCATAGGTACCATGGATACGCCTCTGCACCTTTGCCACGAGCAGATATGCATCACAGGTATCAATTTTGGGATATGCCATGTACTTTACTCAGCATAAATGACCACGATCATCCTGACTGGACTCGAGTCATGGTCCAATTGATAGTTACTATATGTGTGATTGTGGGAACGTATACGGGAGACTTGATCGCTCGTCACAGTAGTCACTCTTGAGCCTATCACCCACACTGCTGTAAGCACCGGTTCTGTTCACATCAGCTTTGAACAGCACACACACACACGTTGTTTCGGACCTGCGTATACATACAACTTACCTCAAGCCATTATTGTCTGATCCTATACCGCGATGAGCACTCCAGGAGTACCTACTACCCCAAACTCTCCTTACTCCTCGTACTTCAGACGCCGTACTATCGGCCGTGCTTCCTCTCCCCCAACTTGGGCTTGCTACGAACAAATTCCATCTGACGATGATGACGAAGACTACAATGACAGTCCTTCCGAAGATGAGTCCTGCTCAGAAGATGGAGAAGACTACGGCCATCACGACCGTGATTCTGATGGTGATCTTGCCGTAAATACTGAGAGGCAGGATGATACACAGAACATGGAGATCGATCGAGGTGATCAAGGAGTCGACGATGAGAAGAATGCTGCCAAGTTTAAGAAGGATATGAAGGGCAAACAGAAAGCACTTGACCCTCAGCCAGAGCCAACAAAGAAGCATTATCGCAAGCGAGAACGTCGGCCGACCTATACACTTCGTCCAATCTTGACCATTCAAAAGAGCCAAGGTTTTGTATGGAACCAGGTTTGCATCCTTTATCCGAGTTTTGGGACCCCAATTTACCGGTATTCTAAATACAGGATCTATTCGTCCCCCCTTACATTAAAGATAGATGTACGTTTCTCGTCTAGTGTTCATTCACTACTTTCTGGAGAGAAGGCTTATTGTCTCCATGATTTACCTTGTAGATGTTGCATCTACCTCGCCACCGACCTCGAAAGGGTTTTCCAGCTCTTGGACGTCAAATACATCTTCGATGACTGATTACAGTGAGGTAGAAGTGGTAGAGATCAGGGTCAGAGACGGTGAACTCTATGATATCATCCCTTGATCAAACATCCTATCCTTTACGTTCCTCCCCGTCAAATCGGCGACGACCTCACTCTGGAAATATCGGGTACTCGCATTTCTTTGTATCTTGCATATCATGAACTTGTTTTCCCTTTCCCATGTTGTTCCATTACTACATCAATCCCCTTACTCTCACCGCGTACTAAACTTCGTCTCCTTGTTTTAATAACGACCGCTAGACTCCTATATATACAACAATGGTTTCCTCGTCTCCTTCGCATTCCAGGGGGGTGATTTCAGACCATCGCTATCAGTGCATCGTCCACCTCTTTCATACGTGCTGCCTCCTTCTCTCGCTCCATTGCTTGCTCACGCACGATGTCCTTTTCACGTGCAACTAGATACGTGGGTTTCACGTAGGGTTTGTAGTCAAGGTGTCGCTTCACGTAGAAACACATGTAAGCATTTGAGGCTAGGCAGTCGCTCAGCGTCGATGGAGTTACTCTATCAAAGGCAAAGTAAGATCGCGGAGTACAGAGAGCAATAAGGTACATACTTGTCGTCATCGAAACGGTACCACTTGTACACCATCAATAACTATGCAATAAAGCTACATCATGTCCACTCACCTCATCTTGGAAACGAGCAAAGTTTGTGTAGTGTCCATTATCCATCTGCCCTTCATGGTTGATTACCGCAAACAGATCATATTCGTACATTGCGTCCGGTCCTGGGTAACTATTCGCGGACTTGGTCAGAAAATCAGTCACAGTTCCCTAGCAAAAATCGCTCACCCAGTTTCACCGTCCTTTCCGGTTGTATTCATAGCAAGAGTCGTATAAGGCGCCATATTGATAGAGACTGGAATTCGTATCAGAGCATCGATCTTTTGCGGGGCAGCTTTCCCAGACGTCTTGTGCTCGAATCGCTTGAATCAATGTTAGCGTCAAATTACCCAGATCATACAGTATATGAAGAAACCTTGAATTGAAAACTAAGAACTGGCGGTAATGTCCGTATGCTGAGGCGCTTCACGGCCTCGTGAGAAGCTTTCGTGCATTTGCTACAGCTGTACTCTCTTGCTCCTAGCTTCTCCGGTTTGGTGTACCTTTCAAAACGTCAAAATATATCAATCTAATATTGGATCTTCTCACCTGCGCAAACAACTGGCAAGCGTGTTGTCAGCAGCCGGTTCCCCAGACTTTGACCTCAACTCAAGGCTGATATCAAGCATCGGATCGATTGTGCTCGTTACCGTTCCGCATTTCTCACACGTAACGTCGCTTTGAAATTGACCGGCGAAAGTCTGATGAATGATGCAGTTGCACGAAATATTCGTGGAACCGCGGCATGTCCCGTGAATTTGGTTCAATGCAGTAATGAAAAACTCGTGTGCGTCTTGCTGGGCATAGCCTGACATCTCGGCAGAAACTTTCCATGTCGTAGCGAGGAAGGACGTGGGCCCAAATGGGGTATTGGTCGGGGAATATATCTTCAACTTTCTTTAGCAAACAAAGTTCGAAAAGAGCAATATCGACTTTTTGTGACTAACCTCTGTGAATAGATTGTCCATTTCACAACATGTGCAGTCTGAGTGCTTGCACAGCCTGCTGTTATGCCTATCGCTGAGGAAATAATTACGTAGCAACGGGTTATGGATGAACGACTGGAGTATGACGTTCAAAAAGCACGTTTGCCCCAGATTAAGCAATCCACGACGACCTATTTTGTATGAGCGAATTGACCTAACTTGTAATGAAAAACTGAACCTTGGCAAGGGACTGTGGCGGCATCCTTGAGGACAATGGACTCGTCGCCTGTCGGAATCCACGGTTGATACGGCTCTCGGCCTCTCTTCTCCACTAGACGCAAATTAAAATCTGCTATCCTGCGGGTGTATCCACACTACCTTGAAATCTCGTTTTTTGCTCTTCCACCGATAGGACGGTAGAGAGATACAAATCATCAATGGTATCATCAAATACAAAGTCGTCGCACTCTGAACAAAAAACTGATCCAGACTTTGCATCGACGCCTGAATTGTGCAGAGTTAAAATGGTCAGCAAACAGAGAATTGCGGTGGCAAAAATACGAACAAAATGTATGCACAGTGTCTTTGAGGTGGTCTGTTATGTGACTGCCTGACCAGCATCCTGCGAATGAGCACTGAAGACAGACGAACGGTCGGGAAAGTGTTTGGTTGCATGTGTCACAGGTCGGTGAAGATACCTGTAACACAGGGGGTCGAATATATCATCTCACAAGGCATCTCTATATGAATGGCTAGCTCACCTTCCTTCGCTTTGCTGGGTGCAGTGCACCATGTGTCCTACGAGCGTGCCAGGCTATGACTGTCTTAAATTTGCCCACGATACCTGCTTTCGCGGATGGATCGGCGAAGACGGAAGTGATATGTGAACACCTGTTTATATCGTTCTCGGAGGTGTCGGAAGAGACAGACGGTTCGATTCCAGGATGAGCCTCGTTGGAGAAAGTAGATTCCTCGCCGAAAAGAGCTGTATGCGTGATGTCTGGAGATGCAGACATGCCTGAAACTAGTAAATAAACAGGATGTCACAGGACCCGAGAACGCTGGCAAAGATGGCGCGTTTCAATGCAGCTGGTACTGGTGTGTCTGAGAGATCATGCAAGGAACGTGGTGGTAAACAAACACGGAGATTTAGAACTTAGAGAACCTTGCAGCTGGCAAGTGGGTCTCGCGTCGGCAGCAGTGGACTGAACCACAACCGACTTCTAAAAATAGACACCAACCTTCTTTCTTTAGACAATTTAAAGTCGATTATACTATGTTTCAAAAACTATTTCATTGGATTGTTGGAAAACCACAACCTCCTCATTACCAGTTGGGCAACTCTCAGTCATGTATATTCTGTAGGGCTTATTCCACAAACCGCAGTGACTTTGACATTGTGTGGGAGGTGCGTATCTATATGTTATTGGGATACTACCGTTATTAAGCCTAGTTTTGACCCGCGCGGCGCGCACCCAGGATGAAGTATTCGTTGCCTTTCGGGACATTCGTCCATCAGCACAAGACCACATTCAACTCATCCCCAAAACCCACATCGGTGAGCTTTACGAAATTGTCCACTTCACTGGCTTATCAGTCACAATCAGAAAGTATCAGGAAACTTTTTCAGAAGGATGTGAATATGCGTAAGTATTTCTGTCCCTGCTGCTTCGACTGAATATCTTATCTGGATTCCAGTCAGGAGAATGGAGGAAATAGGACATTCCATTCTTGATACGTTCAACGTACCAGTTTCAAAGCGGAAGTGAGTTAATCACCGGCACCCCTTGGATTACACTAATCGTGACTCATCATCGTTTTAAGGATGGGTTTCCATATACCACCGTTCAACTCAATACACCACCTGCACCTACATGTACAATCATTGCCATACATTTCGCCTATACATCGGCTGAAGTATCCGTTTGTTCGGGGCTTTGGCGGCTATGAAAAGGGATTCAGTTGGTTTGCTGAGATCGGTCAAGCAATACGGATTCTGGAGAAAGGCCATCGTGTCACCGTTGCACCGTGCTAAGCATCATGTAAAGCGATGGTTGGTTGAATCAAGACGACAACCGTCGTTGTTGTGAAGTGTGGCGTTGTCGCAGATTCGTGGCGTACATCAAACAGGAGTCTAGATCAATCTGGGTGAGGTAATTTTTGATATGGCTTAACCGGCTCCGTGTTTCATGGTCGATTCAGTCCAGAGCAGACCATGCTCTGGAGCTTGAACACAACCGAACAACACGATATGACGTGTCGGATGCAAATTCTGATGGGAAGGAGCAGGTCGTGTGACCTCCTCTATACGGGCCGCGAGGCCATCTATGTATTTCCGCCATTTGGTGGGGATATCATTGCTAGCTTCGCATGGAATACTGATCAGAAGTGCGACTCTTCCACGCTCGAAGTCTTACGAGTAAACCTTACCTCCATGGAAGCGACTACGGCTGATCAAATGATCGAGGAAGGTGAGTGAGACTTCAAATAATTACATAGGCGCTTGATTCGGTCGCCGTTATACATTCCTGATGGGTTAAAGCTTACCGACCCGACCCTTCATTTACGTCCACATGATGTTTGGCAAGTTATTGCGCTTTGCCATGGCGGCCCGGTCGTCCTGGATTTAGACAGATTACTTGCATCTATCCCACATCGCACGCAAGACATGAATGGTTGTAAATTGAGGCTGTACCAAGAATATCTTACTAGTCGAGTAGTTGGCTACCCACCAAAGATATCTACGGTACGTACTATCTACAGATCTACATGGGCCCAAGGTGATAATAAAAGTTTGATTAGAGTTGTGCAAGTTGCTCACAAAATATTGAGCGATCCAATAATACTACACTGCATATGTATACAGCAACCATACTTATGATCAAGGTGACTGTCCCGCATCAGAGCTTCGGCTACCTTGACGGAAGTTGCGCTACCCCGTGTGAATTTAAAATGCGTATTAGCCCGCCCTAAACCAATCAGTTGAAAATTCGGAATGAAATACAACCTTACAATTTTTTCACTTCCGTCAACCTCGAGCTCCAACTTTGAACCTGCTTCGCAGCGGTGTAGAGTCATTGCGGGATATGGCTAGTCTGATGCCCAGGTTAGTAATCATTTGTTATGTTTAAACACCCTCCTTTCGCGATGATATTCATCTACTCCTTGGCGAGTGTCCCATGACACTATGTGTCCTTCTTGTCATAGTTACCCTGACCATCATCAGCTGCACTTCATATGTACCTATTACTCAATTATTCTGCAGGACTTTCTTATCGTGGTAATGAAGCCCCATCAAGGTATTCGTCCCGAACCGGGGCGCTAGGTGAGTTGTGGATCTATTGTACTGTGCGCTGGCTTGTCTTTGTACGATGAAACACTTCATTCAAACTAGAGTATCTGAGTGCCTTCATATATAGGCTCAATGCTTTCAATCTTCTGTCAATCCACTGATACATTACTCTTCTGCGTTGTTTCTTTAAAGCCTATCTAACCGTTTTTTCTCTCTAGGGCCACGTCGGTGTATCTCCATCAAGCCGGATTCGATTCATTCTGAGGTAAGCACTACTGTTCATATCACATTCAAGGATGTCAAAAAGGAATTACCGCCTGATACCCTACTGGGTTGTTGATGTAAATTCCTGGCTGTTTTTTACGTTCTGAGTCTCAGCATCTCGCCTTTTGATGATCTCGTATCTGACGCGACTTCGTTTCAGGGTTACCGATGGTCTAGCCGTTCACATGGTCTGACTCCGTGCTTCGCGATATCAAGATGGTGAGCCTTATCTAATAGCCATTACTCTACACATGATGTATTATCACGACGGTCTTCGTATTATCACTGCCGAAAGGGCCCGCCACAGCTCAATTCTTTCGGGCACCCCCTCCTGATATCCTTCTTATCATTGATACTGTGTGGATTAAACACTGATTACATGTTTTTTTCTAGCCGATATTCGGACCACCGACGTGAGCTCCCATCCTTTCTTCTATTTCTCACTAGGAGTATGCGGATGAGAAACATTACAATTATCAACTAGAAGCTGTTGCTTAGCTGCGGCATTGATTATACACTTTTTTCTGACTTTTGTTTATGCTGCTACCGCTTGTTTAATATGTAATCTAAAATCTAGTTATTACAGGTTCGATTCAGATCCATGGTGACAGGGGTTGTTTAAGCTTATGACGTAACGTTGACATCCTTGAATGTAAATTGCTCTGTGCGCGATGGAGTTTTAAATTTTTCGTTTCGGATCCACTCCACGGGCAAGTTTGTGAATGGGAAGTTGGGAACGCCTTCTTATTATGCAGATCTCCCAGCGCACAGACAGGTTGACTTCTTCATACATCTTCTGGCCGCCCGAGTAACCGGCGTGTATATAAGTGGGGTCGTCAGCCAAGTTTTTCTACCCTTGCTTGTGGCACTCGTCGAGGATGTCTTCTTCTGCAGCACCTTCAGATTCTGACACCGTTGTCAATGAGCGTACCGCTCTTCTCGATGCTGGACACCAAGGCCAGAAAAAGGTCACCCCTTTGCCAAAGCTTCAGATTGCAATTTTGTTGCTGGCACTGCTGGTCGAGCCAATTGCCTCTCAGTCTATATATCCCTACATCAATCAAGTTGGTGTCTTTTTACACATCAAAATCACACTTCTCAACATCATATACAGCTTGTCAGTGAGTTGGACATCACTGGCGGCGATGAGCGGAAAGTTGGTGGGTCACAACTATTTGACGCACGTAAAAAGTATTGATGCGCTTTTTTGATCATAAAGGGTATTATGCGGGGCTGATCGTAAGTTGCGCCTGGCCCATCTCCGTGTTACACCTTTATCAAATCCATGATAGGAGTCTATTTTTTTTGCCACTCAGGCACTGACCATCTTGCAATGGAGCCGTACTTCGGACCGTGTTGGACGTAAACCTGTTCTCTTATTAGGAATCTTCGGACTCTCTCTGTCAATGATTTGTTTTGGGCTATCCAGGACATTGTCGGGGTTGATTGTCAGGTGAGAAACAACTTTTGCAATCAATTTTACCTTCTGAAAATGAGTATAGTCGTTGCATCACTGGTGCCTTGAATGGTAACATCGGAGTCATGAAGAGCATGATGGGCGAACTCACTGACTCCACCAACATGGCGCAAGGCTTCGCCCTGATGCCTATTGCGTTTTCATTCGGCGCTACTATGGGGTATGTCCCTTTCCTTGTATTCTGCATAGAGGGTAACATGCCTTTTAAAAGTCCTATGATCGGCGGAGCTCTAGAACATCCTCAACGGCATTTTCCTAATATATTCCCCGGTGCATTCTGGTCACAGTTCCCATACTTCCTGCCTAGTGGTATTGCTGCAGCATTCTCAGTTACATGTTTCCTGGCGATTCTATTTTTTTTAAAAGAGGTACAGAGAACCTGTGCACCGGCGAGATCTTGACTGATGACTTTTCAGACTCTGCCCAGACAACGGACGCAAGAGAAATCTATGTCTGCTCTCGATGGCGAGGCCCTCAACGTTTCTCAAAATGCCATTGGGGATTCACCTGTGTCAATCCGGTCGCTCTTCGTGCCGTCCGTATTGATCCCTGTCGCTAACTATGGCTGCATCGCCACATTTGAAATGGCTATGTTTGCACTTCAGCCTCTCTTTTATTCCACACCAATCGAACTGGGGGGCCTCGGATTTGATCCTAGCACCATCGGTCTATGGATGGGAATGTTCGGCATTGTAAACGGTGTCTTGCAGACGATAACTTTCGCACCATTGGTAAACAGATTCGGTGCCAAGACCGTTTTCCGGTTTTGCGCAGGAACTTTTATTCCTATCATCACCCTATTCCCGATCACCAACATCGTTGCGCGCCAATATGGAATCAACTGGCTTGTTTGGTTTTTACTCACGTGTTCGATGCTACTGGGTGTTTTTATGGATATGTCGTTTGGTGCGCTGGTTTCTGATCTTTCCTCTATCGTAGCTAATTTAATTTTCAGGTTGTATACTGATGTTCATTACCGCAGCAGCTCCAAATAAACGGTCTTTAGGGGCTACCAATGGGCTTGCGCAAATGACAGCATCCATTGTTCGAGCCATTACCCCCGCCACGGCCACATCCATGTTTGCATACTCTGTCCAGCACAAGCTCATGGGCGGTTACGCCGTGTATGCCATTCTCATCACTGCGAGTATCTTTGCTTTGAGGATTACTACCAGACTCCCAGCAAGTCCTGGAAAAAGGGCATGATTTACGACACCATGTTACGACACATTCATATCGCGTCATGAATTCAAGGTTTACTTTGAGTTGCCGTTATATACTTCTCCTATCCACAAAATTAAATAACGAAGTACGATACTTTGTTCGCATATGTACTATGTACCCAAAAGGAACGCATTCGTGAACACACATCTGTAAATAACGCATGTCCTTATCCATTCAGAGAGCTATTTTGAGTCCATGCCGAACAGTTCGATTTGAGTGTATCGCTTGAGCTCCTCATAGAGGCGCATCATAATAGGACAGTCGGTTATTGGCCCCTGGACCAACGGCGCTTTGAGGTCGCCGTTACTAGTGACGGCATTTAGCCAATTGACCACCATGCTCAGGTGATCTCGTTGGGAAGGTCGTAATGTCAGTCTTGTGATAGTTCTCCAACTTCCTTCCTCCCAAGTTCGCAGATCGAAAATCCCGACGTCGGCGCCAGAAATGGTCAGCTGATCTACTGCTGGGAAGGCCCGGATGAACGCGGCAGCCGATGCTATATTGGCGGCATTGTTTAGCACGAGACGTTCAACCAGAGGGAATTTAGGTGTAGGTTGTTCACATCCCTTTTGAAGAAGTAGATCGGAGATGTCCTGCCCTTGAGTAAAGCTATCTGGGTAGACAAGCTCAAAGTGCCGGAGTTCTGGTGCCATTACCATCGCGATGAGATTCCGCAGGTAGCGAGGCCGGACAGTATTAGGATGGAAAATCAAGGTCTGTAAACGAGGCAACGTGATGTTGCCCTCGTCCTCGAGGCTTGTGGCTGATTTGACACAAATAAGTTCTCCGTAGAGAGAAAGGGAAACTAAATTGGGCATCCGCAAAAGCAATGCATGAAAGCCTTGGAGTTCTGTTGTCGTTTTCAGAGCCCTTGCATCTCCTTCATGAAGTCGAAGAATAAGATGGGTTACGCCAATGAAGCAGTCGAAATCGTGATTGTGTAAACAAGGGGAGCGCGCTGTAAGAACAATGTTTTCGACATCAATGGACCGGAGGTTGGGTGCTGATTTTCCCATGAGGAGAGTCGTGGGACATATCTGCCCGGGCTGCTGGGCTTTGAAGGTAACTTGCTGAAGTGCGTCCAAAGGTCCCACGGTACGCAGAATGAAGGAAAGACTTGTGAGAAGGGTGTCACAGGAGGCGCCAATTTTCATACGGCGCCAGCGAGACGCGGACGGGAGGACTATGGCTAAGGTATGTTCGAAGTGATGAGGCCTGGTGAAAGAATCTCGGTAATCCCACCATCCCCAAACTTCCACATCAAGAGGAAGATCAGCGGATCGCGAGAGATGTAGCTGCACGTCGCGCTCGTCTGTGTCAGGGGTTACACAGACACGTGTCCACAGCCGTGGTGTATGCAGAGCTATCCTTCGCCAGCGATGCGACACACGCGTTATCGCGCTTTCAACCCTTGTCCGTGAGCACATATCCTGGCCCGAAACCGCTTCCTCGAAAATTGCAAGCAAAGTTTCATTGGGCAGGCGAGCAACTGGGGAAATGCGTTTTGCGCATTCGTTTGCTCGAAAGCGTAGTGTGGACAGCGTACTACGAACGGAAACCAAAGCCTCCGAGAGTGCCTTGATTTGCGATACAAGTTCTATCTCCTTCCCTTCAAGGTGCGCTGCCTCTGATTGTAGCACTTGAAAGAGTTCTCTGTCAACACCGGGTTGGTAGGTTCTCCGCAAAGGTCTTGACATGGTAAGAGAGGGCAGCGACAGATCGTTGTCAAGCACACTGAATGAAATCAACACACTGTGAGTACCGAGAGCAACCACAGCAAGTACGATCGAAGGAGCTCACCTCTTGTTCTTCTGAATCGTCCACCTCCTTGCCATCATTTGAACCTTTTATCCCAGCTGCTCGGCAAAACAGAAATTACGCGAGCGTGTCTTTGTGTGTCACTGAAATTCCACACGAACGAGCCTAACTCGTGGTTTTCATTCTTATTCTTGCGGCGGAGCTCGTGTTGACATGCTGGGTCTGTTTGGTTGAACAAATGATACGATCATCTTGACTAGACTCTCATCCGCAGTCCCTCGGCAGCTAGTTGGCAGAGACTTTCTATGAAAAACATGAGTTTTCAGCCTGTCCAAGTATTGCAGAATCTCACGATGAACATGATTGCCTAGAGTGTCAAGGTTGGCATGTCAAAGAGTCCAGGAAACGAAAACCAATGACTAAACATGGGAAGGATGAGCAGTAAACACATTCAATGCTCAAGTCTTGCACACTCGGGCCTGGAACGGAGTTACAGCATTTGAATATCAAGCTGATCGTACATTATTATATTCACAACGTAAGGTTACGACTTGTGGAACAGCATGCAAATCTGTGTACATGATTAGTATCACTGCAAGGACAAGACACATACATACCTTCAACTAATTATTAGACGCGTGCAACAAGCGATCTATCCGACATGGAGAGGTCAATGCCGCACAGCCGTACTTCCGTGCAGCTCGCAAGTTTCACTGATTGTGTAAGAAATTCAGGGCAGTCGATAGCACGGATGGGCCCTTCCAGTGTTATTATTGGCAATCGATGACCCTGGCTAGCTGCACTGAGAAGCCACTCGTACATCTGTAGCAATGTGTTATGAAGTGGAGAAATGACAGTGAGGTGCTGGATATGTGAGGGGGCCCACGGGCTGCACGTGCTACTGAAAATCGGGTTTTCGAAAAGGTAGCTAGCATCCGGACTACCCAGTTTAATGCGAGCCGCGACCGGAAACGCATTCATAGATGCCGCGACAGTGTCCGCGTGAACCGCATTATGAAGACGCACAGTTTCCACAGAAGGAAATCTGGCTAAAGGGAAAGGGTCAAATAGAAGATCGGATACATCTTGTCCAGGTGGAGTGTTGTCAGGATAGACTAGCTCAAAGTGACGAAGAGTTGGTGCTTTGATCACCGAGATAAAGTGGCGCAAATCACGAGGATGCTGCGTGCCCGGATGAAGAACCAGGGTGCGGAGACGAGGAATCTCCAGGGAAAGAACGTCTTCTTCATTGGCTCTCTCCTGGCCAAAGTTTATAGGTTGTCCATAGATTTCGAGGGCGCTTAACATCGGGGCTGAATTTATCAATGCTCTAAATGCAGAGGGGTCGGTTGCTGCATGAGAACTTCCAGCTCTCATCCCACGCACCCGCAACCGCAACGTGGTCAGTCCTGCAACGCTGTAGCGGGCAGCGTCAAAAGTCTGCGTGACTGGGGGTGGAAGGGGCATGTCTTCCACTTCAAGTGATTCCAGGGCTGGAGCCGAGTCGCCAAGCAACAATGGACATGGTCCGCATACGCCCGGTGACTTCATAGAGATGCTCTGAAGCATCTTCAAAGGAGCCACCTTTCGAAGTTCCCGAAAGACATGTGTAAAGTACGGGTAAGATCTGTGCAGGACGACGATACGTCGCCAACGAGGGACCGAAGGCCATATAGCGTCAAGAGCAGAACCAAGATGTGCCATGCTGCGTTTATCTGCACCGGGCCATGCAGTTTCGCGTTCACGGAATTCAATGGTAAGAGGAATGTTCGCAGAGCGAGAAAGGTATATCTGTAACATGGCGATAGGGACCTCTGCTCTGATACAGAGGCTGTTCCACAGCCGAGGGGCATTAACCGCAACCTGTCTCCAGTGATGCGAAGTATATGATATGGCTATCTCCGTCCGTGTGACTTGTCCTTGCTCTTGGCTTCGTACTGCTTCTTCGAATATGGCCAACAGGACCTCGTCTGGGAGGCGAGATACTGGCGCAAGAAGATTTTGGACTGTATGTGCTTGTGATGTTTTCCTTGTCAAGAGTGTTTGAACTTCGACGAGTGATGTGTTCGTTTCTTCAAGGCGGGCTAACAACTCCTTCCTTCTATTTTGTAACGCAAAAACTTCTTGTCGAAGGGTCGAAAGCAATTCTTCAGGCACCACTGGCATCTTATGGGAGAGACCACCAGTTTTGCTCATTCGAGCAGCACTAACTTGAAGCACCATGATCCGGAGTGCGCTGTGTCATGGCAGTTGTGAATGTGAAACGATCCAATTTGAAAGTGACTTGCCAGAAACCCAGTTGGTAGGTGTTTTTATGCAGGGAACAGACGTCTAGAAGAAACGGTGGTGGATTGACAATAGGTTCGGAACCGCATTGAACACGATAAATTTGCCTGATACGGCGCGATCGAGGCTCAAGCGCTAACACTACAACTGTAGTACTTGGTCGGATGTATAACCCATCTGCTTGCACAAAATGCTCTATAGATAGCTCCATGCCACGACTGCGAAAGCATATCACAACTGTGTTGCCTGTGAGCTGTCTGCGAGCGTTCTATGGTTCATCATAGACACGAACAACTGCGGGCCTCAGTTTCAGACTGGGTTGATCACATAGTTCTTAGTTCATGTTAACTTGAACGAATAATCATTGGGGAGAGTAGAGATGATTAATCGCTGTAGTGTGAATTATTCTTTCATGCTCTGGCTCTGACTGAGGTCTGTAACCGATTCAGGTGATGGTGGTGAGATGAACGTTAAGTACTAGTTAGGTGCTGGAGCTGCGCCCACAAAATATTTTTGGATTCTATGGCACCAACAGATACTCCCCGGATGCAAGGAAATACGACGGCTGCTGCCGAGCATCACGCCCAAAGCATCTGTAAATACCTTGATAAACGAGGTTATGGTGTCTGGGTCCGAAACATTTTGCAGGCGAATATTCTCAACGAAAGGAAGTTTTGGTGAACCATGATCGATTAGTTCCTCTTGTCCACTGCCAGACCATACACGAGAAGACAAGCTCTACTCATAGTGACGGAGGGTAGAGGCTCCACGTGCTTTTAACATCGGGAGCAAGAAGTGGACAATGCATGACCCGGGGCTGGAAGATGAAAGTATCGGGGTTTGGAGTATCCTGACGAGGGATTAACCCTTCGGGTTCCTCTCTGACTGGATCGCCGTGTAGAGAGCAGGAAAAGTTTGGGACTGACACCAACAACGTGCGTAAAGATGCAGGCACCCCTGAGGTTAAATTCGATGTTTGTGTGTATATTTCAGGCCCGAATTGGAGGTTATATGGAAGCAGGAGATATTCAATACCGAGTATCTTGAGCGATGGCTCGACCGCGGCGTACGAAAATGGGTATGTACCTCCATAACCACGATGTTCGTGTGTTGAGAACTGCTCGAGCAATCGAAATAGCCCAGAATTGCGGAGGTTTGGAAGGAGGTAGGACAGGTATGCGTCAGTGGTGTGGATGATGGAAAAACTGCGCCATCGATTTGAACGTCTGCCTCTCAAGTTTGGGTTCGTCATCCACGACGTGGAGATCAGGTGGGAGAGGACAGACTAAATGTCCACAGCTCAGGCACAGTTACTGTCAGGTTACGCCAGAAATCAGAGACGGCAGTCTCGACTCTCAGTGCTCATACCTTTGCTACTTGTGCCATGAAATCTGGACAGCTTCTCCAAATAATAACCAGTAATTCTGAAGGGCCACGGGCAAAGTCGGTGACGGAATTTTCTGTCGTTCGATCCCTCCGTGGGTGGTGCTTAAGTGCGATTACGAAGCATTGGATCATTGTCTTAAAGAAAAGATCCTAGTACTTCACGTGATTGACCGTGACGCGTCGCGTGCGTCGTTTGGACATGTTGTTCTGTGAGTCCCTTACCATAGTACGCACAAGTTTGTATCTTATCTCTTTAGTTACATACCTGCACCCTAGGGTCCAGGAACACATCAATCAAAAAACTCAAACCATTCCTCACTAGGTTACAATGTTCCACAGCGCTCTAGATTCCATTTCAAATGCACTTCCAGAAATGTTGGGGGCGCTCTAAGCCTCGAACAAAAGCAGGTATGCAGTGCTATACTACTACCTTATATCACCGCACTCGATCGGCTTCATCCATATGAATTATCTTATGGGGGGTATCAGTTTAAGTTCAAGGGTTGGTCACTGGCGGGCCTGACCTGCCTTGCGGCCACACTGTTGGCACTAATATTCACTGTCTCTGGACGATTACATGGCGCCCATATGATCAGTCTCTCCTTTCAAACCACACTATCACCTAGGACACCATGAGCAAGTTGGTGCGCAACGATAGCATCGAGTCCAATTCTGAAAAGCAGACTGTCTTGAATCCGAGCCCGAGAGAACGAGCGCGCATTCTGCGCAAAATCGATTGGCACCTATTACCTTTCGTAACGGTATTTTACCTCTTCTCGTACTTGTGGGTATGCTTGTACTGTCTAATGTCACCCCACATTACATGCTACCTTCAGAGACCGGGCCAATATTGGTAAATTATCTACCTTATACTTCTTGTTGATCACTGGCTAAGACCATCACCAGGAAATGCGAAGGTTGCTGGCATGGCCACAAACCTTCACTTGACCGGTTTCAGGTACAACATTGCTGCAGCCGTCTTTTTTGTGCGTCTTGTATCACGCACGTTCCATTAAATGCTGAGTTACTCTAGATCCCGTACAGCTTTGCTGAGGTCCCATCGTACGTACAACATCAAGAGTTGCAAGTCTATACTCAGTGTCTGTAGGAACATCGCGCTCAAGTTGTTAAGGCCATCGCGCTGGAGTACGTTTACCTCTGCTTTGTCTGTTTCTCGCCACCTAATATTGATCCAGTACCGTCTATCATGGTCGCGTGGGGTATTGTATCGACCCTTATGTGTCTCATCAGATCATATCAATCTCTCGTTGTGTACGTGGAGTGTATTTGCATATTGGAGATAGACACCATAACATCTCAACGACAGAGCTCGAGTGTTCCTCGGTTTGACCGAAGCAGGATTATTTCCTGGAGTGAATTACTACATCTGCCTTTGGTATCCGCGTTCTGAACGATCCAAACGCATTGCAATATTCTTCTCCTCAGCATCAGTCGCAGGTATGCAATATTTTGATATGCGTAGAAATCTATCTTTGTTTGAACTTCTCTTCGATTGTAGGCGCCTTCGGTGGGCTCCTTGCGTAAGTCGCTTTGTTTTCCCATCAACTTGACATTGACCCTCATGTTCCATGGATACAGGTATGGTATAGAGCGGATGGAAGGGTAAGCAAGTTGCTCATCTTTTCGGCCGCCATTGATGCGCCTATCAGAGTCGGAGGACTACATGGCTGGCAATGGATTGTATGTTTGCGTGTTTTAAAACCGAGTTTTCATTGATTGTATTCTCTGTTAGTTCTGCTTGGAAGGCATTGGTTAGTCTTGCCAGATCTGATATATTTTGGATGCTTATCTTAGACTTCGACCAGCCACTGTTCTCGTCGCAATTCCCTCTTTTTTCTTCATGCATGATGTGAGTTCGCGACTATGTTAGATGCTTCGCGTGCTGATTTAGACTACTTAGTATCCTGAAACAGCCAAATTTTTGACCGAGCCAGAGAGATCATACATCATAGATGTGCTCAAACAGGATTCGAATCACCTTTCCTCTCGCTTCGACACTCAATTCGTATGGCAAGCCATGAAAGATTACAAGACTTACGTTCTCAGTCTCGTTCATATAGGGTACCCAGTCCTCCTGTCATCTCGCGTGCTTTATCTGAGCTGATGATCAGGTTACTCGTCCCTGGTTATGCCATTTCCCTCTTTACGCCAACCATCATCAACGAGCTTAGCTACTCTGCTGCGAATGCCCAGCTACTCTCAGTCCCGCCATTTGTCGCTGGCTGTATTGCAACAATCATAGTTGGCATCTATTCTGACAAGCACAATCTTCGTGGCCCGTACATTATCGGCGGCGCGTTTGTTTCTCTTGTGGGATACATCTTGCTATATTGCAGCGTACGAGCGGGCCCGTCGTACTTGGGAGCTTGTCTAGCCGCTACGGGATATTATCCAACCATCCCGATTATTATGGCTTGGACAGGCTCTAATGCAGGAGGTCACTTAAAACGTGGAGTTGTACTAGCAATGATTGGTCTTAGTAATCTCGGAGGGTACGTTATGTTATCCAAAATACGCGATGACCATCCGCTCATGCTAATCTCAGTGTTTGCTCGTCTTTCATTTATATTGATCCACCACGTTTCCACATCGGGCATGGCACCGTCATGGGATTCCTTTCTCTTGCGTATGTCCCATCAGTTTTCCGAACCGGAACTGTAGCATGATGAAATGTATTTGTGACAGGATCATAATGAGTCTCTTTGCTATGTGGGACTATAATCGGCTGAACAGAAAGAAAGAAGCGCAGTGCCTGGCGGAAAACATTGGCGACGATAGAGGATATGAATTCGAGGATATGGGCGATGCCAGTCCGCTTTTTAGGTGAGTTCCACAACTCATTCGCGATGCTACTTTGACTGATGAATGTGCAAGATACACCATATGAGCCATACAGCTGATTTAAGCTGTCCTTTTTAAGCGTTGTTTATTGCTATGTCCCATCTGTGATTCTACTGGCATGATGCAATATTATAGATATTTGCCAATGTCAGTTGATTATTTGCAAAACAGGCCCATCGATTCGAAGGCAATAGGTGAGGTAAAGTTAATATGCGGGGAACAGACGCCTAGAATGAATAGATTGATGGTACTGCTGCTGAAGGACTCCTCGAAGTTGTATTGAGCACGCCGTAGTATTGCCTGATACAATGCCAGTCAAGCGCTCACACTACTCGGATGCTCCGTGCGCGGTGCTAAGCGGTTGTCGTGTTTCTTTTCCGGAGAGCACCTAGTGGATAGGATACGAGAATACTTCGCGAGCATAGCTCCAGCACCGGATGCTCACCATCGTTTGAATTGGTCACGGTTGCAGGAGTTATAAGTAGTTGATTTTAGTTGGAGGTAGACTATGAAAGAGGAATTCATACTGCAACAATCGATCACTCCCGCTTTCCCTAATAATTATCCAACCAGGTCAACTTGAACCAAGACCTTGTGCGATGTTGAAACCGAGGGGTCTTACAATGTGTCTCCAAGCTTCACTAGAGAAGCAATCATTTGTTCATGTCAAACTGGATCTATTGCCCGCCAGCAGCTAGGATACGACAGTTGCTTCGATTAATCAGTGGGAATAATGGCAACCTTGTCTATAGAGCTCTGTGCACCATTGTCTCCAGTGACGCGGCCATGCATCCAATCATCCTAGTTTAACCGTCATTCCGACCAAATAACATTGCCTCAATAAGCAAGGCGATCATGATGGTGTCTGGATCCGAAGCCTTCTGCAGCTGAATGATCTCAACTAGAGGAGATGACGATAAAACATGTGCTCAAACTAATTTGTCTGGTCATGTGAGCAGGATTACGAGAAGACTCACAGTGATGACTCGGAAGGGTCGGGACTCCGAGTGCTTTCGATATCGGAGGCAAGGAGTGAATGATGCATTGGCTGGGCCTTTAGCGTATATGTCGCGTACAGTTATCTGGAAGTAGCAGATATTTGATCTTGAGCATCTCGAGCGACGGCCCGAGATCGACTACACTGGATGAAAACAGGTTTGTACCCCCATAACCATGGTGTCCACGACAAATGTGCTCACTGAGCAATTGGAAGGTGCGGAAGTGTGGAAGGTTCACTTCGAGAGCCGACTTGGTCCTCGGTGTCAAATTTCTCACTACAACCTTAACTTTAAACGTGCTTAGCCTTCGGTTGATTCCGCGATGGCACCTATACTGACTACTTACTTGAATTTCAAAGCCGCTTATCTTCTTCTGATATCTGCTTCCATGAATCTTAAGCGTTCTGCTTGCAATGGTTCAGACTCACGCCCCCCCCCCCCCCCCCGGAGGACCCCTGCGCGCGGCATGACACGAATCATTACTGTCACCGATGCAATAGCCTGAGTGTGACTTTTTCTCAACTTTGGCCAAGGCAGGGACCCTGTCATCCTGGTTTTTGGCTATCATTGATCGCCGCGACAGGTCGGTTCTCCTAAACGTACAACCTGATCGTGGATATGCCGTGGGGGAGGTACAATCTGGGTATATGTTCTTTTGAGGACATCCTGCAGTTCATGCAACACACAACGCCCTGATTCGGAGGCCAGCGTGCATCACGCGAACGCAAATGACGTAACGGATAATATATTGATGACTTGATGGACTGCCAGGATTCCAGGAAGCTGAGTAACCATCGAGTTACGTCTTGACTGACAAACGCACAGGTAATTCTGGAGGTAAAAGAAGGAAGACAGTGGGCCAAGGACCATGTGACTCTGTCATGGAGGACAATATTCTCGCTCAAATGTTTACGGTAATGTGCGTGGTGATCTCATTAAAACGAATATAAGTTAGATAAAATGAAGCGGCGGTTTAAGTGTTGGAACGGGGTGTCCAGGTCCGAACACAGTAGCAGGTGTCCTGGTATGGTGGCAGGAGTCCTGGCTCGTAGTCGGTGTCTAGTCTGTCCTCGATAGATAGAGCCCGCGTAGCCTCCCGCTATAGAGGTCTGGCCTTGGTTTCCCTTGCAGTTCGTGCCCTTTCCAGTGTGGACTCGTCTCTGGACAAAACTCTCGAAAGCCGTCTCCGCGAAACGGTTGTGTGTTCCAAGAGTCATGGAACAAGGGCCCGGATGACCTTAATCTGATCACCCGGAAAAGTGTTAACGATGCCATAAAAGTACGCCATTACCTCAGGTGTCCACTGAGGTTCAATAGGCTACGTCACATCAATCAAAAGATTTAAAACCAGGCCTCATCAAGTTAGAGCGTTCCACAACGCTCTAGATCCTCCTTTCAAATGTACTTGCAGATACGTCGTGGCCTAACAAAAGTAGAGGTGCTGTACCATACAACTACCACGTATTACCGCATTTGATTAGTCTCATCCATATAAATTTATCCTACGCACCTGGGGTATCATAATTGGTTCAAAAGTTGGTTACTGGCAAACCTAACCTGTCTCCACACTATCTGCACCAACCGCTCAGGACATTTCTGATCTCGTTATCATACTCTCTGTCTTTGGACGATCGTAACGCACTCATCCAATCAACCATACCATCACCTAGGACACCATGGGCTCGTTGCACAACGATAGCATCAAGTCCAATTCCGAAAAACAGATCGTCTTGAATCCGAGCCCGAGAGAACGAGCGCGCATTCTGCGTAAAATTGATTGGCATCTACTACCTTTCGTGACTGTATTTTACCTTCTCTCGTTCTTGTGAGTATGTACTATGCTTGTACTGTCCGATGTTGCTACACATTAATTCCTACTTTCAGAGACCGAGCCAATATTGGTAAGTTATCTACCGCATACTTCCTATTGATCATCAGCTAAGACTATTGCCAGGAAATGCGAAGGTCGCCGGCATGGCCACAGACCTTCACTTGACAGGCTTCAGGTACAACATCGCTGCAGCCGTCTTTTTTGTGCGTCTTGTATCACGCACGTTCCATTAAATGCTGAGTTACTCTAGATCACGTACAGCTTTGCCGAGGTCCCTTCGTATGTACAACATTAAGAGCAGCGATTCTGTACTCAGTGTCTGTGTAGTAACATCGCGCTCAAGCTATTCAGGTCATCGCGCTGGAGTACGTTTGCCCCTGCCTTGTGTTTTCTCCCGGCTGATATCGATCCAGTACCGTCTATCATGGTCCTGTGGGGTGTCGTAATGGTCCTTATGTGTCTTGTCAGATCATATCAATCTCTCGTTGTGTACGTGGGGTATATTTGCTTAGTGGAGGCAGACACCATAATAACCTGATGCCAGAGCTCGAACGTTCCTCGGTTTGACCGAAGCAGGATTAGTTCCTGGAGTAAATTACTACATCTGCCTTTGGTATCCGCGTTCTGAACGGTCCAAACGCATTGCAATATTCTTCTCCTCGGCATCACTCGCAGGTATGCAATATTTTGATATGCGTTGAAATCTATCTTCGTTTTAAACTTCTGTTCCATTGTAGGCGCCTTCGGTGGGCTCCTTGCGTAAGTCACTTTTGTTTTCCTATCAACTTGACATTGACCCTCATGTTCCATGGATACAGGTATGGTATAGAGCGGATGGAAGGGTAAGCAAGTTGCTTACCTTGTCAGCCGTCACTGATGCGCCTATCAGAGTCGGAGGACTACATGGCTGGCAATGGATTGTATGTTTGCGTGTTTTAAAATCGAGTCTTTATTAATTGCATTCTCTCTTAGTTCTGCTTGGAAGGCATTGGTCAGCCTTGCCAGATCTGATATATTTTGGATGTTCATCTGAGACTTCAACCAGCCACTGTTCTCGTCGCAATTCCCTCTTTTTTCTTCATGCATGATGTGAGTTCGCGATTATGCGAGCCTTTCCCATGCTGATTTAGACCACTCAGTATCCTGAAACGGCCAAATTTTTGACCGAATCAGAGAGATCATACATCATAGATGTGCTCAAACGGGATTCTAATAATCTTTCCTCTCGCTTCGACACTCGATTCATCTGGCAAGCCCTAAAAGATTACAAGTCCTACGTCCAAAGTCTCATTTATTTAGGGTACTCAGTCTCCTCCTGTCATCTCGTGTGCTTCATCTGATTTGATCATCAGGTTGCTCGTCCCTGGTTATGCCATTGCCCTATTCTCGCCAACAATCATCCACGAGCTCGGCTACTCTGCTGCGAATGCCCAGCTACTCTCGGTCCCGCCATTTGTTGCTGGCTGTATTGGAACAATCATAGTTGGCATCCATTCTGACAAGCACAATCTTCGTGGTCCGTACATCATTGGTGGCGCGCTTGTTTCTCTTGTGGGATACATCTTGCTATATTGCAGCGTACGAGCGGGCCCGTCGTACGTGGGAGCTTGTCTGGCTGCTGCTGGAGTTTATCCAACCGTCTCGATTGCTCTGGCTTGGGCAGGCTCTAGTGCAGGAGGCGATTTAAAACGTGGAGTTGTACTGGCAATGGTCATTGGTCTTGGTAATCTCGGAGGGTACGTTATGTTATCCTAAATACGCGATGACCATCCGCTCATGCTAATCTCAGTATTTGCTCGTCTTTCATTTATATTGATCCACCACGTTTCCTCGTCGGACATGGCACCGTCATGGGATTCCTTTCTCTTGCGTATGTCCCATCAGTCTTCCGAAACCGGAACTGTAGCATGATAACATGAATTTGTAACAGGATCATAATGAGTCTCTTTTCTATGTGGAACTATAATCGGCTGAACAAAAAGAAAGAAGCGCAGTGCCTGGCGGAAAACATTGGCGAAGATAGAGGGTATGAATTTGAGGATATGGGCGATGACAGTCCCCTTTTCAGGTGAGTTCTCTTCGAGTCCTCCGCAACGCTGCCTTGAGTAATGAATATTCAAGGTACACCATATGAGATCACAGCTACATTGAGCTGCCCCTTTTAAGTGCTCTTTAATTGCACGCGTCAGCTTTGGGAATAACCAATACCTACGTCTCATTTGTGGTAGTAACGGCATGATTGAATATCATGGAGACTTGGCAGTGTGCGTTGATTGTTCGCAAACCAGGCACATCAATATAAGATGCGCCCTAAAGCGCGGATCTCATCTTAACCAAATGACCAACGAAACAAACGTGTGCTCAAGGTGAGCACCGGAGCTGCCGCTCTATCTAAAATCCGATGCTCAATCCATTCAACAGCGTCACAAGGGAACCGAGAAACGCGAGAACCTGCAGATCGGTCACAGGTGTGAACTGGTAGGACAATTTCCGGCGAGCTGCAAGTGAGTTGAATATCATACTTAGGTACCCGTCCGTTCTATCTCAGACACCGGCGATAAGCAACCTCGTGGGTCAATTTACTACCAGAAGATACGACGAACCCTTCACGGTTCGCAACGAGATAGCAACATATAATTAGGCGAACGGCGTTTCGAACAAGAATGTACGAAAGGAAACTTCTGTCGCAGGTTCCTGCAGACGATAGCGGTTAATCAAAGTTTATGAAAGACATTTAGGGGATGTTTTGACGGAGCAAAACATGGCAGACGGGTACACTCGATTTAGTTTGCAAGATATTCTTCAGCCATTAATTAATTACTTTCACAGCTCACTCACTGGCAGTAACAGGGTTTCGATGAGTCGAAGAAACGAGCAGGAGATATCGAAGTTTGCACGACGACCGCGACGACGGGATACAAGCAGCGTGTTTTGGGACGACAATCGACTGTCACACAACGTTGGCGGCGATGAGCCATCGAAGCAAAACACAGCCAACCTAACCTTGGTTGATCATGGCAGCAGGCTTTAAATTGGGGTACTATGCATGCAACCGCTTCTCTTGTGTATATAGATGCATTCTGCGCATGTCCTCCATCTAGTACGTGGCTGATAATGCACCCCTTAACCAGGCGGCAGAACATTATTACATTTCATTCACGGGAATTTTTTGACCGCTCGCTCGGTACCACTGGGAGGCCTGGGGCCCCGGGGGTCATCTGAGTCGAATTAAGCAAGCTTGAAGGAGATATTAGGGAAATGGCAAGGATCACGATGATTAACGCAGAACTCTAGTGCTGGGTGGCGATACAGACAATTGGGTTACCATCAACCTGCGAGGCGTCATATGAACAACCTTTGACACGGCCGGCGAACCTCGGTTATGACAGCAGCAACATAGCGCCTTTCCGTCATATGTGAGCCCTTCTATGATGCAGGGCATTCATCTATGTGGTAGATGTGACATGTGAAACCGATCACCGTGACGCAAAAAAAAAAAAAAGTGAACCCGACCCGGATTGAACGGATGACCTTGAGGATACAAGCCAAAGCTCTGGAATCTCACGCGCTACCACTGTGCCACGGGTCCATCCGTAGCCGCCCTGCTTCACGGGCACCAAAACCTATTCACTTGAATATTATTGCGATTGGTAAATATATACAGGTCAAGTCCAAAAGCACATCATGTCTGACTAGTCTGACTACTTCCTCGTGAACAACGAAAATCGCCGCTTCGACCCCCGCGCACTGTCCCCGTCTAGCTTTACCATTGATGATGCAGGGCTGCTCTGCAGGTCCTTGCGCTTCCGCATGAGAAACAGGAGCGAGTGTGGCCGTGAGGGCAGCGCAGGAGGGCGCGTGGCCGTCGGCGTGCTCAAGCCCGAGGGCGTTGATGATCCAGAAGAAAGAGGGTGCAGCGTTGGCACGTGCGACCGGGGTGTAGAAGGCGCATTGAGTGATGTGTGGGACCACAGTGGATCCGGTTGGAACGGAGGGAGAGCGAATGAGGTATAAGGCCCTGTGTCCGATTCTTCCGATGGACGGGGTACTCCTGCTGCAGGCTCCTCCTCCCTCGGCTTTAAGGAGAGACTTCTCTCTGGAAGAGTAATATCGTGGTGAATGAGATCGAACCCCTCTAATAGGTTCACAGCGTACTCAGGCACGCAGACCGAATCCTTGTCTAGTTCCGCAAGGATCTCCGTATGAGAGCGTGGCGAAGAACTTGCATAAATAGTTGCCACGCCCCCCGAAGGCGCTTGTAGTGGCGCCTCCGATGGCACACGTGATGCATGTGATGCCCCATTTGAAGACGTCGATGCAATGGATAATGGGGGAGTCGATGGCCGTGTGGAAGTCATCACGTCATCAGTGAATTCATTAAATGGCAGCAAGCGAGATGAAGGGGTCGACGATTGCGACAAGGATGAATTTCTTTCCGCATTAGAAAGACCCATATTTTTAACTAGTGAGGAGGGTCTAGATGGCCCGCTTGCGACTCGTGGTTTGCTGGAGCGCATAGGAGGAACGCATGGCTCACCACCAATCGATTTTGGGCGGGAATTCAGTGTTGTGAACCTCCGAGTGACGCTGGTCGACGGACGGAGTCGAAGGGGTGAAATGTCGCTCATGGTTATCCGGCGTGAGAAGGTGCAGTCGACGAAAAGAGGCCTGCACTTATGGCGGATGTGTAATGATGTCCTCGTGGGTGATCGTTCAAAAAATCTAACGAGATTAGCCCGGCGCTTTGCCTCATTGTCGAGGGGTGTCACTGGAAGATTCTCGTCAAACCTTCCTTGCTCCGGCACACCCCTTTTCAACTTGAGCGAAGCCAAATGCTGACTCAGTTGGCTAACCCCACGGTCTGCTTCAAACTGCCGTCGTTCCTCCATCCAACGATCTAATTGCAAGGCAACGTAGCTCTTAGGATCGACCTCTCTATCCGCGAGACACACCCTTAACTTGGCAGCACGGTCCCTGGATTCATTCGCACGTGTACTCAGCGCAGCAGTCGCCTTTTCCAAAGCAAGAATCTGAAGTTCTCGAGGCGACCGTTCTCTTGTGCAACTCTTGAGTGCATGCTCCAAGGCCTGTTCCGCTGTAGAGTAACGCCGTTGGCGACGTAAAAAGTCTGTAGGGGATCCACAGATAGAAGTAGCCCTGTTGGAGCGGCTAGGCTTCATAGTGGGTCCGGGCCTTCCGCATGCGCGAGTAGAATTAGGTGTGCTAAGCGTTGCAGCAATGTATTGTTCAGATGCGGTTTGTGCGCAACGTGAAAAACACGTACTAGTATACGTTAGCTGATATATCCGGAGAAATGGCGACCTTTGGTGCAACCGTGGTGCTGGTACGCTGCTGTGAGTGAAAGTGAGGTGAATCAAAAAGTTTTCATCTAGTTGATCGTTACCTACACGCAAAACATGTTTCGTGTCCGTTATGGTATCAGTGTCGATTCGCAGCGCGGGTAGATGTAAAAGATGAGTCTTGGACGGCTCCAATGCATCAAGGTGTTTGTCATTCTGATCGAAGATCTTTACTTCAATCATGATGGGGATATGAATCGTAACAGGCTGACTCGGATGCTGGAAGTCGCAGACTATGGTGATTGCACAAAAAGTAGAGGAAATAAAGTTGGCCGAGGGCAAGTATATGAGAATTGACGGCCCTGAGGCTGTGCAAGTCGCCGTGACACAACCGTGTGCATTGGAATTGCTAGCACTTGGAGATGCACGGTAAACGGAGTCTCAGTGACGGACTTGGAAGCTTTACGGAAAGCCAGTGAAAAACAGCTGGGAAGCACACTCTCGTACTTATGAGCAACTCTTACGGATAACAGGAACAATGGTCTTCATTATGATGATCGCCGCGATCGGATGGTTTCAATTATATTCGTGACGTGGTGTCACATGAATAAATAAAAACGACCACGTGCCGCTGTGGTGTGCAGGATGGGTACATATATCGTGACATGATCTGTTCTTACAGCTGTTCGTACATACATCATGATCGGCCGAGCACTAGATCTCGCAAGCCCTTCCCGAGCTTCCTCACTCTACCTTTTATCCCTTTTCCGCGGTGTCCTGTCTCCTTGAATAGGTAGTCCCCTGGCTCATCAGGTCCATCTTCCTTTCGCCACCTCGCTAAGTTCATCCGCATCTCCGTCTCGCCGCTTAATGAGAACCCAGAGTACACGTTCACAGGTATCGCTTGTCCAGGGAGAATCATCGACATAGGCCGTGAATCTCGGCCGAACTGCACTGGTACACGCTCCCCACAGTCAAGAGATCTCGTGCCGCGTGGTGCATAATCGTAATCAGATGGGATGGGGGAGGGCGTGCGAGGGAGGGAGCTGGGAAGCCCAGGAGTACTAGGTCGAGACATGTTTTTCCGAATGACAGTATAATATGGCCGGCTAGGGTGGCCGATTCGGACGGGAATTTCCGCGCTCGGCGCAGGAGAAGGTGCTGGTGCTACATGCATTGTATGTGACGCGCGTGATTCAGCACGATCATCAAATGCGGGGGAAGACTGCTGTGATCTCGACCGACATGAGAGTGAGGACATGCGTTTGAGTGATGGCACGCCTTTCTTCCTCCGTAGCTTCGGGGAAGATTCTGACAATGATATGGCGGAGGAAAGAGCGCGAGCGTGAGAGACACAATCGGGGTATACATCGCCGCCAGCGGCGTGAGCTGCATCGATTAAAACGGAACTACTATTCGAGTGTGAAGTCGTTCCTTGTATCATGAGTGATTTGTCGTGAAGTGTACTGCGCGCATGCGCAGATGATGACGTTGCAAGAAAAAGAGCGGGTAGTTTTCGACGATGCCGTATCGACTGTTTCTTCACAGTTTCGTGTTTGTATAGCCCACCCAGAAGCTTCTGCTTCACGCTGGCGGGAGCCGTCGAACGGCACAATGGCTGCGCAGGAAGAATAAAACAAAAAGGGTCAGCAATACAACCCTGGTTCTACGGAGGTATCAAACGGCATGCAATATTTACCAAAATCGGTGTTGCTGTGGTGACGTCGTGAAGCACGTCGCCGCCATCTCCCTGGGAATCGACTTCATCGTTGTGAATATCATCCACGCCTATCCGCACGACATCAGGCTTGCGTGAACATGCGAGCTCGCTGTCACACGAGTCCAATACTGCCGTAATTCCGGGTACCTGAAGGCTTTCTATACAGAACATGAGGTCACCTTGAGGAGTCACAGGCCCAGCGCTCGAAATTGTGGAATCAGCCGAGACCCTCTTTGGTATGCACTTGACTCTCGTTCGCTCGCTCGTGCCTCTCAACTGAGAAGTAGTCTTAGATGGTGCAGTTATTCTTCGCGGTCTTGGCAACCTCTCCTCGAACTCTTTCTTTGCCGCCGCGGAACTCCATGCACACCAGAGACACATAGGAATGAGCGTATTGGAAAAGCCACATCGTGCACAGACAAAGAGAGGCCGGTTCGGGCAGAGGTGCAACGAAGGTAGCGAATCGGATGCATGCAAGTGCTGATGAGTACATATCCGCGATGAGTGATCATGATCCTCATCGATATATGAATGCAACTCACGGGCTTATTTCGTTTCCATTCTCTACGAAGATAACGTCGCGGAGTTGCTGATGGGTCCATGCAAAGGGAATCGAGAGCCATGTAAAAGGTTGAGATATCGTCTCTAGTGCGATCTCGAATGTGCGCGGGAGCAAGCGGGGTATCTAAAACTCTAGAGCCCTACTTAAAAAACTAAGTCCACGAGGCCGACGTCTGAACAATCTGAGCAATCAGTCTGAATCACAAGCACGAGTGTGGCACGGAGAGGTTGCATTTATCAAGGCATCTATAAAGCAAGCACAGACATCGGTCATGCGACTGAAACCGTGATCGCTGATCGTTCTAGAGCATGCGTTTGGAGCATGTGCATGCTTGACGGCCTTTCCGAGCGACATCGTGGCCTCCACCAAGCGGCTCAATGCACAAAAGGCATGGAAGATCACGCATGTCTGACGTAATAATGCAAATACCAAACAGCCACTTGGCAAGACTGGGTCACCCCCTACTATGTAGTCAAACGGTGGCTTTGGTAGTGAGTACGTGGTGTCAGAATTGGTAAATTCATCTGCATGTGGCTCAGTTGGTTGGTATTCTTCCATCGATGAACCTCCAAAGTAGTTCCAGAAAGTAGAAGAAGCGATACCCCTTAAAATTGGAAGTGCTTATCCGAACTCGTGGCGAAGCTTAATCCCACAAATGGTCTAAGACATGCACGTACCTGATACAAACATCCGAGGCGGGACAACCTGTACAGGTGAGAAAAAATATGCGATTTGATGAATGCGAATCCAAATTGTAAATGCCGGACCTATGAGTGAGAAAATGGGCGTGTCATGGTATATAATTCGCTAATGCTATCGAGATGGAGTAAGCATCGACAGAAAAAGACATAGTTTAAACCCACAGCTTAGGAACAGCCTTGTATCATACAAAGACAGTGATAGCCCCTCTCTTCTCGTCCATGACCCACTGCCCGTCCATGAGCTGGCTAACATGAACGTGCCCACATCCGCCAACAGGACAAGTCCATTCATATTCAGCTTCTATATTGGGAACCTTGGCTCGACCCTTCCCATTGGCTTTCGCTTTCACGGATGGGCGAGGAGCAGCTCTAGCTCGCGCGTGCGATGGGCCAGGGCCAGCGGGCAACAGTCCAGAGGAGTGAGATGGAAGAGGGGGACGGGGACGCAGTCGTGAGCGAATAGAAGAGAATTCAGGTTCACAGAAGATGTTAAAGATATTGGGATCCGTCTCCTTGCCTTTGCCTTTCACAGAGCGGGTGAGGTAGGCACCAGGTAACTCGAGTTCATCTTCCTCCCTTGCTTTGCCTTTGCCTTTCACATCAGCAGTGTCCACCGAGTCCGGGGTAACAGGAGGCATCGGCTTCATCAATTCCTCCACACATTTTCCGTCCAAAAGATGACCACATCTTAAACCCCACAATCTTCTCTTTGCTCGATCCTCGGCAACGTCCGCAGCTCCCAGCATCAATGGGTCATGACACCGAGGACAAGTAAGTATAGTCTCGCCAGAACGACTATTGCTTGAGCTGGAGGAACCGGGGCTATCGATGTCGATAACCGGTGCAGGTGTCATAGACGATGACTCGAAGTCATATGTAAAACCAGATGCAGGCTTCACCGGATGAGTATACTCCGGTTTATAATCAGGTTCTGAAGGCCGCCCTGGGGTATGAGCGTTGAAAAGGCGGAGATCACCTCGCATCAGCCGGTCACCAGGCTCATCATTAAAATCTGCAGCTCGATAGTGACGAAAGCCATCATCATCATAGAGTTCGTCTTCCTCATGACCAAAGAAGTCTAAAGGGTTCCACTGCATGAACACATCCGCTGGAATGCCGAAGACTCGGCGGCGGCGCTCGTTATTTTGTGATCGTGCGGGGGTTTGCTCAAAAGCTGCTCTCGCGCGTTGAAGCAGTGCGCCGCCGAATCCCATCACAGGAACGTGATGAGATGGTGCGGCGGGAGGTGCAGGTGCCGGAGGACGCTCGATGGGCTCAGGGGGAACCCTGATGTTCGTTTCAAATGGAAAGGGCTCGGCGTTGGGAATTACCAACCCGGGGGCGGTGGGAAATGGAGGCGGTCTTCTTCGCATAGGTATAAACCTACGCGGTATCTGCGGAACCGGTGGTATCGTAGCAATTTGGGGTGGAGGCGATGGTGAAAAAATGCGCGCTCCTAGCAATTGTTCAGGAAGACATGCTGAAATGGATGCGTAGGACTCACTGTGAGATCTGGGAGCAGGCCTGGCCCTGACGAATTGTATATCGTCGTCATCGCTGTCATTTATTATTATGACCTCTGGATCGATTGGCACAGAACGACCGCTCTCCGATACCCTTCTTCTCTGAGTGGGTGGTCTCGATCCGATCCGAGCTACCTCTTCCACATCAAAGAGGTCGACGTCAATGATTTCAGGAGATGCAGGACCCTGTTGCTCTGGAATAGCAGATATTGGACGTTCAACCTCTGTTAGGGACATCTGGAACAGCAATGTTAAGAATCAGATGAACTTTGTCGTCGTTCTAGGTTGACGTTAGAGGCATTGGCGGCCACTGTTCACAAAGCAAATATGAGTATTACATAAGCATGATGGGTGCACGGGCCACTGCCAAACAATTGCCAAATTGTGGCGGTGTATAAATTCTTCCTGTAGGTGATCTTCTTTTCTTCATCTGCCTCATGTTCTGTAAGTATTCTGTCCATCGTTTTCTTATCCAACGGATGACTTTATTCTCTTCCCCGTCCTACACGACCATGCCGAGGAATAGAGCTGTTCGTTCGCAACGAACACGCGCTCTCCGGAGCGCACAGTGTACTTGCCAGTGCCATTTTGTCTGATTCTTTTCACTTTGATCTACTCATCTTAAAATCTCTGTTCTGACCAACTCTCCAGTTCTTTTAGGTTGTCGTTCAAGATATTGCGTTCGTCGTCTTCAGGTGAGAATTGGTGTACTTTCGAACTTTGCATCGCTGCGCCCATTCATGCACGATGAAAATTTTTCCGTTATTCGCAGTTTCCACTCTAGCGCCCTCCGCCAGGAGTACTCCCCCAATACTGAACGTTCATACTTCCCCTCGCTGTGTGAACCCAAAAGCATAGTCGGGTGTGGACCGTCCTTGTGGCGCGCTGAACGGGAGGTGGGGGTCGGCGCAATGAGGGTATGCAGTCCTTCCAGGATGTCTGATCTTTCATATGGCGCAGCTTGCATTGTTTCTGTTGAGTCTCAGTGCTAACGATCTTCCCAGGTTTCAGTCGTTGTGTTTGTGTGTCGTCGGAGTCGTCGCCCTATCTTTTGTACTTATACCAGTCATCAGCTATCAAATTTGTTTGCCATTTTTTTTTTGCGTGTGAACCTTTAGATGAAGATTTACCGGTTAGTTTTGATAAATTGGGTATGCAAACGCTACTCGTGATGGCCTAATGATCTCGCGTTCTGTCGAGTCGTTGCCAACACAAAAGACGAGAGCTTCTGCTCTGCAGGGAAATTGGTGATGTGCGTGCACTTGAACATCCTGGTTTGGCGCCGTAACTCATCTAATTATTTAACTGAGAAAAGACCCAGTTAAGCGTCGGGTTCGTGACGATCAGTGCTTGTCATGTGCTAAATGAACTTGAGAGCGTCCAGCCACACAATTGTTTTTGTCCCAGGCATACCAGACAGTGAACTGGGCCATCCATCGATACTTTCCGACAGTTGACTGATATTGATAGGTATCTTTAAACTACCAGCCCCCCCATGATAGACATAACCTCAGAACAGATCGATCTCCGTTCATTTAGGGCTCCCAACGAAATTACTGCTTTCTGTAAAACACGACATCACACTGCAGGATTGGACACCTCTGGAGCAAGCGTCAAATGATCAAATCTCTGGGGACAAGCCAATAGTTTTGACTCCCCGCAAAGGTCTGACCTGTATCAGTGTCGTGTGCACTGCCAGCAGTGGGGTTCGTGCCGCTTCGTACGTCGGTATCTAATGAACGAGATCCAAGCATCCCATGATCAAATCATTAGGGAAAAATATGACAAACAGGCAACGAGTCAAGTCTTGACTCCCTGCAAAGGGTCAGCCAGTGCTAGTGTCGTGTGCACTGCCTTTAAAGAGCGGGATTCGGGTTTCGTACGTTAGCGTTCAAGGAACTAATGATAACAAACGCGGATGTGCGTTACATCGCACTCAAAGAAGGCCACCAACGTAGATTCTAAAGGGTAGCGGAAGGTGAGTGGTCCCTATCGCCATTGTAATGCAGACCCTGCTGATGCATCATGAGGCTGTATTCAAAGGAATAACACGTGTATTAGTGTGCATGAAGCAGAATCGAACGCAAGCAAAGTCATTTCTAGCGATCGGTCATCAATCTCACCAAGGGGGCGGTCATCGGGGTAACCTATTTACATGCGAGGTACGACGCTAGTTAAGCTCTGTGATAGACATTCTGTTGACTTTAGCAGACATAACGCTTGCAAGCCATGATGGTGGCGTTCATCACCACAAGGCTGTACTCTGAGGATAATGAAACATTGTCCTCCCTCTCCGGGCCGATCGCGCGCTCCTTTTGCAAAGTCGTTGTGGGTCCTTATGTGCTAGTTGACACACTCCTGGACCGATTGGTCCCTGCTCATCTCAATACGATATCAGTCCCATCAGTCACTGCACGAGTGCGGCTTATGCCTCGTGTATTGACAGTGCCATAACGCGGATCTGAAGAAGCATCGATGACAGCAGGGAGTTGTGTAACTGTGCCACGCTGCACGGACAAGTTGCTTGTTAAAATTTTGCCTTTGTGAGTGTCTCGAATCGGATCCAACTTACTCTCACAACAATTTGATCATGTAATTCGATGAACACGTATGTAACTCGCTTTCGTTATGCCCGTTCCTGCCAGCTTGACTGCACCATGAAAGACGGCATATTGTCTCTTATCTGAGCTTCCTTGGAGACGATGCAAACTTCGTTGACATCATTCACGGATCGTGTTCCGGTATCATTGTTTGCATTTTGGCTTTCTAGAGGTGCCTAGAACTTCACGTCATCAGATCCAATGATCCCTACTCCGAATTCAAGACCTGAAGCCTGATTGGACGCACAGGTGCGTGGCTCGCTCGTTATGCTCGTTAGACTGTCAGTCTGTCCGTTTTAGTCCGCCGACCGGATCTTCCCTTGGGGGTGGCAGTAAACCCCGTTAACATCCATTCTTTGTTTGTCCTAATGCACTTTGGGCGCTCCGTCCAATTTCACTACTCGGAGCTTGGGCGCCAGCCACATGCAGCGGACTCGAATCTACAAGGATCCGAACTGCTGGTACTTGCTTTGTGCAGCTGTCTGGCTCTGTGCACTTTCCCCCGCCGAGTTTATCTGTCTGGGAGTCCAACAGAATATATCCAACAATCACCAGCTGTACGCGAAGGATCCCATTTACCCGAACCTTGGCGCAATGGAATGGACGTCAGGGTCTGTCTTTCAGCAGTGCCCTTCGTACTGAACGTTCAGTTCATTCTCCTTGGCATCACTCCCCAAAGCCCATTTGCCTCGCGCTTCAATCCACACTGGCTGGTTTAGCTGATCGATTAGCGCTCGCTCTGAATGAAAAGTGCCGACAAACAGTTCGTTGGCCTCGAGGCTCCTCGAGGCCGGCGCACTTGCTATGAAGAGTGTAGAGAAAAGAAGTTCCGCGTGATATTGGATATCATGGTTCCTCGTCGAGCCTTGATGATTAAAGCGATTTCCATTCTGTTCAGCAAGCGGTTGCGCCCCGAACGTACTATACCATCTTAAGGCATACCCCGGATACGATTGTGGAAACCAACGCTCGCCCGCCTCTTTGCGGCCTATTAAACCCGATGGTATTTGTTTCTGGTGGATATTCCCTGGGATTCCTCAGTAGCTTGAATGGGCTAACAACGTTTGCGGTAGGCTTTTAGTGTGATTTTCTATGTAAGTAAGATGCTTGATCACACGCGCAGATCGTTCCTGATCGTGAGTCATACCGTCGCGATACCACTCCTAAGGCTTCCTGGAGGTCGCGTTCATTCTTTTTGAATGTGCGACAACAGGGGTCAATTGCCCCATTGGAAGTCGCCGATCACCCTGTGGTTCATTCGAGATCTTGCTGAGGCTAGGAAAGATTTGATGACGTGGTCGAGAGTAAGTCTACATACCCAGGACATGTTTTCATACTAACCCATTCGATAGAGAGCAAGCCTGAGTGACACGTGATATGATATCCGACGCGATCATGAAGGAAGCTATGACTTGAGGTTCGCCGTCGATCTCACTCGCCACTCATGGGATGCCTGTGCAGGTAACCTATTGATGAAGAATGATAGGCTTTTGCTGTATCGTCCGGAACTTGTCATTGGACCTTGTGGAATAAAACATGCGGTGACTTGGCGGGACTACTGCATTGTCTTCTGCATCGGAATGCGGGCATGCGATGCCCCGGAATAACCCAGAACTCAAACTGCGAACCGTGGTGCCTCGACAACAATAGCGCAAGACCATATAGTCATGCTGTGTATGATTTCGAGTCTGTGATAGGATCAATGCGAACGGCGAACTGGAATCTTTTTTGGCTTTGACATCATTCATAAGGTAGCCATTCACATGAGGATTAGACTGGTCAATTGAATCAGCGCAAGGCCAGCGAACCCGTGAAAGAGCCCACAGCTCCGAACGCTCAATCATTGCAGGTTAGCCTTACCAGTACCCTTTGGGTATACCTGGACATATTTTTTTGCATATGTAAGTGATACCATACAATTTGAACCCTTCAATGTTGAACCCACCGAGGCCCTGCATAAGGGTAACGCCACACGTAAACGGCACTTTATCGAAAAACAAACAAACTTCATTCAAACACGGTACTATTTGAGAAAAAAGGGCCAATGTCGGAGGGTATATATGGTCATCACCTTATTTCCAAATTTCGCCGAGATGCAGTGTCGCATGCGGCACATCACAGGCAATCTACTACACTCATCCCTTGTCACCGATGTCATATTTACGTGCCGCAACATCGGTTTCCTATGGAAACGTATGAGCGAGTATACCATACATAGTGAGACCTCTGGTACTTACTCGTGACGAAGTCGCTTGCCGTGGATCACAAAGAATCGATGCCCGCGGGTGCGGGCAATTTACGCGGATATGAACTAATAGTTATGAGAGGCCGGGCAGCCGCACACTCGTGAACTGTGATCGAGCTCGGATCAGATTCAGATACCTAGCGCAGGAAACTATAACGAAAACGGCACCAATTGACACGACGAGAACTGACTAGGGGAATGAAGTCTTCAATCCTTCGGACAAATGCGGAAACGTGGATTGGTGCGCGGCTGTGTGCGGTGAACGAGTCGAAGCCTAGCCCAAAGTTGATCAGATAAATCATTTAACACGTTACTCAGAAACTGCGGTACACCGCTGGCATCGCGGGGCCGGTAGAAGGGAGAACTATCTGAAAATCAAAACTGGCCAGTGCTCGACTGGACTCAATTTGGGTCGGGTCTTTCCACGGAAATTCCACCAATCAGAACGCTGGTTTCATTGTGCTTCAAACGAGCGTCATTGAACGTTTTCAACGTTAGTACTACTCTTAGGCTTACCCACCATTTCAAACACTTGAACAATAGAGAACAAACCACGCGGATTCATTTGGACCAGAATAAGCTGTCTATAGGTACCCGTTGAGAAGAGTTCGAGGAAGGATGCTGCCGCCTTATTTGGGAGACACATGCCCCCCGAAACGGTCCGCTTTGCAGTGTATCTCAGGCCAATCTCACTTGGCTCCGCCTCCAGATCTTTCCAGATTTTCGTTGGAGCTGATGGGCCACCGTATCAATACACGTAGAGAGTGTCTTGAAATGAAAAGACCGTTGGTCAGATGTAATATCCAATTCTTCTCTTGTTTTGATGTTTTCTCGCTCGTGACGCTATCCTATTTCCAGGAACTGTTTGTCGGCGTTCTCGTAATGATGTGGTCATTAGTACGGACTCCCACCACAGCCGGGAAGAGATGCGAAGTACGCGGCGATCACACATTGTACGTCGATTTATCACCTTTAAGTATCTGGCCATTGGCGCCGGTATCTGAGATGAAACACTCAAATACCCTTCTGCGATTCTCGAGTGCCCACTCGAACATTACACTCACCCAACATGCTAGCTCAACGCATGCTCGCGGGACCTTCCGCTTCTCTTCGCTCTTTGTCTCCCTTCGAGCTCCTTGATGTTCCCATACTCGAACGTATCGCGTTTTACTTGGCCACGAGTCGGCTCATTGGGCCACCATCAGAATTGGTCCCTCTCTTGTGCACTTCTCGTACTATCAACGCATCGCTCAGGTTCCGCGACAATCATCATCTATATTCTCAGATTTTTTATCAAAAATTCGACTCGGCTGCAGTCATACGTCGTCTGTCATGGGGACGCACTACTGTCGAGTGCTTTTCCGAGGAGCTTCGCAAGCGCAGTACCATACTGACTCGTATGCGTCATCGGAATGCGGAAAATTTCGCCCATCTTCAGGAGGATCTTTGGGCAGTCTATCTCATACTACTCGAAAACGATGGTAAAAACATGGCCCAGCTGCGTCTCTGGGCAAAGCTTCCGACATGGATAGCAAGCGTTATCGAAGACAAATGTCAAGTTCCTCGAGAACATCCTCTTTCCTGGGTGAGAGATATCGAAGGCACTTCATTGGTCCTTTGGCTCTTCTGGATGAGCAGTGACGAAGGTGCGTTTTTGGTATGCCAACTCTTACATATGTTCTAACATTCCTATCAGAAAGCGTCAAGGATGAAGACTCCAGGGTACGCAATAAAACATTGACTAGGCTTGAGCCTTTCCTCGTCCATGGACATCGAGTGCGTATTATAACTCATTATTTGTCCCTGAGTGTCATAAGTAACATTACGTGCAGTTCTCATCTGCGTACGCTCCTGATGCGTTCTTCTATCTGCCTCTTTGTGCAGAAACTGAGGTTGCAATCCCATGTACGACAGGTCTGCCGCTTCCAATCGCCCGCGATTTTGTACACTATGGTCGAAAAATTAAGCTCGCTGCACCGCCTCTGATACCAGCTGCCCTCCTGAACTATGTGGTCAGGTTGGAGGTGCGTTTAGACGATAATCCATTGCCGTCTGCAGTGGCGCAACTTCCCGAGACGAGGGCGCAAGCTGCTGCAATGGGATTGTCTCTTCCGCGGCTTACACAAGAAGACATCATAAACTTCCACTTTCACACTCGCACAAGATTTTTCGGCGACTATAACGGCCTGGGCAGTGAGCGCCTTGATAACGAATGGTTCCGAACTGTATCATGCTATGATCCGTGGGCTGTGGATCGACCACTTCGAGGAATCTTTTACCATCTTGGATCATTAACTGGGCACTGGAATGGTCGAGCTTTGGTACGTTTGTGGCCATATTATCGCCCGGCAACTTAATCATACTCTGCCGCGTCAGATTCCATATTTGCAGGCCCACATTGACGCCAATATGCCCAATCGCCGACCCCCGGTACAGGGCGTAACTTGGGCACACGAGCGCATATCTTGTGTGTTCAAAGAGCACCATTGCTTGATCCCCGATGAACCCATTTCTGCACCTGCTGAAGCTCATGGGTGGGGCGAGGATATCCTCAACGTTTGGTTGCCCCGTCGACTGGAAATTAAACATGGAATTGTAAGTTTCTTCGAGTTTGGTCTTGTGTGCAGCATTAAAACACAATAAATAGGATGACTTAACATTACATGATCGGGAAACTGGGAAGACTGTACGATATGAAACATACCATGCCGACCGCGAGAACCCTTACTCCAGACCATCCAAGATGAATTCCGAATGGCGTTGTGATTTGCCGCCCGTAAGCGAGGATTCACAATATGAAACGGACGATGATTACGAGGAAGTTTTTGAGCAAAGAACTAGTGGCGTCACTGACATCATCATCACGGGAGAGGTGAGGACTCCTGCATCGCCTCGAGTTGATGGAGCCTGACAGTCGGTGAACTCTTGCAGACGTACGATCGGGAGAGCCCAGCTTGGGGTTCTTTCTCTTTCATTGGCCGAGTAAGACCATGGGATGGCTTCGTAGTTCTGCTGCGACGGTCGGTACGTGAAAGAAGGTCTGATTTGCGTCATTCATTCTAACTAATTCTTTGCCATCAGACACATGCTGTCCATGCGTATCACGGACGCTGGATATTCAAAGGTTACATACACGAGCGTAGTCTTGTTGGGCGTTGGCGCGAAACTGGCACCGCAGTTGACCAACTAGGCTACGAGGGCGGATTTGTGCTTTGCAAGGCGGATGAAACGTCATTGGATACAGTTTGAGTTTGCGATGTCTCGCTTTACTATCGGGCATGTGTTGTATTATGATTTGCATGTAGCCATATACTGTACATTGTCACCTAATTGTATTGGCTAAAGTTGTATTAGCATATGGGTAGATGAACGCCGTCGTGGCGAACCATTCATTTTATGGTCGCATACCCATTTGAGTCATAAGGACTTTAATAGATCACTCGAAAATTAAATCCATGAACACATCAAACGCAATACATTTGTCGTGGTATCTGACACCACTAAACGTAATAAGCGCCACAATTGATGACTCTAAACTGATCCTGTCCGTCTCTCGATGAACCCTCTGACGTTAGCATGTCCTTCAAGAGTACCAAAGAAGCATCGCTTGGCTGCATTCTCCCAAAGCACAACATCTAGCTGCTTCGCGTACGCTAGCACGTATTCATAATCGGCTTGCGACGCGAAGTCTTTGTACAGATAACCTTAATTTGTGGTTTGGCCGGCGTGAGAAGAGTATCAGAACAAAAAGATAATCCTGACCTTCTGCAGATTTCAGCCGATTCCTCTCAAGCTCCCAGAGCCTTATCTGGTCCTGTACAGTCACAGGCAAAAGGGGGTTCTATTCAGGGGCGATGAGCAACGAAATCGGCCTGTGAGGATGATTGAATTATACTCACGTTCTTGCGCATCTGTGGATGTGCGTGTGTCGTTAGGTAGCTAATGATCTGTCGGCGGCGATCAGGCTCATTACCCAAACGCGACTACAATCAGAGAAGAACGTTTTGATACCTGGTCAGCCGAGATTCCGTTGCCCAGTGCCTTGCGTACACTTTCACGCGTAAGCATTCCCACAACCAAGTTCGGAAAACGGTATTTCATCGTGATGAACAAATTAAGGACAGCTGTTTGCAAGGGGTTGTCTTCCAGCCGCCGAGGACATATAAACTCAAATGCCAAAGTTGAAAAAGAGATAACATACCTGTATAGGCATATATCCTATAATTAGTTTCTAGAACAATGAAGCCTTGTTGCGCGGCCCCTGAACTTAGAGCAACCGCCCCTGTACCATCCGCCGTATGAGACCCACCAGTAGAATGTGAGCTTGGTAAAGGAGGTGATGAGGAAGTCAAAGTTGTTGCTAATCGTGTGGGACTAAAACGTTTTGATGACGTCTGCAGGTGGAGTACATTTAGTAAAATGTGCTAGATTGTAAAAATAGAAGGCTCCATACTTTGCGTTGCCACACCAGCCCATAGTCTCGAAGGTCTTCAAGCATTGCCTTCTGCGTTTCGCTCAAGGGTTCTGTCGAATATTCCTGGTATCAAATGAACGGCGCTTCTTCAGCTACTTAATGCAACCACATTACATTTGCCTCACCCGACCAAGATCCATGGTCGACAGCATGAATAGAAAGCTAAGCACTTCCACGAGGTCCATTTGCCTCTCCTAGGGACATGTCAGCATCACCAAACACAAACGCCTCCTATCAGCTAGAAGCGTACCTCTGCCATGTGCAAGTACTGTAATAGTAGATTCCAAAGCTGATCATGAGGTGAATGGAGGAGGAACTGGAAACCCGAGGAAGTGATTTGCAGAGCCGGACCGCTATGGGCAGAAATGTAAGAGGGGAAAAACCTTGACGCATATGCACCCACTGAGCGTTGTTCATCAAACCACTCCTTTGAAGCAAGTACAGAACTCCTTGGGAAGGCTTGGTAGGATTTTGACCTTGACCAGACGACACCATGTAGTGAAGGATGGTCTGCGAAGTTGTGAGATTATTATTTTTCACCAGTCGGTCACCAGCTCACCTCCCATCGTTCGAGCGCGTATGCGTCTAAGTTCTCAATGTTCGCTGACTGTCGTTTGCCGTCCTTGTCGGTAGGAACTCCAAAACTTCCCGTGCTACCTCTTCAGACATTTGTTAGCATGAGGAATGTGCTTCATTTATATTTCAACGCACCCTCCTGTGATAGCTTGCCTCAAGCTAGATTTGAATGTAGGGTTTAGCGCTAATTTAACAGCTGAGTTTTGGGCGATGTGCAGTCCAGTCATGACAGCGAGAGCGGAATCGTACGCGCTATATGTATATTTATGAGGTTGAAGTTTTCACAACGCATAGAAACTTACTCTTTTCCCTCAGGAAGGACCCAAGCTGATATCGTCGCTACGGAGAGGGCACTTTCTAGCCAAAGTAGATTCATTATCAGTTGCCGCTCGATTGGCCCGAGCAATCTAGAAAAGAAGTCAGCTTGGGAATACACATAATGCAGTGGCACATCACCTAAATATTGAAAGACATGACGATGGCCGCTGATAGAGGCGGGTTAACGTGGTTTGTGACTGGGATTGAAGAAACGGAAGGAGTGGGTGAGGCGTATGTTGAGGAACGATCACATCTGTGTTTTGCAGCGACTGGACAGGCATGTTCAATTCTATTTTATCTCGGGGTCATGGAAAGACCCAAGCTTGAGCTTGAGAGGGAGTCACCGCGATGAATGGCGAGCATGAACTTTGAGGTTAGGGTCATGAATGTGGCAGTTCCCACAATCGGGAGACGAGTCAATCACCGATTTCCATGTGGGACCTTCACTGACAATCACTGACTCGCTCGAGCCGCTCGTTGTAACTTGTGAGTCACTGGGCTCTTCAAGTTAATCCAAGATATCAAATAATTTGTTGTATTTTGTCTATTTCATAGCCATATTCATCGCATTCGAGAGAACTTTGAATCTGGCTCTAGCCTACAGGTAGTAAGTTAGCCTACATCTACATCATGATGATGAGGTTGACTTGACCGAATTCAAGCTCGGATATCGAGCAGTCACGGTATCACTGGTAGTGCACACCAGCCGCTCAACGTTGCAACGCTCAGCAAGCGAACTTACACAACCCAGCATAACATTCGAGATAGCCTACGAAAACAATGCCGGCCAGCACATCATACTGTCCGTTTAATTTCGCAGGAGAATCTTGTGTTTGTTCAAGATCTCTCCATAATGCCCCCCTCTTTCAAGTCGGAATGCCTCGTTTCTGGGCGATTTTGTGTTGTTACCGTCCTCTGCCACAAGCCAGACTCGGAAGTTTTTATTATGAGGTATTTTTCTGACTGCGAATTGAAATCAGACGGCGTATTGATATATAACACTAGCTTTCCCATTTCAGTGCCTCCGTCTGAGTCTATTCGCCGAAATTTATGGAGCTCATACACAAGCAACCGTCCGGAGCTGAACAAACCTTCTAAGCATGTATAATTTATCCATTTCGGTTGTCAGTCTATACTTCTTATAATGCGGGCTACTTGCATTTCAATTAATACTGCCGCTTCTCGGCTTGTCAGACCAGGGTCCAGCCTGGAAACGTTTTCCGCACCTTTTTTATTGCGGTATTTTGTAAGTCCAATGCTTCTAGATTTCCTATATATTATGATACAAATCAATATATCTCTAAAGTAATGTAATCACGGCTCGGTTCTGACATTGCTGATACTATAACGTCATGTATGGCAAAGAGCATTTTGGTTTGCAATTGCAAAATATGCGTTTACTGAGAGTCGCCGCCGCCGCCACTACGCATTGCAACGAAACACTCCACAAGGGCTGCCGTTGTTGCTCGAGTGCACCAACAGACATCTAGGGTCACTTCCAGTACATATCTTGCTGTACGAATCATAATTTTTGGAGTGTACGCCTCTCGGTCGAAGGGTACCAATCCAATGAGCTACACTACGATTATAAATGGTATTTAAGAACTTGCACAAGTGAGTGGATTTTAGACCGTCAATTTACTCGCAAGTATAGCTCAAGTGCCACCCGTGGTCGAGTAGTTTATAAGGCACACTTCACGACAGCGTCTTAATGCCCTAACTCTGATTCGCAGATAGGGGTTTCAAACTTGAATGCTTCAGCCTAGAGCAGCTGAACAGAAGCCGCTTCCATGCACAAAAGACTGGAGACAAATATGTCAGTATATACCCGTTGTCAATATGTACATTCAGTCCGATAAGTTCGCTTTGTTATTTTGCTTGGCAAAGATACTGACAGTAAAAACCATACTGGCTATGCTGCAGGGTATGAAATAACGTAGTGACGCTACATGTGGTACATGGATCCACAAAAGCACCAATTGAACTCAAGATGCCATGGTAAACGCAGCAAGTGCGACACTGAAAATGAGAATCGACCAGTCAAACAAGAAATGTTGTAACGCTCAGTAGCCCGCTCCGGCGTTTTTCACATTTTTACATACAGGTCTATATAATAGGACGTAGATCTAGGGGAGGGGACACCCGTGTCCCCTCTATTTCTCCGTCCCCCTACCCCCAACAGTCCGCCGTTCCCGCCGGCCGCTTCAGCATCTACGCAACTCAAACCACTATTCTACGTGAGGTTCCCCCCTACCCATCGGTCCGCCGTTCCTGCCGGCTGCTTCAGCATCTACATAGGTCAAACCACTATTGCAGTGATATCACCCATTATTTTCTAAAATTGAATAATCAGCGTCGGTCATACACGAGGGAGAGAAAGTCCTGACATTAAGAGCACTGATGCGTTTCCAGGCCGTATATACGCGTGAATACCCGGCCGCAGGTGTTGCAAGGATACCTGATCCAAAGATGTGTTCCTTGCACATGTCGTGCAAGGCTTCCTTTGTTCATCGGAGCGTTACAACCCTGCCAACGGCAAACGACGGGGAGATAATCCGGGCCACTAATTCCGTGAACTTCTCGGAGATGGGTTGACATATTGCCACCATGTAACAGGTCGTTGCAATGTAATCCGTATTCACCATCCCACATACATTGGAATAGTTCGTTGAGAAGATGGTATTCCTGCAAAAAAGGTTCAGCGGCCGCGACTTCCAGTGAGAAGGCAAAAATAACCTGGTTATGTGCCATGGTAGTATTGGTGTTGTGTTCACTGCAGATTGGGGCTTCTGGAAACGCCTTTTTATTGAATCGAGCTTGCAGAGAGGCCCACCGTTCCAACTCTCCCATTCCTAGGCTGGAGGGCACTACGAGTCATAATGTGGGCTGGCGGGGAGCCACTGGGTAAATGCGCCTGGACGGTGAACGTTTCATTGGTTTGATGGGCAAACCCATATGTGCCGGTTGGTAGTAGTACCGGTCCATCCGAGCTGAGAGCTCATCCGTGTGTGTGATGTCAGACATGGCACCTGGACAGTGAAGTGATGGGATATGTGTCAGATGTCAGACATGGCGCCTGGAAGGTGATAGGTATCAGATACCGCATCAGCATGACATCAAAGCGTGGTATTGGTGTATGCCGCCGAGCTCGTATGGGATTACAAAAATGCGAGAGAAGTGTCGAATATTTTCATTCGTTTGAAATATGGTTTGATGAATTGAGGATGGCCAAGCGTGCCATGTCAAGATTGGAATGCAGCTTCCATTGCGATTTCCACCCGCCAGCAGGCCAAAGGCCAAGGCCTTTGGACCGAAAAATCTGAGTCAAAAGTCGATAGAGTTCAGGAGACAAACGAAACAAAAAAGTTGGCCACATACATAACACGTGATAAACTTAATATTTAGCGCTCTTAGTCTTAGACGCTACTATGTAATACTAGTAGCGACTCACACTGGCACACCACACGAGTTGTGCATGAATGATCAGTGACTTTGGTAGCCCTACGAGCAATAAAGACAATCGGATAATGGCATCGACGAAACTCCAGCGAGCGATCTCATCAGCTCAGGAATTGTAGAAGGCAGGGCCGGGGCCCAGGCGCACCATCAAAGTTGCGTCACTACAGCTGTGTGCATTATAATGCTCCTCGTGACACCGAGACGCTCTTCGCGAGCCTTTGTTGTAAAAATGCAGTACGTCAAACTTGCATCGTCTCATATTACTTTATGATGGCAGTGATGAAGACCTGATTGCGGGTGAGCCCATCGCCGAACCCTTAATGGCTGAAAATAGGGGATATGCAAGAGTAACCCTGAATCCATTACCTTGCGGATAAACCCTTGATATCTGGGATTCGTTGAGCAAGCCATTCTGCGATCCTACGATGTCAGGATGACCAAAGCTCTTGTGGAACCCAACCCCTCATTGACCAATAACATCGAACCACCCGAGAGATTGTCTGCGATTCGGAGATAGTTCCCCAGGGTATTGCAAGGACTCTGTATCATGGGGTAGAATCAGTAGAGGCTTCTGGGAGACCGTTGTCACATTTGTTCTTAGCATCGTCATCTGGCTGCCCTCAGTCGACAAATAAAGATTGTGGAATATTGGATCTTCGACAGGTACCTGTGGTTCCGAGTTTCGCTAACCCGTCTTCAGAGTCGCAACCCGCACATGTTTTCCAAAGGGTCGATGGTCTCTCAGAGACTCAAAAGGCATCGTCTGAGTTCACGATTGTCGTGATAGTATGTTGAACAACACTAGCAAATTTGTCATCATCCTGCTCAAATTTCAAATTGCAACTTCTCCGAACGATAATTCAGACGATCGTATAGAGCTAAGAGCACGGCGCACGCCAAGGCTTGAAGCTTGAATATTTGAACGATCAGATGTATATATCTGTGCCCCGCAGCAGCTGTGACCACATCTGTTCAATGCATACTGCGCAGTTCATGATATTGCATGAAACACCCGGTTAACGGTCGCCACTCCAAAAACACTCACTGTTGCAGTCATTCTGCTAAGCCGAGTTTAACCAGCGTGACAATCTTACTCACCCCTACATATGGGTGTAGTTGAATTGACGGGAATAGGAGGCATGGTTGCAGAATACTCGTTGCATCTATCCCCGGAACTGTCAGAAGGAACACCAGGTAAGCCAAATAGAATAGCTGCAAACACAGTACTAGTAACTCACCTCCCCGCTCAGGCAAAACCTCGAACACCTGATCTTCCACCAATGCGTTCATTTGTCCTCAGTATCCGTCACCTCATGTACTCTTCTCCCTCTCTACCGCGGTCATCGGACGATAATTCGATAAGGATGCGCAGTAATGGTAGTTGGACGCTGATGTAGAGCTAATGCCCGTTTAGTACATCCACCATGCATTTCCTGATCGACCTGGCATCGATTTGAAATAGGCTGCCTGACGCATCCTGACGGGTCGACTTGCAGGCGAGCGTATGATGCCATCCGTAGGTCAACACAGTAATTGGAGGCTAAAGGAAAACTCGGACGCCCATCTCCATGGCTGCATAGCCACGAAGGTAACCGAATTCACAGGCTCGTATCGTGAATTCTCGATGATCAATGAATTTCTCATCTTCTGTCCTGACTTGATCTGGTCCACGCACATTGAGAGAACTCCATCACTAGAGTCGGCAATACTATTATGGGCATGGCACACAGGGCGCGCAGGAGTACAATAGCCCCATCCCAGGTCACCAGCCAAAGTAGATGGGACAGGATTTCATCAATGCGCACTGTCACAGTTTCTCGAGAGGTAGACGATTCAGAGCTTACAGCTTTCAACAAGTTCGTCTTCGAATTTTGTGATGAGGTCTGGGATCTAAAACATGACCTGCTTGTTCTAAGGCGTTGGGCTCAAGTATTGCGTATGCTTGGTTCGTAAGTAGTACGCCCTGCTGACAAGGTCTGTCCTCGAAAGAGTCTAAAAATCCTGGTTTGACCAATCAATTTTCTTAGAGCCGTATGTGGCATTGGTCGGTGGAGGTACTTGTGAACGACTTATGGATTCCGGCGGCCGACGAGGGTCTGCGGTTCGAAGTTGGTCACGGTGTCCAGCCTGAGGGGCCACTGTAAGTACCTGATAGCGGATATATGTCCTGGGTCTCCAGCACAGTACTTGGACCATTGTACGAGCGGTACTGGCTCTTGAGTCCGACCCTCCGAAACTCCCTGCTAGTGTTACAGGGACCAGCCATGAATAAACAGAACTTGAGCACTGAGTGCTTGAACCCGAACATTCGATGGAAGTGTGAAATGCACGGCAATATCCGGGTTTAAACGTTAAACTCTCGACGTCCACAACATCATGCATATCTAATATTGGCGCGCCGTCGACACGTCCACCAATGGCTGATTGGGCCTCGCATACAGTGAGTCAACAAATTTACACTGATCTCTGTAGCACGCGATATATAACGGTGAACACAGTTAACTGTACTAGCGATTAGCTTCTCCAGGAGTCCAATTACGACCCATCTATAGTAGGAAGCCCGCAACTAAGTGTCACTAGCATGAGTATATACTCTTGATACTAGTTAGTAGCGCATGTTTCTTGCAAGAATCAGTGGTATCATCAACTTCTAATTGGAAAAGAATTGGCCTATCTTCCGGAACGTTTTCCCTCGCATAAATTACTATCTGTCTTTGCTGCGAGGCAGAAGGTCGGGCTGATTCTTGCGCGGAATCAGCTAGCTACTTCACGATAGATTTCGATCCGTCAGGAATATTGATATTCTGTTTCATGGATGCAGGCGCCAATTAGAGTTATTTGACGCTGTGGAGTGAAGTGCGTGTTAACGTTCTGACGCTCATGCTTATATATGACGACATCCGAACGCCTCGGACATAATAGTAGAACTAAGGACAGAAGGCTACCCGCGTTGTATTACTTCAAACACCATAAACAAGGCAGGCTGCCAAGGGATCATGTGCAATTTCTCAAACGCGTAACATACAACTTCAAAATATGGTAACTAATACGTCTTATCACCAACGTAAATATCATGGAGCTCGAGTAACAAATTCATGCAAGTACGAACTGAAGTGAGGAAGACAAGAACTACTCGAGCGAGTCAAGCATGAAGGCTTTGGTCCTTGGACGCCATTGAATTTCTTCCGGCATCTGTTCAACTTATGAGACCACCGAAACGACGCTGAAATAGCGAATCAGTCAGGCGATGCGAAGAAGGTGATGACCAGGTCTCACATCTACTGCTGCTGAACCGAGCAAATTGCCTGGTGACTGTTACGATTGTATTCGCGCGTGAAAGTCTTGTTGCAGGTGTCGCAAGAATATGCGACCTTGAGGTGTGTTCCCTTCACATGCTTGGAGAGGTTCTCTTTATTAAGCTCCTGGGTGCAATCTTCCCAAGAGCAACAGACGCGGGACTTGTCTCCACCACGAATTCCATGGTATTCACGGAGGTGAGCAGAAAGTTCGTGGTCAAGAAATGGGTAGCTGCAGTGCGAGCCATCTGGTCTTCTCCATCGGCACTCATTCATCTGCTCAAAAGTATAGCCCGACTGCGAAAGTCAGTTTGATGGCTATGATGCCTTGTCTGGGGAGTTGAAACTTACAGGCTCAGGCTCTAAGAAAGCAAAGTCGTTGCTTGCGAGGTTGTGCGACATCAGTGTCGGAGACGATGGTTGTGACGAGTGTATCTGCTCCAGATTGAAGCGTTTGAGAGGGGGTTTTATAGATGAGCTTTCCGGGAGGGCATCGTTTTCAAGCCCCGTGCCTCATGGGTTGGCAGCCTGGTGGGGTGGCAGGAAGTTATCTCTCGGGCTGAAAACTTTTCCGATTGGTTAGAAGACAAACCATAACCATCAAATAAGCGTCAGTTGCCAATGGCCTTGGCATTCGGCGAAGCGCGTCATACACGAGTATCAATTTCGCTGGCGAGTACGCGTGCATGATTATAGAAAGCCAGAGAAGTAAGTTCCATCCGCGAAAAAGTGTGACTTGGTTGAGGAAAGGCCGACGTGCCATACCGAAACTAGAAGTACTTCTATGCCACCCATCGACCGGCCAACGACTGGCTGCGGACCAACCAGAAGCTAAAGGAGATGTATAGATATCATATTTCAGACCAGGAAGGAAATGAAAATAAATAAAAAACTTCAGACTGTATCTAACGCGCGTGGTAAAATTAGTCCTTGACGTTATGGTGGCGTCAATACTTAGCTTACGCGTTAATGCTAGGTTCTTGAGGCAATTCTGCTTTTATCATATCCTTTCTGGTTAAAAAAACCATCAGATGCAGCATCGACGGTACTGTGGCGGTTCAATCAGCTCTGTTCTTGTCGAGAGAAAAACCCCACCGCCATGCCACCGCGACTACATGCTCCAAACGATGCAAGATGCTCTCCATAAATGCCTGTTAATACATCAAAGCAGCGCTATCTCGGAGTGGTCTATGAGGGACGTACAAAAGACCTAATTTGCAGGTGAGCATTACTGATTCCCCAGCCGATTTCAGTTGAGAATAGGCCGAGCTTCTCCCTACAATATTGACCGTGAATTCGCATCCCCGCAGACAGACCCTTAACCCGAGTCTGCGCCTCGTGAGGCAAGTAACTCTCCCGCCCTACGAAGTTAGAACGAGCAGAAGCTTTTCTAGAGGCTACCGTATCGCCGGCGCCAAACGTTGTAAGCGTGTATACAAGGTTGCATTGGACTTGAGAGAGAAGGAACTTATACATGGTGAAAGGGATCATCAGCTCATGAATGTGCGCAATTGTCCCAGCAGTCTCATATGCCCGTGTTAACTGACTTCTGGAAAAATGGTACCGAGATCGTCATAGACCGTTCTCGAACCTGCATCGAGATCCATCGAAACAGGGGGAAATATTGACGAATAAAGATTGGAAACCTGGGAAATACTCCTGCCAGCTCCACGAGTACTTGTGGATCCTAATCGTTACTGGGGTTATAGTTTTTGCTGAAGGGTCTATGGCCTTGCAAAAAATTACTAGCAAAAGGGTCACCATCAGCGCTCGTGTACATTCCAAAAGTAACCCAAAAGGGCTCTACAGATGCCTGCTACTTACTGCTCCGAGAGTATCATAATAAATGCAGGAAATCTGACATCATCCATTGCGATCCATCCGCGAAATCGAACGTTTTGCGACTCCGAATCTCTTCCCAAGAAGAACTAGAAACTTGAAGAGGACAAGTAACGAGTCCATCTTCAGCTCAACACCGGTCGTCGACGGGTATTCAATATCCATCAATCGTCCTTCGTAGTCTTGCAATGGCATGTCAGCAAAGTGGCGTTGCTCTCGATCGACCTTGAGGTTGCAACTTGAACTCGTGCTAGGAATGCGCAAGGATCGCGGGCTCATTCATGGATGTATGGCCGCCCAACGGTATTGATGACTTTTATCATCACTCCCTTGGAAGAAAGCAACTTCAGTCTCCGAGCGTCGAATCATACAGTAATGGAGTGAGGTGAAGAGAGTTGGCGATCTCCACTGAACTTGCAGTCTCTAGTGTCCACCGATTATGTCACATTCGACAAGCGACTACCTCGTCCGTTAGAATGGGAATTAGGTGGATGTGCCTCGTTGGATACGAACATCTTCATTCCCAAACCAGTGTTGAAGCAATAATTGAACATAGGCCACAAGGTTGCCGCCACCCTGCGCCAGCCAGACTTCGTTACAGCTGGACGTTACGACTCATCCAAGTGCAAGAACGCGTCCATAAGGTTCGCAAAATATTTTGCATGTCGTCGTAAGGCATTTGTATTTGTTGACACTGTTTGAAACAACGCTGGCTATACCATCATGATTATGTGTTGGTGAAGCTGTCACGGTTGCCAGAAGTCTATGAGTCGTCCGTGAATGAGTGTCCGAATATTGGTATCATCTTCCAGTAGTAATATTTGGTGAGACTTGAACGGGCCGAAAGTATCGCAGTCTGACGTGTTAAACTTGAGCGCTTCAAGAAGCTTGATCCCGAGGTTCGGTTATACTACTTCTAATTTGATGCCACGTTCTTCACGGTAATCACAAACTAGATCCAAAGTTTAAGTTGAGATGAGACATTTTCCGTAAAACATTTACATCCTGCTTCAATCCATTTGAAAGAGACCGAGCGTGGTCAGAGGACAACAGATGCCGCATGAGTTTTGGTCGAGTATTTTATCTATTAGCTAGTACTCTAATGATCCACTTACACTTGGTTTCTGTTTAACCTATTTATAGGCATACAGATATGAGGTTGATGCCATACCGCCATCGCTAAAGTACTTAGAAGTTAGAATGACGATCATGTCATAGTACTACTCAGACTATGGGGGCCTGCAACGCTGTCAGACACAATTACACAATAGTGCACATAGTAAGAGAAGCCGCCTGGCCATCATGCATCATGTCTAACTCGCAAAATTGACACACTGCTACCAATTTGTTATAGGGTTTCGTACTTCAACTAGAATATAATACCGCCAGGGTAAACAGAGCTAGTAAGTACGTCGGAAGCAACATAGACAACAGATACTTAAACTGAAGTCATGGGATAGAAGATAGATAGAACGGGATGTCTTGTCAAAAGACTCCCTATTTAATGCTGCTTTTCTCTCCTGTGTCTGTTGAGAGTATCTCTGCGCGAGAATACTTGGCCGCACCCGCACACGTGCACAATCCTCAGATGTTTTTCCTCGATATGTCTCGCGAGATTCTCCCTATTGACCTCCATATTACAAGAGTTCCATTGGCAGAAAACGCGGGGATTGTCTGGCCCGTGAATTCCATGTATCTCACGTAAATGATGAGAGAGATTGTTGCCGTAAAAGAGGTCGTTGCAATGCAATCCTGGTGCGTAACAATCCCAGAAACACTGAAACATTTCATTGATAGAATGTCCCTGCAATCGTGGATTTAATCGCAATGATGTCATGCAATATTTACAACTCACAGGTTCCGAGTTAGACACTCCGTTGGTCTGGTAGTGTTGAAAGCCCCCCGACATAATAGTAATGACGCGGCGAATGCGATAGTTATGCTTGCAGACTAGAGTATCTGAGGGAGCGATGAATGATTGCAAAGCCCACTGTAGTATATAAGTGTTCTGGACGACCTGCCAGGAGGGCCATCGTTCCAGTTGTCCCAATACCAGTTGGTAGGGACTCTGGCCTCGTGGGCTGGCGAGGTGCCAGCGCCTGGACGGTGAAATTTTCGTTGGTTGGTAAACAGAACCATGTCCATCGAATATGAGTCAGTTGCCAGAGGCCTTGGCCTTCAACAAAGCGTGCCGTCCATGACATTGAGTATCAATATCCCCTACCGAGTACACGTGCAGAATAGCAAGACCATCTGCCAAAGGTGTGACTGAGTCAAGAGGACGATGGCCAAACGTGCCAATATGGTAAGAATTGGGTACGTAGCTTCTATGACGACCTCCACCCGGTCAAGGGCCAGCTGCGAAACCAAACACACCCGAAAGCCAAAGGACGCCAGCTTGAGATGAGATGAAGTCCAAGAGTCAAATGCAATGCAACGTTAACTGATCCAGGGCGTGGTAAAATTGACGTCCAATGCTAATACTACAGCTTCCATGCAACGGTATGTTCTGTTCTTGAGGTGTACGACTCGTTTCGAAATCCTTGCTTGGCTATCAGGACAATTAAAAAAAAGTATCAACGGGACTCTGTATAGTCTAGAACGTTCAGCTCAAGTGTTATCGGAAAGAAAGACACACTCTGAATCTCTTCTCAAGAAAAACTAGCATTTGAAAGAGGACAAGTAACGAGTCCATCTTCAGCTCAACACCGGTCGTCGACGGGCATTCAAATATTCATCCATCGTCCTTCGTAGCCTTGCAATGGCATGTCAGCAAAGTGGCGTTGCTCTCGATCGACCTTGAAGTTGCAACTTGAACTCGTGTTGGGAATGCGCAAGGATCGCGCGACGCGCGCTCATTCATGGATGCATAGCCGCCCAACGGTATTGACGCTTTTTATCATCGCTCCCTTGGAAGAAAGCAACTTCAGTTTCCGAGCGTCGAATCATACAGTAATGGAGTGAGGTGAAGAGAGTTGGCGATCTCCACTGAACTTGCAGTCTCGAGTGTCCACCGATTATGTCACGTTCGACAAGCGACTACCTCGTCCGTTAGAATGGGAATTAGGTGGATGTGCCTCGTTGAATACGGACCTCTTCATTCCCAAACCAGTGTTGAAGCAATAATTGAACATGGGCCACAAGGTTGCCGCCACCCTGCGCGCGCGAGCCAGACTTCGTTATAGCCAGACGTTACGAATGCATCCAAGTGCAAGAACGCGTCCATAAGGCATTTGTATTTGTTGACACTGTTTGAAACAACGCTGGCTATACCATTATGTGTTGGTGAAGCTTTCACGGATGCCCAGAAGTCTATGAGTCGTCCGTGAATGAGTGTCCGGATATCGGTATCATCTTCCAGTAATATTTGGTGAGGCTTGAACGAGCCGAAAGTATCATAGTCTGACGTGTTAAACTTGAGCGCTTGAGCTTAAGCTTGATAGCTTAGCGCTTGATCCCCGAGGTTCGGTTATACTTTTAAATTGATGCCACGTCCTTCACGGTCTAGATCACAAACCTGGACTGGTCCAGACTCGGAGACATCTTCCATAAAACATTTGCATCCTACTTCAATCCATTTGAAAGAGATCGAGCGTGTTC